ATAATCAGCAGTGACAAAAAATAATAGTAAGCGTGGGTCAGCAATAAAGCGACTTGATATCAGTTTATCGCACCTTTGACCATTACCTATAATATTGACGGCAGATCTATTTCCTCTGCCTTCTCTTCACTTTATAACTAAATGCATCTAAATTAGTACTTAATTACATGCACGGCTTTTATTTTATTTATTACTTAGGCCAGATCAGAAAATCGTCTTGTTTCACAGGGAGGGGGTTTGGTGGTAAGTTGTCTTGACTCAATGACATACCTTATGATCTAAGGCGCTCGCGCTAGACCACGCTGCCACTCAGATGAACAATATGTTCACCATCCTTAATACATTGAATCAACCGTTCGGAGTTTTAGCTAAGACCCCAGATCAAAGAGTCGAACTGGAAGAGAAATGAAATGAAATGAAATGGGGTTTAACGTCCTACTGTTCTGCTCCTAACCTTGGCTAATGAAGACGGGCATACGCCATACAGTGTGCTATGAGGGAAATTTTTGCCCGGGCAGCAGCGCTACGGCCTACTCTTATATCGAATTCCAACTGCCAAGGGATCTTTTACGTGCGCCAATGTGTACACGGGGCCTCGGTTTTTCGTACCATCCAAACGACTAGACAACTGTCCTTACTAGAAGAGATTTGGGCGATAAAAACACTAAAAATACGACGTTTGGTTCCAAGTACAGATTGATTCAGGAATATGGGAGATTATCTACCATCGAGGTCTTGGATTTGTTTTCTTAATTAAAAAATGTTAAATAATCGTTGTGAGTATATTTTAACCTGGATTAAACAGTGAAACACTAGACATGAACGCTCGGCGTCTTTAAGAATGGTTAAATCAAAGAATGAGAATACGAACAGTATTATAAATCTATGGTCAAATGGACATTGCGCCCACACGATTAAATTCGAAACATGAAGTGTTTAACTTCTAATTGAATTATAACAAGAATTCTCGCACACATGTAGCCATTTCACATAGTAGTAACAGGGGCGGATCCAGGAACTTTTTCAGGAGGGGGTTTGCCAGGTTCCCGAGACAATGTATCCCCCCCCCCCCCCCCCGCATGGTCTCTATCGTCATTTGGGAGTTTATACATACACATTGAGCTTTTTAAACAGAGAAATTCAACACCTCGTTTGACGTCAATTTTTATTATGAATTAATACAATGACATTGTGATTCATTTAATGGATGCAAAGCATATATCACATAATGTTTATATCATTATCTTGTGCTTTGAGTGCCCATCCTGTCCCACATCTGACGATAAAGGATAAAGAAAGCACACGACCTAGAAACTTTTCTCATAAAAAGTGTTGATTTACAAACAAAAAAAATATGTAGCTGAGCAAGGTAGGGGGGGGGCGTCGACCCCCCAAACCCCCCTCTGCATCCGCCACTGAGTAAAAACATTTGCATAGGCTAATTGTATGTACAAGAGGACAAACCCACGGACACGATGCTTCACGCATTTGAAGTAACGATGCTTCATGTGCATTAAAAATACCAACGCTAGATAACCTCCCGGCATGGAGAGAAAGACATGGGTTTAAGCGTCCCTAATTAGCTAGAGGGGACCACGGTGGCTCAGTGGGTAAGGTGTTGTCTCGCTAACCTGGAGATCCCGTCTTCGATCCCTGCGTTGGATGAGAAAGTTCATCGAAGTTTTTCCTACGTGGTTCCCATTTGCCAGTGATGCAGGACGGAGGGACTGACGAGGGACAACGTATAGTCGTTCGGATGGCAGAAAAACCGAGGTCCTTTGTACACATTGGCTTGCACGTGAAAAACCCTTGGCAGTTGGAATTCGATATAAGAGTAGGCCATACCGCCGCTGTCCTGGCATATTTCCCTCAGGCCAGTCTTCATTTAGCCCACTCTGAGCAGAACAGTTGGACGTTAAACCCCATTTCATTTCTATTGAGCTAAAATAACACTATAAGATTTTAACGGTTGTAATAATCGCACAACGTGTAATACTAACAGGTGCGTCTTCACTCAAATGTTTCAACACTGTCCATCTAAGACTCTCTAGTTGCACTAAGAAAAGCAGCTAACTAGAATTTAATGAGCTTGATAACTGAACCTTTTCCAGATCTTAAAAGCCAGCATAACAATTATAACAACAAACAATTTAATTCGAAATAATCGGCATTGTTTTAAGCTTTTAAAAATAATTTCTATGAATAAGATATTTAAAATATCCATAATATAAAAAATATTTTTTTTTATTTCCCTTAAAAACGGTTATGGGTGCAACAAATATTGACAAGTCACGCCAGACATTAAATCGATTTGTTACTTGCGCCGTTTATTTTGTGGAATATGGACAAGAATTTTTATTTTACACTGTTTAAAAAGAAAACCCTTAAATGATCAAAAAATAAAACGTATCGATAACGTAATAACAAAATTGAGTGGTGAAAGGTAAGACAAATTACTCTTTGAAAATGGTTTATCGTCTTTGACCAGACATTTCTCAAAATAAAAGTCTATATTGACTAATGCATAGATTGCGCCCGTACGCTTCAGCCAAGCCTCATGGTCCCGGGTTTCATCGAGATTTCCAGTTGATCGAGGTATTGGGTGGATCGTGAATCTGTAAATTGCAATCGATACTCGGGGATTGTAACAAGAAGGTCCCAGTTACTCGGGCTTTTCCTGTCAGTAGTGTAAGGACGGGGCCCTGGTGGCAAGGGATGTTTCTAGTCGTTTGGATGGGGCGAACACCGAGTGACAGCACATTAAAGACCCATAGACAATTGGAAATCGAGTTGGCCGTAGCGACGCTGTCAGATGTCAGAGCAAAAATTTCCCACATAGCATACGTTTTGTGATATGTACCCGCGAAGATCTTGACAGTCATTTATAGTGTCAGGTTTTGTAGAGCGCCGTTTATCCGTTTATTGGACATTCAACTTAATAAACGTTAAATAAGTATATAACATGTATAGAATATTGATTTGTTTAAACGATGTTTTATGTAAAGATATTGAGACATATTGTGACAGGTTGTGAGTTGATCAGAGAAATCAACATTAGACACTCCACTGGGACTAGTTAAAACAGACTATTACGTTACGGCAACTTTCTGGGGTGTCATTCTTATCAACAATTGTCAACTGATAATGTTTATTGCATAACAGTGACCTAGGAAGATCATTAATGTCCCTTTTTTACAACGTGTTCTCACAGTGACATCTCTTCATTTTCTAGAATTCACCAAAAGCAATATATTATCAATGCCTCCCTATCAAGAGTGGGAATGATGCTCTACGGTGGCTCGGCAAATATGTCGTTGGCTCACTGACCGAGGCAGGGCCGTATGTAGGATTTTAAAAAGGGGGGGGGGGTGCAGCAGAGTGGTGGGGCGCCAAAATAATGCCCAAGTTACCCATTGGAATGTGGGCGCCCTTAAAAAAAAGACCCACTGATCAGTGCCTTAAGAGCTTCACTGTGTGATTATGATCAAGTGTATTATTTTATGATTGAAAGGTTATCAAATTATTTTTTTTTGGGTGGGAGCGCCATTTCTCGGGGCGCCATATTTTTCTGGGGGTGCAATGTACCCCCTGCACCCCCGCTAGATACGGCCCTGGAACTAGGAGGTCATGGGTTCGATTTCAGTGTGGATCGGCAGTCCCTCGTTATTTTCCAGCCGGGGTTTAGCTTGTCAGTAGTGCAGAATGGGGGGTGGGGGGCTGGCAAGGAAAATCGTCTACGTTATCCCGGTTGGTACAGAAACGCAGGATCCCCATTCCATTCATTCTATCGGGAGTAAGAACCATATTCTACAATTCATGATGGCTCAGAGACCAAGACGCTGACTCGCTAGTCTGGTCGCGGGTTCACTCCTGGTGTTGGCCGAGAAAGTTCCGGCGCGGTGCCCGTAATCTGTGATGCTGGACCGAGGGGAGGACCTGACAAGGACAGCTGTCTACTTGTTCAAACCCATGTCCCGTGTACCGTGTACACATTGGCGTGCACAAAAGAACCCTTGGCAGTTGGAATTCTAAATAAGAGTAGGCCGTAGTGCCGCTGTCCGGGCAAAATTTCCATCATAGTACATTGTATGGCGTATGCCCGTCTTCATTAGTCCAGTCGGAGCAGAACAGTAGGACGTTAAACCCCATTTCATTTCATTTTGACTCACTCTGGCCTTGGCTTCGATTTCAGTGTTAATCGAGATGGTTTGTCAGGATTTTCCAGTTGGCTTATCTCTTGTCAGAGATGCAGAACTAAGGGCCTGGCAAAGAACAGCGTCTAGTTTACGGGGAGATGAAAAACCATGCCGTATATACCATTGAGGACTCCCTAACTGTTGTTAAAATAAAAAAGAATAAACGCAAACGTCGCTGTACAAAATTAACCATGTAGCACACTGCAGGGCGTATGCCTGTCTTCATTCATCGTAAAAACTACGCATCACCCTCCATTCTAACAAATTTGGATTGAACATTACAAACTCTGATTGTCCCTGTCGTGGGTCGAGTGCCTACATAGAATAGGCCTACCAATATGTGACCTATAGGAAAAGCAACTAAACATGAAATAAATATCAAATTAATGGAGGCTCTTATCTTCTCAGCATGATTTTCCGGCGTGCTCCCCCCCCCCCTTTTGCAGAACGGAGATTGTAGGAAGGGACAACGTAAAATCGTTGGGATGGGGCGAAACACTAGGTCATAGTGCCGCCTTCCAGGCAAAATTCCCCTCATAGCACACTTCATGGCGTATGCCTTTCTCATTATCCAAGTGCAGTAAGACGTTAAACCCCGTTTCAATTCTATTCATTTCAATTTAATTTCAAAAGTCTTCTCAACACAATATGGAATAACAGTGGGTAAGCTCAGAGCATTTTTAAGGAATCTGAAGGACTTTGTCATCGAGGCCCGAATATATTTGAATTTCGGCATACCTTAGAGTGGCACTATCTGACGTATACCTGTTATTTAAAAAGAAAACACCAATATTTAACTGATAGCATGAAATGATTTATTCAGAGTACCATGGCACAGTTGAAGAGTTTAAGAAATATTGTTTTTACAAAAATCGTATGAAGATGCATTTCAGAGGTGGCAAAAGTTTGTATTTCATAGTTTAAAAAAAAAATAAATAAATAATACAGCCATATACATTGTTAAATGAGAATATTTCGACATCTATGTTAAAATGTACATTTTTTTTGACAGGAAAAGTAAGGAATGGAACACCAGTTTTAGATTGTTTGAGTATCTTTTTCTTTTTATAAGTTTTTAAAATAATAAGACAAGACTTGTATTGATTACAGATTTTTGATATATTTTATGTCAATGTTCGACAAAGATAGCATCCACTGTTCACTTAAATATGTGTTATCTAAATTATTATCAATTATGTATTTATTCACATGGTAATTCCATAATAGACTCTCTAGTGCATCGGATGACCGTGCTATCGAATACATTGGAACATTTTTGTCATTTAATAATTTAACGTTAAAATGGATAACCGAGACTGTTTAAAAATCTGCATTTATTCACATGCCAGGCCCGAGAGGCTGATATATTGAGTGGATTAAACAATGTCCGCCATATCTTTATTAAACGTTAAACTGGAAAATAGAGGCCGCGTTTATCATCGTAGTAAAAGTACTTAACAGCTGAGACTCTCTTCTCAAAACTTCAAACACTAATAACATCACTCAGAATAAAGTATTTTGACTGAATTTCCAATATATTCATTATTCATTATCTATTTTTGAACTATTATAGCAAAAACGGCCAGCTCTGTATCTAAATCTTACATAATGCATCTTTAAGTCGAACCAGTTGATATAAAATCTAGCTAAATTTAGTAATAGGTCAATATATAAATTGTCTCTTAAATGTATAGGTTGCACTATGATTCAAAATAAATAAACAAATAAATGTACAGAAAATTCAAAGACAAAAGATAACGATCACACGATATTCCCAGATATTGCCCGATTTCTGTTAATGAAACACAATCAGTGTATAAGTCCTTTAGGGAGCGAGATAATGGGGTTTTAAAGTATAGAGCCCGTATCCTCTATAGTTGTAAATGTTGCTAAGCGGTGAAATGAGTAGTCAACCATAAGAAATGGTGGCTCCACGATTTAATATCTTAATAGAAGATGGCTTACATATTTCTGTGCTGATTACCGGAAGCAAGTCTAGGATAAAATTAATTATTTCTTAGACATAGTCTTAAAAATTGTAATTGTAGTTGGCAGAAAAAAAATAGATTAATACCGTATAGATGGATTTACTCTTTTTTTATTTTAACTTTATCGACTTTGGTTGATAAATTTAATATCGAAACAGATTTGTATGAGATTCTGCAGTATTATATGACTGGGAAACAAAATGAGAGATTTGGTGATAATAATAATCAAAGTTTCGGAGTCTCTAGCCATACATTCTGTCTAGATTGGCTGATTTTTTGAGTTGGCAGACACAAATCTCGAAGGGATAATTACAGAATCCTTTCACCAGATTGGTACAGGCCAGACCATCACAGCAGTCTGATGATGTCACACAGTTGTTCATATAATTCAAACACTGAAATAGATAAAAATAATACAATAAAAGTATGGTGTGGATATGACATAAATGATCCAATGTTGATGGGTTGATAATTCAAAATCCACGTGGGAGTTATTGGGTTTGGTCCAATTTCATGTTGACCAATCACAACATCGAAAATATAACATCCTCCATTGTGACTGGAATACCATTTGTTTTTGATTGTATATATTCAAATGATATGACTATGATTCATTGGTGGAACCGGTCCCAAACAACGCGAAAGACGTCTAGCGACCTTTTGTCGAACACATTGTGAGAAATCGAAAGGGTGTACTCCTTAGAGTGTTCCCCTGTCAGATTGTCGCGGATGTAAAATCGATAATCTTTGGTGTGAACATGGCGGATATTTCAACCATGTTTATGCCACCCCTCACTACTATAGTTATAGAAAATAAATGCTGTTTAACGTCCGTCTGAACCAACTGGGAGAGATAGATAAAATGGGGTTTAACAGTCCACTCGACACAAATTGGGTCATTTCGGAATTAACATATTTCAATAATTCGATTGTGCGTAGCGGACTGTATCTGTGGAAGGAAGCCGGGATACCCAGAGAAAAAACACGAACGAGGTTGCACACACGATCCCACTTCTTGGCACGTGCAAGTGTGGACTGAAATCCACGCCACTTGACTCAATGACAAACCTTATAATATGATCAAACGTGTAACCACATTAAACCATTCTAACCCAACACATTGGCTAATGAAGATAATTTTTTGTAAACACCACCGTTTCCGCCTAAACTCATCATCAAATTCCAACTGTCAACGGTTCCTTTAGTGCACGCCAACCTGTACACGGAACCCCTCGGTTTTTCGTCATGCACCACTGAAGAACTTTCTAAGCCAACACCGGGATTTAATTACAATGAATTATCTTTTAAGATACATTATGTAAGATTTGGATAAAGAGCTAGCGATTCTTGCTATAGTAGTTCAAAAAAGGAATATGTAAAATGAATAATTTGAAAATTTCATTCAAATTACTCTATTGCGAGCGAAGACATTAGCCTTTGAAGGTTTGACAAGACGTGTGCATTAATTGCAACCACCGTACTGGTTGTTCGAAGCCAAGTCTCGCTCCCCCATTTTTAAATTAAATCAAATTATGGCTGAACTGTTCCAGTCTACTTAATATCGGAGATATCCGATGGCATCAGGAGTTGATTATGGTCTTGTCATGTTAATAAATGTCTAATTACGACATGTTATTTCCCTTGAGAGATTTCCCCTTTTCTAGTAAGTCACAGTTTTACAGCTAAACGTAGTCTTAACATCAATCTAGTAATGTATCATTTACAAACTGTGTGCAATTTATTAGAGTTTTAATTTGATGGCTCAACAAAAGTTTTAATAAAACCACGACTGTTCTGTGTCTTACATGCATTATTGAATGATTCTGCCGCCAATGTGATAAAGATCAGACAACGTTTCCGTGATATTACACTTAAACATACATTATGCAAGAGCTAAATCTGTCAATTGCGGGTCTTTCTTTACGCCTGAAATGTTATCTAAATTATTAATTAGACATTAATTAACTTATCCAGGCCATAATCAACTCTCGATGTCATCGTCAGACTGAGATATTTACTGAATTTGAATCCGATTTTCTGCTCAACGCTCATTCATTATTAATCCAAAAATGGATAATAGAGACTATGTATTTATTGTACCGACTTAAGTAATGATGATCGAGGCTAGGCCTAACATTCAAAAGCTAAAATCTCGGTTCAGAGTGGATCAATTTGACTGAAACTTTCAGCAAATTCCCTTTATATTATCTAGTTTTTTAACTATTATAGTGAGAACTGCCAACTATTTATCTAATCTCCTATAATGCCCCTTCAATTAAAGCTATCTATCTACTTTAAAACAGTTTAATAGTTCTCCATCTTTTTATTTACGCTTCGTTTTCTCATTTGAATGGGGGGGGGGGGGTGTTGGATGGCGCGCTGCATCATAGGTCTGACATTGAGCCAAGTGGCACGGTTTCAATTCCCCGTTTGTAAGTGATCTCCTGTCCAACCTCGTGGGTTTTCTCCGGGTCCTCCGGTTTCCTTCCACTGCTAAAGATCTCGACGCGCAAGCGAATTAGTGAAATAAAATTGAACCGTATGTTAGTCTCGAAATGACCTAGTTTGTGTTGAGTGAACGTTAGACCCTCTCTCTCTCTCTCTCTCTCTCTCTCTCTCTCTAAAGATCTCGACGCGCAAGCGAATTAGTGAAATAAAATTGAACCGTATGTTAGTCTCGAAATGACCTAGTTTGTGTTGAGTGAACGTTAGACCCTCTCTCTCTCTTTCTCTCTCTCTCTCTCTCTCTCTCTCTGGGATGGCAGAAAATTTATCATTTATAGCCTATGAATTTATTTCCATAAACTAGCGTAAAGTTTGTTTTTTTGGGTTTTTTTTTTAAATACGCTTGAGTAAATTTTCTATCCATCTCTCTATATTCAGATTAGTTTGTAACGTTATACAAGTCTATTGAACCCCACGTGTTTAGTTTATCTATTATACATAGATTTTAGATAATACAGATTTTATCGCTGAGGATGCAAGGGCTATATTAATAATAATAATATCATCATTAACAAAGGGAGCTGATACGATGGAAGATAAGCAACCCATTCTTAGAGAAAGTGTACAACATCATTCTCATATTGATAATTATAATAATTAGTCGGTCATTTGTAAAACGCTTTTATATTGTTGCTACAGAAAGTGTACAAATTCTTTGTTGAAAATAAATGTAATTCATTATATATCGTTGAAGAATTTTGGTTGGTGGTTGTGATATTTTTATAGTACATGAACCTTTGGTGTATTGTAGTTGTTATCTATTATTGATGAGAATCGGAAATATAGAGTATTAATAACACAATTAAGTCTATTATATATTCTGCCAGTTAGTTTTAGATGGTTGCCAGAATTCAAGTCACAAGACCATTATTAATGTACTCAATCGAAAATACTTCAACTAAAAATAGTATTTTATGATCTGTTTTATTATTTATATTGGTGATAAGACGCAGTTTTACACAATTACATTTTTGCCGGCCCATTCACCAAAAGTTGGTCTGTTTTACTAAGCCCCACCCCCACCCCAAACCGATCCATCCCGTTTATTTTTTGGGGGTTTTGTGTGTGCCTGTGTACGGATGGGTGTGGGGATGGGAGGGGTGTAGGGGTGGGTGAGTGGGCAGGTTTCCGTAAACACAGGTACTTCTTTTATATGACTTCCTTTGTAGACGCACGGACACACAATCTCGTTGTTGACTTTATCCATAATGGTCGGTAAAGTTTGAATAAATAAAGATTGTCAGAATAATAACTGAAAAATCTAATGAAACCGATGATTTTCTTTTGTTCCAGATTAAGGAGAGTGTGACATTTTAATATTTTGGTGGCTCAGTGAGTAAGATGGTGGCTCGCTAACCTGGAGGTCCCGTGCTCGATCCCTGCGTTGGCCGAGAAAGTTCATCGCGAATTTCCGACGTAGTTCCTCCTTGTCAGTGCTGCAGGACCGTGGGCCTGGCAAGGAACAACGTATAGTCTATCGCATGGGACGAAAAATCGAGGTCCCGTGTACACATTGGCGTACACGCAAAATACGTGGGCAGTTGTAATTCGATATAAGAATTGGACGTAGCGCAGCTGTTGGAATTCGATATAAGAATTGGCCGTAGCGCAGCTGTCCGGGCAAAATTCCCATCATAACACACTGTATCTCGTACGCCTGTCGTCATTCGCCCAGTCCGAGCAGAACAGTAGGACGTTAAACCCCATTTAATTTCATTGCATTACTACTTATAGGTGAAAATGGCTTGTTTACAACGTCTGTAGAAGTTGCTAAATGTCGGAAAGGTTTCTATTCATTATATTCTTGTAAATATTGAATCGAAATGAACCATGTTTGGTTTGATATGACTATTGTTGTAGAGTCGTCATTGTATTCTAGTGTCCATGGGGATTTCATCTTCAATCTTAAGGAATGTCGCAAAACGAATATGATTACATGAATTATCTTAACGTTCGCTAGAGTAGTCACGAGGGAAATAAACACGTAATTCATTTATTTATCGCCTATAATTGTCAATAAAATAAGATTATATCACGAATTATTCCAAATGCATCTATAATTTGTGATTTTGAAGAATGATGTGTGTATATAAGATTTATTATCTGTGAGCTGGGGAAATATAACACGTAATAATTCAAATTTATTCAGAAATCATTAAAGAGATAACTGTCAGTCCCTGACGTCCAAAGTGAATAGGGGCCTTGTGCACCCATACATCTCCTCTCAGAGATATAGGTTAAGTTTATATTGAAATTTAGTTATATAACAAATACTATTAATTATTTTATTTGAGTACACAATATAGATTAAATAGAATTAGTGAAATCACCAATGCTCAATGGTTAAAGTGTATGTCAAATAACAAATCGTTGTACTGTAAACTTCAATCAGATTAATTGTACCTTTATTTTACTAATGAGAGAGGGAGAGAGAGAGAGAGAGAGAGAGAGAGAGGGGGGGGGGGGTAACGCCCACTCGACACAACATACACTGTTAACAATATCCATTTTTTGTATGTGGCCGAATTCCGTTGTTTGACACTTTTTTTCTGTTAATCGATGGCTTTTTTTTTGGGAGAAATTGTGTTAAAATTGTGAATTATTTCTTCAAATTATGTGTTTTATAAATACCTGTGGAATATTCAGTATTAAACAGGAAATTTCCGGGACATTTAGGGATAAAATGTTTTATTCCATTCTATAATGGACTTAATTCTGTTATTTTATGGGATAAACGGGAGAATGACCAGGAATGTACGGATTATTTCTGTTTGCAAATGTAACGATAAGTAATCGTATACATATATAATCATTTCTAATACTTATCATGTTATAGTATTCATTTCATTTTATTAACTATTATATGAAGAATCATATTTTGTAAAGTTTGCTATATTAATTGTCATGTATATCTAATTTACATTATATATAAGATCTATAAAGTGTATTGTTATTCACCATACGGTAATCAGATTGTAAGTATTTTCATAAATGTGTAAAAATATGTTTCAACACTCCGTGAGTAAGGTTGCGATTTCTGGTAATCAAGTACGCTTTATTCCGGATAGTATGTCTCTATGGCAGAATTAACGGTACCTGCAAATTGATAGTAACGCAAACTTACATCTGAAAGCCTCTAACAGGTCCAATCACTGACGAGTAGCGGTTTGTGATACCTTGCACTCGATTAGGGTATTCTTATATTAGCGGAAAGGGGGTTACGTATCAAGATTGTCAGCGATAGCACTTCGGTGGAAGCGGACGTTAAAGCTATTTCACACACGCGTATAAAGTCAATGGTTAATTCAATGAAATTTTTATCACTTTCATACCCAGGAAACAAAAATTACCATGATTTTTTTTCTGTATTTGAAAATGGAGTTATGTTAATTGAATGAATTTCTGTAAATTACAAAAAAAATACAAATACGGATCAAATTTTCCTAGTAATTTTTGTTTCCGGAATTTTTTCCGTTTTTACGGATATTTTTGTTACAGTGTAGGTCATTTCGGGAGTACCATATGGTTCAATTTTATTTCAATAATTCGCGTAGGGGTCTTTAGAAGTGGGGGAAAACAGGAGGACCCGGAGTAAACCCAAAAGGTTGAACAGGCGACCTAACTCCCTGTGACGTACAAGCGGGGAATTCAGTGACAGACCTTATATGGTTTCACGCGCACGCGTCAAACCACTGGATCTCGCCCACCCGCCCCTGCATTAATAAAGGAATCAATGATATCCGAAAAATCAAAGTCAGCTTCAATATTCAAGGTGCGCCACGTGTTCCATGGGTAATCCGCCACAGATAACAGTAATATAGCACTTTGTCGGTTAGAAATGGTTCCACTACTGATGTCTTCCGCCTTACTCCAGCCACAGTAGTGGCTCGTCCTACAGAGTTCCTTTGCGCAAGTTTTTTAGTGAAATCACTACAAAAAAGTTACTGGCCTATAACTCCCTTAATTTACACATAAACTGACCTAAAACAGTACTGCACCTAACTTAACATATAATGAATGAATTCCTATTGAAATAAAGGTGAAGCCTTACCGCATAATTATATGATTTGATGAAACCCAACTGCTACGCGAAATTTCAACTGGCTGGTGTCATGGCGGCTTGTGTGTAATACGTCATTACAAGAAACATCGCTATGCAAATGTAGAACGCATAACCACAAAGAAAAACTGTTCGGTAACTATTTTAGTGGTCCAGTCTTCACTATTTGTCATAGAATTACTTATTCCAATACAAACTGTAATGATATGTGTTGACAGTGCATTTGAACCTATTTGAACTTGCGTAAGGATTCTTGGACTGTATCAATTGTAACGTTAAACACACAGTTTAACGCTACAAGTATAGTAACTATTTGTCGGTCGGTAAAAGAATCATTTTTATTATTAGTTTGATTATATTATTCAAAATTAATTGAATTGAATTTATTTGTGAATGTAAATAAACTGCAAAGAAACGTATAAAGACGCTGGTTTGGAACCGTTCGTGTAAATACGTTAGCCCACAATCTTACTTTAAAAATAGCTTCAGCAACATCTTAGAACAATGAAACTGGTCATAATATCTCAACAATACTTTTAGATCTAACTTATTTATTATATTGTGATTGGTCAATGAATTGTTCCAATAGGCGCATGTCTGGCATCAACCAATCACCAATGGGGAAATTAAGTTATCCCATGACGAAATGGTAAAATGTTCGATTACGGCATGAATTACATTAAATTTCAGATTCAATCGAACGTTTTGCGTTCAACTGATATTACGTCTAAAATCTATATTTCCATTTTGAAACATGATAGGTAGGTCTATTCAAAATTGCCAATATGTCGTAAATATATGAAAACAAAAGTTTTTGGAGCATCGAAAGGCAATTTGTTCGATGTAACGATAGTATGGTTTGCGTGAACAATGTTGGTTTCAATCTAGCCGCTTTACTCGATCTATTGTCACTGATATTGTTTTGATTCGCGTGCTTTGTGAAACGGGACCCGGATAGTCTCCGCCATAAACTCCAGTGGAGCCAATTACTTAACTACGCTTTATCGGAAACTGCATTGTCTGGAGACTACAAAGTATGCAGCAGAAATTTGTACAAAATGAGAAAAAATGTAAGATTACGTCCTGATCTCCACGACTTTGTCTAAGTCGTTAATTTGACAAGAACCTGGCCTTCAGAGTCTGTAATATATCAACATGGTGGATATTACGTGACGAGAAAGATTATTAGGATTCTAATGATCAGTCATATGATGGCAGGTTTATACTAATGCAACTTTATTTGTTACATTTAACAACAAACCAAAAAAGTCATATATTCATATATTATTCACTTATCTGTATCAGGTGAATAAAGAATGATCCAGATTTATCAGTCTATCATAATCATTATACAGTCCAAACTATCAGTCCATCATAGTCATAGGCCTATTGTCCGAGTTGTGCGTCTAGTCATATTGTCCGAATTATCATAGTCTTGCTGTCCGAATTATCCAAATTAAACACCAATCATAGACATACTACTGTCCGAATCGTCATTGGCATACTGTCCGAATTATCCGTCCATCATAAAATCCGAATTATCCATCTATCATAGTCATAAAGAAATGAAATGAAATGAAATGGGGTTTAACGTCCTACTGTTCTGCTCCTAACCTGGGATAATGAAGACAGGCATACGCCATACAGTGTGCTATGAGGGAAATTTTGCCCGGACAGCGGCACTACGGCCTACTCTTATATCGAATTCCAACGGCAAAGGGATCTTTTACGTGCACGCCAATGTGTACACGGGACCTCGGTTTTTCGTCCCACCCGAACGACTAGACAGCTTTCCTCGTCAGCCCCTCCGTCCTGCATCACTGACAAGGGAGAACCACGCCGGAAAATCTAGATGAACTTTCTTGGCCAATGCAGGGATCGAACACCCGACCCCCAGGCTAGCGAGCTAGCATCATACCCGCTTAGCCACGTGATCCCCCATAGTCATAAAGCCCCAATCGTTGTAGACATACTGTCCTAATTATCCGTCCGTCATAATCATAAATCCGAATTGTCCGTCCACCGTAGTCATGTATCGTCGTCGGCATACTGTCCGAATTATCCGTCCATTATAGTTATAAAGTCCGAATTGTTCGTCCATCATAGTCTTACTTTTTGAATTATCCATCCATCATACCGTTTTGTGTAACTTGTTTATTTTGCCGCTTGGCTTTTTATAGAGTACCTGATACCTCTTCTCATTGGAATCCGGGGCCCGGAACCCGGGTACCAAGGTATAGAAATGGTACCCTGGCCTTTTCTAGAGTATACTTGTATACCCATGCCCTAATGATGAAAGTTTTCAACCTTTTTACTAGTCTATTCATTCTCTGAACAATCGACTATTTGCCAAAATTCACAAGTTGAGAATGGACGAAATAGACATTGTGAAAATATCTGAATTTATTGTGAAATATCATCAGCGCATCAATTATTTCGGTCGATTATAGTCTCATTATAGTGTCTCGTCAACACTTGCTAATGAATATGTCCTCTTGCAAGAATCGTGTCTCTAAATCTATTGTCTCGTTCAAAAAGCTTATTCTATTTTCTTAATGAAGATTGGTGTATTAAATGTCAAATTAAAAATAATTTTTTAGGAAATGAATTCCTTATGATACGAAAATCGTGAATAATCAGGCTTTTGTCTCTTTCATTATCATGTATTTTAAAGGGTTTTATGTTGGAATTTGGAATGCTAGAGGCGATCTAAACAGCGTTCTCGGAATTGACAAATTTCAAAATTTTCTAGAGGCCGGAGGGAGAGGACCCCCCCCCCCCTATCTTTTGGTACCCTGGCACTCACGCCGATCCGGCGCCCCTGATTGGAATGGTCCATATATAGACAATAATAGCATTGTCTGAATAAATGAGGGAGGATGTGCACATTGTGTCATTCCCCCATAAGGGTCTTTAGCAGTGGGAGGAAAGCATACCTGTTTTTGTTGAGATCCTTTTATGGCACTGATATCTCCGTCATCCAGTCTAAATCTGGTTCTGAGAAGACTGGCTGCGAATGAGGAATGGACTAAGACAATCATGAGAATAAAACTGGCTAAGGCTACTCGGAACGACATGTTGGATACGATTAGTTGGTTGCTGGAAATAGGCTGGAGCTGAAACGACAAACGTAAAATAATTTGCTAATTGATAAAACCTGTGGGAATTTGGGATTCTGTAGATTGTACAGAACGATCTTTTTGTAATATATTGTGGCGGCTTTTCTTGCTGCTATGGTTAGGAAGTGGTTGTTAGTTTAATGTAATTATTGATTCTTTTGATGTTATCTCAACTATGTTTCGATTGCTTTTGTTGTTGTTGCAATAGATGTTCTTTGCACAGTATGATGTCGTTGCTGAATTCGACTGTTTAGCTGTTGTGGTTTTTGTTTAAAGTTAATTTGAAAGTTAACCAAAATTAGAGTTTTTTTTCCATTATATTTTTCGTTTTCATTCGTTCATATTTCGAATTTTCTATTTTTTTTACTTTAGACTTATCAGTCAGTCAATGAAAACACAGGTATTTCAGTCACGTCAAGACACTGTCCATTGATCTATTTATAAACTCACTGGGGTATCGTGAATAACACAACGGACACCAACCGTTTGAATATAATAGATCTATAAAGTAGTGTTCGCTGTTGTTCTTGGTGCTATGTTTTAACTGTATAACCATAACCGTTGTTGATATCGCTGCGGCGGTTTTTGGTGGGGTGTTACTATGACCAGTTTTTGGTTTTATTTCTTTGCTTTTATTGTTTTAGCTTGTCCCATTGCTTTGGTTTGATTTCATTGTGTTGACTTGATTTCATTGCTTACATTGTTTTTGGTTGAGAGAGAGAGAGAAAGAGAGAGAGAGAGAGAGGGACCATGATCAAAACTGCACGCATTAGACCATTAGAACCCCGCCCCCTCCCATATGGTTGTTGGTTTAATCTTCTTGATTTCGTGGCTTTGGCCATGTGTTTGGTGTCGTTGTTTTGTTTTCTCTGAAATTTGGACTGGAATTATTCATCCTTAATTGCATAGGCGGAGCAAGCCCAAATCTTCAGCATGGTCAAGAGTAAAACAGACATTAAACTTCTTATATTACAGTAAAAGAGAAACGCGAAACCATCCAAACAAATATTTCAATCTAAATTCCATCGGAAACTCCCGGATCAAATTAGAAATAAACCAATCACGTAGACAATCAAACAATCGAATGTGCAAACTACAGCAGCGTTTGGAAGTTTAATTATTTCAACTCCCCGGGCTCCACTGTTTTCAACAAGCAAATATTACCTGGTTAACATGACCCCGAGTGAATTCACGAGGGACTAGGATTTCATCCCGAACACTGAAGTTCCACAGATACTGCTAAAGAAAATAACCTATTATAACATTATTTTCTTCATTTAAATTGAAACAAAGCTAATAGATAAAACGCTCTCGTGTTCTTGCGTTGTAATTTTAAAATATTCAAAAGAATGTAATAATTTAAATATTGAAGGTCGGATTAAGGCTAAGGGTCCAAAAATTTTAGGGGCTACGCCTAACCTTTCTTTGTGTTTCCCCCCTGCATGCTTGAAACGTATAAAGGAGGATGGAAATGCTGACTCTTTTCCTAATGTGGAATTGCTTTGTGGATTTATTTGACATTGCCAGTAGCAAACTCAGAAGGTGAACGATCCTTTTCTGTGTTCAAATGTGTGAAGAACCAGCTTCGTTCAGTTGTCGGATATGAGAAGTTGTGTGACTGTTGCGTCAGATTTGACCAGAGACAGACTTTGAAGGGATCATTGCAAAATTCCCAAAGCACAAATCTAGAAAAAAAAAGCTATGTAATTCCGTGTAGTGTCACTTCACCTATCTAATGTATGTAAACTAATGCAATACATGGAATGTATAATGTACAATGCCACTATTATTTCTTTTGATATTTTGTATTTGATGGATGGGTGAATTGCCTGTGTAATATGCCCCATGAAGTATTTTGGCCTATAAGGGCCCCACAAAACCTTAATTTGGCCCTGTGAATATCATCGTATTAATGTGTCGTATCTGAATGGGTGCTATGACGTAGTATTGGGCAGTCAGACCTAGGAGTATACTTGATATTTACGTTCGGCAATATCCGTATAATTGATTTTGGGCTATGTCTACACCCTCTAGACCAATAGAAACTTTCTGGAAAGGGCCTACTTGCCCCTTTTATCAACAGATTTTTGAAAGAAAATAAGCATTAGGTTTATAGACGTTTATTTTTAACACGGCGGGATAAAAATGGACATTGTCCCTGACCTGTAAGATCCGCCCTGTTCTGAATTCCTATTTCGATAAATATGTAAATGTATCACGGGTCTATTTAGATGTAACTTCCGGCACTTTTGATTTCTGATTTGGTATTTCATCTGTGAAATGAGAGACTTCTAGTCTGGATTTTAAAACAAGTCTATATTTTGTTGTTTGTTTTTTTTTTCTGTAGGTTATTTCTGTTAAACCGTGACAATCAACGTTCATATTGTGTAATTATATATTATTTTCCTGGGAGAAATAATATACCCATTCTTTCTCATTAGCTATCAAATTGTGGAGGATTAGAAGCGCTTCTGGCAGGTGGGTTATTTAATGACGGATTGTTACCAATTAACGTCGAAAAGCAGAGTCATTAGTTTAATATGTCGCACACGAAATATCTCAAATTATTTTGACATCTACAAAAACCTTTAAGATATGGAAAGAGGAGAATATCTGCATGATAATTTTTGTAAATTTTAGCTCTTATACAAGCAATTTGCAGTCGATGGTTTAAGGACTGCTCCACTGAGCATGTGTCTAGTGACTTGGGGTACTATTTTGTAGGATAGCATGATATTTTAGCTTGTGGTGATTAGTTAGACAAAGTAACGACTAGGAGCGCTAATTGGTATTCGCATTGGCGTGCATGTCAATTTTTTTTTTATCGACGAATATCAAACTTTGACCACTCGTTATAGCCTGCAGACCATAGTCGTTATTCATTGCAGTCGCAATGACGCGCATAATATGCGGGCCATTTTCTCTATCAATATTGAAGCAATTAAAAAAACACTAAGAACGATACGGTTAAAAATGGTTAAATATGACTACAAAATCATTTGTTGTCGGCGACAAAGGTCGATGTTCGTTGCCGTTGCAATGATGCGCACACAGGCAATTTTCTTAGCAAATTTGTGAGCAATTTTATCACTGGAAAAAATCGCAATGATATACATGTAATAACGTAATATGAATGTATAAAAACTGATTTACATTAAATCGTTTCTGTTTTTACTGTAATTTCTAATCAGTTATGTTTCGGCGAAATACGCTTAGAGTCCACATTGAATGGCAGTTTTGGCGTCTGGTTATTCCAGTCTACACCGGTAGTATTCTCCTGCATGTTTAGCTTCGTTTATCGAGTCGCTTCATTACCAATGGCGCTCGAAAAGATTCTGGCGGGTTATTTAATGACGAATTGTTACCAATTAACATCGAAAAGCAGAGTCATTAGTTTAATATGTCGCACACGAATAATCTCAAATTATTTTGACATCTCCAAAAACCTTTAAGATATGGAAAGAGGAGTAAAATTTTCATTTTGTCTTATATTAGATATCAGAAGCCCATCTTTTCACGGTAAGATAACAACATCAATGTTGATTTAAATTGGTCAATAAATCACGTTTGCAATGTCGAAGACTGTGGATAATATTGAGTTAGAGACTTGCTCCCTTAAAGGGTTAAATATGGCTACAAAATCAGTTAAAGGTATATTCTTCTAATGCATTAAATACGCATATAATTCATCCATAAACTGCATTTCGTTTTATTTGAAAATTGATCATTCTGTATTAATTTCAGTGTTCTATTGGTAGTTCTGGGAATATAGTCGAGTTAATTTTAGTTATATTACACGATCTGTTCTTACAGCTATTAGTGAGTTACGAGGTGTGGTTTCAACCCTCACATGCGACCAGGAGTAGGGTCGCCTACCTAACCTCGTGGGTTTTCTTAGAACCCCAGTGCCAGAAAATTGTGTGGATATAATTGGAAAAGGCAACATAGACGGTTGTTCATTTTTCGCATGTTCATACCATTTGCATCTCCTGGTGGGCCATAAACCTATTCGAGCCATCACAATTTGTTTGGATGTTATTGTGTGTCAAGTTAGCCCAGTGTGTCATATTTTTGTATGTTTACAGTAATAACATAGAGTTAGAAAACTTTGACATGAAATTTTTCTGTTATGATTTTTCAAAAGTAATAGTTTCTGTTTCTGCTAGTTTTTCTGAAGACTTGTTTTCTATTCGGTAATTTTCCCTGCATAATATTTTAATTTCGTGAGAAAAATAAGCATCAATTTCATAAAGAGAATTTGTTTCAAATATTATTTTTTTAGGGGAAAGTTAATGGGAAAATGTTGCTTCAAGTGTGAAAATGTTGCTTCAAGTGTGAAAATGTTGCTTCAAGTGTGAAAATGTTGACTCAAATGTGACAATGTTGACTCAAGTGGGAAAATGTTGGATTTGGCGATAAAATTTTGAACGAGGGGCAGATGCAGTTAAAATGCTCAAATGTGTATCGTTTGGTCTTTCTGAAACCCATGTCACACTCACCCGCAATGAAGCTGACGCTCCCACTGCGGCCTGAAAGATTATGAACGAATTAGTGACACAGTGGAAACTGTCATGTGCGGGAGGGCCCCTTTTGGTGCGTCAGTGGTCATAATTGGAACATATTGTGAACCGATTGCAAGCGCCGGAACAACTTATAACGAGCGTCTTGGCAGCGGAGTGTAGGCGTAGAATTGATCGGAACGATTTCAGCGAGCGCAAGTCGCTTGCATGCGTTATTGCAACGTCCACAAACCCATATTATGTAGTTCGCTTTGCACTGCCATGGCGACTGTACTGCGTCACTACTTCGTTCTCGTCTGAGCTTCGACCCACTGGGCTTGTATTATGCATGCACAAAAAAGCGCCGGAGTTTGACGCTCAAGGTAGATCATGGCGACTCTCTCTCTCTCTCCCGCCCTTGACAGTGTCCATGGTAGCCCAATCGTTCTTATGCTTTCCGGCCGCTAAGTTTCTGTAGTAGACTGATGCCCTAAACATATTTTTATATACACCACCACATCTGAGCCCGGTTCCTAGAAAATTCTTAAAGTAAGCACAAAGTCATGCTTCACTTTTTCTTACGTAAGAAACTTATAAAAATACCGTTCCTATAAAATTCTTAAGACCATGCTTACGTAAGCACAAGTCAAGTATAAGTCTAAGCACATTGTGACTGGTAAAGTTTACCATAAACTGAGACTACGATGCTCTTTAACGTCATAAAAACAACTTTGGTATGCGAATTACGTCATAAATTTATCGTCTGCTTCATTGACGTCATATATAATATATGGTTGATTTAGATGCATTTGACATGTCCCCTATACACATATATATAAAATGTGCCACAAGATAAAAAACGCAGACACATAAAAACTAAATGAATAATTGTGAGAGCGCCTGATCTTAAAGTAGCCTGTGTGTTTGTAGCCTATTGTTTACTAATTGGCAAATAAATAAAATGGTTTCAGGGTAGAAGCGAAATTTTCTATAGCATTCTTTATTTCTTCAGGAGAAGGATTTTCTCTGTCTTGTAATTGTCTGTTTGGTATCAAAAGGTGTCGGAAATGCCGTCGAAAAACTCTACGGTCAGCCATCTTTTTGAAGTAGAAACAGACTTAAGGTTGGTAAGCAAACCGTATACCTTGCTTGGGACTTGTGCTTAGATTGACTATGTTTAAGAACGAAGTTGTGCTTAAGTTTTTTCTTTGAACGCATAATAACGTTCTTGTGTTTACAATGAAGTCTACTTAAATTCTTAGCACAAGAACGTTCTTAAGAATTTTCTGGGAACACAAAATAAGGTAAGTTTACTTAAATGCAAAGCCTACTTAAATCTAAGCCCAAGAACGTGCTTAAGAATTTTCTAGGAATCGGGCCCTGCTCAGTAGAATATGAAAGTTATCACACCAGCGATATCTACTGTAGAATGTGTTATTAGGTGACAAAATTATACCTCATACGAAGCTTACGCTGTCGACAATTAACTCCGCTTGACAACAGATACGAAGCTGATTAATTGACCTTTTTAGTCGAACACACTAAGTAGATACTTCTAGAGCATGGTTGCGATCAAAGCCCAGCTTAACCGGAGCGGGGCCCTGGGCCTGACTAGAATCGCGGGGCCCCTAACGCGACGAAAGGATTATTTCATATCCTTTTGAATGGCACGCATGCGTAACACACCATTAAGCGATCTGTAATACAAGAATAATTACATAATATCTGATCACATACGAAATCTATTCAGTTCCGAATGGCATACAATGCTCGGAAATGGCATATAACTTCACAGAGAAGGTTGAGGGATAGCTCAGTCTCCGTCCTAGCTCAGTCGATGTCGTCGAGCTGCTAGATCGATTACCATGAAACTTTCATCTGGAATTTGATTTTTTTTTCTCTTTTTGCCATGAACTGCGGGATCCCCTCGGGCCCATGCCTCAGCTGTGCTTTGGTTGCGACCCCATTCCAGAAACCATCACCTGATCGCCAGCCCTCGAAGAAAAACATCACCTTTTACTATGAAACATCATCATTATTTACAGATCAAAATGCTGTAATGAGAGACTGAGGAAACAAATCGTGAGCGTGAGAGAGGAAAGACGATTGGCAATGTCGCAAAAGGTGTATAGATTGGAAATTTATATGTTTTTCATAAAAACCTAGCATTTTTTTTTTCGAAGTTTCAGAGTAGTCCGCCACGATCACACGAAAAATGCTCCACTTTCCTCTTCCATTTTCATATTTAATGAAATTGAAAATAAAATGTTTGTATTACAGTTTGGTGTCTGTGTGCATCGCATGAAAGGTGTAAACAGATTTTAACTGCATAACAAAATAGTACACTAATTTTTCAATATGGCTACCATTTAAGGCAGAGATCTATTCTTAAAGCAGATAGTTATCTGTGTGCAGAATAGTTATAGTGTGCTAGCTGTCTCATTCACCTGTAATCATTCGAGCATTATTATTAACCGCTGTCGAAATAAGGTAGTGTTATGGACACTCTATCATTATTTTCAAACCATTATCACTAATCAGGAGATAAACTATGTCAACATTGTTCGTTGGTTATGCGAAGGCATATTATTACAGTTTTTGTGAAATTATTTTGTAATTATTTCCAAATTAACTGTAAACACGCAATGGCTTTTACATTTTTCGAAGAAATAAAATAGGCGTCTAATACATTTAGTCACGAAATGATGTATTTTAATGTCATTGTATGTCATTTTTTTTTAAAAAAAACCCCACCGACTTTAATCAAATGGCGATTAAATATACAAAAATCATGTTTTATAGACACTGTGGGCCATTTAAATTGTAAAGTGTATCGAGGTTGTTGGCAATAAGCAATTCAAATTTGAGGGGAATTTTTATTCTGGTTCCGAAGTAAACTTTTCACAATCCCTCTTTCACAATGGAATGGTTATTTTGAGACGAAAACAGCGTGGGTCAAGATGGGGTGATGGTAATAGGTAGTTTAACAAACCAGGAATTAAACAAAATGGTGTTTTAAATGAAATGCAGTCGGGTTAAACGTCCCACGTTTTTGCTCCATTCGGGCTATTTATAACGGGTATACGCTATCAGAATGCTATATATATGAAGGAAATTTAGTCCAGACAGCGGCGCTTCGACATGCTTTTATTTCGAATTCTAACTGTCAGGGGTTCTTTTATGTGTACGCTAACGTGTACACGAGACCTCTATTTTCGTCCCATCCGAACGACTAACCAGCGTATGTGTACGCTAACGTGTACACGAGACCTCTATTTCCGTCCCATCCGAACGACTAACCAGACGCCCTTTCCTGCACATTTACCTACGGGGAATCACGCTAGAGTATCCCGAGGAACTTTCTCTGTCAACACCTGGATCAAACCCGGGACGTTCAGATTAGCGAGCCAGAGCCTTAAACACAGAGCCGCGCGGACTCCAAAATACACTCATCGGGTTATAGTGAAGTCGGGCATACGCCCTTCAATCCATGGTGGGCCCGTGTTGCGGTTGAGAGAGAGAAATGGGGTTTAACGTCCACGCGACACAAGCTAGGTCATTTCGGGACTAACATATGGTTTGATTTTATTTACATAATTCGCTTGCGCGTAGGGGTCTTTAGCAGTGGGAGGACCCGGAGAAAACCCACGAGGTTGGACAGGCGACCCTACTCCTTGTCACGTACAACCGGGTATTGTGTTGCGGTTGACATCGGAGAACTCGGTGTAATCCGGCGATGCCGCGTCGTACTTTCGACTGGTTTATTTAGCGGGGAAAGTATATTAAGAAAAAGCATTAAAATCCTCATTATCGGCAATATTTCGGTTATAACTTGTGCCACTAGGAGGTGGAATCAAGGTAACTTTGAACTTATTTATATTCGAGTTTTGAACGCAGAATCTGTCAAAAATGTAATTGGTAATCTAACGTACTTCTTTCATTTTTGTCTCCGGTGAATCGAGGAACGTTGGTTTCTGAAAAGTATGGGGGCCCTACATGCTAAAGGCCCCAGGGTATCCACCATGGTTAATCCGGCTCTGTCTATATATGGCGCTGGTCCGCTAACCAGGAGGCCCCGGATTCAATCATCCTAGTGTTGGCTGAGAAAGTTCTATGAAATTGTCCAGCGCGCGGTTTCCCCGTATCAGCGGTGAGGACGGGGACACTGGCAAGGGAAGGCGTGTAGAAATTTGCATGGGACAAAAAACCGAGTTTCCGTGTATACCATTGGCAGCTCGTTCCGTGATCTTCTGACATTTAGAAATCTAAATAAGAGTAAACCCTTGAACCCCATTTCTTTTCATTCAAATTAAACTAATCTCTTCTTTTATTTCGAAAGATAAAAACTGATTTAACAGTTTTAATTTCTCTCATGGCACATTAGTGCGGTTAGTGCAGAAAAGTAAAAAGTTAAGCCGTATTTCATTTCATTTCAATTAACCTATTATATTCTTTCATTTCGAAAGATACAAAAGCATCGTTTTTATTTCGATAGTGCACCATAATCTTGTCAATGTCTAAAGGTCATTATCAAGCCGTGTAGGCCAAAACAAACAATCGATTCGACAACATTTAAAATATGAAATTGTAGCAAGTCTATATTATTTCACACAAAAGAAATTATTATAAAAAGATAAAAACTTACTTGTGGCTAACAAGAACGTCTATACGGCCGTAAAAGTTGGATACAAATTGAAATTATTTCAGAACTTTTTTGCTTATCAACTCTAATTTAATTAAGGACAGTTTAATCCTCGGATTAATATACTATAAAACATAAATCTCCTAAATAACCACCTTAGTTGTCAAACATCAAGAGAAGTCTGCCTCTGCCTGAGAATTATAGAGATTATATCGTAAAGAACAAATCAATACTATGTGATTAACTTCTGGAATGACAGAAACTTCGACATTAATTCCATTCTTCACGTTTTATATCGACCAATCATTTCCCTTGTTATATATCAAGTTAATTTATTAATGTGTAGGCTAATCAGACGTGTTCTTATAGAAGTTGCGCGTTTGAAAATCTTCCACGTCAAGGCGTGGGTTGTCGTTTATATTAACACTATTAGCTTTTAGTTTTGCCTACACAAATTCACCTTTTCGCAAAATTTCCCACTACTTTTAACGCAAGTGATACTTATAAAACTAAATGTTTCCCCATTTGTGTTAATTTCTTGTAAAACTGTTTTATTTATAACGAAATGAAACAAAATAAGGTTTAACGTTCTACTGTTTTGTAACAACCGGGAAAATGAAGACAGCTATATGCAATACGTCATGGGTACCATTTGGGATTGGCAGTGACTTTCGAATTCCAACAGTCGTTTACCTGCAGGCGGATCCACGTTTCCCCGTCCCAACCAAACGACTAGATGTTATTCTTTGCCAACATATCATGACATTGTCCACCCAGACATCGCCGGAATTCTACAGTTTATAAGGTCTTTTTAAAAAAGATAACTTGTCTGTATATGCTGGGGGGGGGGGGCAATCTCAGTTAAGGGGTGGGGTGGGGGAGGCTGAGGTTATTTTTGACTCGAATGTTCAGAATGAATGAATCATTAACTAAAAGCGAATTTTTTCCCACAACGCTGTTATGACGGTTGTTTCTTTTTAATTAATTACACAACAATATAAATTTACAATGTGTTAAGCAAAAAAAACAATTTTATCTTCCCCATTCTCTGATGATGTATGTGTCTGTAAAACGGACAAAATTTGCCCGTAAAATGGACGGTTCACCTATGCTTGCCTGGGTTGTACGATGTGTCCAGTCGTGGGGGAGGAAACCTTTCGAGATATCGATTCGTTGAACGATGGTGTTTTTGCAAAGTAGTGGCATCGGCCACAAAATCTTACAGTGGCTTTTAGTTTTGGGGAGTTTTATCTTTCGAGATTGTTGGGACGGTTTCGTTAAACCCTATCGAAAGTCAAAGTCAGGCAACTATTTTCCTCGGAGTCACTGCCCTTGCCGCCGAAACTTTGTAAACCTCTACTTTTTTTAGATATTTTTTAAAACTTATTGGAATGGTTCGGCGAGTCCTATGGTCAAGCGATTTTAGATATTGTTTTTGTTCAGACATGCACCGATGGCAATTTGTGTATGACTTCGGTGACAATCTCGGTGACAGCGAACTCCCCTGCGATACTTTCAAATAAGGTCTGAGCATGTGTTGTCAGCTATCACTCAAGACGACTTGTCCAACCATGTGCAACACCAGATTTGGTTCACGCATAAAAAGCGAAATTCTATTGCTTTCGGACAGCCGGAAACTAGTCTACATGTAAACCTTTTGTATGGTATCGTATATAATTATTTGACTTATTATTTATGCCGTCTCATTCATTTAATAATTTTAAGTAATCAGATTCCTACTGGTTTATAAAAAATGCAGGAACCGTGTCTTAATATTAATTTTTATACCCTTTTACATGCTAGTGGATTTAATATTTGTCATACACATATTGTTTTATTATTGTTTCAGAATCGTTTCGATCCCTAATTTATTCATTTCTGCTATAATCAACCTGCCAATCTCGAGGTTCTGTCTTTTTTTGGAGGGGGAGGGTGTGGGGTGGGGGTAACATTGTGGATAGTTTCATAGTTTCTGTGTACAGAGGTATACAAAAAAATACAAATATAACCTAGCTAGGTGATATTGATGATTACAATACATCAACATTTAGATTTTCTGTATGTAAATTAATGTTGTTGTAAGATTTCAAATCAGATATTGTAATGTATCATAATGTGTAATTTCTTATTTGTAGCCAACTTGCGTGTTGCAACTTCCATTATTATTATTATAAGCCCCCATCGGTTCAGGTAAATTCCTTTTGCTTTCGGAAAATTCGTCGGATCGGCTAACCGTCTTTTATAAATAACCAGCGGTTGCCAGGCAAGATTGAAATATAAATTACTAATTTTAAAGTGGATACGGAAGCTGCAAGCGAAAAACAAAATAACCAGCGGTTGCAAGGCAAGATATGCCCACATTTTGCAAGAGATGGATAGAGAACAAGCTAAAAACAGGAAGTTATAAAATTATATTTTAAGTTTCATCAATATCGGATAAAAATTGTGACTTCTAGAGAGTCCATAACCGTGGCATTGCATACTTTTACACTATTTGCGTTCCAGGGGTGGCCATTTTGTCCAGCAGTTTTGGTCCGATTTTCACGAAATTCTAACTCGACTATCATTAGGGTGTAACGGTGATATATTCAAACGTTTTTTTTTTTAAATCAGAAAAAAGTGTGACCTCTAGAGGGACCACAATCTAAAAACGTGATTATTCGTACAATTAAGGATCATAATTCAGGAAGTTACAATCCGATATGCGCAAATATCGAAAGGAACCAAGATCTTTGGGTTATAAACATGCATTTCAAGTTTCATCAAAATCAGATGGAAATTGTAACCTCTAGAGTGTCCACAAGCTAAAAACGTGATTTTTCTTAAAATACAATCGGGGGCCATAATCCATGAAGTTATGATCCCATAAATGTCAATATCGAAAGGAACCGAGATTGGAGATATTTGAAGTTTCGTCTAAATCGGATAAGAATTAACCCGTAGAGTGTCCACAATCAAATTGTCGACGGACGACAATATACGCCCACATGAAAATGTGAGCGTATAAAAATTGGATTTTATTTTTTTTAAATCTTATAATAATATATATAGATCTATTTGATATCAAAACAACTTTTGCGGTCATTTTGATAACCGCAACTGCTGATCTGATGAGAATGTTTAGTAGCCTGAATTCTAGTTCAGCTCTGAACGTAGGTCTCATTCCACTCGACCTCTACGTTCAGGGACTGTCCTATTGAATCCTTGTCGAAAATCTAATGGCTTCCCAGTCAATTTTACTGGGCGGACATCATTGAAAGGGTAACGCACAAATTTAAGAAATCGGCCATATAAGATGAAACGAAATTTAGGAAGCCTGGTGCGAAAAAATTGGGATTTTTGAAAGAATTTGATTGTAAATTATTGTAATTTAGCTAGGCAAAGCAATAAATCACTGAAGATTCTCAACTTTTCAAAGATTTCATTTTTTTTCTCCCAGGCTGACCTAAATTTCGTTTCATCTTATATGGCCGAGTTCTTAAATTTGTGCGTTACCCTTTCAATGATGTCCGCCAAGTCGGTTAGAAGACGGAGACGTATTATTTAACAGCGTGTTGTGTCGCTCATACTGACTCTAGCCAGGTAAGCAAGGTCTTATTTTATCCCTAAGATGTTCATTTATATTGTTCAGGCGTTCACAGGGACTGACACGCGACCGGTTAGCAGTAAAAAGTTGCCCAGTAAAATTGACTGGGAAGCGATTAGATTTTCGACAAGGATTCAATAGGACAGTCCCTGAACGTAGAGGTCGAGTGGAATGAGACCTACGTTCAGAGCTGAACTACCTGAATTCCTGATCGAGATGGATCGAGGCACACTGATCCGCAGTGAATATTCGCATTAGGTCTGTAAAACAGATTGGGATCGAGGCGACAAGAACTCTTCTAAATCTAAATTAAAGATACAAACAGTCCAGATAAGCCAATTTAATATTGTCGTAAATATATTTTAAATTAAGTACAATCTTAACGTTTATTTGAGCATACTATAGCAAATAGAAATAAATGGAAGATTTTTTATTGAGAAAATAAATTTTGAAAGATCTCCGAAAACAAATAAGAAACCAAAATAAATTTACGACATGCTGTTGTTGGGTTTAATCGTGTAGCAATTCGTGGCAATTTACGATTTGTTGTGTAAAGTTAATTTGAGATTAATGTGAAGAAAATACAATGGTTCATCAGTTATTTGCTACGATATCATACGCTGATATTTGTTTATTTTGAATAAGTTATGATGTCGCTGCATACCATTTAAAAATTAGCTGACAAGCTCTTTATATTCGACAGTGGAAGGCGGATACTAAAAATTATCCGTGACATAAATATAGTCAGCCAACCAGAAAAAGTGTTAACGTTTTGATCTGGTGCACCAATAATTTTGATCTTCACAGGAATTCATTGCAATAATATTATATATAGTAAGTTTAGAATGATTGTTTTCTCCACAAGATTTGGACTACAAAATGAGTACCATATCTGTACGGTATGTCATGAAAGTGGGTAAGACGCTGGCTAGCTCAAGCTAGCCTGGAGGTCGGGTGTTCGATCGCTGCATTGGCCAAGAAAGTTCCTGGAGGTTGGGTGTTCGATCACTGCATTGGCCAAGAAAGTTCATCCAAATTTACCAGCGTGGATCTCTCTTGTCACTGATGCAGGAAAAAGGGCCTGACAAGGACAGCTGTCTAGTCGTTCGGATGGGACAAAAAACCGAGGTCCTGTATACACATTGGCGTGCACGTAAAAAATGCCTTGACAGTTGGAATTTGATATAAGAGTAGGCCGTTGTGAACAAGTTTATTTAATATTCACCACTTGTTTTCATACTGGTGGGGATCACGGTGGGTAAGACGCTGGCTAGCTAGCCTGTAGATCGGGTGTTTGATCCCTGCATTGGCCGAAAAAGTTCATCCAGATTTTCCGGCGTGGTTCTCCCTTGTCACTGATGCAGGGCAGAGGGCCTGACAAGGACAGCTGTCTAGTCGTTCGGATGGGACAAAAAAACGAGGTCCCGTATACACATTGGCGTGCACGTAAAAGATCCCTTGACAGCTGGAATTTGATATTAGAGTAGGCTGTAGTGCCGCTGTCCGGGCAAAATTTCCCTCATAGCACAATGTATGACATATGGCTGTTTTCATTAGCCCTGTTCGGAGCAGATGGATCAATTCCTTGCACAAGAACTTCCTTTGAATTTGCATAGGCTACACATCTAATTGAATCCCCCTTTTCACATGGTACCCATAATTTTATAGTTGACAAGAATTGATTTACTCCATTGGATTGTTTCAATTTATTTTATTGGAACTCTTTTTTTTTTTTTGTCATCAACCCCATTTCCTACAGCCTATTTTGTAACTACATGTATAAACAATAAGGAAGATTGAAAGATTCTGCTATAGACCTATAGCCGATTATTACTCTTATCATTATATCTTTACATCTTTCAATGTATAACCTATATGTATAATTTTTCAGATATGCCAGATCGTCAAGCCGTTCTTCAACTGAGTCTTTTACTTCTAGCCTTACCTCTTCAGTATTTTGTATCTCGTTACATGGCCACATCTGAGACACAAAGAGATTTCGCTTTTCGTAGGTACGAAACTCAAGTATAGTCTTATTCCAAAACTCTAAAATTCCAAAATTCTGTTCAAACTCCCAAGAGAATTAAACTCCAATGAAAAATTATGTTTTACAATGAGCTGGTTTGGGGAAATTCTCCCCTCATTGTGCTATAATTTGCACATGTAATGTGGGTCAATTCTGACCTTGATACAATAATCAGTATTGTCAAAATGACTTTCGGTACCATAATGTGCATCTTGGTATAATCATAAACAGGCACTGTTCTTTGCCAGGCCATGCATGCATCCCTCCCCACTGACCAGTCGAAATCACAATGAAAAAAATCATGGGAATAAACCAGACTGAACCTGGGACCTCCTGATTAACAAGCCAATGCCTTACCGACTTTTCCATAATAAGTAGAGTGGGATGGCCAAATGGTTTAATTATATGCTTTTAATCGTAAGGTCAGTAATTGAGTCAAGTGGCATGGTTTTGATTCCCTGCAAGTATGGTCTGTAATTGAGTCAAGTGGCGTGATTTTGATTCCCTGCAAGTAGTGTCCCCCTGTCCAACTTCATAGGTTTTGTCCAGGTCCTCCCACTACTAAAGATGCCTATGCACAAGCGAATTATTGACATAAAATTTAACCATGTGTTAGTCCCGAAATGACCTAGTTTGTGTCGAGTGGACATTAAAATAAAACCCATTTATCTGTCTCTATCTATATACATAATAATAATACAACGTTAAGAACATACAAGCTGATAATTGATAAATTGTAATGAATCTAATACTACATACAAATGTACATGTACGTATAATACAGATTATGGGGTTAATAATATTCTTTTTTCCTTCTGTTTCAGTTTATTAAGTAATGTTGTTGGTTTTAAAAATAGATATCTATCCTGGCAGTCCTGGCAAAAATGGTGTTTAAAAGTTTTAGATAAAATTCATGCAAAATCTGATCAGCGTCCTGATTATACAGGTAAAAGTGACCCAAATGGAGAATCTCCGGCATATGAAGTTATGAAATATAAAGATCCAAAGGGATATTTTTCAAGTAAGTGTTGATAATTGATATTGAATTGTATGTCCCTCCTCCTGTCTTGAAAGGATGGCATTTTTGATATATCTAGTATTTTTTGCCACCCATAGTGTAATAAGTTGTTTTGGCAATTTAATTCCTTCATTGGGCTGTTAATGAGAGAGAGGGGGAAACCCTTTCAAATAAGTTTTCGCCTGTCCAACCTCGCGGGTTTTCTCCGGGTCCTCTGGTTTCCTCCCACTGCTAAAGACCCCTACACGCAAGCAAATTATTGAAATAAAATTAAATCATATGTTAGTCCCGAAATGACCTAGTTTGTGTCGAGTGGAAGTTAAACCCCATCTCTCTCTCTCTCTCTCTCTCTCTCTCTCTCCCGAATAGGTTTGCGGCACTACTACTTGTCATGTACAAGCATGTGATTAGTTCTAATCGAAACTGATTCACTTGATCTAAAGTATATGCATTGACCACTCAACCGCCCAAACCCTCCTGCTAAAAATATTGTATGGTACAATACAAGTAAGCTTAATCAATTCATTAAGAATTCTTCTTATTATTTTTTTACAGGTTCTCCTATTCCAAGAAGTCCAAGATCATTGAATGTAAAATTTCGAGTGGGTCAAGTTATACGACATAAAATCTGGGGTTATCGAGGAGTAATTATAGGTTGGGATATAGAAGCTAAGGTAGATCAACAATTTATATTTTTTTTAATAGGACAAGGCTGGAAATTAGAATTAATATGCACAGATCTGTGACATACCAATCGGATTATAATCAGATGTTTTTCAAAATGTTTTTCGTTTCATAGGCTGGAATATCCTTAAACATACATTATGCAAGAGCTAAATCTGCCTATTGCAGGTCTTTCTTTAGGCCTGAAATGTTATCTAAATCATTAATTATACATTAATTAACTTATCCAGGCCATAATCAACTCTCGATGTCATCGCTAGCTTGCGATGTTTATTGGATTAGGTTCCGATTTGCTGTTCAACTTCCATTCATGATTTAATCATGAAATGGATAATCGAGACTATCTTTTTTATGGTACTGACTTTAGTAATGATGATTGAGGCTAGGCCGAAAATTCAATCACTAAAATCTCGGTTCAGAGTGGATCAATTTGACTGAAATTTTCATCAAATTCCCTTTACATTATCTATTGTTTAGCTACTATAGTGAAAACTGCCACCTCTTTATCTAATCTCTTATAATGTATCTTTAAATTTTATCATTGTGTCCTGTTCGTACTTGTTATACGCCCACATTTTCATTTGGACGTATATTGTCGTCGCTCTTGTCCGTCCCTACGTCCATCCACAATTTGTTTGTCGACACACTACATGTCACAATTTTATCCGATTTTGACAAAACTTGAAATATACGTAAATTCTGATGAACTTCTCGGCCAACACCGGGATCGAACACAGGACCTTTCAGGTTATCGGGCCTTTGTCACACTCACTGAGCCACTGCGGTTCCCTAAATGATAATAACAAAACAAATAAAGAAATAGTTTTAATTAGACCGAAGACATATTGTCATTCATTAATCATTTCATTTACTTAATTAAATAGTTATTTGCTTTCATAATTAATATAATTTAATTACTGTAATGAATTAATTAATACCCCCTCTGCTAATTATCTTTGATGTACTGATTAGAAGAAGATAGGGATTATAAACGTGGAATGTTTATTAGAATATTGTTAATGATATTAGTTCTAAATTAGCTTCTAAGTTGATTATCTTTCGGGCTTGATTAATAAATAAACATTGTTATTACCCCAACCCGAACTGAGATCCTTAATGGAAAAACTCACTCCTCTAATTAAAATCTTTATTAAAGACAATTCAACTATTGACGATTTTTAAATGAAATGAAATGGGGTTTAACGTCCTACTGTTCTGCTCTGACTTGGCTAATAAATCGGGCATACGCCATACAGTGTGCTATGAAGGAAATTTTGCCCTGACAGTGGTGCTACAGACTAATCTTATGTCGAATTCCAACTGCCAAGTGATCTTTTATGTGCACACCAATGTGTGCACGGGGCCTCGGTTTTTCATTCCATTGGAACGACTTTACATTGTCCCTTGCCAGGCGCTCTGTCCTGCACCACTGACAAGAGGGAACCACGATGGAAAATCACGACAAACTTTCTCGAACACGGGAGCTCCAGGTTAGTGAGTCGTCTTACTCACTTAGCCACCGCGGTTCCAGCAGTTAGGGCTAGTCAGACAATTTTATGTATAGTGTGACTTTTTATACGCCCACATTTTCATGTGGACGTATATTGTCGTCGCCCCTGTCCGTCTGGACGTCCGTCCGTCCACAATTTGTTTGTGGACACTCTACAGGTCACAATTCTTATCCGATTTTGACGAAACTTGAAATATAGGTGTATCTTCAAAAGATCTCGGCTGCTTTCGATATTGGCATGTATCGGATTGAAACTTCATGGATTATGACCCCTGTTTGTACGAAAAATCACGTTTTTAGCTTGTGGACACTATAGAGGTCACAATTTTTTTCCGATTTTGTTGAAACTTGAAATGTAAGTTGATAACCCAAAGATCTCGATTCCTTTCGATATTCCTGAATTATGGCCCCTGATTGTACGAAAAATCGCATTTTTAGCTTGTGGACCCTATAGAGGTCACAATTTTTATCCGATTTAAAAAAACGTAATATTATATCACTGTTACACCCCAAGGATGGCTGAGTTTGAATTTCGTGAAAATCGGCCCAGAATTGACTGACAAAATGGCCGCCGTCCGTTCTCAAATAGCGTAAAAATATGGTATATCAAGGTTGTGGGCCCAATATAGGGCTCAATTTTTATCCAATTTTGTTGAAACTTGAAATGTAAGTTTATAACCCAAAGATCTCGGTTCCTTTCGATATTCGCGCATATCGGACCATAACTTCCTGAATTATGGCCCCTGATTGTATGAAAAATCGCGTTTTTTAGCTTGTGGACCCTATAAAGGTCATAATTTTTATCCGATTTAAAAAAATGTATTATTATATCACCGTTACACCCTAAGGACGGCTTGTGGACCCTATAGAGGTCATAATTTTTATCCGATTTAAAAAAACGTATTATTATATCACCGTTACACCCTAAGGACGGCTGAGTTCGAAAATCGACCCAAAACTGACAGACAAAATGGCCGCCGTTCGTTCTCAAATAGTGTAAAAATATGGTATATCAAGGTTGTGGACCCTATAGAGGTCACAATTTTAATCCGATTTTGTTGAAACTTGAAATGTATGTTTAAAACCCAAAGATCTTGGTTCCTTTCGATTTTCTCGCATATCGGACTGTAACTTCCTGAATTATGGCCTCTGATTGTATGAAAAATCGCGTTTTTAGCTTGTGGACCCTATAGAGGTGATAATTGTTATCCGATTTAAAAAAACGTAATATTATATCACCGTTACACCCTAAGAATGGCTGAGTTCGAATTTCGTGAAAATCGGCCCAAAATTGACAGACAAAATGGCCGCCGTTCGTTCTCAAATAGCGTAATAATATGGTACATGTATATCAAGGTTGTGGACCCGAAAGAGGTCACAATTTTTATCCGATTTTGTTGAAACTTGAAATGTAAGTTTATAACCTAAAGATCTCGGTTCCTTTCGATATTCGCGCATATCGAACCGTAACTTCCTGAATTATGGTCCCTGATTGTACAAAAAATCGCTTTCTTTTTAGCTTGTTCTCTATCCATCTCTCGAAAATGTGGGCGTATCCTGCCTGGCAGCTGCTGGTTCATTCATTCTATTAACTGTTTGGAACAATGTCTAGACATTGGGATGGAATGAAAAGCTGAGGTCCTGTGTACACATTGGATGTTGGTGGGCATGTAAAACCACCATTGACAGTTGGAATTTGAAATAAGAGTAGACTATAGTGCTGCTATCCAAGCAGTTTCCCTCATAGCACACTGCATGGCACATGCCATATCATGCCAGTCTTCATTAGCCCATTTGGGGCAGAAAAGTAGGACATTTTAAGCCCCATTTCATTTCAATTGGTGTTTTTAAGACATAAATAATAAGTCTCTTTTTAACCCTCCAAAAAGATCACAAATTATATTTTTGGGTTTTAAAGTAATTAATGATGATTTTATCATATTCAAAATAACCTTCGAGTCTCCTAGGGAACCACAGTGACTCAGTGAGTAAAACACAGGCTCTCTAACCTGGTGTTGGTGGAGTAAGTTTATCAGGATTTTACAGTGTGGCCTCCCCCTTGTCAGTGGTGCAAGGTGGAGGACCTGGAAATTGACGGTTTCTAGTCTTTGGTATGGGATGAAAAAGTGTGTACACATTGGAGTGGATGTAAAACAATCCATAAGTAGGCAATAGGGCTGCTGTTGGGGCAAAATTTCCCTCATAGCACACTGTATGGTGTATGCCCATCATCATTAGCCCTTTCGGTGCAAAGAAGTAGGCCATTAAACCCCATTTCTTTTCATAGACTCTCCTAATTGCTCTAAATCTAAGCATTGACCTACCTGTGTTTTATTATTATAGGCTCCTGACAACTGGCTCAAACAAATGCATCCAAAAGGCAAAGAGGTAATTATTCTTATTGTACGCAGAGGCTGCTTTTACTGTTTGGTTTATGGCACTTGGACTAATTCCATACATTGAAAGTAGATGCCATGAAAATTAATTGATGGATTGATAAAGTATTTATCAGAAGTTACAATGCACATAAATTTAGATTGGTAATACATCAGAACAATGAGCTTTAGGTTTAATGCTGTTTGTAAATTGATTAACCAACAATATTAAATTGACATCTTACCACACCTGACCTGTCTAATTGATTGATTGACGTCAGTAGATTAATAAATGTTTAGTGTATAATTGTTGCTAGGTATCACCTGTAAGGTTTTCTGCAAATGAGGGATAATTCTGGTACGGAAAGTTGCGGAACTCTGAATACCGATAGGTTTCATCATGACCCCCATGCTTCCCACCAAAGACATATATTAATTTTGAGTATTTTTTGTGTATTTTTGTTAAGCATTGGAGGACAATGCCGAACTATTCAATATTAGTTGATACGAGAGATCGTGTTGAACCACAGATAACATATGTTCCACAAGAAAATATAGAAGTTATTATGAATACAAAGGTTAGTATGACGCCACATGGATTACAACATATATACAAGGCTGCTCTGATACAAATCTATCAATCTTTATGTTTCATATCATAAAGTCTGTCATTGAGTCGACTGGCGTGGTTTCGAATCCCCGGTTGTACATGACAAGGAGTAGGTTCACCTGTCCGGCCTCGTGGGTTTTCTCCGGGTCCTCCGGTTTCCTCCCACTGCTAAAGACCCCTACGCGCAAGCGAATTATGTAAATAAAATTAAACCATATGTTAGTCCCGAAATGACCAAGTTTGTGTCGAGTGGACGTTAAACCCCATTTCTCTCTCTCTCTCCGAACCACATAACCGTAGAAAACTTAAACTAACATAATTTTAATTATAAGTGTTACATAAGCAGAATTAAACTGGAACTAATACAACTTATAAAATTTTTGTCCCCCACCTTACAAAGAAAGCAAGGAACTATTAAAATGGTTCTGTCCGTCTGTCTGTCTGGGACCTTCTAATTTAGCTCAGGGTAAGCAGAGCGATAAGCTATTTGGTAAGTCAAGATTTTGGAACACAATAAATCTCCTTATAATTGAGGTACAATGTTCAAACTTGATGTAGGCTTTCATTAGACGAATGCTTTGATGGAGTTTCAAGAAGAGGATTTTCTGCTTAGGGTAAGCAGAGATAAGTAATTTGATTGGTTGATGCTTTGGGACAGATAACTTTAGTTCTAATTAAGTGAAAGTGATGAAACTTGGTGTATAGTTTTATTACATCAGTAAGTGAATGGCTTGACTGAGTTCAGTGATAAACATGTCTCTCTAAAGCTAATTAGAGCTAAGTAATTTCATTGGTCGATGCTTTGGGATAAGATAAGTTTGATTCTAATTGATGGAGAGTGATGTAGCTTAGTGTATAGTTTCACTACCAGGTATTTTGATCGTGAACATTTTATGCTAAGACCAAGTATAGATAATCAGTTTGATTGCTCAATACTTTTGAAAAGGATTAATGTGCAATTAGTGTCATCTATTAGTTTATTGATTTCGTCGGACTGTTGGCTTGTTTATTACAATGGTTGACATTTTGTATAGTATTGGGATGTCTGCTTCTGTTCAGTTTGCCCTAAAATAAGTTTTGGCACTAATCGCCGTTAACATGCCAATCCCTGTTTGTTCATTCAATTCTCCTTGATTGATTGATTTCATATTTTTAGCATATTGTGTGTGGAATTGATATGCAAAGATGGAAATGTCTGGCTTTGTTAGACACAACTCTGATACAGACTGGCACAGATTCTTCTTGTTTTAGTATTTTATTGATTGTATTAATACATGTCGAGCACAAAGTTGAAAATGACAGGTACTACATGTAGTTCAGTAGTGCCTGACATTTTGTCTGGTCCAACTAAAATGGTTGTTTGTAGACAGGTTGATATAATATTTCTCTTTGAGGATTTCATTAGTTTTTTTTCTATTTTATTATTCAGGTAATTCATCCATTTACAGATGATTATTTTGAAGGTTTCGATGGTGCTGTGTATTTATGTCGACCATGGTTGAAGGCTGTTTATCCACATGACAACTAAGTCTATGATTCTGTCATATCATCAATTAAACAGCTGATCATTAACATTCTCAAGTTAACAGGGTTGAACACCAATCAAGTCAAAAACCTCTGTCTAATTACATGTAACTGGTTGAAAACAAAACCTCTGTTTAATTAACATGTCCAAACCCCTTTCAAGTCAAAACGTAAAAGAAAATCTATTTAATTAACCTGTCTAAAATCCGAACGAGTCAAAAACATCTGTGTGATTAAAAAGTCTAAACCCTTTAAACGCTTTTTCTGGATCAACCAAATTATGAAATAGATTATCCGCTTGCTTTTTTCAGGATCCGCCAAGAATTATTTTCATAGAATTACATCATTGCCTTGGATTTGGTATATTTTGTACATCAATTATTTAATTTCTTGAATCTATTATTTGAATGGCATTTAGTAATTGGACATCAAATTAGACACTATTTGTGTTTACATGCTTCATAACAATTACTATAGTTTATTACACTATGATGTTATTTGTATTTATATGCTTGATAATGACTTGTGAAATCTTGTTGAAACCTTGCAGTGTAATAAAGTGTAGTAATTGTTATCCGTAAATAGTGTCTTATTTTATATGTTAAATTATGCAATAATAAGTTGCAATAAATGCCAACATTGAATAGAAATTTTGAAACATGATTTTAACAGTAGTGATTTAAGACTCTGATTATCATCCTGGCAATCTACAATATTGTAACAGTTGAATATTTAATTAATATGAATATTAGTTCAATAACATTTCAACATAATATGGTTTAATATAGTCAACACAAGCCATTGCCATCATTGATTTTTGCTGCAATCTTTTGATAGGCCTCTTTGTAAGCCAATTAACCTAAATCAGGGGATTATATATCTCTGATATTTTGGATTTAGTTTGTTTAATTATCAATGAGTACATTAAAAATTTTAGCATGAATAAGCCATGATCAGCGTCTTTTTATGTAATTTTTAAATGTGACCAGTCATCATAACTGAATAAATGGTTCTGTTTATTGTACAAAATAGTCAAATAGATTAATCTGTCCAATAAGAATAATAAATGTCTCTCTCCTTGCAATGAATGAATATCAGGCTTGATATAAGGGCAATAACTCTAGTATGACATTAAGGTTGATTTATGTGTACATGTTGTGTAAAATCAAACTAAAATCATGTATTAATGGGTTGCTGATCAAATAGAAGGATATAGGTATAACTGGTTGTGCAATTAGAAATATCTTTTTATACTATTTTATAGATGTCTTCAAAAAGCATTTAAATTTCAAACATGGTGACTGAAATTCGTTATGCTGTTTCGAAAATAAAAAGTGCAGAGAATCCCCCCCCCCCTCTGAAATAATTGATAGAATATTAGTGTATATTTTATTTGAGGTGAAATGACTTAGCAATCAATATGGGACAAGTGTAGACTTTCATCAAATTAAATCAAGCGAAATGTATGACTGAAACAGCAGATGTATTAAATGTATAATTATTATTTAGGAGCTCATGTTATTTGGGTAAGGAATACATGCAGTGGTTAAGTCTGTGTTTATCATGAATAATTAATAAGTTTATTTTACATTGATTATTGCACACTGGGAGATTGTTGGACATGTGAAATTTCAATCTTTTATAAAGATTTAAAAAGATTTTGTGTCTTCTTTTTATAAAACCTAAATCAAAAAGGTTTTCTGTGTTTTATTGGATAATATCTCTTACTTTAATTAATTGTTTAAGTTTTGTTGTTTTTGTCCATTAAATTATAATAAATTTTGATCATTCTTTTCAGTTTTTTTTTTTACTTACTTTATTATTATGGCTTCTGTTTTCTGTGATAAATTAGGTATGTGTTCATTTTAAATTGATATAGTGTTGTATATAGATTTCATTAAGACTTGCATAATAGATTAATGCTCACAATAATGCTAGTCTATAGAATAATAATTTAAGGATGAAATTTGATATTTACGAGTTTTTGACAGGATTTGTTTGTTAGGGTACAGATGTATAACCTTTTTGTGACTTTACATTTTTAGAGGTTTATTTACCAGTCACCATGGCAACCAGTTATAAATGGATGGAAAATGGCTGTGATCTACTAGCAGTCTTTCTGTGAAATAATGATTATTGTTGTACCGAACATTTCCATCGGATAAAAGGCAAATCTGTGTTGAACAAGGTGACAGACACCAGCAGATTTGTGCCTGAATTTGTGTCTGACATTGTCTCTGACAGGTGCATTATTTCCACCCAGGTTGGGATGATCTATCGGGTTAGGAAATGAAAGGTTGATAGTGTCAGTTTATCAGTTACAAAGTTTCTGATCATCATTTCAGGGTTGTTTAATCCCTTGCAAACAGCAAATCGTGAAAGTTGGATTTCTTAAAAATATCCGACCAAAATTGGAGATGAAAATCCAAACCTGTTGGTTACTAAATATTTCAAGTAAAAATGTTAACTAAACCCCCCTCACCAGGAGTTTCCTACCTGTTTCATACTGTTAGAGTTTACACTTTAAATATTTTAATTTAAATAACAATAATAATAGCACATATTGTTATTTCAGATATTTTTTCTCAAATTCAGTCAATTTAGATAATTAATTTTAATTTTGAGTAATTTACCCTGTGGATTAGCAAAATTTACTGTTTACTGTTGGTTGGGAAGTCTTGCCATACTCAACTCCATAACCAACCACTAGTGCACTTTATTGATCATGGTCTTGGGTTTAATTTTTTGGGGTTTCATTATTTCTGTAAGTCAGTTTTCAGTTTTTTGTTTGTTTTTATGTCTTGGGGTAAAGGGAGATAATTACTTTTGTATGTAATATAAAATATTTATGTAAAATTATTATATACATTTTGTAAATTAAACATGTAAATAAATAAATCTGTTGTTTTTGTTTATAAATATGTTTTGTTGTTATTTATTATTCAATTAAAGTAGCAATAGTCTTTGGGTGATGCTACATTAGGGTCATCTACAACCTTACTGAATCTACAAACATTTGTATTTCTCAAATACATGGGTTGAAAACTCTACTTCTTAAATTGGTTGGGGAACAAAATAGCTTTGTTTAGGGAGATATAAGCAATGGCCGTATTCATGAATATTGCAAATATCGGAGCCAAACCTGTTAGTTAATATACACATTCAACAATGAGTTTAAAAACTGAATAAATTATTCTAGCTTGTATTAAAGGCTCAATACCACTCTTGTTGTAACTGAATGATATGTCCCAATCTTTATTCTGGTCAACAAATTGTACTATTTTAGAATATTTCAATTAATTGTCCCCCGCCTTTCGAAGAAAGCAGGGGACTATTAAAATGGGTTTGTCCGTCTGTCTGTCCGTCCGTCCGTCCGTCCGTCCGTCTGTCTGTCCGTCACACTTTTTGGGACACAATAACTCTCTTCCTAATTGAGCTAGAATGTTCAAACTTGGTGTATGTGTTTATTAGGTCAATGCCTTGATGGAGTTCGAAGATGAGCATTTTCCGCTTAGGGTAAGCAGAGATAAGCAATTTGATTGGTTGATGCTTTGGGACACGATAACTCTCTTCCTAATTGGGCTAGAATGTTCAAACTTGGTGTATGTGTTGATTAGGTCAATGCCTTGATGGAGTTCGAAGATGAGCATTTTCCGCTGAGGGTAAGCAGAGATAAGCAATTTGATTGGTTGATGCTTTGGGACACGATAACTTTTAATTGAGCTAGAATGTTCAAACTTGGTGTATGTGTTTATTAGGTCAATGCCTTGGTGGAGTTCGAAGATGAGCATTTTCCGCTTAGGGTAAGCAGAGATAAGCAATTTGATTGGTTGATACTTTGGGGCACGATAACTCTCTTCCTAATTGAGCTAGAATGTTCAAACTTGGTGTATGTGTTGATTAGGTCAATGCCTTGATGGAGTTCGAAAATGAGCATTTTCCGCTTAGGGTAAGCAGAGATAAGCAATTTGATTGGTTGATGCTTTGGGACACGATAACTTTAGTTCTAATTAAGTGAGATTGATGAAACTTGGTGTATAGTTTCATTACAGTAATACCTTGACTAAGTTTGATAATTGAGCATTTTCTGCTCAGGGTAAGCAGAGCGATACGCAATTTGATTGGTCGAGACTTTGGAAAACAATAACTCTCCTACTTTGATTGTCCCCCGCCTTTCGAAGAAAGCAGGGAACTATTGAAATGGGTTCGTCCGTCTGTCTGTTTGTCTGTCTGTCCGTTCCGCTTATGGTAAGCAGAGATAAACAATTTGATTGGTTGATCTTCGAATTGAGTAAATGTTCATGCTTATTGTCCCCCGCCTTTCGAAGAAAGCAGGGAACTATTAAAATGGGTTCGTCCGTCTGTCTGTTTGTCTGTCCGTTCCGCTTAGGGTAAGCAGAGATAAACAATTTGATTGGTTGATGCTTTGGGACACTATAACTTTAGTTCTAATTAAGTGAGAGTGATGAAACTTGGTGTATAGTTTCATTACAGTAATACCTTGACTAAGATCGATAATGAGCATTTTCTGCTCAGATTAAGCAGAGCGATAAGCAATTTGATTTGCTGAGACTTTGGAACACAATAACTCTCCTTCGAATTGAGTATGTTTTCCCCTTAATATGCTATAATTATTCCATCAAAAACATTGTATGCTTAGACTATAAGTAAAGATATACTGTTTGATTGTTCAATACTTTGTAAAAGATAATTTGTGATAAATTTATATGTGTCCTCTAATTATTTTCCTATTTCGGCGGGGGACATCAGCCTCACTGTTGGCTTGTTGGTGATACAAATTTCATCTTAACACACCTTATTTAAAAATTTTGAAAAATTCACATAATGGTTTGAAACGTCTAACGTAAACCTTTTCAAATGAAACTTCGATTTAAAAATATTTTCGAACCCTCTGGACAAGTAAAGTAGGATGTAATGGTTAATTTACACAACAGGTAGGACACGTAAACATCTAGTCCTTAGATAGAGATATTATTTATTTTCTGGAGCTTTCAAGCCAGCAAGAGTGTTATTGTCCCTTTAACTTATTGTCAGTTTGTCACTTCAATTGCCCCCCTGTGTCCGTCTTTGGAATAATTAGTTCAAATTGATGAATCCAGTAGTGCTCATTATCGAATTGCTTAGCGGAGACATCGACACCTGGTTCGAACATTCTACCCCCCCCCCTTCTCTAATCTAGATATATGGGCCTGAATACTACAAAGCTACAGCAGTACCATTGGCTGCTACGAATGATTGAATTATATAAGCGTAGGAGTCCAGTCAGCCTTGAAATCGAACGCCCGGAAAAAAATACCCGTCCCGGCGGTGAAGCGCGGATGCCCGAAAATTTTGAAAATTAGATACCCGCAAACGCGTTTTCCTGCTCCTGTCCGTGAATAGCCCACAGCAACTAGAAAGTAGCCAAATATATAGTACCTTTATAGGCTTATTTACGTGGCTTTAGAAACGAAATCCCAGTCTGTGCTGTGCCCACCAGAATTCCATATTTGGAGTCGGTAGGGGTTACGGCTGGCGTAGAAATGAAATGGCCAAAACTATTCCCATTTCGGAGCCGCGCACTGCTAATCCAGCCTTGAATAGCGGTCAAATATTTCTCATGTTTTGTAAACTAATTAATCAGACTGTTGCCGTTTCATGCAAACATTACGCTGATTTTAAATTTTTATCCATTTGTCAATTGAAGCAAAAATTGATGACACAATTCATAATGATCGATGCCCGAAAACTGTCTAGCAATATGCATTGACTCTAGACCAAATCATAGAATTTTTGTTCTCACCAATTATTATTTCATTTTCCGCCCGCCCGAACAACTAATGGATAAAACAAAATATCAATGCCCGAATACTGTGGCTCTAGACTAACATGCCATGGAATTTCTGGTACTTTTATTATTTTGCCGACTTGATTAGGGTTTTTTTTTTATTTACCAAAATTAAGGGGGCGGCTATATATACTGCACCAAATTTATAATAATCCGGATACTCATCAAACGATGTTTCATAAATTATATATGTATATATATATACGTGCAATGAATTGGTGTAATTAGATTCACGTTTAAACAATGTCACGAATGCATGATATCGGCAGGAGTTATTGATCAATAATGCCCTGGGGAAATAGATCACGTGATGTCTGTAATTACCGATGCCATAAGGTGATGAAAGCGAGGCTGTTAATATCAGTAAAATGGAATCCAATATTAAATGGCAAAGATGAATAGCAACACTAAATAATGCTGCTATATTTATTCCTTTCACGTGGGTATTTTTTGAAATATGATTGTATTTCATGATATATTAGTTAACAGCGGAGAGTTCGGCATAGAATAGATTTCGATATCCTGGTCAGGAGGTTTTGTTTGAGAAAAAATAATAATGTAAAATGACGTTTAATTTAAAACTAATATCTGTTGGGGATTTGCCCAAGGGTCTCCGGGAATTTTAAAAAGTAGGAGCACTAGAAGATCAGAGGGGATGTATTATATAAATATTGGTGAGTCCATACATTTGCATGTGTAATTTAGTACGGGTACTTGGTCTAGTTACATGTACTTTAGGGTTGGTCAAGTGTGGACCTTATAAAACGGGCAGTTTTTGACCGATTGGTCTGAAATTTGGTGTGAGATCATAGATAACACCCTTGAACACCCTCGGCAAATTTGAAGTCTCTAGGACCACGGCAAGTACTAGGTGTACGAAAGTGCATTAGCGCCATAAAACGAACCGTAGTCCATTACCGTAACATGTACCAACACACAAGACCATTTGAATCAGTCCACTACTCAGATTACCTGTTTGCACATATATACAGTCAGTGAACATCCAGGCTTCCTCAAGTCAGTTTTGGGAATAGGATTGGAGTTTAATTAGCTCATCAACACAATATTTTACACCATGCAGTGTTCATGTACACTGATGGACTGTGGGTTTTTTTATTGTCCCATCCAAACACCTAGCCACAATTAATCCATGTCTGCCTTGCTGGATTCAAACTCAGGATCTCTAATGTGCTAGCTGCTTGACTACCACAGGCCACAGGCCAGGTCATAACATTTATTAATAATGATTGGCGGACAGATTCTGTAATGGAGTCTTTAGTTTTATTAAACTATTTTATTTTCAGATGTGATGAACTAATTTTAGTGCTGGAATCAAGTTTTCATCATGGCGACAGGCGTTTTAGCAACCCTTCTGCTAATTGGAATCATCCAACAAACAATAGCGAAACCATTCGTTGTGACAATCGGTGCAGCACTTAGTTCAGAACGGCATCAGGATATTTTTCATCAAGCAGTCCAAGGTTTAAACAGACACATTTCTCCATCTGTTGTTTTCAATTCTACTTCTATATTGATGGACGCAAACCCAATCAGATCTGCACTCGATGTTTGTGACAAACTTTTGCCACAGAATATTTACGCTGTGATCGCAAGTCATCCCAATTCAAGTGACCAATCACCGATCTCTGTTTCCTATACATGTGGATTTTATCGCATACCAGTTATCGGTATTACTGCTAGAGACAGCGCATTCTCAGATCAGGTAAAACTAAACAGAGAGAACAATTTATCACATCTAAATCTACACTAAAAACTTCTCCTATTGATTGTTTAACATTTAATTAAAGATGCATTATGTATGATTTAGATAAAGAGCTGACCATTCTTGCTACAATAGCTCAAAAATAGATAATGTAAAATGAAAATATTTTAAATTTCATTCAAATTCATTCTAGTTAAAATTTCGTGTATCTGAAGCCATCGAGAGTTGATTATGGTGTGGATAAGTTAATTAATGTGTCTAATCAATAATTTAGATAACATTTCAGCACAAAAGAAAGTCTGTCAATAGACAGATTTAGCTGTTGAATAATGTATGTTTAATAAGAAAACCTATAAACAGTTATGTAGATAATCTCCAGGATTAGAATCATTTGGAATAGAAGTGGCCCATCAAAAGACTTTACCCATCACTTAAATGTAGTGCTGTATTGTTTATATCACTGCTGCAAAATTTTCAACTCCTCATATCTTTGCAAATACTGAATGGAATTGAACAATTTTTGACTAATATTTCTTTTAGAGATTCACCTTTCACAGAAGGGATTCAAATTCCCTCCATTGACAGAGGCAGATCCAAGGGGGGGGGGGGGCGTGCGCTCCCGAATTTTCGACAGTGCCTTTTTTTACTGCTGAAAGTGCCTTTTCTCAGACCCAAATATGTCCATTCCCAACCCGTTGCAGGGATCCCAAATGACTCAAACCATCGACTCAAACACACCAGTCTGGTCTAATTAATGCTTCCACTTTCAAACGAATTCTTGTTGTTTAGCGGACGTTGACCTAATCCTATAGAGTGACTATAGACAGCCTTCAATGATAGCATCTTGTGGAATCGGCGGCGTATACACTCATGCCCATCACCAACACACATGAGTGCAACTTGATGTAGCATTGTTTCATGTGTGGACAGTACACAGTACAAGTTACAAGGCTTAAATAGTGAAGTGGCTAGGGAATAGATTCTTCTTTTTTCCCATCATAATGCCTCGCTCGCCTTGACAATTTTCGAGTAGCATATTCAACTGGCTTTTTTGCTCGATTTTAAGGCTCTTTTTCAACGATTTCTGAACATTTACTTGGGCAAAAATATCAGCCAAATAGCTCTTGGAATGGCTAGGCTTCAGTGCCCTCATTTTGCGGCGTCCCCCCTTTTCAAAATTTCTAGATCCGCCCCTGATTGATCAGCGGCTTTAATAAATGAATCCACAGCTTTCAGACTTTAATACATGTATATAAAGACATACTTTAAATAAAAGTACATGTTATATATGTGCACCTATGTAATTATTTTAATTTTAGTATGATTTTTGTTTAATTTCAGAATGTGCACTCAACATTTCTGCGAACTGTGCCGTCATATTCCCACCAAGCGGATGTTTGGGTGGCCCTTCTCCAGCATTTTAAATGGACTCAAGTTATTTTAATTGTTGGCACAGATGAGGAGGGAAGAAGTATTCTCAGTCGATTTCAGACACTAGCAGAACCAATTAAAATAAAGGTACTGTTTGTAAATCACAGTTTACGAGGATGGGTTCGTTCGTAGAGCTTAACTTTCACTTCCACTGACGTTGATATCACAGACAAACACAAGGATGCAATTCAAATGCAATTATAAATCAGTTTGACATGGGCAGCTGGAATTTGATGCAGAGTAGGTGGAAATACTGCTGCCCTGGCTGAATTCCCTTCATAGCATATTGGTTGCAGAAATGTTAAACCCTATTCATTTCATAGATTAGACAAGTTGGTGTGCATATACAAGAAGCCTTGATATTTGGAGTTCAATTGTTGTGAGGACAAAATTTCTCTCATAGCACACTGTTAAACACCATTTTATTCATACATTCATGTGATAGTATTCTTTCAAAATTGTTTTCATCTTAAAATAATTTACATTTCTTAACCTATCATACATAGAACTGTAAAATTCCGTTTAAGACAACTGTTTTGGTGGAATGATCAATTGTTCTTTTCATTTTATTTCATGTCGTTCTGACTACAGCGAACCCGACTGACGTACATATACATCTCCAGTCTGGTAATTCTCTCTAGGTCATTATTCTGAAAGATTATGTGAGCACGGGGAGCTCGACCTATTAAAGGCAGGGCTTCACTACATTCATATCTGTCAATCTGGACTGACTGACATTGAAATTTACTGGGACATAAGTTTACTTAATAGTAATAGAAGTAGATTACAAGAATCCGTCATCATTTATATTTCAGATTGAGAAAGTGATTAAATTTGTGCCTGGAGAAAATAATTACACGGTGCCATTACTAAATATAGTTACAGCTCAATCACGTGTTATTCTTATGTCTGCCTCGTAAGTTTCCTACATATTTTCTATAAACAGCTAGACACTTTCTGTTATATTAATGGAGCCATGGCAAACAATCTGGTGCCAGATTATCTTAAAGAACTGCTAACTGTATACTCTCCTTCAAGAACTTTAAGATCAGCTGTACAAACTGTTAGCTGTGGACAGCGTTCTTTTGAAAATCAAACGTCTCTGTTATGGAACCAGGAATGCTGAAACCTCGCATATTTTTTTAAGACTCACTTTTTTTTGTCAGGCTTTTAACTGCATATTGAATAACTTAATTGATTGTTGTGTTCTGTATAGGAGATCTTATGTTTTTTGTGCAGCGCCTTAGAGCATAACATTGGATAACACGATATTTGAAATGAAATGGAGTTTAACGTCCTACTGCTCTACTCCAAACTGGGCTAATGAATACGGGCATACGCCATACAGTGTGCTATGAGGGAAATTTTTCCCGGACAGCGGCACTACGGCCTACTCTTTTATGTGCATGCCAATGTGTACACGGGACCTCGGTTTTTCGTCCCAGTGTTGATGATGATAATAATAATGGCTATTACTATCATAATGGGGAGCCACAATGGCTCAGTGAGCACTGCTCTGTCTTAATATCTATGAATTGCTGAGTTTGATGAGAGTGTTGGCCGAGAAAGATCCTTAATATTTTACAGCCTTGTTCACAGTTGTTCCCCCTTGTTAAGTGGTGTAGAGCAAAGGGCTGAGTAAAGAAATGTGTCTAGTTATTCAAATGGGATAAAATATTTGGTCAACCCAGTGACACACATTGTCTTTGTTGGCCAATTTGGTGCAGAAAAGTAAGATGTTAAACCCCATTTTATTTCATTTTATTTCTCATATCTTATATTCACCTTCAACCTTAAATTCCAATAAATTTTTGTCAGTGTCTGCTGTGGTTGATTTATTTTTAGTTTATGGGTTTAATTCGATCTCTAAATTTTATTTTGCCCTCCCACTCCCTAGCTCGTCATTTCTTCCTCTCATATCCTATATTATTGAGTAATATGTCTTTTCACAGATTGGAAGATGCGGAACAGTTATATTTGGATGCTATTTATTTGCGTCTAACAGGAGAAGATTTTGCTTGGATTGTCACAGAACAAGCTTTTTCTGCACTTAGTGCTCCTATAGGTAAAATTTTATTTACAGTTAGGTACCGGTACTGTAACATTTGATATATGGTTATGGAACTTAAATGCTGAGAAGGGGATCACGTGGCTAAGTGGGTAAGACGCTGGCTCGCTAGCCTGGAGGTCGGGTGTTGATCCCTGCATTGGCCGAGAAAGTTCATCCAGATTTTCCGGCATGATTTCCCCTTGTCAGTGATGCAGGATGGAGGGCCTGATAAGGACAGCTGTCTAGTCGTTCAGATGGGACAAAAAAACGAGGTCCCGTGTTCATATTGGCGTGCACATAAAAGATCCCTTGGCAGTTGGAATTCGATATAAGAGTAGGCCGTAGCGCTGCTGCTGGGGCAAAATTTCTCTCAAGGTTTAATCCATAACTGTGCACTATTACTTTAAGATTATGTGCCATATTGTTGACTTTTGTCAGTTCAGTGGTCTCTCTCAGATACTTTATTAATCCGGGGCCTGTTTCACGAAATTTTAACTAAGATAAAATCCAAATTTTAGTAATTTGATTGGATAATATTAGACTGATTTTAGTCATTAGCCAATCAAAGTTGAAGTATCTACTAAAATTTCGATTTTATCTTTAGTTAAGATTTCGAGAAACAGGGCCCTGATCTTTAGAATGCTTCAATGTTGGCTGTAATGAGTTTTCTGTATTTTACCAGGATTGCTCGGACTTCATCTAATTAATGGATCTAATGAAGATGCCCATATAAGGGATAGTATATCCATATTAGGACATGGTTTTGAGAAGGTTATTAAAGACCACAATATAACACAGCCACCATCACGATGTCAAGACATGGGAACATGGCAGGATGGTGAATTAGTCATGGAGTAAGTATTTTATCAGAGGATGGTGTTTCAAAGTTATTACGAAAAGCTGTTGCCTTGTTAATAAGGGATGCCTTAGTGGTTCAGTGAGTAAGGCCCTGGCTCACTAACCAGGAGTTCCCAAGTTCAATACCGAAGTAAGTTCGTCAATGGCAACACGTTAAAGATCCCTGGAGAGTTAGGAACCACATTAAGATTAGGCCATGGTGTCACTGTCCAGACAGAATTCTCCTCATAGCATAGTGCATGGTGTATGCCCATCTTCAAAGTTAAACATTCAACCACACGATCTTTGACAACATAAAAACACCCTCTCTTCCACATCAGAATTCAATAATAACTTTAGAGTTATTCCTCTTTGTTCAGAAATCTTGTCAGTACTGTAGAGACATCAATTATGATCTGTTATTGGTTTATATTCGTCGTCTATCCTATTAAAAGGAAAGAGCTTTTCACTTTTCAATGCTTTTTCATCATAACTTTAATATAATTATGCCCCTTTGTAAGAAAGTCTACTTCTGTTAGTCAGTCGTTCTTATTGCTTGTTATTAGTAAATGCTCACACACCTACAAAAAATTAAAAATGTGACAGGCCTTTATGGACTGCTCAGGCAACTTAGCTGCTGTAACCAAATGTTTCTGTTTTGCCTGGCAACATATCTTTGTTTATTTTGATATAAAATGTATTTTCATGTGTCGTGAAAGATTTAAACATGTATTTTACTTTATGTTTAAGTTATCTACGTAAAACTAAGTTAGAGGATGGTGAAACTGGTCAAGTTAGTTTTAATGAACAGGGTGATAGGCAATTTCCTGTCTATGAAATACAGAATATAAATGAAGATAATAAAGTTTTTGCTGTTGGCCTTTATGGAAGCGTGAAAGTAAGTTATTTAAAATTGGTTAGGTACAATCCTGAACAAAAGATACATGTTTTGCCCTTGATATCCAGACACATTTTATATGGGATCCAGGTATCTAATGTTCACATCCAATGTTGATTTTACCATTTCAGTATTCTTAGTCATTTATAACACAACACACATGATGTTTCGACAAGATTTGACTGGTCGTTATCAAGCATACAAATTATTTAAATTCTTTTTAATTATTCAATTCAGTTGAAATGATCAATTGTTTGGATCAAGTTCAGATGTCTATTAGTTCCTTGAATTAATATTAGTATATATCTCCTAGGAGAAAAATAATAAACCAAATTCCATTAAATAACAAATAGTAAGAATGAAGTTCAAATAGACTCAAAAGGCTGTTTTAATTTGAATATTTGTGTGAGCTCTACAGGGCCCATGTGTTGTTATGCTAATTTAGAGACATTGAGATCACAGGAATCATTGTTGCAAGTGATTAATGGATCTCAAACAATACAATTTGTCCTAAATTATTTTAACACTCATTCATGATGTGCATAATGAAAGTTCTGTTGTTATTGTTTTAAGTTTATGATGTGGACTCAGTTGTTGTACAAATGTATCCTTACAGAGCTTGACTTTTGATTAAATGACAGAATGTGTCTTGACTTTTGGATAGGACAGATATATGAATCATGTATTCACTCAAAAATGTCTTAATGTTCTACCTTCTTTTTGCGTCTGTAGCCAATAATTGAACCTCTAAGAATGGCTGGAAGTATAACATGGCCAGGTGGTGTTGCAGTACAGCCTAAAGGACAGAAAATATCACGAAATCTGACGGTGAGTTCGCTCTTTACAAATAAATGAAACAAGTAGCCTAGAAGCATATTTTATGAACCAGGAACCTTTGAGGACTAAGTGAACGCAACCAGTTCCAGTTTTAAAAAGTAGGACAAAAGACGGAAGCCTGATTTATCATAAGTTCCACAACTTTTAGACATGTTACAAGTGCCTTCAAGGGAAGACATGAGTATCTAATTTGCTGTTTAGTCAGAGTTTGAATATAGATGTAATTCAGACAGGGGTTACTGTTGTTGGGAGCGAAGGTGACACAGTGAATGTTGTGCAGGTTCACTAGCCTGACAGAGGGCCTGACAAGGACATAATCTAGTCATCATGCTGGGATGAAAAACCAAGATCTACTCGTGTATGCCGTACTTGCAAAGAACCTTTCACAGTTGGAATATTGGTGTACATCCGTCTTCATTAGCCCAGTCGGTGCAAAAAAGTAGGATGTTACTTAAACCTCATTTCATTTTCATTTATTACAGACACAAAAACATAAAATTAACTCATTTCAAAATTATAACGCTTTTCTTGGACAGTGTAACCAAAACATAAGAAATTTGGAAATCTGGACTACCCTTGATTCTCTGAAAAATTTAGAGAAAAATTATATGATTTGGTAACCAACCAAAACTTCTGCTCACTTTTCCTCCCCAAACCACAGAAATGATATACAGTCCTTAAGTAGTTGATAGCTATTCATGTGATTCTGGTGGCTCTTGGCACTAGAGGGTGCTGTAGTTTCTGCCGGTCCAAGTGCTAAAAATTTAAATGCAATTTATAATTTTCAGGTAGTGACGATTGCAGAGAAGCCATTTGTTGATGTCTATAAACTCGAACCGGGAGAAGTTTGTTCCGATGTAAAGGAAAAATCATTTTATTGTTCACATACAAACTTAACGACAGGTAAAATCATCTCATATAGCAGGATCTCTTTAAAGTCATTGTGGGTAGAAGTAGGCAAAACTCCCTTACCCTGCAAAGGGTATGCCTCCTGGTGCAGAAAAGTAAGGCGTTAAATCCCATTTCTTACACCTTTTATGAAAACCTGTTATTTTGTAACAATATGAATATGCAGTGTGGTTGTGTTTGATATTTCTTGGGAAGCCTCATGTTCCTGAAGCAACGACCGCAAGTTTTACAAGATCTTGACGTTTACTTGCTGGACTGGTCTGATATTCTCGAAATTATAGCTACGTTATCTCCCTTTAACACAGACACATGAACGATAGCATCCAATCAGAGATTGTGACACAAACATACTCAAATCAAACATGGCGACCTCCAGGGAAACCTTGACATTGAACGACCCTTAAACTTTGCAACTCAATTATCACAGGTTGACATTTTAGCTGGAAAGTGCGAGGCTTGGTATTCACGATAATCAAGGAATCTGATAGGCTCCCCAGCTTGGTCAGTAGCCAATCAAAATAAGTGCCGCAATATGCAGGGTACTACGTGAAGTGCTTGATAAGATGTATGGAGTTAAAGCAAGATCAAGCCTTCTATTGAAGATGGGAAAACCTATGATGTTCTGTCTTGTTTGTCCAGTGATATCTCACCTTTAAATATACTTCCTTCTGACTTGCTGTAAAGGTGTACAGACAGGAGCATCCTGTCACTCGATAAAATTATCTACTAAGGCCATATACAGAACTTATCCTGGTTCTCAGTTACTCCTATGTCACTTAAAAAAGAGTTGCATGACCCATTTTTATTTCATAAAAACAAAAAAATAAAAATGATCTTATAAATTACAGGTATTACAAAATAAAAACACGAAAATCTCCCTCATCAAATTTTTAGGAAGGATTGTCTTAGAACCAGAATTTTTTGGGTGTGTGGCCTAATTTTGACCATTTTTAGAATGAAAGGAAATGGTGTCATATGGCACATCAGCACCAACCAGGCTATATTGAAAAAAAAACACTAATGCATGCACTTTATATCATAAGATCTATTATGGAGTCCAGTGGCATTGTTGTGCCTGTCCAACCTCATGGGTTTTCTCTTGGTCTGTCGGTTTCCTCCCTCTGCAACAGACCAGGCGAATTATTGAAATAAAATTGTACCTTATGTTAAACTCCAAACTACTGAGTTTGTCTTGAGTGGATGTTAAATCCTATTTTACCCTCGTTTGTCTCTCAATATGTGAAATATTTTTAACATAGATGTTATGTGTAATTTTTCAGGGGAGGTAACCCACCATTGCTGTAGTGGATATTGTATGGATATGTTAAAAGAAATTTCAAGCATTGTTAATTTTACTTTCTCTATACATCTCAGTTCAGATGGGCTATTTGGATCTTTTGAAAGGGTAGGTTTCATACATATAGCCTTTTTATCGTGATAATAACCTCCCTTGAGTTGAGTTTTAATGGAATAATAACACAGTAGGCTAATATGACCTCCTGAAATCAGGAGTGACTTAATTATAAAGAGCTGGGCCCTACGTGAAATGAGGATTTTGGGGGCTCTCACAGACTTGGTGGACGAGAAATCTTTAAAAAATCAGACTTGGTTTGATGCATTCTGACATATATCTCCCGGATCAAAAAACTACCTTTACAACTAACACCCATAAATCAATCCATAGATTAAGAATTCCATTACTGACGTTCAAAGAACTCAGTAATCAAGCGCTGCAATAAATTCAAGATCTAATAACTCCATATAAATCCAGTAGATTACATAATAACTCATTATAAGTTATTCCTACTGTCATACTCCAAAAGATGAAATGACTTTTCAGTTGCAGAGCCTTTTCTCTGGAATTCTTTACACTTTAACATCAAAAAATTTAAACTCTAGGCATTTTCAAATCACAATTAAATATATATCTATTTGACGATTGGGGGTTGGGTGGCCGAATGGGTTAACGTGTGTGTTAGATCGTCTGAGTCAGGTGGCATGGATTTGATTCCCCACTTGTACATGACAATGAGTAGGGTCGCCTGTCCAACCTCGTGGATTTTCTCCGGGTCCTCTGGTTTCATCGCACAGCTAAAGATCCCTACGCATTAGCAAATTATTGAAATAAAATGGACCGATATGTTAGTCCCAAAATGACCTAGTTTGTATCGAGTCTCTGTCTCTCTGTCTCTCTCTCTCTCTATTTAAATAACTTTAAAGCGCACAGGGAACTTTATTTGAAGTGTTGTTTGAGCTATAAAAATTTTTTGTTTATTATTGTTTATTATTATTTTTGTCATAATTGTTTATTACCAGCACAATGGCTCGAAACAACGACATTGGAATGGTATGATAGGTGAATTATTATCACATAAAGCAGATATAATTGTGGCTCCACTAACTATCAACCCAGAACGAGCAAAAGTTATAGACTTTACCAAACCATTTAAATATCAAGGTCTTACAATTCTTGTTAAAAAGGTATGTTGAAGTGTTTTAAGTACCCGTCTCATTTGCTTACTCTTTCATCTCACCTAATTGTATATTTTTTTGTTGTAATCATAAATAGTATTCAGAAAAATACTTGTCAAAGTCTGTTGAAGGTAATTCAAGCTTATTGACCGACAACTTCTAGTATCCCAATTCTGGCATCTGTTAACTTCCAGCTAATACATTCAGACAGGAAAAATTGGTTCTTATTTTAGGAGGAATGAGTAGATAAAGAAGACACCATGATCACATACCAAATAATTTTAACTTCATTATAAAAATTTTGTTGTTGCTCAAAAAACAAAATTCTAATTGGTGTGGCCTTAATTGCAAATCCTGATTTTATTTTTTAGACTACCAAAGATTCAAGCCTAGCCTCCTTCCTTCAGCCATTTCAAGATACGTTATGGATATTGGTTGGTTTGTCCGTCCATGTGGTGGCACTTGTTTTGTATCTATTGGATCGCTTCAGTCCATTCGGTCGATTTAAATTAGCTAAGAGTGAAGATACTGAAGAAGATGCATTGAATTTATCAAGTGCCATGTGGTTTGCTTGGGGTGTTTTATTGAACAGTGGTATTGGAGAAGGTGAGCTTTTAAAAGATGACTCAAATATTAAATGAATTAAAATGGTGGTTTAAGATCTTATTTTTCTGCACCAACCAGGGTAACAAACACAGGCATACATCTTTCTGTGTGCTATGAATGACATTTTGCCTGAACAGCAGTCATGGGATCTTTAAAGGAAGCACATCGCTAATTCAGTATCATCCACAGTCTTTGACATTGCAAACATGGCTTATTGGTCAATTTAAATCAACATTGATATTGTTATCTTACCGTGAAAAGATGGGCTTCTGATATCCAATATTTAACACAAAATGAAATTTTAAAATTGGCACACAGATTGTTTGCCAGAATGCTTTTGAGTGCCATTCGTAATGAACTGACTCGATGAACTAGGCTAACATATCCCACAGGGGAATACTACCTGTGTGGACTGGAATAACCAAAGACTGCCATTCAATTTGGACTCTCCCCATATTTCGCTGAACATAACAGATAGAAATCACAGTAAAACAGAAACAATTGAATGTAAATCAGTTTATATACATTCATATTACATTATTATATATATGCGTTGCGATCCATTTGTGTCCATTTCGAGGTGCCAAAGAATAGCTCCTTTAACATACTGTTAATATGTTCCGTTGAAACGACTTAACGATTTGCCTTGCTGGGCCATTCAGGAAAACCAAGCTGGAAAATCCCAAGGAACTTTATTGGCCAACATTTTGATTAAACCCAGGACCAAAAGTTTAGAGAGCCAATGCTATGCTCACTATGCCACTTTGGCTCTCCTCCATTATTAAGGCACTTGCTTGAATTATATAGAACCAGAATGGGTTTTTATTATTAATATATAATTTGGTAGGGAATCCCACACAGTCAAATATAAGCTCTAATAAATGTTGACGCTACCTCGACAGATGTTAACAGTCAAACGAATATCTCTTAAGTGATTACGTAATAGCTCTGATTCATGTGAAAGGTCAGTAGTAGCATGTATTGACTAGTATAAGAGGGCATGGCACCAGTGAATTAAAGCAATCTATTTTACCAGCCATATATCTTATAAAATACTGAATGAAGATACATTTTTTGATGATAAATGAGAAGGAATCAGGTTTATTGTTGTGCCATGAGTATCGATGGATTTCAAGATTCTTTGCAGCGTGGGGTAGCGTGGTATCATTTATGAAAGAGTTTTCATTATTTAGAAATAAATTGAAATACAAGATTTTTATTTAATCATTAGCGGTAAAAGTAGGTTTACGATGTTTTATTGATGATGTATTGTAGGTACACCTCGTAGTTTTAGTGCTCGTGTATTAGGTATGGTATGGGCTGGATTTGCTATGATCATCGTTGCTTCATACACTGCTAACCTGGCTGCTTTTCTTGTGTTAGACAGACCTGAAGCCTCCATTTCCGGCATTGATGACCCTAGGGTAAGTTCAAGGTCATGTATTTTGTATGATAAAAGTAGTCAATGAACTGTACTCCGACTAGAAGCACTTCCTTATCCAGTGACAAAAACAACAATGTTCAAGCAGTCCCCAAATAGCTGCTGTGGACTAATAAGCATCTTTATTATTGGGCAACTACGGTGATTGTGTGGTTAGGACACTGGTGAGAAGAATCTTTAGCATTTTTCAAGCCCAGGTTCCAACTTTCCGAGTGTGGCACCTTCTGGGCTGACAAGGAAAGTAAGTGTGTCTAGTCATTCAGATGAGTACAAAGTGATATGCACCTAATTCAAAGAAGAGAAGATGGAAAAAGTCCTGTCTTGGAAAAATTATCACTTTGATATTACATATGTAACCATAGAAATAGAAATAAAGATTAGAATATGTTAGTCTCAAAATGAAAACATTACACATTATTTCTGTAGTTTTTTATGCGCCCACATTTTCATGTGAATGTATATTGTCATCGTCCCTGTCCGTTCACAATTTGTTTATGGACACTCTACAGGGCACAGTTTTTATACTTGAAATATAAGTTCCTTTCGAAATTGGCATGTATCGGACCATCACTTCAGGAATTATAGCCCCTAATTATACGGAAAATCACGTTTTTAGCTTGTGGACACTCTATAGAGGTCACAATTTTCATCTTGAAATATATGTTTATAACCCAACAATCTCTTTTCCTTTCCATAGTCGTGCATATCAGACGGTAGTTTGCTGGAGTATGACCCCTGCTTGTACGAAAAATCACGCTTCTAGCTTGTGTTCCCGCTAGAGGTCAAAATTTCTAGCCGATTTATAAAAACATCCGAATATGTCATCGTTACATCATAATGATGGTTGAGTTTGAATGGCCGCTCCTTGTACGCAAATAGTGTAAAAGTATGGCATATCAAAGTTGTGGACCCTCTAGGGGTCACAATTTTGATCTGGTTTTTTTTTAACTTTAATTTTTTGTTTATATCACAAAGATCTTGGTTTCTTTCGATAATCGTGCATATCAGAATGTAACTTCCTGGATTTGATGGCCCCTGATTGTTTGAAAAATCACGTTTTTAGCTTGTGGACCCTTTAGAAGTCACAATTTGTATTCAATTTAAAAAAAACGTATAGATATACCAATGTTACACCGCAATGAAGGTTGAGTTCAAATTTCGTACAAATTCAACCGAAACTGCCAGACAAAATTGCTGCTCCTTAAGTATGGAAATAGTCTAAAAGTATGTAATACCAAGGTTGTGGACCCTCATCAAAATTCAATTTTTATTCAATTTTGATGAAACTTGACATCTATGTTTATAACCCAAAGATCTTGTTCCTTTCGATATTTGCGCATATCGGACCGTAACTTCCTGGATTATGTCCCCTGATTGTATGAAAAATTACTCTTTTTTTATCCGATGGTTGACAAAATGGCTGCTACTTGTACGCAAATAGTGTAAAAGTACATGTATGTAATACCAAGGTTGTGGACCCTCTAGAAATCAATTTTTATCAAATCTTGATGAAACTTAAAATATATGTTTCTATTCAAAAGATCTCGGTTCCTGTCGATATTCATGCATATCAGACCCTAACTTCCTGGATTATGGCCCCTGATTGTACAAAAAATCACATTTTCCTTAGCTTGTTCTCTGTCCATCTCTTGCAAAATGTGGGTGTATATTGCATGGCAACAGCTGGTCATTACTATGGTGAGGTGCCACTATAAATTTTCAAGTCTTTGTTTAAAATGGTTAGACCTCTTTGATATAGAGCTAAAATAAAATTGTTGATTCCATTGTATTTAATATCTTGATTCATTTGTTTGGAAGATAATTGGTCTTCTTGAAAATTCCTGTCTTCAGAAGCCAGGTCGGAGCAGAACAGTGGGACATTTAATCCCATTTTCATGGCTGCTTGATTTAATCGTATTTAGCTTGCACCCCTCACTAATAAAAGTAACACTTTAGATCAGCCAAATATTTTATTTACATAAAAGTCGAAGCCTTTGCAACTTTCTTTTAATATTATTTGTATCACCTTTTGTCTTTACAGTTGAGAAACCCTAATGAGAGGTACCGCTATGCTACAGTTAAAGGTAGTGCTGTAGAGATGTATTTTAAACGCCAGGTGGAGCTGTCAACCATGTATCGAACCATGGAGAATAAAAACTATCCAACAGCAGAAGAAGCCATTGAAGAAATACGTAAAGAGTAAGTTGCATAGCTGACGTGTGTCTGTCTGGGTAACCGTGGCGACTTTTTTCTTTAACCGTGTGAAAGGATGAATATGTGACAAATTATTTAACGTCGTAACATTTTAAAATCATACTAAAATCTTATTTGCGGATAAAAAGGAAATGGGAGTTGGGGCAATGTTTATCATCTAGTCAACACAATAATTTAGTCATATTGAGACTAAGATATAGTAATTATCATTTGAGTGGTTACGTGTGCCATGTGAGCACAATTTTATCCAACATTGGAATTTATGTGTCTACTCATCTTTGAATTCCAAGTAAGGGGCTTGTTTTTGTTTTTAGAGATTTGCAAGCGTTTATTTGGGATTCCCCCAGGCTGGAATTTGAGGCTGCAAGAGACTGTAATTTGGTTACTGCTGGAGAGTTGTTTGGAAGATCTGGTCTTGGTATCGGACTACAGAAGAACAGTCCATGGACTCAAGAAGTTTCACTGGCTGTCCTAAAACTGCATGAAAGTAAGCTTAACAAATAATAATGATATATGGCATTTAGACATGTATTCCTTCGACAGGTTGCATTAAGAATACAACTGCATTACATGATAAAAAAACAAATAACTGTTACCATAGTAATTGAATGATTCTGATTTGAAAAGAGCCAAGAACAGGATTTATCGTTTTACTTTTCTGCCCCACAAAAGCCTACTAAGGCGGGCATATGCCATGCAGTGTGCTATGAGTGAAATGCTTTTACTTGCCAGGTCCTACACAAATGCCAAGGAAAAACCAAACTGAAAAATCATGAGGAACCGTCTCACCGAGCACAGGGCTTCTAATCTGGGACCTTCTGGTTAGTTAATCTGTGGCATACACACTGAGCCACTGTGGTCATGATTTGATTATCAGATTAAACCTTGTAAAAATGGCAGTTACTGCTACTTTTATAAGGTTTCTAAACACACACAGTTTAGCTTGTATTGTGATTGGTCACGGGCATGTGTTTTAACGGAATCTATTAAGTGATCAAGAACATAGTACAAGTTACAAGATTTGGGCATGAATTAGACTGAAGTCATTTACAGAAGTACAGAAGACAAAAATATATTGAAAAATATATTGAAAAATAATATTTTATAAAGTTATGGTGTTACTTTAAAGCCAATGTTTCACATATTTAGTATGGAAATTATTATTTTGAACAAGTCTTGATTTTTTTGTTTTTAATTTAATTTTAGAGGGATTTATGGAGAAGTTAGATAATGAATGGATTTTAGCTGAGAGTACATCTGCTTGTCCAGAGAGTAACTCAGCTCCTGCTACACTTGGTTTAACCAACATGGCAGGTTAGTTGAATGCCAAAGTTTTTTTTTACAAGCCCACATTAGAATAGGAGTATATTGTAAGAATCCCTGTCTGTCTGTCTGTGGGTCTATCCCAAGGAGGAACCCTATTGAAATTTATGAAAAAATGTTTCACAGGGTTACTACCCCTGTCAATGAAACATTAATTTTCCAACCTACTTAGATTGTTCAGCTAAACGTAGTCATGCATCAATGTTCCTACCCCTGTCCCCACACCAAAACCATGTGAACACTACAGGTTAGATTGGAGAATTTCTTTTCAAACAGAAAATTTTCGGAGCTATAGTAAGGCATGCCTGCAAATATGCCCCCATTTCACTGTTGATGCAAGACCCCAGTGACATTTTCAGCCAGGGGCCACATGTAAGCTAATCCAACCGTGTTTGTCTATTTAAATATACATTATGCAGATCTTTCTTTAGGTCTGAAATGTTATCTAAATTATTAATTAGACATTAATCAACTTATCCAGATCATAATCAACTCTGGATCTGAATACATTTTGTAATGGATAATTTAGCATAAAAATGGGTAATCGAGACTTTGTTTAATATCATACAAACGTTAGTAAAGACAATCGAGACTAACCTAAAATTGAATCGCTAATATCAGCTGGGTTCAGAGTGAAGCAATTTGACTGAAATTTTTAACATAGTTTGTTTTCATTATCTATTTTTTAACTATTATAGTGAGAACTGTCAGCTCTTTATCTAATCTTACCTAATTCCCCTTTAAGATCATGTTCCTGAAGCAACAACTGTGAGTTTTACAACATCTGGACATTGCTAGATAACTTTGCAATTTCCAAACTTATAGCTACATTTTCTGTCTTTCCTGCAGACACATGAACAGTAGCATCCATTCAGAAGTTGTGACACTAAGACAATCAAATCAACTATAGCTACCTCCACGGAAACCTTGACATTTAACAAACTTTGAACTATGCAACTAGATTATCACAGGTAGTTATTTTAGCTTGAAAGTGCAAGACCTGGTATTCTTGATGATGGAGAAATCTGATAGGTTCACAAGCTGGGTGAATATCCCATCAAAATTAGTGCCAAAATATGCAGGGTATTATGTGAAGGCCTTGATAAGATGTACAGAGATCAAGCCTTCTATTGAAGATGGTTTAACACATGCTTTGCAAAATCATTCCTATATATTGTAGTGTGCAAGTGATTCAAAATACTGCAACTGATTTTCATCAGAGTGGTTATTATTGCATTATTTATTGTCTAGGTGTGTTCATGATGGTGGCTGGTGGTATTGTGGCTGGTGTTCTACTAATATTTGTAGAGATTGCTTACAAGCGTCATCGAGGCCTGAAAGAAAAGGAACTGGAGTTAGCCAGAAATGCTGCTGATCGTTGGAGAGGAAACATTGAGGTTCGTTTTGTTTTTCTTTATTCAAAATATCAAAATGGAATTTCTTTACTTTGTGTTGTGAATTTTATTTTTTGTTTGGAAAATAAAGTTTTACATGTCTCTCTTCATGAAAAAAAATGTATGTAAATGTTGTCAAAAGATTTACGACAAGTTTTAGTCGTAATTCGCGTTATTTTACAAGCTTTTTATATTCAAGTTTTTAATGTTGTTTTTAGTCATTAACCATTTAGCACTTGGTACATGTAAATATTGCCGACACAATTCCTTGGAAAAAATTGAATAAAAATGATAATAAATTCATACCAGTATATCTCTGAACAGCTTCAAACGGCCCGATGGAATAGCTCTCTGTATTATAGAACTGTATACTAGTTCTTGGTGGTGTCATAGCTATTCTAGATGCTCAGGTGGTTTGGGAGCTCTAAGGGTCGTTAGTTTTAGGTGATGCGAGTGCTAAAGGGTTCAGATTTTCTATCAGCTTGTTCTTTTTATATGTCGTTCAAGTGTTTTTCCCTATCTTGTTCTCTATTTGATGGTATTTTTGTCACATTTTTTTGTGTTTTGCTACATAATTTTGGGCTGAATTTTCAGAAAAGGAAGAAGCTTAGAGCAACATGGCAATTTCTTCATTCATTAAATGACGGAGAAACCCCACCTGTATCATGTCCAGATGGCGCCAATCAGCGTGTTTAAATAAGTACAGTAGGTCGCCAGAATGCCTAACAATAAATATGCATCATATCATCTTAGATTAATTTTCAAGGTTTTTCCTGACCAAGAAATTTATATCCTGTAAAAAGTACATACAAGGGCTTTTAATTCAAAATTTTGTCAGTCAGTCAATTTTTGATGTATTTTTGGCAGAGAATGTGCATTCTCCAATTTTTTTTATATAATATATTTTTAATTGTTGTTACACATAAAAAAGTAAATATGAAATTTTTGATTATGATTCATTTTGTTTGTTTGGAAAAATCTTGAAAATTCTGTCTTAAAATTAACCAGTAGTTGAGAATATTTTGAAACATAATAAAGGAAATCAGATTTTCACAGCTAAAAAATAACTAAAATTTGATTAAAATAGTAACATTTGAACTTAAACTGCATGTATACTTAAATCATCAAAGTACATTAGGGTGCATGTATGGAAACACTGTAACTCAATAATCATAACTAATAACAACAAATGACACATTTCTGATAATAATTTCTATATAATTTGCATGGTATTATTCAAATTATTTTTGGGCATGCAACAAATTAAGCCAAAGATATAAATTATGTTTGGGCATGCAACAAATTAAGCCAAAGATAAAAATAAAAGAAGATTGTAAGTTCTGAAATCCAACCTTGGGTCACTTAAAATTAAGCATTTCAAGTGCATTGTTTAGTTATTAACTGTATCCTAATTTGAAGTTTGCATAACTTGTGGTTGTTCAATGAAATTTTTTAATTAATATAAATAGTTTTTCTTAAAATTTTTACTATAAGAATATGTTAGCCCATTAGAACTTGAAATACAAAAGTTGAATTGTTTACACCAAAAGGTGTCTAACCAAAACATTGCCCTGCCTTTTGGCAGTTCAGTTTTGCTTCCTTTTCTCATTGGTAACTTAGCTACAAGGATATCAGACCAGATGAATATTTTTTTATACATATTGGCATTCATATTACAGAAACCTTGGCAGTTAAAATTCAAAGAAGAATATACGAAATACATCTGTCCATATAAAACTATCCCCTTGGCATTGTGCATATAGCCATGGAAATCCAATTTACCCACTAATAGTTCTAAAATGACCAATGTATTGTGTTGACAAGACTTTAAACCCCATTCAATTCCATATTAATCAATGCACATATGCCTTTTATCATTTCTCATGTGCGTGGTATTCACAACCTTTAAAAACTCATAGGTGCAGTATATAAGCCAAATGGTGTTAACTAAAGTATTTTATCTTTTATATTCCTTGGGACATAACTAGGTTATCAGTAACATTCATGAATCTTACTTTTATCTGAAATGATAATATTTCTAGTGTCCAGGAAAAAAATAATTAAAGATACAAATTGCATAATAAGCCAACAATAAATTTATAAAGCATATAGCTAAACATTCTCAAACCCAATTTAATTTAGCCATTTAGAAATCATCACAGACTATCTTCACATAGCAACCATATTCAATTACAATTGGAGTCAGGTATCTTTTATAATGACACAAGCACAATTATCTTTAAAATATGCTTGGTTGAAACTTTGAATTTATTTTTCATTCAGTGGTTATAAAGTTAGGCTCTCAACAGTCTATGAAATATATCTTTGAAACACAGCATAATATGGGTCTTGTTATTCAAAGGTCATATACATGCTACCTTGTACAATTTTCTCATATTAGCAAAATTCACATCATACTAATCATACATTAATAGCACCTTTATATTAGTCTAGAGATTAGTTTTAGCAAGTACATTGTAGGACCTATGCTATTTTAAACTTTTTAAGTCGCAGTATCTCCAAAATTCTAATCCTTCTGATTTTCTAGAGGTAACTCACCTTTTATTAACATGTATTTAGTACTAGGCCTACCCAATTATCCATATCCACAGCATTTTGCTCAAACTTATTTGAAAATTACAAAAGAATTAGTTATCACAGGATATTATTTTATGGAATACAATTACTGTTGACAAACGTGTAGAAATATAAGACGTTAAATCCAACTTCATTTCTAAAAAGTAATTATATTCCATTTCGTGTCCTGTGTATTTCTATTCAATTACTAAATACAAATGAAACAATGAATTAGTAAATCATTGCTTTAAATTTTACACACTACTTTGTAACCATATTGTAACATTATTTATTATCCTCTGAATTTATATACTAATGAAAGGTTAATTCTCATATTATTCTCATTGAAATGATATTAAAGTAATAAAATTAATGTAACTATTCAACTTTATGTACAATCATATATAAGGGCCGAACCAGTTTAATTTTTGGTTTTGGGTCTTGATAAATAAAAAGCCACCTGAATCTTGTGGACAATGTTTTGTTCAAAATTACAAATCTTAAAAATTTCAAACTAAAAGCTTTTAAGAAAGGCAAAGAAGCAGTGTCTTTTTTTATTAAATTAGTTTTTTTCCAGGAACAAATAGGAAACATCTTTTGATATGTTTTCATGAAGAACAAAAATTAAAATTGATATGGCCTAACCAATTAGTTTAAACTGTTATATGATTAAAATAGCAACATTTTATTCTAGTTCATTAGAAGAACAAGAAACTTTGTATTTTTCTTTCTATATGTATTATTTTTCATTGTTTATCATTGTGTATTTCAGAAAAGACGAACATTGCGACAGACATTACAGAAACAACGAGAAGAGCAAATTCATTCTAATGCTCTACGCAAGCCACCAACACCACCTATCAGAGCTAATAGTACATCACCAATACGTCGGCCATCATTTAACGAAGCCATGGGTCAGAAGATTCTTCCGTCTACTAATTATACTCCAACCCATGGCTGTCAAAGATCAGGTCGAACGGTCACTTGGCATAACCCTGCACACAATGCTGATTATAATATTATTTAGTTAACTTGCTTGAAAATTTAATGAATTCTATTCGGTCAAAAAATCAAGACTTTAAACTAATAAGATATTCTAGCATGATAGGATCATATTTTTGAAGGATGGGGGAATGCTGATTATATAATTCCACCCTTTAATTAAATTTAGAAACTTCCAATCTGTTATTTTCTCTTATTCCTATTCAGAAATTATAAACTGTTCCTTTATAATCAAAGAGAATAAATCCAAAGCCAACCAAACTTAAAATCTAATTATTGCAAATCTCTCCACCTGAAAGTTTATGGGCCTTTTCTGATTTGTGGATTTCAAACACAGATGAACTAATATTATGTCTGTTGAAAGATGGAAATAGTAGTCATTAGGAGATAGAAATATTTATAAGAACAGACTTGTTGACAGTAGTTATTATTTGCATTTTATCCTAGACATATATTGTCAGTCAGACCATGTTAAAAAAGATCAAAACTCACTTTCTGTTTTCATGAACTCAATATGGAAAATAAAAAGAAATAAATAATGTTGAATTTATGAGACAAGATATTTTTACAGTGAAATATTTTCTAATATACCTTTGAATTATAATGTTTAAATTTGCAATTCACAGAGAGCAAAAATTTGCAAGGATTCCGCCCGAGGCATTTTAATCAAATAGCAGTTTAATTGACAGTTTCTTTCCTATTTTGAAGGGATTGTGAATTAGGTACTGCAACAAATGATTGTGTGATGCTAAACTGACATTATCAAAATAGTATCTTAATATTTGAAATATCTTAAAAAGATTATCTTAAAAAGATTTTTCTTGCCATGTCGAATTTAGTGTATCTGATATTGTGGTCGTTTCTTGAAATGGTGGTTCAAAAGTGTCTGTTGAATTTTCTTGTTGTAAATTTTGAGAAATATTTATGTCTGCTTTTGTATTGTTAGACCTTTTAGCAAATTTTATCCAGTTGTGTAAAAGACGACATGTTGAGTCAGTTTGTTGAAAAATAGAACCAGAATAATCTTGGTTTTAGCTTGGTTAAATGTAAGATTGATTCGGCATTAATTGTTGAAGATTTATCATATAAAGTTGCATTTTTAATTATTCGTGTCTTTTAATAGGGATTTGCTTAGCTCTGTAGCTGCTAATGGAAAGACGAGGTGCGTTTTATGTATATAGTAATCCTTACAAATTAAATGTGCGTCTTATACATGGACGACTCATTTCATCGAAATGTACAATAATCTTAAAAAGTTGAATGTGCTTCTTATACGCAAACAGGTCTTGATCATTGAAGAGTAAGAAGTTGGGTGTGCATCTTATACATGAATTGGTTTTATTTATCACCAATTACACTAATCTTAAGTTCAGTCTGTCTAATACATGAACGGATATAAATCTGCTGTTAGATGAGAGCTGCTAAATAGTTTCGGTTAATTTTAATGGTTGTGTTAAAATATTGGAAGTGAGTTATGACAGGTTAGGATTATTGATTTGTTTTAGATTAAGAGCATGTGGTTATTTCTATTAAACGTAAACAAAAAATAACATTTGCAGTTTCCCATTGTGAGGGATTGTGTGTAAATAAACTGTGTAGGGACCTGTCTTGGGTTGGTTCTTTACTAGAATAATGAAATTGTTGGTGATAGTTTTACATTATTAGAATGTTGTATTAGTTTTACATGTGAATTATACAGAACATTTATATTATTTCTGACTGTTATTTGTTATATATATTGTGGTAAACTTAGATGTTGTTAATGAGACCAAGTCTAATCATTGTTCTACATTTATTCAATTTATCTCTGCTGATTGTTATCATCAATGTCCTTTTTACATAAAAATAATAGAACCGCAATATCACTTACACAGTTTTCTTAAAACATTTTACCTGAAATTGGAATTTCTGTTACTTTTCAAGCATTTAATTAAAAGTAAAATACAATTAGTGAATTCCATATATTATTACATTAGGTCATAGGTCATTATTATAAATGTAAAGAGAGAAATGAATTCTGGAGACTAAGTTATTAGTTTGTTGTTCAGATATATTACCTTGTATATTATGATATTTGTTATGTTTTTAACTACAAGACTTTGACAGTTATGGTAGATTATAAATTTTATTATACCCGTTTTTTTTTTATTATTTTTAAATTGTCTTTCAAAGTCTTTTTTGTTTATAAAAAAACTCTTAACCAAACCGTAACACTCTGTTTATTATAATATTTAAATTTTAAACTGTTTTGCTTTTTGTCAAGTAGAATATCCGTAGGTTTTTAAACGAGTTGTTAGAATTCAATCACTTCTACTTTTCGTTAGATGGACCAGTTTAAAACCTTATTGACGTCTTCCAAGTCAGACAATTGACTATAACTGATCACTATAGTATTAGACCACAAAATACCCAGATGACGTTAATGGTTCACAAGAAGAATAAGCGTCGTATTTCTCGTTATATGTTTATTTATTGAAATATTAAAAGTCACAATTTAAGGTTAAAAGCAAACTGAATGTCAAATAAGTAAATTATAACGAAATAATGATTCCAAATAAGATAATAATGAAATTGAGAAAATCACAAACGGTAAGGCAGAACGCAAAAGTAACAAAGAGAATTTAATTCTCTCTGCAATATAGGGGATACCTAGTACTAAATTAGATAGGGGAGTGGTATTTTCTGTGGCCGGAGTTAAATTTGTTATGTATTATTTTACCAAAGAAAATCATGAACACGGTGTCACTGAATAAGACAATGACTTGAAAATCTGCTGGTTTGCCATGACCATTGTTAGAAGTTTTCAGGTTTGCCATGACAATTGTTAGAAATCTGATGGGTTGTTTGCCAAGACCTTAGTTAGAAGTTGTCTTGTTTGTCGTGACGGTTATTAGAGATCTTCAAATAATAGTTTAACATTAATATCGCATATTCAAAAAAATCTTAATTGTTACACGCCCACGTTGAAATGTGGCCGTATATTGCCGTCATCCCCGTTCGTCGGTCCAGCGTCCACAATGGCTTGTTAACGCGCTAGAGGCTGAAGTTAATATCAGATAGACTCTAAATTTATACACAGTGTTTAAGGTCATCAAACGAAGAACCCTATTGATTTTCAACAATTTCCGATAATTACTGCTGAAGTTATGACCCTTGATCACTTTGAAAAATCTTGCAGACGCTCTAGAGGCAAAAGTTGTAACCGATTGACTTTAGATTCATGCACAGTGTTTAAGGCCATAAGAAATAGGGACGATTTCTGATAATTACTGCCAGTGTTGTGGTCCTTTATCACTTTGAAAATCTTGTGGGTGACCTAGAGGCTAAAGATAATATCCCATTGACTATAGATTTATACACAGTGTTTAATGTTATGAAAAGAAGAACCCTATTGCTTTTCAACGGTTTTCAGCAATTATTGCCAGAGTTATGGCCCTTGATCACTTTAAGAAATCGTGTGGACGCTCTAGAGGTTTAATTTAAATATAAATTTATATATACAGTGTTTAAGGTCTAATAATTACTAATGCTAGGTTCCCACTGTCGTGCGATACGTTACTATAGGATAGGATTGTTCCTAAATTTGAGTCCACGGTCTGGTACATGCAGATACGTTCGGATACGTTTCGATACGATCAACACGATTGCTACGACTGACCTCAACACCTGATAGTATCTCCACGATTAAAACCACGATTTCAATCGTAGCGCGAATTGTGATAGTGGGAACCTAGCATTAAAAAGTTGTTACTCGTAATCAGTTTTTAGTGTGTTGTAAATTTTTTCATTACTGACAAAAGAAAAAAATATGCGACAACCCTTGTTGACTGCCCTGGCGACTTAGCTGCTGTGGGCGTAGGTTTCGTTGCCAGGCAACCTATCTTTCCATATTGAATCGCGTGATTTGCTCAAAAATAAAATTCTAAAATAAGGCGTGTAGACTTCTCTGAAGTTTTTTTTCCAGTCACTGTTTTATTAAGTGATACCAAATATTATGAGTTACTGCCATATATGCCACTGTATTCTCTTTCTTTTTGCATAGTTTACTTGCTCAATTTTTTATTTGTTATTATTGTTCTTTACAATTCTGTAATGTTTATGTAGATTTTGTTGTTGTGTGCAATACATTGTATGCTTTTGGTTGTGTAATATTTTTCTTTTTACTACTTTTGATTTGTCAAATATTGAATTCAATTTAATGAAATTGTAATCTGTAAGCGATTAATAAATTTAGAAGAAAAACAACCCAAGAGAAGTTTTTATTATACGCCCACATTCAAATCTGGCCGAAAGGCTAAAGTTACTATCCTGACTGACTTTAAATTTATACACAGTGTTTACGGTTATGAGACGAAGAAGTCTATTGATTTTTTAAAAGTTTCCGATAATTACTGCCATAGTTATGGCCCTTGATCACTTTCAAAAAAATTGAATATCCGATTCACTTTAAATTTATACACAGTGTTTAAGGTCATGAGATGACGAATCCCATTGATTATCAATTGATTGATTTCCGATAATTACTGCGAAGGTTATGGCGCTTGCTGGGTAACTAAGTATTTAAAGCACTGTAAGTTTTAGTACATCCAATTAACGGTAAAATAACTCAAGTTTTGTGTTGACGAGACGTTCATCTCTGTTCCTGTCTTTGGTGACGAACAGTATCAGTCATTCGTTGACAGATATTTATAAATCGTATAGGCAGTTAATAATACTTGCTATATATGGCTTTTATGTAGAAACTTACAGATGAATGTGATTGTCATCTGTCAATTCTGATTTTAGAAATAAACATGAACTTTAAATCTCGTCTCTTCACCTTTAAGTTTGCATACACCAAAACTTCAGTAGGGTGTACATGTAATTGGTTTCCCCATGACAGTGGTGCGGGACGGCGGGCTTGGCCAGAAACCGTGTCTAATAGTTCGTTCCGTGTAAACGTTGGCCTCAGGTCCGGTTGTTGGAAACATTTCGCCCAATTTCCCCAAATTGGGCCCCGCGCTAGAAAGGGGACTCATAGCTCACCAACTTAAAAAAATTTCTAGGCTATCTGGCAGCAGGGCTGCAATTGTGAAGTTCTGCATAGTTGGCCTTAAATATGAATGTAATACTATGGTCTTAGCGACCATATTGTATCTTTAACTAATTATTTGGTTCACACTTTCTATAATCAAATCACACGTACTCAAATGGATTGAGTGATGTATTTATATATAGAAAACAGTGATATTTTGGTAAAATATCTATCAAATAGTATCTTGTTGATGACATGTGTTTGGTGGACCAAATAAGGTAATATTCCCCTCCTGGCTTTTGGAGTATGGGGATGTTTATTTCATATTTGGGAAGGAAATTAACGCCAAGGTCAGTCTATGACGTAAAGAAATTAGTGGGTGTAGTTATATTTACGATGACGAAAGAAACACAACAGAGAAGTCCGGTATTTCTACATGAAAGGGTACAGGCTTAGTTAAAGTTATTCACATCCTGCAATGTATTCATATCCTGTAACTTCGGGCCCCGCATTTTCTACAACCAACCCTGGTTGGCCTGAATGTAAAAGACCCCCTGCAGTTGGAGTTCGAAATCAGAGTAGCCCGTAAAACCGCTCTTCTGGCTAAAGTTCATTAGTCCGGCCGGTTGGTGCAGAAAAGTAGGATGTTAAACCTGTTTTTATTTCAGTTTCGCTGTCGTGTAATTGTGCTTCTATAAAATAATATGACCCTAATAAAACAAAATCATATAGAGGTTTACATCAAATAACACGGCCATCAAAAAATATGTCATTTTGTTTTCCGCGCTACTGCCGTGTTAACGATTTAATGTCCTTTTTATGATGACATTTATTAACTGATACACATCGTGATATTAAAAGTCACGTGATTTACACTTTATAGACAGACAGCAGTTTAGTTTGATGTCTGGGTATTTATATTTACGAATTGTCCAATAATACTTCTGCTACTTTTCTAATCAAATTCGTGATCGAATGAAATGGGTTTAACATTCCTACTTTTCTGTACGGACACTGGGCTAATAAAGGCTGGCTAAGGGGTAAGTTTTGGCCGGGGCCGGGGAGCGGCGCTACGACCTACTCTTATTACGAATTCCAACTGTCAGTTTGTACACAGATCTAGTCAACAGAGGTTATAATGCAGTTTTCATCTTCATTACGTCATAAACATATTGCCCAACTAGTGACAAACACATACCGTGGCTTAGATATGCTACAGATATTCAACAGAGCTCAAAATGTGCCCCCCCTCCCCCGTCCAACATAAAGTACCTCCGATCTTAAAGGGCAACCAGATTCAAAGTCCCCAGATACAATAAATAGCTACTAGGGGAATGTGCCAAAGTAACTGGTGTTCCTGAGCATGTACTGCTATGGAGTGGGGCCATCAGCATCACCTTAACCCCGTTTGTTTTCCCCGGTTACTCTGGTGTCCTGCCACTTAGAAAGACCCCTATATTGAAATTATTTTAAAAAATAAATGTATCCCGGATTGGATACTGTCGAGTTGACGTTAAACTCAATTTTCATCCGACTTCCGGTATATATAATAAAAGTTTGGTGGGTCAGTCTTTATATATATATTATAATTATATACAAACAATCTATACACATTTTTTTACATACAGAAAGACCACGTCATACTAGGATATTTTTTTTTGATTTTAGAATCATTCACTTCTTGAGTGAAGCATGAAACTTTGTACAGGGGTACTATGATACCTATTGATCATAACAAATGGGTCATCGCCGCCATTCTTAGAATTGTGACGCCGTATCAAAAATCGAAGCCCGCCCGGCAATAGAACAGGCATATCGATCTTACTCGAATTGGTGGGGACTTTTGTTTCAATACCGTCATAGAAAGAACAAGAAGAAGAGTATCAAGTGCATTGGTATTATTTCAAATTGCGCCACTATTTACAACTAACAGGCACAATGCGTTGTACCAGGATTTCAGAAGGTGAAATCACATCAAATTAGACTTAATTTCACAAGTATGTTTTGGTTTTACTTATTTTATGATTAAATTATCAATAAACAAGATGAAATCTGATTGCGACTTAGTAAATACACACTCGTTATAAATTACAGCTGGCACCTAATTAAATACAACCCGTCTGATGTGTCGTCTTCCTGATTTCTGTAACGGTCTTATATTACCGTGCGTTGAAATAGTTTCTCCACTAATCCGAGATTCCATTAGCGAAAAGTATTCCAGCTGAAACAACAAAAAATAATATCTTTTCTCGCACTCTATACACCATTCCATTAAGCTTATATTTTTTTTTATTCCAGGCGGCTTTTTATTGTTATATTAATTTTAAAGGGCCAATCTCGATTATAGTTTGGATAATAAAACTGTTTAATTTTGTGTTAAAAGCTTTTAAAATCCCCTTCCTTAGGGTCGAGCAACTAAGACATGCAATATACGTAATATATTTTCAAACAACTTAAACCCGTCTGGAAATGGATACGGGTGTCCCAAACTGTAATGTACGGTGTCTGGATGGTAAACTTACGTAAATTGGATCTATTTTTGTTGGGCTTTCTGCAACTAACCAGATGACAGCTTCTGAACATGGTGGTACTGTCAAGCTTCCTTCATAGTATAAATATCGTGGTATTATAGGTAATAGTTTACCTGGATTAAGATGTATGTCTGTAACAACATTACCTACAACAAAAATAATATATTCTATATCATTGAACATTACCTACAACAAAAATAATATGTTCTATACTGTGATGATATAAAAATAATGACTTGGGTTAAAAATAATCAAAACAACACATCAGATCAATTAATTCAATACTTTATTTTGACCTAAATAATAGAGGCTTAGCTCGTTAACTTAATGGCTTTGTTTAGGAAGGAACATGTTTGGTAATTGGGCCAGAAAAGTATTTTTAGACTATTCCTTCCTAGATCATCAAAACCTCACCGTAAAAGTGTCATTTGCCCTTGTCATTTAATGAATATTGTGTTATTCTTTATTAATACGCTCTATTTTTAACACTGGCAGTTGAAATAGTTAGGATCCGCCCTTGTTTTATATACATGTGTATTACTAGTGAAAAATTGTGATGTTACCATGCATCAACACCCAGCGTCCCTGTCTACCATAATCGAAGTAAAATTTGTTTCAACAGACATTATTAAATCTGATAATTTTTAAAGATGCATTGGGTAAGAATAGCTAAATCTGCCTTTTGCGGGTCTTTAGTTTGGCTTCAAAGCTTACATAAATTATTATCTAAATATTTAAACATTTATCTACATGACAAGCCTATAGTCCACTCTTTAGACTATCGGGTAGCGGATATGTAAAGGAAACACGGTCGACATTTAATGATATCAAGTTCCATTATTACGTTAATAAACAAGCTATACCACATCTTGTCAAAATTTCAAACAGTGATAACTTCGCTCAGAACAAAGTAATTTGAATGAAATTTTCAATATATTCAGTTTGCATTATCTATTTTTGATCTATTATAGCAAGAACAGCCGGATCTTTATATAAAGTTTAAATAATGCATCTTTAATTAGCAAAGGGCACCAATACTGTAACACCTCCGTGTGCGTCATAAGCCCCGGAAATAAACCCGGGACGGAAGGGCGTATTGAGTAATCGATTTCCCTATTTCTTACTTAAATTCAAAGTTGACGTTTCCAATGTCAAGAAGACAGTGCATATTCCATTACTGTATATCTAAATACCTACCACACGCCGTTCGAGATGCAAATGTTGCACAGTTTTCACTGATTCTGTTACTTCTAATTGGTAGACATTTTGTATCAACCATACCATGTAATTTTAATAAAGCTACTCTGTTATTCTCTAAACTACAAGAATTTTCTAAAAAAAATAAAAATGAAATAAACAATGCACAGACTAATTTTAACAAAAAAACTCAACAAATTTATAAACAAAATTAAAACAAAACAAAATCCCCACAAATTTAGAACTATACTATCAATTCTTGTGAGGCCAAAGGACTGCAGTTCTTGTGAGGTCAGGCAATTGTCAGTTCTTGTGGGGTAAGAGGACTAGCAGTTCTTTTGAGGTCAGATAACTGTCAGTTCTTGTGGGGTAAGAGGACCAGCAGTTCTTTTGAGGTTAGATAACTGTCCGTACTTGTGGAGTAAGATGACTATAGCAGTTCTTCTGAGGTTAGAGAAATGTCAGTTCTTGTGGGGTAAGAGGACTTGACTAGCAGTTCTTGTGAGAAACATCTTAATTAGTGAGGCAGCGCCATACTTAACGAGGTCATACTTACTCACACGCTTCTATGACCAAATTGATCAAAAGTTATGTTTAATTGTACTAGATTCTTACCTCGTCCTGAAGCTGTGTATGGTATCACCTTAGAGACCTGACTAAGGATTTTATCAAAAGCACTATCCGTGTTTCCTTCAGTTGTCTATAAAACAAAGTACAAGATATACATTCAGCTATATATGTATGCGTTAAAGGAGAAGTGGTATGAGGTGTTTTTATGAACTAGATTTCATTTGAAATTAAATTGGATTGGGGAACAGGCCATGCCTATGTAGACCCCTCTCAAGTATTTACTTAAAAAAAGCTTAGGATAATTATATGGATATATACACCAAGATGATACATACACACACATAGAGAAACATAACTTATAATTATAAAACTAAATATTTAAAACGCAAACTAACATCTGAAACAAAAACTAATATGTGAAATAAAAACTCATATTTGAAACAAAACCCCATATTTGAAACAAACACATAACCATCGCCGTTTCGTTGATTATTATTTTGGACTATTCCCCCAGTTTTAATTTATGGCTGATTGGTGGTCTGAGGCCAGTGAGATCACTCAAAGCATAATATATGGCATATGCCCGCCTTTGTTATCTCAGTCGGTAGAGACCAGGTGAACGTTAAACCCAATTTCATTTTATTTTCATTTCGTTCCTGCTCCCCTTAGTCCAGACGGTGCAGAAAAGGTCAAAGTCTCCGCCAATTCGAGAACGGTATACATTGACCTCGTTTTTTTTTTGTGTCCCTTCCGAACGAATGTTACTACTATATTATTTGTTTTGTCATTCCCACCGTCAAGCACCACTGGTAAGGGGAAACCAGATGGAAATTTAATCCCGGAGAACCTTGTCCTGGATAGATGGTTGGCGCCTCCTGGAGCGATTCATTTACGTCATACAGCATAAGTTTGGGATGGAGCCATCGTTGTTCCTGATACACGGTACAAGGTGTTTTAGTAGTTTCTTTAACTAGAAATAAGATAATGCCTAATAGCCTTACACTTACCGATAAGAATACGGCCATTATAAGAATCCCATCTTCATGTAAACTGGCCTCTTGTAGATTGGAATAATCAGCATGATGATGTACTAGTTGGGCCTTAAAAGTAAATAATCAAGTTCATAATGCATTATAATGTAAAAGAAAGCCGCCACTCGTCAGGCAATATCCCATTAATCCACGGTAAATGTACTCATAGTGATTATTTAACATTTAATTAAAGTTAATATATCAACGGTTGATATTTTTCCGGCATGGATTGGATTCAATCGGATTAAAAATATTTTACTCATCTCTTATAGGTGACAATCGCATGTTTATATCGTCTGAGTAGAATGGTGAAAGGCCTATACATACCTCTGCATCAAAAGATCTCCCGTCAACTAAATGCTCTGTTTGTTTAAGACCACCTTTCTTGCCAAAATGGAAATTGATACTATCTAAAACGTAACCTTTTAGGTTCTGTGTTGGAGCTCCTTGAAGTACTGGTTTAGTACCCGTCACTGTAAATGTGGGATACACGCCTGCATAAAGGACAATATAATACAAATAGTAGTGAATATTTGAAATACTATTAATGAGGTATAGTATACTAGTTACGAATTTAAATGAAATGAAATGTGGTTTAACGTCCTACTATTCTGCACCGACTGGGCTAATGAAGATGGACATACGTCATGCAGTGTGCTGTGATGGAACTTTTGCCCGGAGCGGCACTACGGCCTATCATTATTTCGAATTCCAACTAACAAGCTTCTTTTACGTGTACACCAATGTGTACACGAGATCTTTGTTTTTAGTCCAATCCCAGCGACTGTACTATACGTTTCTTTGTGGCAATACTTTTACGAGTTTCAAGTGGCCTTGGATAAACATGTGCTCAGGAAGCCATCTGATTTAAGTTGTGCCACTGTCTAGCCGTACCAATGCAGATCGAAACTCCAGTTTGTTACAAAAATGATTTAATAAAGAAAGTGGAGATTCGTGAATATTGGAATATGGTCAATTCAGGGCGCTGAGCAGAATTAAGACAAAATAGCTAGAGCCTCTAAGCCCCTTATCAACATTTAAATTCACAACGAGAAAAGACCATATATCCCTTGATTGATTTGTTTAGTTACTTCCTTCAGTTGTAAATTGTTTTTGAATCCCTGAAAGAGATTTGAACTGAAAACTGGGAATAAGTCATACTCTCGAGCAATGTTAATGAGAAGTATCAACTTATCGGCTATTGAACATCAGCAAGACATTAATCATTTTGATAGCACATTTTGATTGTTTTCTTTGGTCTGTAAGGTTCGCTAGTCGACTTATCCAAATAGATGATATCTTCTGTATTATTAACCACTGCTTCAAAAATATGAGACCTATATACCACAGTCGTTATTATACGCACCGTTGTTTTCTAAGTAACCTGTTATAGATAGGCTATCATAGGTGAGAGTCCTACCCATTTCTTCTATTTTGCCTGGTACTCGAATATTGATGGGAGACTGGAAATTTCCGCCCCTGTTACAGCATCGATTAAGAGGATAACCATTTACTAAAAGATTATTATCAATCCCAGACCAACATGATGGTTCTAAAACAAACATAAAGTAACAATGTTATCAATCCCAGCCCAGCATGATGGTTCTAAAACAAAAGTACAGTAACAATATTATAAATCCCAGTCCAGCATGATGGTTCTAAAACAAAAGTACAGTAACAATATTATAAATCCCAGCCCAGCATAATGGCTCTAAAACAACAGTACAGTAACAATATTATAAATCCCAGTCCAGCATGATGGTTCTAAAACAAAAGTACAGTAACAATATTATAAATCCCAGTCCAGCATGATGGTTCTAAAACAAAAGTACAGTAACAATATTATGAATCCCAGTCCAGCATGATGGTTCTAAAACAAAATTACAGTAACAATATTATAAATCACAGTCCAATAATCTTAACGACTTAAAATGGACCAGCTCACGTTAATGTGTATATTAATGGTTAAACGATAAAATCCCCCTGTCATGTCGAAATAAGAGTAGGTCGTCCTCTTTATCCCGGTTGATACTGTTAAATAGTCATAAAAAGAGAGGCAAACATGTCTATACAATCGAATCAAATTAGGATTTAAATCGTACAATCTATCAAATCACCAGAAAACAGTGGAAAAATCAGAGCAGCAAGAGTATCTTCCCACAGAAAAAGTAAAACTAGATCAGAACATACCCCCCCCCCCCCAAAAAAAAAAAACAACCTATAAAACCGTTTCTTTGCTACAATAACGTTTATGATCAAAGCAATTATAAATGTGTAACTAGAACTGCGATGCAGTAATGACGGGTTTCACCGGTGCCACGTTACCCTAAACATATGTCACTTCCGGTACCATTAAACAGGTTTCCACCTCATCATTGCACACATCAAATAAAATGGACGCCGAATCAACCAAATCCAGCAATATCAATTCATTTTATATATTTGTTACATGTAAGTGTACAGTACTTCCGGTGATAATGAAAATATTCAATTAGTTTTATGAAATCAGAAATGGCATAAGGCATCACATGGTGACAATTTTATGTAAATCGAATAATAATTGCCACTTTTATAGAACAAAAACCTTAAAAAGTGACTTGTAGAAAACCGTCAATTGCTCTGCAACCATACAAGTTAGAAACCATTTTCTGGAATCTGTATGATCGTATGGGTTTATTCTATTTGTTGATTGGAATCAAATATCATAATTTTAAAAACATAACAACTCAGACTCATTTGAATAAAATATCTGTTTTGAAAGCTAAAAATACAGTTTTTGCCAAAATGACGTTACTTCCGGTGATAATGAAAATCTTAAATTACTTGTATGAAATCGTAAATGGCATTAGGTATCACATAGTGAAAATTTCATGAAAATCGAATAATAATTGACACTTTTATGGACAAAAAACCTTGAAAAGTGACCTGTTGAAAATTACCTATTTCTCTACAACTGAACAAGTTAGAAACCATTTTGTGATACCTATATGATCGTATGGGTTCATTCTATTAGTTGATTAGAATCAAATATCAAAATATTAAACAAACAACAAATACGACTCATTTCAATAAATTATTTGTTTCTAAGGCTATAAATACAGTTTTTACCCAAATTTCGTCATTTCCGGTGACATGGAAAATGTTAAATTGAGTTGAACTAGTCACAATTGACATTACGCATCAAATGGTGTCACTTTTATGAAAATCCAATAATAATTGACTCTTTTACAGACACAATAGCGTAAAGAGTGACTCATGCAAAATTGACCATTTCTCGGCAACTGCTCATATTACAAACTAATTTTGAGATAGATTCTCTTCGTATGGATTAATGCTACAAGTTTATGAAAGTTGCGAAGAAATATTTTAAAATATGAAAAGCCTGAATGGGTTGTAAATAGCTCATTTTTTCACCTTTTTTCACCTTTACAGGGCACACACTTTCAGTCATACCAGATTTGAAAAAAATAATATTTGCTTTCAAAAAGTGGTACCGAACTGTCAAAATTGTAGTTTTTGCTAAATTTACGTCACTTCCGTTGCCGAAAGGTAACTTTACCGGTAACAAAAAAAATGACATTTTGGATTACGGAGCATATGAACTTTGTTTTATACAAATCGAGCAATAAATAATTAATCCAGGACTGAAAAACTGAATTAGCCAATGGGAGTCAAGGAAATTTACGATGACAAAAAATGGTGTCATTTTTGGTCAAATCAGATGACTCTTTAACCCTGGGTAAAATACCACATTAAAATATTCATGAATAAAAAAGTTTTTTGTAAAAATTTAAATTTTCAAAATTTGGCGCCTAATATCTCCGACGATTCGTGGAAAATCAAAAATCTAAAGAACCGTGGCTATGTGCCTTGTCTCTGGCTATGTCAAAATGTATCCAATGTTAAAATCCGACGATTATTGTTAATATTACGGCAATATTTCAAAAATCGACAAATTCGACGATTTCGGACATTTCGCATTGTCGCAGAACGTTCGAAATAGCTTTAATCTCCAAGTCACACCCACTTTTCCAGTAAAACCGAAGACATCGAATCAATCCGACAAGTAGTTTCTGAGATACAATCAAATTGGAAAAAAAAAATAATAATAATAAGAAGAATAATAATAAGAATAATTTTAACAAAAACAATAGTATTTCACACAAGCTACGCAGTGTGAAACCCTAACTAACGATATTTAAGGTAGACTTACTGAGACCAGAGAAAGGGTTGTACTGGAAGCAGGATTTTCCGGTATCGGTACACAACAGCCGGTTACTTGTAGTCTCGTCATCAATATCTGAGTTAAAAGTGGAATTGACATTAGAAGTAACTTTGAACAGCTCGCTAGTTGCATTGCTGTCGGTCCTAACAATTGTTGGATTCTCCATCTCTTTGATGAGATTTCCGATGGGATCGTCAGCAAATGGATTGTTATTATAAATTGCCACAATACTATCAACGCTGATTGGTAGCGGTTTATTAACCGGGTTATCAATACGATCTTTGTCGTAAATGACTGTACCTTCCGCCACATCAATAATCATTGTTGGGTGGTTTTCAGTATCCTTTGGGAGAAATATGGGATTCGGGGAGTTTTCTAAAGCAATACTGCTGAGATTTAAAATTATAGATGTCAGGTCTTCTGTTTCAGATTGAGGATCATAAAGTATTATATTTGGACCACTATCACCACCGGGATACTCTGGTGCAGGACGGCTAACACTATCAATCGTTTCCCTATCAGAGTCGTCATCTAAATCAAATCTAAAAAGCTTTCGATAAGCGACTGTAATATCATCTTCACCATCATCGACATCTTCACCATCATCTTCATTCTCGTCTTCTTCATCGGTCTTTGTACTACTGATAACAGGATCCGTAGCACCCGCACCAGGGTAAGTCACGGTATCACCGGTGCTAGGGACAGTCACAGTATCACCGGCATCTGGGACAGCCACCTCATTACCGTTTCCAGGCATAGTCACGGTATCACTGATAACAGGGTTAGTCACGGCATCACCGGCATCAGGGACAGCCATGGCATGACCGTTACCAGGCACAGTCACGGTATCACTGACAACAGGGGTAGTCACGGCATCACCAGCATCAGGGGCAGACTCGACTTCACCATTACTAGGCGAAGTCACGGTATCACTGATAACATTTGAAGTCACGGCATCACCAGCATCAGGTGCAGCCACGGCATCCCCGTTACTCGGCGAAGTCACGGTATTACTGATAACAGGGGCGGTCACGGTATCACCGACATTAGGGACAACCACGGCATCACCGTTACCAGGTATAGTCACGGTATCACTGACAACAGGGATAGTCACGGTATCGCCGACATTAGGGACAACCACGGCATCACCGTTACCATGTACAGTCACGGTATCACTGACAACAGGGACAGTCACGGTATCGCCGATAAAAGGGGCATCATCATCATCATCATCATCATCGTCGTCGTCGTCATCATCATCATCATCATCATCATCATCATCATCATCATCAGAAGAAGAAGAAGAACCATATATTGACTTCACAACAAGGCTGTCGTCGGCATTTTTATAATTCGAAAATATTTCCTCACTACTTTCTTCGCTACTTGAACTCTCATCACTACCATCATCGCCTGATGTTGAAAATATATGAGCTGAGATAAGCAGCGCCAAGACAAGGAATCGTAAATAACTCATTGTCTTAACAGCTATAATTACCTAACGATACGAAATAGCTGGCCGTTGGCCGCACCAAGCAGTTGGTTGTTGAACAAATGAGAAAATGAATATGTCTTATTTTACTTTACATTAAATATACATGTAAATCACTACGTCGCCTGAGGATACGGATATAAATACAAGATATACGGTTATCGTACTCCAATTCTATTTACCGATAAATGTGCACGAATCTATTGGCGGGTCTACATTTTTTCGGCACTGAAGCTCGAAATGTTGGGGGGGGGGGAAGCTTAGCTGTAAGTATCGATGTCTACGTAACAATTCAATGGTAACTTAATTCCAAAATACTGATTCTACCTGGGACATTTCCCGGATACCCAGTTATGGTGCAGTATCTGCTGGTCCCTAGTCAGTGTTGTAAGGGAAGGGAGAGGGGTTTAATATAGGCTATGTCTGTTCCGCAATCCCTATTCAGATACAAATCTGAATAAAAATATTGCTTATAAAAAACTGTCGTAACGGAGCCCATCAATATATAGGCTATGTGGCCTAAAGTCGCTTTTGAGGCCCAGGGCTCCGAAATTAGGGACTCTGAAATTTGAAATTGAAACTGCGTTACTTTCATAGTACATCCGCACCTGCATGAACAAAAATTTATTTTGTACGTCATATGCGAACATAAACATATCAATGTATGTAAGAATGGTAATCTTCATACCATTTTAAACAATATTTTCTTTGGCCACAAATATGGATATGAAAGGGATACGCTGTCTAAAATTTATTGCTAAAATGACATACTCTTTGAATTCAGTCAGTAAGATCGTGTTAATTGTAGCTATAAATCATTGTAAATTGGACTGAATTTTTACTGTTGAGAACAAAACATCACATTACCCATGTCAATATAGAAAAGTAGCGCGTTGATTTAAACACAGGGGTTAATTAATTTTTAAGGGTGTCTATCAGAATTACGGCATAAATTTCAATATGCAAAGTCTGTTTTATTGTCGGCATGCTAACGACATTAATAGGATTTTCGTCAAGCGTTGTCTATGATATTTTGGATTTCTGCACCTATAAATTTTGAATTCAAAATGACATTTCTTCTCTTTGTATTTTTTGAAAAAAATAAATGGGAATTTAAAAGGCACGACAGGTGGTATTTACGTAACATATGAAATAAATTTATGTTATAGATATAGAAATAAAATAACTATATGTTTGTCTCAAAATGGGAGCTAAGGTGACCCATGCAGTGGGTAAGGCACTGGCCCACTAACTAGGAGGGTCCGGGATTCGATTCCGGTAATTTAATTTGATTAGATTTCTCTAGTCCCTCTGTATAAGGAGCCGCGGTGGCTCAGTGGGTAAAAGCACTGGCTTGCTAACTTGGAGGTTCCAGGTTCGACATAGTCGGTCGGATGAGACGGAAAAGCGAGATATCGTGTGCATATTGGTGTTGGAATTCGCCATACAGAAGGCCGTGGCACATTGCATGGATTGTTTCCGCCTTCGTTGGCTAGGAAGTCCCAGAAAAGTACGACGTTAAACCCCATTTCATTCCATTTCTCTCAGTGTAAGCATGTAAAGTACACCGCTTTATAAACAGCAATTTGACAAATTGTCACCTTTAAGTGAAAACAAGACTGATAAAAGATTTATGACAAAACTATGTTTTAACATATAATTTTAAATCCATGTTTAGAACAATTAATTTCTCAATTTCAAGTACTCTTCCCATGCATGCCATTCTAATTCTTGTTATTTTCTCCACACCCTATTATTATAAAATTATTTCACAGTGCATTGAGAACTGTGCTAATAGTTGAACCCGAACAGCCATATTTAAAAGACAAATTCAACAGTGCTGTAGGATCACACAAGACATAAATTTTAAATCCAAATATTGATGTAAATGTGTAGTAATATCGGATTTCCTTGTGTTTGTTTTCTTCGTGATCGTAATATATAACACTACAGGTTAAATGGTTCCTACAACTTTATTGTTAAGCTGGAATGGCTTCGAAGGTTCCGTCGTTCTCAATAAATAATAGCTGCTCGGAATACCTGGGTGAGCTCTGACCAGTCTCGCTTAACATCCTCCTTTATAGTCCCCACATTTCTGCACGTCCTAGATTGACCTTGACGTTAATTTCCACCCCAAATATGGAATAAACTTCTATCAACCATAGGTCAATAAACAGATAGAATTTGATAGATATTTTGACAATGGTTAGGATTTTATCAAAACATCACTGTTTTTTATATATAAATATATCATTCGCGTGTACGTGTGATTTGACCTTATAGAAAGAGTGAAGCAACAATTTTTCAAAGACCCAATATTGTCTTAAGGACCAAAGTGTTACAAATGGAAGAAAGAAAATTGCAATTTGTTTCGGATTGCCTCTGCTGTCACAGTTGTCGGTAATAAGGTGTGTTATTTTTAATTTGCTTTTCTATCCGCTTACGATGACGTAATAACACACACACAAGTTTCGCCTTATCTTGTTAAATCAATACTTTTCATTCAATGATATTTTTAATTTGCTTCTTACCAGGTTACTGATGCTGGTATACTTATTCTACTGTTGGCCTACTACGATATGAAAAAGAAAAAAATAGAAACAAACTTGAACCGTCACTATTTAGGGTGATCCGTGAATCCTGGACAATGTTCGCGTGTTTTACACGATAGATTGTTACCAACAAGAAATAGGGCTATCGACGACAAATAATTCTTGGAGCGCGTAAGACTTATTGAAACTTAAACATCTATCAGACCATGCTGTACACACTGTCCAGCAAAAACACAAAACAACACCTCAAATGAGTGATATAGGCTACGGCTACAGAATTCGTAAAATAAAATTTGACGAAATACCCGACTAACCCGAATGTCAAGATGGATACACAACCGCCAACTGTGAATCTGTTGCAGACGTCATTTTCACAGATAAATCTCACTGACAAGTGGTAGGCCTAGCACCCTATACCCATTAAACAGATACATCCCACCAATAGTTCCTGAAGTGAAAGAGTAAATACATCATATCTCCTACACGACATCCGTCTCATAGATGAAGCTGTCTGGGAAGTGGTATCAATTCCTGAAAGAGTGAATACCCCCTACCGACAAGTTGTATCAGGAGTCACAGGATTAACGACACTTTACCTTGTACACGACATACATCTCATAAATGACGGCGACTGGGAAGTGGTACCAGGGAGTCCCTGATTGAAAAGAACAAGGATGGAGTTAAACGTTTCAACAAATACACAAATACTTCGGCCATTTTCAATCAGACATACGATTAATTTTATTTACCATGGTCACATGTACGACTAATGCAGGCGCGGATCCGTGGGGGGGGGGGTGCACACCAGGCGCACGCCCCCCCCCCATTTTTTTGCGGTAGCGAACAATCTTTTACCCCAAAATATATTCTCGTGGGAAAGGAGAATAAAAGTACTTAAAAATGGTAGTGATCCCCGTTGTCCATGGAAATCGTAATTTACTCCGAAACGAGCCGGTTGGTGACTTGGTTGATTGCCCGTCATTTCTTACTCCCAAGTGGGGGAAGCACGCCCCCCCCCCTTCTGAAAATCCTGGATCCGCCCCTGGACTAATGGGCCTCGGGCCTCGGCTATTCCGCAACTATTACATTCATAACATTCATACCTCTCTATTATTTAATAACGATGTTTCGGAACACATACAGGTCACGTTTTCAAGTTAATGATAAATATCCATCTAGTCAGTCTATGCATAGTTTGGCTTACACCAAACTAATTATTAACCAGAAGAAACCATTAAAAAATTAAAGCAACCAAAATTAAAGAATTAACTATTGCATTGTCGGTCCTGCATCATTCTCCGGACAAGTGGGAACCGGGTAAAACAATAGGATTACCTGCGAAGTATTTTTAAATTCGGTAGTAATAAAAATATCCTGCGATTTTTAACGATACAAATCATAAACTAAATTTGTTGTAATAATACAAGTTAAAATATTCTACATTACAACAGTTTTATTGTTATATAAATGTATTTATTATCTGCATAACATGTTTATTTTTATCATTATACGTCACTATTGCTATTTTACTACGCTCCTGTTCCCCTTTATAAACGTTTGATGCGGTGTAAGGATGGTAGAACGGTCAGAGTTGTTGTGATGATAATTATTCTGGGATGTTCAGGGCGTTTCCCCTGAGATCCCCCCCCCCCCCAATGTTAACTGGGGGCAAATAGGTAGCATATCGGCGCGCTTCATTGCACATCAGACGTGTTCGCCACTGTTCCATAACGTAACCACACTTTTGATCAGACTTCAGTTGTAATTCTTACGGAAGCAGTTTGGGCCACTTGCGCACCTTGGTTGCTGTCGGTATTTGCGCATATCGGATCGTAACGTCCTGAATTATGCCCCCTGATTGTACGAAAAATCGTGTTTTTAGCTTGTGGTTCCTCTAGAGGTCACAATTATTATCTGATTTACAAAAACGTTCGAATATATCACTGTTACACCGTAATGTTGGTTGAGTTAGAATTTCGTGAAAATCGTACCCAAACCACGTCAGAGAGAGGATCACGAGAAACTTTCTCGCCCACGCCACGATCGAACCTTGCATCCTTTCCACTGAGCCACTGTGGCTCCACATTGTGGTTATAGGACGATGTTTATTTAACATTTTATCTCCCGTACAAAAATTGATTTATATCAAACTAAATATCATGACTCCCATCGAAGGCTAATAGGAATTAAAAAACCCATAATAAAGTGCTGAATTTGTGTTGATTTAATTTTTATTTCTATCAGCCCGTCTTTATTAGCCCGGTCGGTACAGAACAATAGGACGTTAAACCCCATTTCATTTCATATTTTATCAGTGATTTGACCAGCTTTAATTATTTCTAAAGGTTGAACGGAAGTTGACTTAATTACTAATTTTAGAATCATGGTTCATCTATATGGACGTGAAATTTTGAACAAAGATAGAATGTCATTCGACAAAACAAATCTTTCAACGATAGATTGTCCGTCAGTAGCGCTTATAAAACCGACCGATGATACGAGACTGTATATTTCACAGCAAAACAATGATTATTCGTACTCGACGAAAAATCGTTGACAAAATAATCTTCGTCGTGCGCAAGACTTTAGCTCATTATAATAATAATATATGTCAGCTTTTGTTAGATGTTTTTATATAGAGCCATTTATATACTGGTAAATAGATTATTCCTATATAATGATTATATCGTGTATTATCTATATAAATAGTAACCTTTGTGTTCGTGTTAACATAAAAAATAAAAACATGCTTTTTTCATTAACTCATATAATCGTTTTTCACAATTAAAAGATTATCCTCTATACGGCAATCATTTATAGAACTGATTCAAGCAATTCATATAAATCAACCAAGGTCAATTGTACCTTTAAAGGAACTGTCCCACATAGGCTAATGAAGACGGGCATATGCCATAAAGTGTGCTATATGAGGGAATTTTTGTTCGGACAAGGACATCTACGCCTATTAATCTTAGAAATCAAACTTGACTAACTTATTTCTTTCCTTGCATCTGGCTTTGTGTTTTGTTGGGTAGTGGTGTATATTCTAAACCTTGATATTTTTACTAAAATGTCGCGATACAGTTCTTGATGTTGGTCGATAAGAGCCACAAAGATGCTGTAAATCAAATCTCGTATTGAATGACGTAGCACCTGGTAATATCTATTGAAAAGCAATTGTTAAATTGCATAATAAAGGAAGGTACACACAACAAAATGAAATATATTTGATAAATGTGCTGAATAAATTAATGTTCTAAAAAGCGTGATTTGAATGTTTTCATTTGTCACTTCCGTCCAGTATTTACATACATATATATATATATATATATATATGTATATGGAATTGGAAAATTCACCGATTTATGCTGCTCGCTGTATATGCAAAAAGCCCGCCGCCATTTTGTTGTGTAAGAAAAATTAATGATAGGCCTGTACATTATGCAAGAGCTAAATCTGCCTATTGCAGGTCATTCTTTAGACTTGAAATGCTGTCTAAATTATAAATTAGACATTAATTAACTTATCCAGACCATAATCAACCCTCGATGTCATCGCTAGCCTGTGATGTTTATTGGATTAGTTTCCGATTTGCTGTTCGACTTCCATTCATGATTTAATCATGAAATGGATAATCGAGACTATGTTTTTTATTGTACCGACTTTAGTAATGATGATCAAGGCTAGCCCGAAAATTCAATCGCTAAAATCTCGATTCAGAGTTGATCCATTTGACTGAAATTTTCAGCAAATTCCCTTTATATTATCTAGTTTTTATAGTGAGAACTGCCAGCTCTTTATCTAATATCCCATAATGTATCTTTAAATGTTAAATATTCAATATTAATATTAGCGTGGATTAAGTTGTGCGAAATTTGATATTTTCGCGACAACTGCTAATGGCGCATCGTTACTTTAACATATTATACGTAAAGAAGAATTAATTGTTTGTCCCACCATCACTACTTAAAATAACACGTCAAATAAACTTGATTCAACACTTGATATGGACCTTAGTCAAAGACGTGTAGCACCTTTAACTTTCTGTCTTTAACTCATGGAGGATTTGTTTGGACCCACCCCTACCGCCCTTACACTTTCCCGGCTATTCCCATTACGTATTCCGATAGCCACGAAAACATTACATGTATATTCTAACTCGATATTAACGTAAAGGGTCGCCCTCTTTATACCTATTCTATATTGTGGCGGATTTGTTTGGACCCCCCACCCCCGCCTTTCCCTTTTCGCGATTTCTATAATATTTCGATAGTCACCAATTAATGTTGGTGTTAATTTGAAGGGTTAACGTCTTTAAAGGTATTATATATATTGAAATATAAACAGTATAACTGTACATACCAAGTATAATTTATGACTGTACCATGACAACCAGCCGCCATTCAATGTAAACAATCATAGATTTTATAGGAACGGCTTTCTATACGACTATTGACGTCTTCATCGATACACTAAATCACGCTCGATTAGTTTATGTGGACGACTTTCTACGCCAAAGTTTAAATTTAAATAAATCGATTCCCCTTTTCCCTTATGTACAAAAATTCATTATATTTTTTTTTTGCCGGTGAAACGAGATATTTTTTTTTCTCTCGCCACAATTCTAATTGTTAACAATATCCAATTAAAATGACAATATTACATTATGTGATAGAAATGGTTTAATTGCAGTTTCCAAATACAAGTGCAAATCTAACAAAATGTACACAAACATCCAAAGATGAATATGAATGCCCAATTATAGTTTCAGAGCATGCCGAATTGCCATTTGTAATCTTTGTGGCGGAGACTGTCGTAACTTTCAACAAATAAATAAAATCCTCTCTCTGATCTCGCGGCAGTCATTTTTTTTTACGAACTTTTTCTTTGGAACTGATGTCTTCTCTTAATCTAATGTAACATGTCTCTGTATTCATATCAGTGAGCTGAGAATCGTCCTTGTCTGCATTATCACTTCGGTAAAAGTGGACGTTAAATAAAGCTAATTCACACACACTGCTTTCCTTACTTGCCGTCATTTCCGATGAAAAAAAATGTAAGCAATCGAAAGTATCGAGATTTTGGCGTTTGATGTTTTCCGTACAGCAGAGTCAACAACGAATAACATTGGCGACAAAATGTGCTTAATATTATTACATGTTTACATCACGTGATAAGAAGAAGAGTTGATACGATATCATAATACGTTAAAGATCGCCCGTTAATCCGGGAACATGGTGGATATCAGTCGATAACTCTCAGGTTAGTTTTAAGTATAGTATTTTATGATTCGGAAGAATTGATTCGTGTGTCCGCCAGGTGATGGGGTGACTTGGGTGTCATTTAGTCAAGAGTGTACGTGACAAGGAGTACAGTCACTAGCCAAACCTCGTGGGTGTTCCCCGGTTCCCTTCCCTTGCTCCCCCCTCTCTCTCTCCCTCTCTCTCTCCACGTGTTATTTTAGAAAAACAGCATCGATAGGTTATTATTTATTTCGTATGGCCATATTATAGTATAGTATAGGTTTTAACATTTCGTTTAAAAACATATTGGCGCATTATGGACAAAGAATTGTGGCGTCATAACACAAATCGAAATCCGTCAATCGGTGCACAATTGTCAAAGGAACAAGCATGTCAAGTTGTCAAGTTAGGCCAAGTTACAGGATAACACCTTTTGGATTATCGTTTATTTGAAGTAGTTACTGTAAGAAGGCGGAACTCGTTACGTGTCTGAGAAGAACTGATCGTAAGAAGCGCCAGGATATTGCAGAATGTGACCGACAGAAAAAGATGTTATAGATATCCGTATGCTACATATCAATTTAAAAATAAAATAATGTCATACAAAATGGATAGAATTATGAATGAAAACTATATAGCTAACATTGACCGACATGGAAGAACTATAGCTTACATTGACAGGAAAGAAGCCTTGACAGTTGGAATTCGAAATAAGAGTAGACCGTATAGCACCACTTTTCTGGTAAAATTCCCCCCTTTTCACACTCCATGTACATGGCCTACGTCGGTTATCCCAGTCCGTGCAGAACAGAAACACTTTAAACGCCATTTCATTTCACCATAATTCTATTAGTAAGTGCTGGAGAACCACAGTACACGCATAACAAAATCGATAAGACAAACCTGCGGATACCGATAAGTAAGAAAGCATATTATTAAACGCCTAATGGATGTGTCAGTATTTGCCACAATGCTGGTATATTATATATACATGTATATCTAAACTTTATCTTTCAGGTTTGGAAATCATGGCGATGTGTAGCGATTCTAGTGGCTGGGCCAAGGCAGCACTGGTAACTCTTATAATAGGCCTGGTTTTACACATAGCTGGTTGGGCCACGTTAAATTGGATGGCCTACAGCACGACAGGCAATGTGTTAACGTACGAGATTGGATTATGGCAGATGACGTCATGCAATGATGGCGATTGTAAAACAGTTAGCCTACCAGAATCTTTCGTTACGGGTAATTAAAGAAAAAAATATGATTTTACAGTTTCGTTCTATTTATTTTTCTGATTTTTTTGTTTTTTTTGTTTTTTGTTGTTTTTTTTTTGTTTGGAGTACACGTCAAAACTAAACTGAAACGAAATTGACATTTTATTTTATACAAACTGACACATTTGCAATGAGTTTAGTTCAAATGGTGAAATGTTAAACCCAGTGGTGTTGAGTTGTGGTAACGCCGTCCCCTTACAATTCTCTAATGTATGGAATTTTAATTCTTTAACAATTTCAGTTATTGCTTCCACTTTTGTAGCATCGTCGTATACATGTTTTCAAGTTAATTCAAACCGGGATCATGGGACCCGGAGCTATATATAACAGTGATTCAAAGAAATGAGCGCAATTCATATTAATTCTCATGTAAGGAATTTTGAAGCAACGGTCCCTAATAAGTATAGCCATCTGATATGTAGGCTATCTATATATTATTTATGTTAAACAAAGATGGAAATAAAAGATCGAAGACATTCTCCGAAGAACAATCATTATATTGCCACAATAAGCAAAAATATATGAGCACTTTGTATTTTTTTAAAATTATTTTTGAATACATGTTTTAGTTAAAAATTCATTCCCATGATGGTATTTATAAAAGTATGGTATATTTGGTATACTTGTATATGGAAAGTAAAGATATATAATATTACTAGAAAAATATTAGATTCCCCGTTAAAAAAATTACGGCTCGGGTAGTTCATTTGGATAAAATTGTTTTCAGATAGATTTGGAGCAAAATTATGGTAGATAAAATAGTTTTAATATGTTTTAGTCGGTGAGATGATATCTTTAAATTTTATGAATTACCAGTACCTTCTTCAGTCATTTGAATTGATAGGAGGAATCTTATTTATGATCTTTAAATAAAAGTTAAAATTATATTTACAGGGTTATTTCAAGGAGTTCGTGCTATGGAGACATTGACATTTATTGGTCTATTTTTTACGACTATCCTGTCTGCGGTTTATGTTATGGTTGACGCAGCTCGTACTAGAAAAGTTGCTGTTGCTTTGCTCGCCCTTTGTATTGTTGTTGGTAGGTATTGTGGGAGAAATATTATATATTATTAGCGGCCCAAAATAAACCCATGATCTATATCTGCGAAATGTTGGTTTAAGAAGGCGGGGGCTAATGTTTAGATTCTTAAACTGACATTAATTTTGTGGGTAGGGTGCGTTAACAATTAAAGGATGGGAGACTCTTTTCCTTGGCACGACACTTGACTAAATGATATACTTACATGTATATAGAGGCTGCTGGAAGAGAACTAATTGGGGTAACCATAATGTTATGGTACATTTCATAATGTACTTGTGGGTACGGCTCTTTAGACGTTGTAGCAAACCACCGCTCTTTGACACACAAAACAACCCTAATTCATTGTGTGGCCAACATAATACATTTCAATTATTTACTTGCGGCTAAGCTTTTGTAGACGTGGGAGGTAGGCCTAACAACTAAACCCCTTGTCACTCCCTTGAGATGTTTATCATTATTAGAACAGACCAACTATATGATCATCTCCATTTTAATCAGGAGGGGGTGGGGTGGCCGAATGGTTATTGCGTCAGTGTTGCATCATACGGCCTATCATTGAGTCAACTGGCATGGTTTCGATTCCCCGGTTGTAGGTGACAAGGAGTAGGGTCGCCTGTCCATCCTCGTGGGGTTTCTCCGGGTCCTCCGGTTTCCTCCCACTGCTAAAGACCTCTACGTGCAAGCGAATTATTGAAAAAAAATTGAACCATGTGTTAGTCCCGAAATGACATGATTTATGTCGAGTGGACGTTAAACCCTCCCTCTCTCTCTCTCTCTTTCTCTCTCCATTTTAATCTTAATATAATTTCTGTTTCAGCCGTATGTTCATTTATTGGGATGATTTTGTTTTTGGCTTATTTTCCTGATCCTTATGTGGTGTCATATTCTATGGGACTGACTATTCTCGCCTTGTTGTTATTGCTCGTATCCGGGGCTTTTATGATTCCTGACGTCACAGATTTTAGAGAAAAGGAGCCGTTTTATTAAAAGACAAATTTTGTCATTGGTGACATGATCAAAACTATAATCTATTGATAGATAATGTTCTTTTACATGAAAAAAGAAAACAAAAGATATACTAAATAATAATCAGTTTCATTTCGTTTGTTTGTAGTTGTGCCACAGTGTTGTGTAAAAATAAGAAATTTAAACGAAACGGAATTGTTTTATAATTTTTAATAAGAAGCGGTTATTTAACAGATCTGAACGTCTTTGATTTAGAACGAAATAAATTGTTGTGTACAATTTTAATTACTGAAGAGAGAAGCGCTGTTCGGTTATATTTTGACATTCAGGTCACAAATTGTCGACTGTTGAACACACCATCCGTCAATTTTTAGTTCACAACATACCGACAGCAAATGAGGTTTTCCATTCATTAAAAATTCAGACGTGACACCGTCCCTTGATGTACGCGTAACATTTTTTCAAATTATAGTAGGGGGTAACGTGTTTAGCCAAACTTACATTATTTATACAGGATTGTGGAAATATTGCTATTTTCAGTTATTTAAAGACGCCGTACACTATCAATATATTATTTATGTCTCACTCCCGACCTTTAAATCACGTAGAAAGCAAATCAACATACTTACATTTTTCATCAAAACGACAGCGGTCGTCTCCCTTTACCCTTTACCTGAGCTGTTTATTATTTATCACCTGAGTAATGCAATATAAACTGGAATGGGGTTTAATGTCCCACTTTTCTGCACCGACTGGTCTAATGAAGACGGACATACGACCTACTCTTATTTCGAATTTCAACTGTCAAGGATTCTTTAACGTGCACGCGAATGATTTTTCGTCCATTCCGAACGACTATACGTTGTTCAGTAAAAAAAATAACTATGTACGTAAACATTAATATAGGGGAAAGCAATAAACCATGACAGCTTGTATATTTACTGTAATAAGTATGTAAGTTGTAAATATAATTAAACTTTTATTGTCCAGCCATAAAATAACCAAGTGTATCTTAAATATAAATCATATTGATTTTTTTACCAGGAACTTGTTGTTCTTTCTTCTTGTTATTGGAGGTGACGCTCTTCGGAAAGAGCCCCCGTCAATTTAAGTGCGGTTGATATGAAACTTGCCATGCTTTTGCATCGACTAACGGATTTCGATTTTTGACATGACGTCACAATTCAAAGATGGCTCTGGTGATGATGTCACACTTGGTTCCTGGTACCTGTTATTTATTTGTTGGTTGTTTTTATATTATTTTGTTTATGGGTTCATAAATAAATGTTTGCTATCAATTGAATAATTAAAATTTAATATCAAAGTCAAAATATCAATGGTAAATAACCTTTAGGCTTTGATTCATTCGGATTGAAAAGAGGTTCATCAAAGGATTTACCAGAACAGAAGTTTATTTACAACTAAGATCATATAAATGACATATGAGTGATAGGTTATTTACATATTTACAAGATGAAGGTAACTGCGTCATTGTAATACCTCAAATGGCGGCCAGTGACCTTAATATCTTGACAGCAGAAGGGGGTGAAACTTAAAGGGGCACATGTAAGTTTAGATAAATGAAATGAAATGAGGTTTACGTCCTACTGTTCTGCTCCGACACTGACGACACTACGGCCTACTCTTATATCGAATTCCAATTGCCAAGGGATCTTTGTCGTACAAGCCAATGTGTACACGACCTCGCTTTTTCGTCCCATCCAAACGAGGAGAAACCACGCTGCAATATCCCAATGAACTTTCTAGGCCAACACCGGAAGCGACCCCGCGACCCCCAGCCCAGTGAGTCAGCGTCTTAATCACTTAGCCATCGTGGCTACGTAAGATTTGGGTAAAGAGCTGATAGTTCTCGTAATAACAGTTAAAACTAGATAATGAAAAGAGAATATGTTGAAATTCAGTCAAATTACTTCAGTCTGAGCCGAGTTATCGCCGTAAGAAGAACAGCGTAGTCTCGATTGGCATTGCTACCGAATTGTTAAGATAATGAACAAAGTCTCCATTTTTAAATTAAATCATTTCAATCGTTTTTAAATCTGTTGAAAATCCCGAGCATCGAAAGTTGGTTATGGTCTTGCTCATTTAATTTATATAAAATTTAAGGCATAAAGAAAGACCTCCAATAGGAAGATTTAGCGCCTGTATAATGCCTGTTTAAGAAGATGTAAGTTGGATTCTACCTTCTTATTGATGTAGAAAATAGGCTGGTGCAACACTCGGAAAGGGGAGGGGTTGTGGTGCCGCAGTGAGTAAGGAGGTTACAGGTTCTGATCGTTTCCAGGTGTTCTGCCATTGCCTGTCTGGAAAGGAACATCGGCTAGTTATTCGCCTGGGACAAAAAACAAAAAAAAAACAAAAACAAAAACAAAAAAAAACCCAAAAAACGTTGTTGTGCACGGTGCACGTAAAATAAAATTGACAGGTGGAAATCGAATTAGATAGATAGAAATTCAAATTTATTTCAATAGGTCGATTTCGCTGAAAGGTCTTTAGCTGCAGGAGGAAACTAGAGGACCCATAGAAAACCAACGCGGTTGAGCAGGCGACCTTACTCCTTGTCGCAAATTCAAATTCATTTCGCTTAAAGTCGAATTCGCTTAAATGTCTTTAGCTGCAGGAGGAAACCAGAGGACCCATAGGAAACCAACGAGGTTGGGCAGGCGACATTATTCTTTGTCGCATAGTAACGAGGAATCGAAACCTCGCCAGTTGACTCAATGATAGACCTGGTGATTTCAGGAAATCGAAATAAGATAAGCCGGAGTTAACTCAATTTCATTTAAAAGTGTAGTCAAGTTACGAATCAATGTCGGGTGTTTATTGAAATTAACGACGAGAGACTCTTGAACGATATATATATGTTAGGGGAAGGTTTACCGTAAGTCTAACGGTTGACCCCATGCCATATATACACCAAGTCAAAATAAGCCGGCGTTAACTCAATTTCATTTAAAAGTGTAGTCAAGTTACGAATCAATGTCGGGTGTTTATTGAAATTAACGACGAGAGGCTCTTGAACGATATATATATGTTAGGGGAAGGTTTACCGTAAGTCTAACGGTTGACCCCATGCCATATATACACCAAGTCAAAGGTTCCAAGCCAATAACCTCACCAACATTTGATTCTGCGTACCACACCAATTTCAGTTTCGCTAGAATATGATATTTGAACACGGACGTGTGCAAGTGTTATTAAAGTTGAGTAAAGTTAGTAACGTTTACCAACAATAAAACCAATGCATTTAATATAATCTAATAAATTTATCAATAGAAAGATAACTAGATTATTTTATCTACACCATGTTTTATATATTGGTATAACAATGTTATAATATCAGCTAATAGATTAGGTACATACTTAATAAACCATATCCACACGTATAAATAATTTACGAGTTATTTCCCTTTATTTATTATAATCAACCTTACACAGAAAGCCGGAGCGTTGTGGAGCTCGCAGAATATAAGCGTAGGATTACCTGTTTGGAAGCCGGCTGTGGGCAAACGCATCGAAGGCGCCAGGCGCACCACCGAGGGGTCTGGGAGACCCGGCTTGAAAATTTTGAAAACTAGACGGCCGCAAATACGTTTCATTGATGTTCAAAGCCTTTGAGTACAGCAACTAAAAAGTGTTCCAACGGAAATCCCACTCGGTGGCCAATTAACCTGAATTCCAGAAATCAGGCTGTTACTGCTGGGACTCGGCTTATAGCTGGGATAAATGGCGGTCACTTTGCTAAAACACAGAAACTGAGATTTCACACAACATATGGTATACCAAATACATGTACTACGTTTTAGTGTTACTGATGGGATTTTATGAAAGCAAACAAATGGAAAATCAAAAACCAGACGCATACTGGAATATTGTGGTAATATTATTGGTAATGTTCTCGCCCCCGTTTTTCTTAAAACGTGTTGTACAGCATCATGGGTTTATACTTTACTATTATAAAGGCTATAATATCTAACAAAAATGTCAATAGAACTCTGCCACAGAATTCTCTCTTAATTCAAATTTTAATTTTCCCGCTGCCCTGAGTCGGTCAAATAGTTCAACTTGTTTTAGATAGGGGATAAGTTCCGGATCACGTGATGGTGCCATGTCCTCTAAGTCCTTTTCACTGATACTTTGATCAGGAATGTCAAGCTCCGCATTCACCATTTTCAAAATATCAAATCGCCGAATTTTCCTTAATCCCACTTTTAGGTCTTCGACCTTTGCTCTCGTGTGATGTCGCTGCCATCTATCCAATGCGTGTCTTGCGAGAAGTTCATCGCGATCACGTGATTCGTTAATTTGAGCGATATCTCGTTCTATGGTGTGATAACCTCGTTCTGGGTGGAATAGTAAATTTCTGTATAATTTCATCCAATCTTTCTCTATATTGTCAGATATTATCTCACATATTCTATACAGTGGTCCTGAAATTTAAAATAAATTAAAGCAAAATAACTAATATAATGTCTCGTCAACACAATACTTCGGTCATTTTTATACAAACATGTGGCAGTTTTACGTTTACAAGTCTACCACAGGTAGCTAACGTAGTAGTGGTGGTGGTTCTAGAATAAGGCCGTGCTGAGTAGTAGACATACAGTAGTGGTGAGCGGAGCTAGAGAAGGAAGACTGGGTGAGTTATAGACCTAAAGTAGTTGTGGAAGTCCGGGGTGGTGCTAGAGGAAGGTCGGTGGGTATTAGACCTAAAGTGGTGGTGGGGGCTGCTGGAGGAAAGTCGGTATGGGTATTAGGCCTAAAGTAGGACGGGTAATGTAGTGTTTGATTGATTAAGGTGAAAAATGACAGGCATCACTTACGAGAGCTATTTAATGATCCTTTGTCTCTATCAGATTTGGGACCAAATGGTATACTGTAGTAGAGTTTCTCGGCTGAATCATTCGTGTTTTTACACAGACTGATTCTACGAGCAACTTCCACTGCACGTGTAGCTTCTTCATAAAAGTCCTCGGCCTGTCTCTTCTCAAATTCAGCTTCTTTTAACTGTCTTGCTAAAGCCTTGCACTCTGCCGCGAGTTTGTCACGGGTGGCTTTCTTGTTCGTAAGCCATTGTATCTTGTACCGAATTCCAGACAGTTGTCTTTGATAAATTGGTAATTTGTCTTTTAAGTCTCTTAGATCATCAACAATTTCCTCGTAATATTCTGGTAGAAATTTGTCCGATTGGCTTTCTCTCTTTATCTGCACCATCTTTTTCTCTTTAAACTCGATCTCTATGTCGAGTTCGCGTATTTTGACAACGAGTTCTGATTCTTCTTCTTTTAATGGTTCCAGTTTATCCTCCAAACTTCTACTCTCGTTCGTAAGTTTCTGCAAATCCGCTTCCGATTGACTAAGTTTAAATGTCAAGGAATGATATCTGTCTTTCGCGTCACGAAGAGTTTTCGTTCTTTCCTCTTTTGCACGTTCCAAATCACGCGCATCAGCTCTGACGTATGATCCATAATTCTCATCTGTTTTCATCCACGACGTCATTAAAAGAAGGGCAGCTCGTATATTAGAAATGGCGTCTGCGAAGAGCACGAGGAAAAGGACATTGCAACAATCTGTGGATTCTGCAAATTCTCGAACTTGGGGACAAAGATGGGAAGTATCTAAAGATATTTTTTCATTGCCTTTAAATCTCATAAAACCGGTTTTAGCATTCGACATGTGGTTTTTGATCTCTTGACGCCATTTTCCTATTTGGACCTCAAAGTTGGCGGCTGACCCGATATATCCATCCGATGTGCGATTATAGAAACTTATACAATATTTATCTAAATTGACTAAAAGTTTTTCACACGAATCCACGATGTCAGATAATTTACCTGGAAGAAATGACTGAAGCTTAAGGTAAACTTCCTTCAATAAAATTAAGTCAGATTTATTTGGGCGGTATTGTTTTGGTTTGCTGGCTCGAAAGAAGGCTTCATCGATATTTGAAGCTTTGTTGAGATCAAACACTAATACTGCCCTCATTACAGATTTAATTGGTCGAAGGTACGTTTCGATTTCATCGTGTATAGTTTTGTCGGTTCCGTAATATAACCTCTCTAGTCGAATCAATCGTTTCGTCAGCATTTTAATCTCTGACCTCATCATCTTTCTGACATCACGAATATTACGTGGTGGTGAAGCCTCGAGATGGTTTATGCCTCGTGCTTTCGATTTAATGGTGGAGAGTCGCCTTGGTGACATACGAAATCCCGCCTTCCCTATCAATGTGGGCATTCTGTAGTCGGTCACGGGATTCAACTGAAAAGAAAAAATCAAACAAAAAGGTATACCGTTATTCTATTTATTTAAAAATAAAATATAATATTTAAAAACGAAATGAAATGAAATGAAATGGGGTTTAACGTCCTACTGTTCTTCTCCTAAACTGGGCTAATGAAGACGGGCAGTGGCACTACGGCCTACTTTTATATCGAATTCCAACTGCCAAGGTATCTTTTACGTGCACACCAATGTGTACATGGGATCTCAGTTTTTCGTCCCATCCGAACGACTAGACAGCTGTCCTTGTCAGGCCCTCCGTCCTACATCACTGACAAGGGGAAACCACGCTGGAAAATCGGGATGAACTCTCTCGGCCAATGCAGGGATCGAACACCCGACCTCCAGGCTAGCGAACCAGCGTCTTACCTACTTAGCCACGTGATCCCATATTTAAAAACACGGATTCACCCAAATCAGTGAGGGTTATAATGTATCCCTCTCTTTAAGTCAGATAATAATAATTTCGAGACTTATTAATAACACGATAGTCACGGTGGCTCGACGGGTCTTGCTTGAGAAGGTTCCTAACTTTCCCCCGTCAGGGGTGCAGGGGCAAGGAATCGGTACAAAGGGGTGTCGCTCGTGTTTAGTCCACAATTGGCAGCATTTTAAAGATCCTCTGACAGAATTCGAAATACGAGTAAAGACAAGGTTAAAGTGTCCCTTATAATACACAACATGGCGTATGACCGTCTTCGTCATCCCAGTTGGCACAGAAAAGTAAGACGTTAAACCTCATTTTGTTTCATTTAGTATTAACACAAATAAGTGTATAACACACAGAATGAAATGTTGGCGGGACTTTAACGGGATTTCAGTTCAATATGTTTTTTAAAAATGCATTTACAAACATATCTGTGGTATGATCATTTTTACGTTTGTTATGATATGAAAAAAATATAACTATGCCAATTAATGTATAAAAGAGCTGTGGGGTTCAAGGGGGTTTATACTGGCTAATTGAAAGCACGAATAAATATCGATAAAGGCTTAAATTGATCGTTCTATTCACTGGTGTCAATTTACTCTTGATTTCAATACTAACAATTAGGCCATGTCTACATAATTCCGTGAGATTATCAAAATAATATTAAGTTAATAAGATATGAAATCAAATAAACGGATTGTCAATAATAATATAAGAGGTCAAGTCCGGCCGATTGAAAAAAAATCAATCAGGATAATACTTTCTGAAAAGAGAAAAATTGTTGGATTTTCAACGGGCAAGGTTAAGCGTATGCCATTGAAATGTAATATACTTCATGAAAAGAGGGGGAAATGCTGGATTTTAAATCAGTATAGGGTCAAATCCATATCATTGAAATGATATACATAAAGAATAATGAAATTCAGTTTTAACTATAATTTGAATAGTGATGTGTATGTAATTGCCTCGATTAATCAGAGGTGAGATACACCCTAATTAGCCTTCGCCCTGTGATTGTGAAAGTCTTATGTATGAATTGCGCGCTTTTTAACTTGAGCGCTATGCCGGAACATTCTCATTTTATGAAGATGTCTTAGCCGTTGGCAAACTATGATATATATATTTATATATTTATACTTATTTCAAACTGAATGGAAGGGGACCCGTTTGAAACTTGTCAAGCTAGACAAAGGTTGGTCCTAATCGTTCTAAAGAGTCTCGGTAGTCAAACGATAAGGTACTGGTCTCTCGACTAGAATGTCTCGGTGTCGAGACGTACCATCCAAAGTTTTCTCGCCCGCTGTTCACTTGCCTAGTCGTTCGGATGGTATGAAAACCCGCGATCCATTCGTATACTTATTGATTTCCTCGTCAAGGAATCCGGAGCATTTGAAATCCGAAAAAATGAAATGGGGTTTAACGTCTTACTTTTCTGTACCGACCGGGTAATGAAGACGGTATACACCATGCAGTGTGCTATGAGGGAAATTTACCGGAGAGCGGCCCTAAGGTCTACTCTTATATAGAATTCCAACTGCGGGATCTTTTACGTGCACGCTAATATGTACACGGGGAATCTGATTTCCTCCCATCCGGACGACTAGGTAATGTTCTTACCAGGCCATCCGTCCTGCACCAGTGACAAGGGGGAAACCAAGCCGGAAAATACCGAGGAACTTTCTCTGTCAAAACCGGTAGCGAGCTGAGTCCTCCGGGCATGCGAGTCAGCGTCTTACTCACTAAGACACCACGGCTCTACAATTAGAAAAAGAGCAACTGGAAACGCCGTTGTCCGAGTACGGGTAACCATAGAACGTAAATGAAAATTGCCATACTATGTTAGTCTCAACACGTATTGTGTTGATGAGTCTTTAAACCCCATTCCATACCTAATCCATCAAGATAACCATTATAAAATCTGGATATTCCGGACTATCAACTTAGGTGGATTGTAATTGACGTTATAGTAATGTGTTTAAATATTTGTTCAACATTTTGTATGACAAATAAAGCAATAGCAAATATCAAAGTCCAAATTTGATTTACACAATCTTTATCAATAGAAATATAGCTAAAGAAACGTGAAATTCTGCCGGGCCAACTCAGTCCTAATAGCAATCAAAACGAACCGGAAAATTTCCATTTAAAATTATTTGATTTGATTTGGGCTAATTTATACTTAATACTTTTCGTTTATTATTCCGTTCCGAACGAAGAGGGGGGTGGGGGCGGGGGGTGGAGGGTGTACTGAATAGGTTTCCATCTGTCCTTCCGTCCCACTATCTTTTCCAGATCGTATCTCATAAATCGTTCTCATTTTAGTTTTGTCGTTACTTTAGCTGTTTATGAGTTTTGATTTATTACATAATATCTCTTACAAATGAAATGACATCATGACTTATTTCCTTGGTTCAACATAACCAAAGTAGAGCCTGTAAAGCCTGTGTACGTAAGCTCCTGCGAATGAAAAACTTTTAAAATAATTTAAAGACATACTCTAAGATTGATCAAAGATTGCAATAATAGCTAATCTATATTAAAAATTCAACAGTCTATTTAAAGGGCCATTTGATGGGGCTTTGGACATCATTACCGGTCTGAATAAAATAAGCCTGGGGTTTTATTTTTCATGCGATATTAAAGATTCATTACTGTAAGATTTAGATAAAGGGGTGGTCGTTTTTGTTATAATAGATAATGAAAATTAATATACTGAAAAAGTCAGTCAAATTACTTTATTCTGAGCGAAGCTATGAGTGTCTGAAGTTTACACTGGATAGTCTCGATTATCAAGTATCATTGCTAAGATAATAAACAATGTCATGATTATCCATTGTATCATTAAATTATTATTATATTGTGAGGCAGTTCTAATAGGTAAATCCAGCACTGAACATGGACCTTTAAATTTATATAAACTGTTTGGAAAACGTGATGATTATATATGTTGTTAATAAAGGAAGATAATACCGTGTATAGGTCAATAGATAAACTAAATAGAATTGTAGTACATTATACGAAACTTATGATATGTGTTTACACTACAATTAGCTCCGCTTGATAATAGACACGAAGCTAGTTGACCAACATTTTAATTCCAATTTCCACGATTTTAATCGAAAACACTAAGTATACTTCGAGAATTTTGAAAAGTAATTTATTCCGCGTCTATTTACATAATATTTATGTAATGAAATTGAACATGGTTATTTAGTCGTTAGGTGTATGAAAGGGATTAGAACCGCATAATTTATCAATATGTCGGCCATTCAGGACAGAGATCTATTCTCAAAGTTGATAGGTCTCTGTGTACAGAATGGCTGTACATATCACAACAGTTTTATAATTTGCTGAATGTATATATATACAATGTACTTCAACTGTATCTTGCTTATCTTAAAAAGGTTATAGATTTTATTTAGTATGTCAATGTATTGGTTTTAAATCCAACCTTATCTATGTGGATAGTGTAAGAGTCAAATAAATCGGGATTTAATTAATTTAATAAATTTAAAATAAATCGTTGCCTAGCTTTGTATCATTATTTTGAAGTTTATAATTTATCTACCTAATAGATGCATGTTATAAATAGCTGTATCGTTATGTATCTTTATGAAAACCATTTTATGTATTAGAAAAACTCAAACTGTTCGGCGATAGGACATGTGATTGATAAGTCATCTGAATGGCACGGTAAACTGTTTGTCAAGGACTTCTTGGAGAGTGAGCCATGTGCAAAAGGGTATGTTTCCTGTGCGCAGAGCAAAACGAGGCTAAAATGTTTTGGATTTTGCCCAACTAAACCACAAAATAAAACCCAGAGGAAAATAGGTCTTTGCCCTAATAGATTTATAACAAATACTTTTTTTTATGTTTTCTTTTATATTTACTTTTAATTCTTACTGGATTAAGTACATACAGTACATTTGAACTAAAATACACTCAACCCACAAGACATTTGAACGAAAATTCATTTAATTGATGTAAAAGTTGACTGACAGGACATTTGAACGAAAATACATTTGGCCGGCAAGAATTTGCACAGCAATATATTTGAACGTTTGGGGATTTGTACAAAGAAAATTGACCGGCATGGTATTTAGTCACGCGTTATTAATTTAGAAATTTTAAAATAAAATATATCTCAAATTGTGTTCCGTTATGACACAGATCCGATTTCATTTATAAGCCTATTTGTCTGGATCGCCGGAGACGCTTTCTAATTGATTGTAAAAACCGTTCAAAAATACCACAGTTACACCATTACGGCTGAGTTCAAATTCAAGGTTCACTTCTATATTAAATTCAGGTCTTTTCATACTGTATCTAACTGAATAGTTACTTGCGTGCAATAACCTGGAGAAAAGAGAACGTGTGGCCAAATTAGTGGGGGGGGGGGCAAGCCTCTTTAGCCCCACTGCATTCCGCCGGGCCTGGGAACAGGCGTAACAACCTGGCTATCTGTATTAATGTATGTTTTGTTAAAATGGTATTGATTTAGCCGATATTTTTCGGAAATGAAATGTGGTTTAACTTTCTAATTTTCGGCAACAACCGGGTTATATGAAGACTGGTATATTTGTGCTGTGGGGAAAATTTCGCCAGGACAGCGTCATTTTCGCTTACTCTTCATCGAATATAGTTTTATGGACCTTTAAAAACCATTAAAAAACACCCTCTTCCCCTCGCTGAAATAATAAAAAATGTACCAAAGTAAGCCACTTACCCTTAAAGACATACCTAAATCGTTAATTTCCCAATATTCTCAAACACAATAATACCATCGGTTTAAAGATACAAGACTCGCTCTCTATAACAACGATACCTCAAAATTAATCGTCGTTAATATTCTGGTCAATATACACGTACAATTATATATGTATAAATAATAATAAACACGCGGCTCTTTGACAACCAAACTCGCCCAGTCATTCGTTGTCTATTATTGAGAAAGGAGATAGGTCAATATTCATTTTGTATGAATTACATACATAGGTTCATATCGTATGCTTTATAGTCTGGAGACTATAACAATAATGTATATTTTCATAGCATAATGCTAACCCATTCATAAAATGGGGTTTAACGCACCAACGCAACTAATGAAATGAAGTGAAATGAATGTCGTATTTTACTTCACCGAGCTAATCAAGACGGGCATAAGCCACGTCGTCTGCTACAAGGGATATTTTGCCCGGACATCAGTGCTATGAAATACTCTTATTTCGAATTCCAACTGCCCATGGCTCTTTAACGTGTACCCGGTTTTTCGTCTCATCAGAAACACTAGACATGTATCTAACCTGGGACCCCCTGTTTAGTGAGCCAGCGCCTTACTTACTGAGCCGCCCAGCAACGGGTCTACACTATGCACTGTGCTGTGAGTGGAAATAAATTAATTTCTTTAAAAGTGCGGAACCAACGGTGTCTCGAAGAATAAGGCTTCCAACTGGTCAGTGATGCCGAACGGAGGGTCTAGTTAGAATACAATCAAGGTGGGAACGACGCTGTCCGGGCCAAATATCCCCATGGCAAACTGTATGTTCATCTTTTTTAGCCCCGTTGGTGTTGAACAGTAAAGCACTAAACCCCATTTCATTTCATTTAAATTCATTTCATTCAAAAAAAAAAAAAGAAGGAAAAAAAAAGACGCTGGATCGCTACTGTTGACCGAGAAAGTTCATCGGACTTTCCGGCATGGTTTCCCCTTTTCAGTGGTGAGGTAGGTATTCTAAAGGGTAGGTCGTATAGTGCCGTTGTCTGGGCAAAATTTCCCCATAGCACATCGTATGACGTTCCCGTCTTCATTAACCCAGTCTGCGCAGAAAAGTAGGGCGTTAGAACCCATTTTATTCTCCAAATCCCCCGGTAAAAATGTTTGAGGATCCGCGGAATATATTGTCTACATATATGTATTCTCTATGTATGTGAAAACAATCAATACAATTCAATAGGATTATATGACCGTATAATAATGTATATTCATGTCTAAGATATATGATTTCGTGGTACATTATACGAGTTGTAATATGAACAATAGAAACTCTACTAACGTACAATAACATAGTATTTTCTTTTCAATATAATAAAATATAATGTGACTAGTGTATAAGTTTATAAATCATAGCATTCTTGCATGCGATACATTTTATTTAGAAGCCGGCGTTAAAAATACATTTAAAGCTATTTATTCTAAAATATATCTACTTTAGGGTATATTACGTGTATTGGGATTACAATTACAAAGGCTTGGGTAAAAAGGGTACAGTTTTATTTTACTCTAGGTAACTCTAATCCCAACGTTTGATCTCAAATAAAGGGAGATAATTACAGCTTCAATTTTTTTTATGTGTGTAGCTACAAAACACAAGCAGTTTCAGACAACACTAGTGTTACCGGGGTAAAAAAAAAACATATCTACATAGATTCCGCTTACACCGCTTCGATATTTTAGTGACATAAGAATTTAACCTATTATATTCTAAATTATTTGTGTTTTGTGTAAAACTTTTAAGGCTGTTATCCGCACATAAATAATATTTTTTTTAAAAATAAGCTAACACTTAACACCTTAACTACGTACGATAAAGTGTTAACTCTTAAGGTAGAGTGTCCTATTGCAGCGGCCCGTGTAAAAGAGGGAAAACCTGTTTGAACTGAGATCAGTATGTGTAATTAAAAGTAAAAACAATGCGATAAAGTCAAAACAAATGAGGTAGTGTTAAGTTTCGTGGCAAAAAATTAAACAAAAGAAACATACGACAGAAATGAGCGTATAAAGTTATTAAATTCAACATTTTCGGCAACAATCATCCAAGCATAGATAGAATATCCAAATTTTTCTTTTGTACACCTTTTCCTGGCGACATACGGTTGGTAGATTTTAACCAATCAGACGATAGGATACCCATTATGCTTGGTCTTTCATCTATATCCGGGTTCAACATTTGGATTATTAAACTCTGGCAATCGGGGTCAACTATGTCTTTAACTTGGATAGGAACTGTAATGCTATGAGCCATTTGTTTATTCACCATACTTTTCAAATCTGATTCATCAAATGGCATCGATCCACAAACCATAATATATAAAATACAGCCTAAACCCCAGATATCATTCAAAATAGGATCATAAGGTACTCCGCACAGCAGTTCTGGTGATGCGTACGCGGTACTTCCGCAAAATGTTTTACTCAGCGTTCTGCTAGTTGTGTCGATTTCCCGTGCAAACCCAAAATCACTAACCATAACGCTACCATCATCTTTGAGCAAAATATTTTCACACTTCAAATCTCTGTGAGCAATTCCTATACTGTGAAGATACTGCACCGCTTCAGCAATTTGTCTGAACATGCTTTGCGCGTGCCCATTGGACAATGCTCCGTTATTTTGTATAAATTCTAAGAGATCGCCAATCTGCGCATAATCCATGATAATTATAGTGACGTACGGGAGAATAATTATCTCTCTGTATTCGGTAATGTTCGGATGACTCAGTTGTAAGCTAGTCGCCAATTCTTTTGGTAAAAACCTCTCTGAATAGCATTTATACTTTTTTCTATCTATTATTTTGGCAGCAAATTCTTTTCCGTCCGAAATTCGTTGGACCAATCGAACTTTTGAGTAGCTCCCCCTTCCAATCTCGTGCTCCAATTTATATCCCTTGTCAGCAAATATCTTCTCCTTGTCGTAAGCGGACTTCAATTTCAACGGTTTAGCTTTGTTGAGATCTTCAGTACAATTCCTAACATACTTTTTACTTTGCTGTCTAATCCGACTGGTTGAAGCAATATTGGGATTTAAATTCGAAAATGCTTTTACACCTTCACTCTGGGTATCTTCTTTGTCTTTTTCTCGGAACACCAGTCCAATTTCAGATTCTGTTTTTCGGCATCTTCGGACTCGCCCCGATCTTCTGATTGGCAGCGATCTGTGGAGATTGTTAAAGAACTTTTTAACACTACCTAATACTTTATCAGCTGTGGTTGGTTGTTGTCGCAGTGTGCGGTAATTGTTTAATACATCCCAGCTGAACACAGGGGGTCTCATTGATATGAGCCCCTGCCGTTTCTTTCTTTTATAATCTAGGACCAAAACTACTTAGCAATGATTGTTACGACATAGATAATATATGATGTCATAATACCCTGACGTTTTTGATTCGAAATTAAAAGTTACTCTTTTCTCATTAGAAATGAAATGGGGTTTAACAATAAAATCCTACTTTTATAAAGCAGAAGAGCTAATGAAGACGGCCACACGCCATGCTACGAAGAAATTTTGCCTGGGCAGCGGCATTTCCGCCTACTCTCCATCGAATTCCACACGTCAAGGGTTCTTTTACAAGCCACGGGACCTTGATTTTTTTCCCATCAAAATTTTAAATTGATGAATTGATTAGAAATTGGATACCAGAAAATAAATCGAAATGACGAAGAAACAGGAAAGTATCATGTTACCTTATCACAACAATGTGACAACGTGAACGTCTCGGAAATTTTCCTAACGGGAATTTCTCAAAGGGGGGAGGGGGGAAGGGGATGATTAAAACCGGACCACGCAACCCCCTACCTCAACTACCCACACACCTCTCAAGACATTCCGACTTTTTTTTTTGTAAGACCTGAGATTCTGACTTTTAACCTTTGCAGATTGTTTGGTTCGAAAATAACCCGTTCTGAAAGTCCAGGGCCCTGTTTCTCGAAATCTGAACTAAAGATAAAATACAAATTTTAGTAGATACTTCAATTTTGACTGGCTAAGCACTAAAATCAATCTAATATTATCCTATCAAATTACTAAAATTTGGATTTTATGTTAGTTAAAATTTCGTGAAACAGGTCCCCGACGGTTAATTCGCTTATATCTATGAATGTTGAGCTGAAGATGGTATCTATCCTAGATTATGTTTAACCGTCTAAAGAACATTTTCAGTTATAATTTGTGCATTTATAAGACACTAAAACAGATAGGACAACAAATGAAGTATATAGTTAGCCTCTAAAACAGTGGTCCTCCACCTTTTTCCACTTGTGGACCACAAGGCATATTTTACAAATTTCCGAGGACCACCAGACATTTAGATTTACTCTCTTCAGTCTTCGGGCAGATTTCATGTATAAAAGGCACGAGGACATAGAGTGCATCCATAACCTTTCTCATATGTCATTGATAAACACCAGACATGAAATATTTTGGTACCATCGTACATTGCTTTTTCTCCCCAACAACATTCAGCCTTATTTGATGGTAGATTCCTTATTATATGCACAGGGGCGGCGGAGCAACCAGAATCTTGCCAAGAGTATCCAGGGATAATATTTGGGGGCCATTTCTAGTGATTCTATGTTCCTACAATATTTCCGACAAAATGATTTTGAAGACATCGCTACTGAAATTCATTGTCTGATACCGATACCAACATTTGGCTATCGTTTTTCTCCCGATCCCCTATCTCTCCGCACCCCCCACCCTCGAGGACCTTTTGTAAAGTGATTAAGGGCGATGATTCTTTGAAATCGATAGGATTTTTTGTCTAATGAACTTAATAACCAGTATAAATTTTAGATTATAACTTTAGCCTCTAGAGCATTCATATTTCCATGTGGGCCTAAAATACAAGGGATGTATCACCAGTGTTTGAGACTAGCAACAAATAGATTCATACTGTAGGTAGACTGAACTCCATCAACACAAAATATAATCAAGTATTCAATCCAATTTTAATTAACATATTTATGTCATACTCATTTATACATTTACAAATGTACATGTAAATTAATTATACCATTCAAGGAACCATTATTTCAAACATTATTATATTCCATTATATGTAAATTATACCTTTCAATCAACACAACCTTCACATTAACAACAGGTTTATTTTATTTTTCATTTTACTCATTACATGATTATTAATTTAAAACATGTAATTATTACATTCCATTAACACTCCTCTAGAACTCTTTCTATGGAATTTAATCTATATTAAGTGCAGGAGACCATACATTAAGAGAAACCCAAAGGACAAACCAGGATATGTGCAAGTAATAAACAAAAGTAATATCAAATCGGGTGATTGGACTTTGCCTTAATTAGAAGGTAGGACTCATTCCCAAAGCAATGGCTATGAACATTAAGAGTTTATTTTAAATGGTGACATTTGATAGCTTGGCAACTGTTTTTATTGGTCTACTTAGTTAACAAAATAGTTTATACATCCTCTGGTGTTTTTACTTTTATTGACCATATATCTGTTATACATCACACAGACAGTAGTTAAACTTTAAGATAGGTTGCCAGACAATGAAACATGTGATAGAGAGAGAGAAATGGGGTTTAACGTCCACTCGACACAAACTATTTTATTTCAATAATTCACTTGTGTGTAGGGGTTTTTAGCAGTGGGAGGACCCGGAGAAAATCCACGTACAACCGAGGAATCGAAACCACACACCAGTTGAATGACAGACTTTATAGTACAGCGCGCACATGCTAGCCATACAGCCATCCAACCCCCCCCCCTCCCCCACGAAACATATGCCCAAAGCAGCTAAATCATCCACAAATTTATTATTTAGTAGATAATGGGGGCATTTACAAGACACTGATATCAATTTCATACATAGATCGGATGATAACTTTTGTTGAAATAGTATTCACAAGATTCTACAAAGTGAAACAAGGACCACAACTCTAGAAGTAATTAAAAGAAATTCCTAAAATTCGATAGGCTTTTTCGTTTCACTTACATGTATTTAAATATTGCATATAAAGTTGATACAGATTAAATGATGTCTTTTGTTAGAGAGTCCACAAGGTTTCAAAAAGTGAAACAAGGGACAAAAGTCTAGAAGCAATTAACGGAAATTCCTGAAATTCGAGGATTCTTTGTTTCACTAATTTAAATAAATCATATAAATTTCAAACAGATTGGCTGATAACTGATAAAATACATATGATGAACTCCGGCATACAGCAAACAGTGGGTTATGAAGGAAATTTTGCCAGTACAGTGGCGCTATGGGCTACTCTTATTTCGAATTCTAACTGTCAAGGGTTATTTTACGTGCACACCAATGTTTACATGGGACCACTATTTTTTTGTCTGATTTGAACACTGACCCACCACAGCTTCCCTTGTTATGTTGGTATAGGATCCAACTTAACATTGATGCCAGACTTTATTATCCATGACTTAGAAATTGACAACTCAGCCACCCTGCACTATTTTTTCTGTCTGCCATTCTGTTTCAGAGCATTCAGCTACTCTGCACCCCTTTCCCTCTACCATTCAGACCACTGAGCCACCCTCGCAACCATCCATCTACAATTTAGACAACTGAGCCACCCTCGCAACCATCCATCTACAATTTAGACAACTGAGCCACCCTCGCAACCATTAATCTACAATTTAGACCACTGAGCCACCCTCAAAACCACCCATCTACAATTTAGACAACTGAGCCATCCTCGCAACCATCCATTAACAATTTAGACCACTGAGCCACCCTCAAAACCATCCATCTACAATTTAAACCACTGAGCCACCCTCGATGTAGTGATTCACTAATAAATGAATGCCCAAACTGCTTATTCTAAATACATGAATAGATAATGTAAATTTTGAAATGTTAAATTTTATCACATTATAACTAGACATTAGGCCTTGAAATAACAGTTATACCAGAAGTTGTACCTGGCAAATATAAATTTATGTACTAAAAATATTGGTAAAAACATAAAAATAAGACCAGAATGATAGGCACCAGGAGAACTGTGTCTGACAAATCCAGAATTTGTGCCTGAGATTGTCTGTGATAGTTGCCCTATTTCAAGGCTTGGGCCCTAGTAGTGTATCACAATTTTTTGATTAACTCATTTTTCTTGAAATTCCTTCTATGTACATGTACTTCTTGGATCACCATGGTAGTTCTCCATTATTCCACCACTGTATCTACAAAACTACAGCCATATTGAATCATCATTTTCAAATTTAGAAATAGCACAACTCTTCTCCACAGCAATCACTGATAATAGGTTCATTGCTTTTCCTCCACTATTCCAACATGAGTCGACGACAATGATAGTCATATTAGATCATCATTCCCTTGTTCCTTAAAAATTTCGGAGGATCTACTCCAGTCACAGCCATGATTGATAATTGGTTTGTTGGTCTTTTGAAATTGTGAAGGCCACAACTATTCAATATGTTGATGTTCTTGCCATAAAGTACGAACTTTGTCTATAGCACCTTGTCCGTATCGACTGTTAATAAAAAGATGACTTGTACATAATAATATAAATATCCAGGCACACCATAATAAATAATCGGATTCAACAGTTGGTATACTACTTAATGGTCCTATAAAATCTTCTTCTTCTACTTCTATAGATGAATTAGCTTCTAAACCTGTAACAAAACAATTACATAATAAAAATACCAGTCAGACCAAACCAATTTATTTTTTAGCTCTTCAGGGTCTTGATCAATAAATAACCCATTCAATTCTTGTGTGCAATGTTTGGTAATATTTTCAAAACTTATAAGGGTCAATCTCGATTATATTTTGGAGAATAAAACTGCTTAATTTTGTGTTAAAAGCCCTAAAAATCCTTTACCTTAGGCCTGAGCAACTAACTCAATATACGTGATACGTTTTCAAACAACTTAAACCTGTAAGTTTTCAAACAACTGGAAATGGAGACCGGTGGCCCAGCTGTATTATAGAGTGTCTGGATAAACCGAGACTTATTTTACCAAAATAATGTTTAGGTGAAATTTAGCTTTCGTTATCCAAGTACAGCACATGGGTTATGCCCAGACCTCTGAAGAAACGGCAAAAGATTATCAGGTCACTCACCGAAAAAATTAACCCGAAATCTTAAAAGGGTTACATGTCTGGATAAATGGTTTTGACGTTCACGTCCAAACGACTCAATATTTTGAGCTGTACTTTCGAGACAAGGTAAATACAATATTCCTCTATAGTTTGGCACTTAAATTTCATACGTACACTGACTTTTATTTCTGAGACTCTGTTAAAATCGGGATGGTCCCTTTAAATATTTAGATCTAAAAGTACTTTTTTTTAATCTAAATTAGTTTGGATTTTTTTTTTAAGACTGTAGAATTTTAACAGGTTTTTACAGAACAGAAATTCAAATTGGTGTGGCTTGTTATGTAATTTTTATGCCATTAGTTGATTAGAGTCTTCATATAGATATATGTAGATAATTAGCCACTTGAGTCCCATTTCAAACTTAAAATACAGGAACGAAGAAGAAATGAGAGAGAGAGAGAGAGAGAGAGTTTGTGCGCACATGCTAACCATTCAGCCATACCCGCCCCCCTGGAAGAAATAAGAAGTGTCACACAATTACAACTGTCCCTGAGAACCCAGAACATAATGTGTTATCTGGTATAAGTCTGGCCTATTCAAGCACGGAGCTGCAGTGACTTGATGAGTAGGACTTTGGCTCATTAACCGGAATGTTCGATTTGAGTGTTGGCAAAGAAAAAGAAAGGTTCTAAGATTTTCCATTCTGGTTACCCCTTGTCAGTGGTTTAGGACTGAGGGACTAGCAAGGCAAAACATCTATTAGGATTAGTCGTGAGAGAGAGACTAACAAATGGTTCACTTCTATTTCAATAAATCGCTTGCACGTAGGGGTCTTTAGCACTATTAGCAGTGGGAGGCAACCAGAGAACCCAGAGAAAACCCACAAGGTTGGATATTACATGGAAATATTTGTAATCATTTGGATGGGAAAGACAAACTGCAGCCCGATGTATACCATGAACACTATGTTAAAGATCCCCTGACTGTACGCATTGTAAAATTCCATTCATATCATACTGCATGGCGTATCCCCATCTTCATTTGCCCAGTCAGTGTAGAAAAGTAAGATGTTAACCCCATTTCATTCATTCAATTCATTTATTACTAAATACATAATAAGATAAGCTATCATACCTGTAACATTAGTGACAAATTCAACAAGTTGTTGAAAACTTCTGTTGGTCTGATTGAATCGAACAGCTGATCTAGACTGATGAAACACCATTATATTAGGTACAGCTACTGTCCCAAACCTCGCATTTAAACTGAAATAAAAAACTTGAAATTATCAATCTAGTTTAAAGACAGATTGCCAGGAAACAAAATATACACCCGCAACAGCTAAGTCTGTCAAGCAATCCATAAGGTTGGCACATTTCTATTTTTTTGTAGGTACTGGATCATTTACATGTACAATACACAAAACTGGTTGGGGGCAACAACCCATGAAGTAATTATCAAAAATATTCAAAATTTAAAGGCTTCTTTCCGGGAGTAACTTAAATCAAAGCGGTAAATAGATTGCAACTAAGCTGTTCGATTTGAAAATCAATAGGATTCTCTGTCACATAATATAAACAATGTGCAGAAATTTCAAAACAATCAGAGGATATATCAAGGATAATAACTATGACTCATGAGAATAAACACTGCCGTATGAATTTCAAGTCAAACAGATGATAAATTTAGCCTGTTGTATTCCCACAAGGAATTGTGGACCCTGCTTCCGAACAGACAGACAAAGGTGGCGAAATGTACAACAACTTTTCGATGTGGGAGTAAAAAAAAAAAATCCTTTAAAACTGGGGCCTATTTCACTAAATTTTAACCAAGATAAAATCCAAATTTTAGTAATTTGATTGGATAATATTAGATTGATTTTAGTGCTTAGCCAATCAAAATTGAAGTATATGTATCTACTAAAATTTGGATGTTATCTTTAGTTAAGATTTCGAGAAACAGGACCCTGAGTTACAATGCTCGATTATTGCCTTGATATAGAATTTTAAGAGAAAGAAATGATTGAATGTACAGGCTTCCTCATGTATCATATAACTTGTCGGATGACATGTTTACACAGTCTGCTGACAAAGTTAATAATTTTTTTAAAACAGAAATATACATGAGCGCATGTACAACATGTTTTATCAAAGTTATAATAAATCAAACATATCTAGACCCACAGTTACAAGATTTTAAAAAACGTGCCTTCATGTACATTATATTGATTATAAATACACTAGGATATGTAATGTAATAAAATCTGGATAATTAGGAAAATGAAATTGTTTAATAATAACTGTTTGAAATAGAATCAATGAAACCATGTGTAGCTGTGGGTACTTCTATTCTATCTACTGGTAACAGGTGGCTGGCTCAACCCTTCATATTTTATGTCAACTCAGCAGGTATAGTCCGCTATATGTTTAAATGTAAATTAAATAATTAAATCAACTCAGTATGAATAATAATTATTGTCTGTTTGTGTAGTTTTGGTTGTTTTTGTTTGACGACCTCGCCAATCTTAAGAATACAGTATAGTATACAGTACTGAGTATACACTATAAATTGTAACAACAAACCTGGCTTCTTTTCTTAAACATACCGGCAAGAAAAATATCAAATATATGGCATTTTATACCCCTCCAAATTTTGATTTGATATAGAGCTATTAATAAGTCGCTGCTGGTTTGTATTTGAAGATAAATAGTTAAATCTTTTATTTTTTAATTAGCTTATTACTACCCTTACTGTAAATTTATACTAATCAACACCAGTCCCAGATTGATTTTCGTAATAATAATAATAATAATGAGGTTTTATATAGCATCTTCTCCATGTTGACACATGCTCAAAAAGCTTTTAGTAATGGCTCTACTGGTAAAACTGTCGAAACAGGAAAGTCTTTAATGCGGATTTCAATTGAATTAAAGTCTGTTGATTCTTGATCTGTTGTGGAAGTTCTTTCCATAATCTAGGACCAGCTGAACTGAAAGACCTATACCCATACACAATAGATAACCCTATTATTGATAACCCAATTGAATGATAATTAACTGAGTATGTGGATTAGAAAATATATTGTGACGTGGAAAAAAGTTATCACCAGATTCAAAGTTTAATCGCCAAAATTATATTTTTATCGCAATTGGCCGAAATGGTGATTGACAGTGTAAACATTGATATAAAGCATCCAGCAATCAAATCAAATACTCATTATCAAACTTTGTCAAGGTGTTGATGCAAGAAACTACACACACAGTTAGGGGGGTTGGATGGCTGAATGGTTAGCGTGCACGCGCTGTATCATAAAGTCTGTCATCGAGTCGACTGGCGTGGTTTCGAATCCCCGGTTGTGCGTGGCAAGGAGTAGGGTCGCCTGTCCAACCTCGTGGGTTTTCTCCGGGTCCTCCAGTTTCCTCCCACTGCTAAAGACCCCTACGCGCAAGCGAATTATGTAAATAAAATTAAAACCATATGTTAGTCCCGAAATGACCTAGTTTGTGTCGAGTGGACGTTAAACCCCATTTCTCTCTCTCTCTCTCACACACAAAGTTTCATCTCTATCACTCAATTAGAAACAAAAATCACAATTATCATGTCCCAAAGCATTGACAAAACAAACTGCTTATCTCGGCTTAGTGTAAGCAGGCAATGCTCACTATCAAACTCAAGTCAATATCTTCGCTTAATGAACATTACACAAAAAGAAGCAGAGCGATTTTGTTCCATACAATGTGATGGAGAGAGAGAGAAATGGGGTTTAACTTTTAACGTCCACTAAACATAAACTAGGTCATTTTGGGACTAACATATGGTTCAATTTTATTTCAATAATTTGCATGCGCGTAGGGGTCTTTAGCAGTGAGAGGAAACCGGAGGAAACCCACAAAGTTGGACAGACAACCCTTGCTTTCTTTGAAAGGCTGGGGACAATTTTGTACAGTTAATAAACATACTTGCTAAAATGAATAGCATCCACTGCTAATACATCTAGTTGTTTAAATGCTCGTCCCACTGCATTAAACTGGGCAGCTGTCTTCGCACAAAAGGGACACCAGGGGGCATAAAACATGATTAAAACACAATCCGTAGAATTGTTATTTTTATCAAAGCTTAAGAAGTCCAGCAGTGTGGTACTGTTAACAATACGAACTACAGCCGTAGTATTCTCAGTGACATTTCTTCCAGTACAATTAAACTTCATCTTTTTTGATGTATCTGTGATATTTTTTATGTCCTCCATGTGTGTTTCATTTGTCTGCTTGACTGTGGTAATCTGCGTGCTGTTTGATAATTCAGTTTCATTTTTATCTTTACCCAAATTCAGCCCTTCTTGAAATTCTTGTAAAACAGGATTCAACCATTTTTTAATAAAATTAGTTAATGAGAATACTTCTGGATTATTCTGGGTGGTGCCTTTTTCCTCGGATAAAACAGATTCAGATTGATCACCCAGAATTCTGACTTCCTCCGACATTTCTGTCTGATCATTTTCTGATTTACTTTCTTTTTTAGTGAATGTCTGAGTTTCACTTTTAACAATGTCATCTTTGTTGGCAGAATCGCTACTGTACGTCACTTCCTGATTGTCAAAGGTTTTATCTGTCACATGATGTATTTCTTCTGTGTCTTGAACAGAGAATGAACCTCCGTCAACTCCTTGGCTGCCTTCAACCATTTCACAGCTGACTGATTGTAGTAGACAAGCACACATCATCCACACCAACATCTTATCTGGAAAACAAATATGATTTGATACAATAAACCAATAATTTTATTCATTTAAAGGAGGAGTCACGGTGGCAAAGTGGGTAAGACGCTGGCTCGCTAGCCCGGAAGTTGCGTGTTCGATTCCTGTATTGGCCGAGAAAGTTCATCAGGATATTCCGGCGTGGTTTCTGCTTGTCAGTGGTGCAGGACGGAGGGCCTGACGAGGACAGCTGTCTAGTCGTTCGGATGGCACAAAATAAACGAGGACCAGTGTATGCATTGGTGTGCATGTAAAAGATCTCCTGGCAGTTGGAATTCGATATAAGAGTAGGCCATAGTGCCGCTGACTGGGCAAAATTTCCCTCATAGCACACTGTACTGGAAGTGAAAGCTGCCATTTAGTGCGAGTCATCGTGTCTTGGCAAGTAAGGCGCTGGGTCACTATTACATGAGGTCTCAGAGGTTTTTACGATTGGTTACCCCTAGCCAGTGATGCCCAATGGATGACCACCCAAGGAAATATGTACACTCATTCAGACAGGACAAAAAACTGTGGTCCACTTGGGTACTCATTGGCAGTTTCAATTTGATGTCGAGTACACACACTGGTTGGGGTAAGCCTGTCTTCCCTGACCCCGGGTGCTTCAGAAAAGTAGGTCATTGAACCCTATTTCATTTTATTTCTACCATAGAGTATTGACAATGGCTATTGATATCACACTAAGACTTGTGTGGTCGACATTTTGATTTGACCTTCAACTTTCTCTATAATCTATGCTTCTAGCACTTTACACCTCAGCCATGTGATGTCTCTCTTTATCCAATCTTTGACTAGTGATAAGTGATTGTCGTAATTATCACGTCATTCATACAATAGGATTTGATAAACGAATTACGTTACTCACTCCAGGTACCCCGATTATACGGAACTGAAAGTTTCAGATAAGTTGTTTGGAGTGGGTACATGCTCAATGTTGGTGTCTAAATTGTGTAGGGCCTAACCTAATATTATTAGCTGACATCCTGTGAAATGTCTGACTGCACATTTAAAAATATTGTTTATATAATACAGAGAAGTACTCAAGTAGTATTCCTGCGTGTTGTTTTATCTTTTTTACTTTATCTAAGTCCATCAATTGCCCTAATTTAAATATAACACATGACGTCAGCATGTAGAGCAGAGTAATATTGACTATTGATTTCAAATTATTTAAAAGTCTCTGTGCGTTACTTGCACTTTTCGTATTGGAAATATATTTTAAATATATTTGATTATTTAATATTTAATAAAGACAACATGGATTTAATCTGTTTAAAAAGAGGCCCATCAATCATTTGTAGCGAAGATTACACAAGGCCCTGGTTTTTGATTACATCACGTTTAGTAAATGAAACAGAAAGTCACAAATGAACAGTATTGATTGATATTCCTTTCAGAGATTAAACATTCAGAATATTGTAGGTTGCAACTATTGCAAAGGATTCACAATCCTTCAAATGACATTTGGAGAGTTTAACTTTATTTTTCAATTAATTTCTGATCACCCTGCATGTATTTATAATACAGTATATCTAGAAGACAAAAGGGAAAAAATGAAACAAATTTACTTACGACTATTAGGTCCATATTTTCGAAAGTGAATTAATGCTAATCAGACTCAGAGATTTAATCTCTGATTTTCTGAAAAGTCCTATTTTTAATGCCGATTAAATTTTAAACGAAGATTTTTGTAAGCTTTGATTAGCCAAATCATTGAGTTAATCACTGTTCAAGAATACCATAATAAATAAACTAGCTAGTTACAGATTACACCTAATTACCAATTATTTTCGACACGGTTCGTAAATATGGGCCTTACTAGTTACTATCGGCAATAAGGCACCAGTCACAGACTTTGTCAAGTACAAATAAGTAAGCTTATACAAGCCTGGTCGTAAGGCACCTGTTATAGACTTCGTCAAGATGCAAATTAGAAGCAAATTACAACATATATATTTTACTGAATAATAAAACATTGTGTGTGATTATTTGTGTCTGCCACTCAGTGACAAAGTCTGTCCTGTGACAGGCATCTTCGCTAGCCAAGGCTTACGATTCACTTCCCTTCTCTTCACCCTCGGCAGATCCCGAATACATTTTGAGGATTCATGGTTTAAGATTTCATTGGTTACAGCTATCAGTAGCTGTATCCAATCAGAAGACATATTACGCAGAGCACATGTATATTGGCGAAATGTAAACAAACATGGCAGTGGACATGTCGCCAATATACATGTGCTCTGCGTAATATGTCTTCTGATTGGATACAGCTACTGTCGCCTCTGCCACGAAATATTGCCTAAACGACACAGAAGAACCATTTTCGGAGATATGTGAAGCGTTGGGTTATATTCCCCAAATTCACATACCAATTTTTCTGTACTGGGTACGGCCATTTTCAACTCTCCAACATACGTATAACAAAACGATTCTGATTGGCTAGCGATGACGTCTATGTAAGGGGTACAACTGCGATATATCACCAAGTGGCATTGTGTGCAAACTCCAAAATGTATTCGAGATCTGCCAAGGGTGAAGAGAAGAAAATTGAATCGTAACCCTTGGCTTGCGAAGATGTGTGACAGGTGCCTTCTACTCTAGTCTGTCCAGACTTGACTATCACGACAGTAACATGCAAATGCACTTGGTCCAACCTTTGAATGTGCAGGTTTTTTTTTATCTTTGGCTGGTGTACAGTTGTTGATGATGCAAATGTAATTACTTTAGTACGGATGTCTGATAATCATAAAGGCTAGTCCTCATTGTTATTGTATCCCTATTGCCTACCAGGGCTGCCGACAACCAGTATCGCAGCGCAATTTGCGATACATATTTTGTCCGTTGCTAATCAAAAATTAAAATCTAAAGTTTTTGATTCGCAGTAACTGCGAATCATTAATATGCCTGTCATTTTGGATATTGACACAAGGATAATCCACATTTGAAGACTAGAAGGCTTTCTGAACACTTTCAACGTGTATAAAATGTTGAATAAAATTTTATAAACAAAACTGAATTCTCCGTGTGACATTTTTTTCTCGAACTACCCAGACACAATTCATTATACGGTACTATATAATACAGGGACATAACTCTATGAATAGGGACTATTAAACCGGAAATAGGGAATCAAGTAGTACCACTCACGTTGCGAGACATCAAGTAATTATATTATATTCATTTTGAAAGAAATAAAGCCAGTGTATCCCCCACAAATTGTAAATAAAATATAAAAAAATAAATATATGTTAACGTATTGTAAAATGATAAATCAAAGTAAAAATTCCCGTAAAATATCGCGTGTGTCTAGTTAATCGAGGTGCGCCCGATTGAACAAAAATAGCAATACACGATAAAAACCAGACGAAATCGTTTTCTAACGAAGATTTCTAACGTAACAAAAAATAACAATTAAAATGATTGGGGCCTTGGAAGTCACTGTTAAGAATTGGATTCAGACATAAGACCTAACTAAATGTCTACATCACATTCACAAACTGTCACAAGTACTTGTGGCAGTGCTAAAAAAATCTAAGAATAGTAAGAATGGAATCTAATCATATTTGTTATGAACTAAAGTAATATCTTGTTATTTAGGTTTTTATGTTGAAACTGAAAAACTGCTAATCAATTTTTAAATTTGCTAATCAAATTTGGCAAAATTGGACTTTTTGATTGTGAAAAATTACCGACAGCCCTGTTGCCTACACATGTAATATGATTAATATAACACTTTACACCACCTCAGTTCTCAGGCTATTTTGGAATTCTTACCATCTATTTTTCACACTGAAAATATTGTTCAATTATTATAAATTTGTGTCATGTATGTCGAGAAATGAATTATTAACTTTTGTGCTGTACTCTAGTGACTAGTCTCTCTCTACAACACAGCGAAAAATTAGACCGTAAAGATTCCAAAATAGCCTTAAAACTTAGAACCAAGGTGGTGTAAAGCGTTATTTTCATATTACAGGTGTTTAAAGCCTTTATCAGACATCGTTACTAAATTAACTAATGTAAAACTAAAAAAAAGGTGAATATTTTTTCTGCCGTGTATCTGTTGAGCTACTGGGTCTGGAAACGAACGTCTATTTCAGTGTCAATATTTGTTATTTGGAGTTATTCCCCTTGAATATATCGATTAAGTTGTAGAATAAAATTAGTTGTGTATTTCGGTTTAACTCGAGGGTTATATCTGTCGAAAGATGTCGATTTGTCTTCGGACCGCATCCGTGACTTAAAATGCAAATGTCATATAACTAATTACGGCCTCACCTATTCGCCCTAACAAAAACTGACCATGCTTTTGACAATCACTACATAACTGAGAAGCCATAATGAAGCCATCCAGTTCCGCTAAATCCCACGTGCCTTTTAAGTGACAAGCGATTTGATTGGCTTATCGGCCTCAGTTCATAGATCTAACCAATCAAATTTCCTAACATTTCATCTGACCGGCCTGTCTGACATGCCTTCTGATAAAATTAGACTTTAACGCGAAGCCGGCGAAGGGTCGATTGACAGAGCAGGAACGTTCTTTCGGTAAGTGGAATTAAAAGGGAGCAAGATGGAAATGGATCCAACGGTGGACGTGTCAGGCGTGGCTCATAATTATTCTTTTATGTTCCACTTCGAGAGGAATTGGGAAGAATCGACGTTTTGGAAATATATGATCGAACGATGGACCGACAGCTTTCTCTATTCGGTCATATACGTTGTGCTAATCTTTGGTGGACGACAAATTATGAAGCGACGCCCAAAATTCGATCTTCGAACGGCCCTTGCCATGTGGAGCGGAACTCTAGCTGTGTTCAGTATAGCCGGTGCCGTGCGCACCTTACCTGAACTTGTATCATCAATCAAGAACAACGGAATGCAATATTCGATATGCGTTCCTACATATTTCAATGGCGTGACTAGTTTTTGGGCGTTTATGTTTACCGTTTCTAAGGTGTACGAACTCGGAGATACAATATTTATTGTTCTAAGAAAACAGCAACTGATATTTTTACATTGGTACCACCATATTACTGTTCTGTGTTACGTTTGGTATAGTTATACAGACCACACCGCACCAGGGCGATGGTTTATGGTCATGAACTACACGGTTCATGCTGTCATGTACACCTATTATGCAATGCGAGCTTTGAAAATTCACGTTCCTAAACAAATAAATATGCTTATAACTTCCATGCAACTTATGCAGATGATAATGGGCTGTATTATCAATTATATGATATATAATATTAAGAACAAGGGTGAATTTTGTCAACAAACGTACACCAATCTACGATATTCAACGATGATGTACTTCAGCTATTTCATACTGTTCGCACATTTTTTCTACAATAGTTATTTAACACCGAAGAACGTTAAGAAGGGGCAGTAATAAATTAGCCTTGAGGTTGAGTGAATACATTAAGTAGACTACTAAAAGGAGGCTTGCCAGATAGGCCAAGGCTAGTTACTATTGCGAGTTAGCAAAATTTGTTCAAAATATGTGATTAAGTTATTGATCGTAGCCAAATTGCTTTCAAACTCAGGTTTCAAAAGGTGTTTAAAAAAGTGGTATAAGGCCATATTCTTCTGTTCAAGTGACATTCAAAAAAAAAAAAAAAGTAGCCAAGATCCAGTGGTTGTTACTAATAAGAAGTGTGTGTTGACTCACAAAGACAGAATGATTCCCTTTGGACTAATGAAAATTGATTAACGATCAATATTGTAATAGTGCTTTTTTTCTGTTGCGGTTTCAATATTAATAAGTACACAAAATTGTCCCATTCAAACTCTTCACGTGTCATTGATTCCCATAAGCTTACTGATTCGAGATATGACAATTAAACCCCCACGCTTCATAAACTGAACACAAGACTGGTTTTGGTGGAAATATGAATAACTAATCATCAATTCATTCGCAGGATAACCAAGAAATGTATTATTTCATTATTTACTTTTATCTTTTCGAGGTGACTGACTTACGGTATATTTCTTTATCTGTGTATTGGACCAGTAGTACAGTGGACCCGTCGTTAACGAACATTCCTTTTCTCCGAATATCAAGTTACTCCATCCAGCATTGCAGACTAGTAAGTGTAGAAGACCAGCACGACGCGTCAAGAGAAACCCAGAAGACAAATCCGCAATTAAAATAACATCACATACGGACAATAAAGTAATGAACAACAAAAGTTTTTAAGTACTGTAAAATCAGGTGAATGAATCGGGGGTCCGACCGTCAAAACGAAAACTAAACCGACAAGGGAGACAATCCACGAAAAACGGAGACGATTAAATAAACAAAATCGGATCCGATCCCCAAATTGAATAATTTTGGTGCATGCCATGAAGGGATGTGTGTTTACAAGATATCTCAATGCTAGAACAATGACGAAACAGATTTAGAGCTATTTAATTTTTAAACAGGTATTCAAAAGGGAGGACAAATGTGTATGGGAGAATAGTATATGTGCGAAGAATTGTTTGGGGAAAAAAGAATGCGGTATTGAACTGCAGACCAGATTTTGACCCCAGGTCATATTTCACGTGTTATATTACAGACGGTGATATGATTATCGTTAACTGATATGATCACTGAGTCGGGTTACCTGTACTAGGGTAAACGATACCAATAAATATATAACCTACCTTCATGATAAAGTCCCTAAAATGAAATAATTATAAATTAGTAGATGTACGCCCTTTAAAAAAATAAATAAATAAAAAATGGACCAAAAATGTACAGGTATTCGGATTAACGCGCACAAAGGATTATATACAGGCGATATTTTTTCTCCCCGACTGTTGAATAGTCCTTTTCTGCAGGCAAATCTACAGCTCAATAGATTGTCAGTGACCTGCTTCATTTGTGCAGTTGTTGCCAATGATAGATTCAATGAAGCCTTAAAGGTACATTATGTATGATTTAGAAAAGATGGCCGTTCTTTCTAGAAAATAATTCAAAAATAGATAATGCAAATTGAATATATTGAAGTTATTGGTGGTTTAAGATGTAGCAAGCATTGTTTATTATCGTAGCAACGGTTGTTGACAATCGAGACTTAGTATCGATTATCCAGTTTATCATTAAATTTTTAAATCGTGCGGTGGCTAATCATGTGAATAATGTTTGAATAATAGTTTGAAGCCAAAATAAAGACCTGCAGTATGCAGTTTAGTTCTTGCATAATACATCTTTAAGTTAAAGGACAATATTGGTGCCAGTCATTATCACATATGATAGAGCTGGTTAAACACATTCCAAATATAATTTTAACACAGAGATCATTGCTACGATAGCTGAGTAATACAGGTTTCCTGATTCGGAAGTGACGAACGCCAAAGGAAACACGAGTCATGCCTCTATATAACTGACTGATGTGACGAGTGATAACAGATACACGGCCGAATTTCTGCTCACTAATAATTCCTTCGAAGACCAAAAGTTGTTATACGGGACTGTAAGAGGATACGAGAAAAATAGAAATAGTCCGTACATACCCTTGTTTATATTCATTCTGTTTTTCTTTCGTGTTCTCTTATCTAGTGGCAGTCAATTCTTTTTATGAATTGTCAGATATCCTCTCACAGTCTCACACAACAACTTTTGGTCTTGGAACGAATTATTAGTGAGCAGAAATTCGCCCATGTATCTGTTATCACTCGTCACTGCAGTCAGTTATATAGAGGGATGCCTCGTGTTTTCCTTTGGAGTTCGTCACTTCCGATTCAAGAAACCTGTATTACTCAGGTATCGTCGCAATGATCTGTGTTAAAATTATATTTGGAACGTGTTTAATTAGTTCTATCACATATGTGATAATGACTGACACCAATATTGTCCTTTAAGTTATTTTAAACACGTGCCATAACGTCTTGTCAATCTCTCGGGGTAGATTTGCCGAATGATTATTCATACCCCCCCCCCCCCCCCAAAAAAAAAAAATCTCCGTCAGATAATCCTTTGTGTACGTTGACTTTTAGTGTATTAATGTGTTTAGATTGAATGAAATTTGTTGCACTCATGTTTTGTTTTGGTACATTGTTGTTATAAGAGAATGCTGTAGTTTTAATTTATTGTTAATGTTACGTTTTTCTGTAAATCTTGTACACAAACAATATTTGAATTGTGAAAATTTGTTTAATGTCAGTGAAGTCAATAATCAGGAGCCATGTTTGCGAAAAGTAATTTCATTGGCCAAGAGCTCAAATTTGTTCTAAATTTCCAGCCAGTGAAAAGGCCAAATCCTTAAAATATTTGCCTACACTGTTTAAAAGAACAAAAAAATATTTTAAATGCACATTTAACATTATTAAATGAACAAAACTGCCCAAATATAATGTAAAACTGTTTTATCTTCCCAAATGTAAAACTTATATGGAGACGTCAGTGTATAACTGCTCAATTAATATGATTTAATATGCAATGTTTTCAAGATAATGTTAGTACTATCTTTATGAACAGGTACAAAAATGGAACCAAATACCCATGGGATTATTGGAGTCATTTTTAAAACGTAATTATAACTACCCTGCCTCGTTTACGATACCCGTCGCCACATGATAAAGGTACTTAGAAACATCCTGCCAACCATTATACCAACAAGCTTTTTTAAACTATTTACGTATTACTAGTAAAGTCCTATAGTCATTTTGCCATGCGTAAGGCACATTAATTGTTATCTTTATATTATGATATATAAGCTTTTATACGGTAGTTTCACAACAACAATTTTAAGAGTCGGGTGTCAATTACGTTTCTCTTATTTTATCCCGACGTTATGGGAAGGGGTATTGAAATGGGCTTGATCCGACCTTCTGTCCCGTTTGGTGTCTATAGAAACATTGTACACACATCAACATGTTAAATTACGGTACTTGTCTTTTGCTAATTAGACATTTCATAGTTAAATATGCGCAAATGACTCAATAAAATTAAAGTATATCATGTTAGTCCTGAAATAGTGTTTAGCGGATTCTAATCCCCATTTCTCTTTCCCTCGATGGAAGATAAACTTATGTACCGAAACGTGATATATTGATGATTGAAGCTTCCCTGCATGTCTTGGTTCTTTAAAGTTTGCTTCCACTATAGTGATATCGCAGACAAGAATTAGGAGGACGATAGAAGATCTGCTCTTGCCTTCATAAACTTACATGGATGACTTCAGTTTGTACAGTTTGCCTATCGATTTTCAGTGTTATTGACATTTATCATTTATTAAATATGCATAAAGATTCTGGGTCACAAATACTTTAAGTGGCTGTATAAATGACATTCGAAATTGCAGAGTAAAATTATTTAATAAAATGAACTGAGTATACACAGGACACAATTCTATGGAATGCAATTACTGACTGGACTGTATACAACCCTGACGTATATTTATACTTCGTTTCGATTTATTTTCGTTCCTTTTTTTTTAACTTCTCACTTTATCATCCCTTGGTAAGGAGTACACTTTTTGTGCAGTGGTGTATTTCAACATCGAGATCTCGTCGAAATTATCCCGTTGGTAATACTGAAAGAAGGCGGGCAAACGATTGCTATTGTATGGCGTTGTTAAGTGTCCCGTTTGAGATGCCAGAGAAAATAATATTATCCCCAGTTTTACTGCTTTAAGAATGAAATCCTCCTTTTGTTGACCATGATAATTAATTATATACGGTATTATTTCGTTGTGTGATCTGTTATGAATTTTTATGTTTATAAATAATTAATGCTTCATTCTGTTCCATGGGGTTTTTATTTTATAGGGCAGGGGGTTATTTATTTAGGAAGAAAATATGTAAAAGTTCAACGTTGGATGCAGCATGTAGCCCATGGCTTGTTACATATCATTTTATAGGTATGATTGGTCTCTATGTGAATTGTATGACGATTTCTTTAATTTATTTTGATTATAAATTTTTGAAATGTTTCAATTATACATGTCGGTACCATATTATTTAAATGTTTTAGTCGACATATTCCACTGCGCATTAAAAATTAAAACTTTTATTCCAATCTCTTTCAACTCGGTGAATTGTACTGATTTTTTGATCTAATATTATAGAATGTATTTATATACTCAAATTTCATCCATTGTTTATTTATGTGTTTGTGAAGTAAGCTTAATAAACATTTTATGGTTAAAAAAAATGTATAAGCTGTGGAGATTTTCGTCGATCGGTACGCATTTATTAGCGTTGTTGGTGCAGAAAAGTAGGACGTTAAACACCAGATCATTTCGTTAAAAAAAAAGAAACAGATGTCCGGTGGGCTGGAACCTTTGTTTCGACCTTATGAAGAAAAAATTTGGTTCTTTTAATATATTATGTTCGTATACGTTAGCGACCCCTGGTACTGAGTTGGTCGTTACTCGAAGTGGGTTATTTAAAACAGCTTGCTCGAATTTTGGATAATTATGTGAATCTATATTAAGTATGAATTGAATATAATATGTAAATTTATATTAATTTTAATGTTTTTGTTAAAGCGCTATTGCCTCTATAAAGTTTAATTTTTTGATATTTATTTTATGAAAGGGGACTAATGGCCCTGTAAGACTATAACTTGCTTCTTTAAAATATTCATATGTCGAAACGTCATACTTCTTATTTATAATAAACCAGTGATTGTTTCCCCAATATTGTTCAGTTAAACACACTGCATGGAACTTAATTTTTATGTTCCGTTTATTGATTTAAAAAAAAAAATCAAGAAAAAGCACTTTGCAAACCATTATGGTTTTTGCATTAATTAGACTGTATGGCTTGATATATCTACTAAAATATGTAATTTTGGTAATCAACCAGTAAACATTTTTGTCTGGTATATCAATACCATACATCTTTTAGCGTCGCAAAAATACATTAAATGTTAATTGATAAATGAAGATGAATAATCTGATGTAGACTGACGGTGTTATACAAATGAGTAGTTTGATTGATTTGATAATAATGTTTATGTCCATCTGGACATACATCTGATCAAATACGATGGTTCAAAAATGCCTGTTTGTACGGTTTTGACAGAATAGTTAATTCGCGTTATATACGTATATTGAGGAGCCACGGTGGTCAATGGCGGTTGGTGCTCACTTACTAAAGAGGAAGTCCCAAGTTCGATTCTGGTGATCCCCTTAATTTTCCTGTCAAGTATTCCCCATTTCGGAGTAGCAAGTCGTTCGGTGGTACAAAAAACGAGTGCCATCCATATGGGTGTACACTTGGAATCCGACGAAGAATGGACGGAAAAGCAGCTGTCTTTGCAAATTTCCCTCCGCACACACTGCGTGGCGCATGCCTGTCTTCGTTAGCCTGGTTTCACATTAGTATTCTGAATAGTCTTGGTTTTGCGAGAATATTTCACGGATAACTTCATTTCTGAAATTGGTAACCAGCTTAATACGCTTGAAATAATCTTCGCACCGCTTCAATTTCTAAATGTACTTGCTCAGTTGTACCTTTTTTGATGTATATATGCGTATTGGCCGACACGTGTTTACGTCAGCCCTGTGTTCGACGAGTGCCAGGTAAAACCTAGCTAGAAGAATGCGGAAGTTTGTTTTGGAGTTTGTTGCTGTGTATTCATAAGTGTTCAGAAGTGAGTTTATAGTCATTATATTTCATATCGTATGTACTTTTTATATGTGTCCTGTTTATTTAAGCGTATCCAATGCTAATCTATTAACCGGTGTCAATTTTCGATCTCGTATTCCGTTGATTATTTATATCGACAAATTTTGTATACACACACGTTTTAACACCTACAATAAAGTTGAATCGTTAGGTAACTTTAGCTTACACACTGGGTGGGAAACAAGACCCATTTTTCAAGATCATATTGTACGGTCTTTTTAGTTTAATATATTTGTAACACCAATGACGTAATATGCAGGACAGGGATAGTGTTGATATTGTTTATTTTTATAAAATTTAAAAACACCCCCCACCCGCTTCACCGCCAAACTCTATTTCACGCCTATTCTGTATCTATTTAATGTAAAACTTATTTATTTCGTGTCGACGAATATCTGGACTTTTTGTTAATAAACATATCTTTGTAAAATAAGTGTTGTTACTTTGTATACGTCCAGATTGTCATTACTCCTGTCTGTTTGCCACCCCCACACCCCCACCCCCCTTGTCTTGAATGTAAACAAAATGGATTAGAACACTTTCGAGATTTTAAAATTTAACGATAATATGGATAGCCGAGATTTAGTCAGGTTTGTCGAATACGTATTATGCCGTCGCCCCTGTCCATCCTTACGTCTGTGGACACTCTACACGTCACAATTTTTATCCGATTTTGATGAAACTTGAAAGGTAAGTATCGGACCTACGGGATTATAGCCCCTGGTCGTACGAAAGATCACGTTTTTAGTTTGTGGACACTATAGATGTAAGAATTTTTATCCCATTCTGATGAAACTTAAAATGTATGTTTATAAGCCAAAGATCCCGGCTCTTTTCGATAATGGCGCATATCGGACCGTAACTTTCGGGATTATGACCGTGATTGTTCGAAAATTCGCTCTTTTAGCTTGTGGACCATGTAGAGGTCACAAGTTTTATTGTCCCCCGTCTTTCGAAGAAAGCACGGGACTATTAAAATGGGTATGTCCGTCCGTCACACTTTTTGGGAAACAATAACCCTCCTAATTGAGCTAGAACGTTCAAACTTGGTGTAGGTGTTTATTAGGTGAATGCCTTGAAGATGCGCATTTTCTGCTTAGGGTAAGCAGGGATAAGCAATTTGATTGGTCGAGACTTTGGAACACGATAACTTTGGTTCTATTGTGTGAGAGCGATAAAACTTCCGAGTATAGATTTATTATATCAATACCTTGACAAAGTTCGATAATGAGCATTTTTTCTGCTTGGGGTAAGCACAGCGATAATCAGTTTGAATGGTCGAGACATTGGAACATAACAACTCTCCTTCTCCTTGGTGTAGGTGTTCATTAGGTGAATGCCGTGATGGAGTTCGAAGATGAGCAATTTCTGCTTAGGGAAAGCAGAGATAAGCAATTTGATTAGTTGATGCTTTGGGACACGATAACTTCGATAACTTGGTGTATAGTTCCATCAAGTTCGATGAGCATTTTCAGCTCAGGGTAAGCAGAGCGATAAGCAATTTGATTGTTTGAGACTTTGAAGCGCAACAAATTGAGTTATAGTGACGCATTTTCTACTTAAGCAAAGTAGAGACTTCAATCTAATTGGCCTAGACTTGAAACACAATAACTCTCCTTCTGCTCCTGGATGAACTTTCTCGGTCAATACAGGGAACGAACACCCGACCTCCAGGCTAGTGAGCCAGCGCCTTACCCACTTAGCCACCGTGATCCCCGATTAGGAAAAAGCTCGCAAACTGGGGCCGGTTAACTTATAACGACTCTCGGATTAACTATAATCAGTCCGTTAGCTAACGGATAATGAAATTGACTTTCCAGCAACAAAAAGTTAAACGGATCGTTAATTCGTTTACAAACGACACGTTAGCAAGATAACGATCCGTTAGAGTTTGCACAACCGGGCCCTAGACATTAACACCACAATTCCTCAACCAGCGGTAAAGTTCTTTGCCCATAAATTTCGAGATAATGAACGTAATGGGCTTTAGTGAATACTACTTAATGCCAGGTTTTTAAACAACCCGCCATGATACAAGTTCTGATGGTAGCCGAGTTCACTCTATAGACATTGGCCTGCGCGTAAATAAGCCGTTCACAGTTTGAACGTCACTATCAATGCCAAATTCTTCACCACCTCGCCATACACCCGTAACCGCAGAATTCAAAATTACCATTGGGTCCACGAGGCATTAAACCCCATTCTATCCCACTATAATATATCCCGACCATGAATCGTTCTAAATTCCACAAGGGACTAGTAGTAACGTCTGTGTTGGCAATGTAAAGGCCTACGTAGTTGTATCTGTCTTTTCTTACTGGGGCTCGTTAAAAAAAAAACGAAAAAGAATCACAGAAGTCCGTAGTTTAAAATGTTTCTATTTCAAGCCTTTGTGTGCGTGACGCAAGATAATGATGAGTTATCTTGAAACCCAGCACGCTATCAAACAATAGGTTTTGAATTGAACGATAATACCATTAAGGTGAACCAGAAATATACAATGTAGAACTATATACATGATGATCAATAATAAATCAAGACGTCGACATAATATATCATTATCACATTTAACATTTGAACACTGTATACATAGCCTGTATGTGTATAAATCAACAGATCAACACGATCATACAGGTAATGGTAGATTATAATAACTGGCGTGGATGCAGAGAGGGTATATGAGTCCCCCACCACCCATTCTTTTTACTTACAATATTTGTGGTAAGCTTTCACGATGTAAGAGGAAGATAGAGAGCCCCCCCCCCTCCATTCTTTTTAATTACTATTTCGTGGATTAGATGTTAATAATATGATTTGACTGTCTTCGATTCGACCATATATATGCCAAATCTCTGCAAACCCTATCACTTATACATGTATTATACTTTTCAATGTAATTATTATCTTAAGAAAAATATTACACTTTCCTAGAATATTCGTGACTGTCGAAACAGTGAGATTTGAGGTTTGGCTAAAACTTGGGACGTGGGCCGATCATCATGTAATGGTTATCTAAGAAAAAAAAAACATTACCAAGTTTGAAAGAAGTTAAATTGTCTTTTTACATACTACCTTTGCTCGACCTTTACACAAGCAGTGCCGAAAATATTTTAGTACTGAGTTACCAATATATTATGTAAAATGTTATAAATGAAATGAAATGGGGTTTAACGTCCTACTTTTCAACACCGACTGGGCTAATGAAGACGAGCATACGCCATACACTGTGACATGTGGGAAATTGTGCCCGGAAAGCGGCACTACGGCCTACTGTCAAGGATTCTTTTACGTGCTCGCCTAATGTGCACGGAGCCTCGTTTTTTTTTTGTCCGAACCGTGCGAAGGACATTCTTCCTTGTCAGGACCTCCGTCCTGACGTCGGTAAATCCAGCGTCTTACTCACTGAGCCACATCGACTCCATTATAAAATATTATAAAACCTCAAAAAGTACATCATCACAATCTTTTATTATAATTAAACACGAAAAAAGAAGTATATTTGTATGTTTCAAGCTTCATTGAACTACAATAAGTTTATTTGGCTGGGTCAGCCTGGTTGACAGAAAGGTAGTCTTGGTCCTCCAGAACCCCCCAATCTTCAACGTAATATTCGTAGAATATTAAATATTATATTTTGTCGAAATGATAGAGACCATAAGAAAGGTCACGACGTATGGGTTATACACATATATTTCAAGTTTAAACCAAATCGAATAAAAATTGTGACCTCTACAGTGTTCACAATCTAAAAACGTGATTTTTCGTACAATCAAGGGCCATAATCCATGAAGTTACAGTCCGATACATGCCAAGTTTCGTTGAAATCGGATAAAAATTGTGACCTCTAGAGTGTTCACAAACAATTGTGGGCGGACGGACGGACGGGCGGACAGGGGCGACGAAAATATACGTCCACATGAAAATGTGGGCGTATAAAAAATGAAATGGTGTTTAATGGCACCCCAGCTCCAAATTAAATACAGACATTTGATATGTTTGTAATAAGAATGATAAGCGTGCACGTTTCATAATAAAAGAAAGCTAAGGCAGGGTCTCTTTTTAACTAGTAAACTACGTTACAATACAACCACGGAACCTAGAGTGATGAGCAAATTATCCACACTAGGTTACACAAGTGTAGTGCTTAAAATCAGCATGGATGTATGTTTTATATCGATCTGATGAAGATGTAATATGATCAATGATTTCAAAACGGTGTGATTTTTTTTACTGAAAATGCTTTGTCTCGTCAACCTCTCAGACATGTGCCAAACAGTACGAAATAATGACCGTTTTTCAAAATTTTCTCCGCCGGGGGAGGGGAGGGGTGGAGATTGTAACATAGTTGAAATCCTTTAAAAGAGGCCCTGTTATTAAGTATTAGTATTAGGTCCATGCTTAAATGTTTATAACAAGAATATTTGTTTTATTTTTTTTTTTTTTTAAACAAATGGGCGATAACTCTGTTTTTACTCCACACTGTAGGCATCAACGGGTCGGTTTCCTCCCGCATCCAGTTCATCCAAGTAATCAAATGGGTTTATTACCTTTAAAAAAATGGTGGTAGAAAATGTTATTATGTCGAATTAAGACGATTCTTCAGAACTTTACAATTGTTATTGTCAAACAATTTGACGAAGACCGTAACTAATGGAATATAACAGAACACGGTTTTTATGGGATATACAATCACTAGTTTTATTCTATAAGCACGACGTTTCAACAAGTATCCTCTTATCGTTATCAAGCCTTACGTCCCATCCAAATGATTAAACACTGGAAAATAGTTATAGTTGAAGTTAGTTATGTCATCCTTCAATGTTATATTTTGACTACGAGCACGTAAATTGAATACGCTCAAATAAAATAATAATAATAATCGTTTTCTATAGCGCTGAACATTCAGTCAGTCTGACTGCGCATATATCGCTGAACGTTGTTTACATATTTTCCAACTACATGTTATACAAAAATAACGACAAAATAATAAAGTTACCTGATTTTGAATGATTTTAAAGTTGTCTTTAAATCGACTGGTTGTTATTATTGTAGCGACTGTTCCATCAACTGGTCTTAATTCACCTTTCTGGAATAATTAACACATGAAGGTACGGACGGGTTGCAGTTATTTTATATACTATAGGCGAGCATATAGGCGTGGGAGCATGATGAATTGGGAGGGGTGGGGCGCACAAATACCCGACAATATTACCCGTTTCGAAGGCGGTTGACCGCGAAGGGTCCTCGCCCAGTATTTTCTTTAATTAGACGGCCGCAAATATGTTTTACTATACTGTTATGACCTGTGTGTACAACAGCTAAAAACTGGTCCAACCGACATCCCACTATATGGCCATCACGAATTCCAGACTTACTTTAGCCAACCAAGCAGCTGTATATTTATTTCGTGACGGCTAGAGGGGGACAGCTTCCAACAAATTTGGCCTACTAATCAGCAATTTGTTTTTCCTAGGCTGAACATTTTTTACGACAAGACTATATATTGTTTTGACGATTGAGCCTGCCCGGTTATTTTTGACCTTGCCACCACCCCCATCTTCTACGCGTATGAATGCGGTGAAGGAGAATTTGACATGGCCAATGGCGTGTGCTATCGTTCTTAAAATCCAAATGTCAAGTGTAGAAATGGTACCTCAGCTCTCGACTAAACTAAACCTGTAGCTTTAAAATCGTTATCCCCGGATCCCTCAACTGACCCATGCCTGTATTAGATATTTATCTATTAATCTGTCCATCATAGTCATCAGAGTCAGAAAATGTAGGTTCAAAAATAAGCGCCATGCAAACCTGGGAGAGAGAGAAAGAATTGCTGTAAACAGAAGAACATGTTGGACTAGTAATTCTCTCCAAAATTTCAGCAAATTACTCCTAGTCCTGTTTATACATCGGTCATTATGAAACTAAAATACGGTTATTTTGGTTTCTGTGTTTAGGTGTGCGTTGTTTACATTTCATCGTATTCCAACTGTCAACATGCACGCCACTGACAATGTGAAACATCTTACTTGTTAGTCCCACAAGGGCTACAGCACCGGGTTAAGATCCCGGGTTCTATTTTAACTAAGATAAAATCCAAATTTTAATAATTTGATTGGATAATATTAGGTTGATTTTAGTGCTTAGCCAATCAAAATTGAAGTATCTACTAAAATTTGGATTTTATCTTTAGTTAAGATTTCGAGAAACAGGGCCCTGAGACCTTCTAGTCAAGAGTCCAATGTTCCTTACCCTGTGTAAGCTTTAAAAATTAATTTGGAGATTAAATAGACCATTAGACGTAATGGCAGTATTCTTTCATTACTAACAGTACTCCCCATAAAATATTCGTAAAATGTATCCTCTAGTCAAAATTTGGACCTCGGACCTTAAAGGGTTAATGCTACCTTTAGGTGTGGTGAATTAATTACCTTAAAGATATTTCTAACATCCAATCTGAAGGCACTTTCACAACCGGGTATATCACCTTGATATTGCAGTATGGCAGATGTGGAAGTCTTGTCTGGTAGTTTAAACAACCTATATGTGGCTGATAAAAACCTTGCGTCACCTGAAAAATTTACATAACCATTCAAGGAATGGACTATTTTTTTATATCGTTTATCATATTTAGTTAAAAGATAGCCACGCAAAGCGCGTAAATACGCCCACACAGTATCTATGTCTCGACAGCCACTTATCAAAAAGGAAACTTGGATGTTGAACAGATTTGATAAGGATCCATTTCGCCTTCAAGAAATCCTATCGCTATCGAAAACTGCAGACTATAGGGTGTGTTCCCGCTATGCCAGCAGACTGTTAATCCTTTAATTGATCTTAAAACTATACTCTGTTTAAAAGTAGTCACTCAAAAACTGTTCTCTAGTGTTCAGTGTAGGGCGGTTTGCTGATTATATGACGGAGCAGTGGGTTGATAACAATCGCCGTAAAGTGTGGAACCATTTTGAAACAGGGCCCCGTACTACCAACCACGTAGAAGATTGGCATTCTAAGTTAAATAAACTGACAGCATGCCATCCTAATATTTACAAGTTCATTAACTTAATAAAACAAGAACAATCTTATGTCGAAATCACCATTTCATAGATATTATTTGGTGGTATATACCAAAAGGCCTCGAGTTAAGAAATATCGACAAGTTGATACAAGAAATGACCATTTGAAAACACAGTTATTAAATGGCACTTTAAGTGTAAATCAGTATGGAACAAATATTTCCTTTTTAGTGGGGCTGTAAAATGATTGTTATGTTGTAAGGTATTTATTTATAAATTATATAATGCTATTTAATAAAAGTTAAATGTGTAAATTGTAAATTATATAATGCTATTTAATAAAAGTTAAATGTGTAAATTGTAATGCATTTTTATATGTGTAAATTATTTAATGTTATTTAATAAATGTTAAATTTGTTAAAATCAATAAATTTTTATGTGTAAATTATTTAATGTTATTTAATAAAAGTTAAATTTGTTAAAATCAGTACAGTTTAATTCTTAAAAAAGATATGGACTATAGTTTATAACACCATTGTTCTAGGATTGACTCTGGATTAGCGGCAAACTTTGACATCAAAGCCTGCCGGCAAAGTGGGAACACCCCGACTATATCGCGTTCACAGGGTTTTTGGAAATGGAGAGGGGGGTGGGGAGGGGGGGCAAGTCCGGATTGGAAGGTCACGCATCGATGAATTGTTTGTAGGGTTCGACCTTTCATGATCACAGTGCTTCACACCCGATTCGAAACAAATCTATTAAAGACTGTATAGCCTCTTTCACATAGCCTCTATTAAGGTTTCGGGGAAAGCTGAATATAGATAGGGTTCGTCTTCTCACGACCCCAATACTTCTCACCAAATTTGAAAAGTCGTTGAATGGTGAATATCGATAGGGTTCGTCCGTTTATGACTACCTTCCCCAAAAAGTTGAAATGAATCCGTTTAACACTATAGTTTCTATCGCGTTCACAAAATTTCTGCATAGGGGGAAGGGGGGGGGGTAATTCTGGTTCGAAATAACTAAGGCAATCCAGCGGCTGCTTTTTAATTTTGACATCTTTATTTGTTTGAAATAATTAGAAAAGGAAATAAATCTAGTGGAAATCAGTTTTAATACAACCATATTGTGAGATTGTCACGTCATCAATATGAAAGACATAGCTCCTTACAAACCCAATGGTCGAAAGGTAGGACGTCAGATCCTATTTTATTTCATTTAAATAAGTCAGTAACCTCTTTTACCCGAATGGACTAGTTTTGTATTTGGCCAGTCAAAGTTGGGCTTCGATAATATCTTTTCACTTTTCACTCTATAAATAGTCTAAGTAAAAATACTAACCCAACAAATCTTTGTACTGTTTATTACAAATCGGAACGGGAGCAACCTCCACCAATCTCGGTTCACTGAATCCAATTTCTTTTGCCATATCAAATAACTTTTTCCACCACAATGTTCCCGCTATACACTGACCTAAAACATATTATAAGTAAACATTTTTATTAAAACAGATTCAAAATGTTGATAAAAGAATATAGAGAACATTTTTTGGGATTAATAAAGCGAACAAAATGATGATGATGTACGACTATATCGGCCATTCCCTCTGAAAGGATAATAATCCCTAGCGGAGAGGAAAGTAGCCACATACCACTATTTAGTACATGTATATAAAAGGCGAAAAGATGTAAAATTCTTGATTTTCTGATTAAATGTCGGTTGACAGAATACGAAATAAAATGAAATGGTCTTGGGTTTTTAAAACGTTTTACTTTTCTGCACTAAATGGGATAATGACGTATGGAGTAATTTTGCCCTCACGGCGCTTCCGGCTGTCAATGTCATACGCGGGAACTTGGGTCTCGTTCTATCGGAATAACAAGATGATTTTTCTTTTTAGGACCCCAAGCTGACAAGCGGGATTCAGATTTCCTCAGCCAAAAACCAGGATTGAAATCGGGAACGTCATGCAGCGTCATGATTACCAAGCAATCGTAATTCTTCTTCCGTAGGTCCGGGGCTCGAACCGGGTGTTGGCCTAGAAAGTTCCACAGGTTTATCCGTCGCGATTTCTCCTTGTCAGTAGTGCAGGACGAACGGCCTGGCAAGGATCGGCGTCTAGTAGCTAGAATGGGACTGGCGTGCCGTAAAAAGAACCCTTTATAGTTGGAATCTGAAATAAGAGATGGCCGCAGCGTAGCTGTCCGAGCAAAGATTCGACACACTGTATGGCGTATTCTTCAAAAGCCCGATTGGAGCAGAAAAGTTGGACGTTAAACCCCATTTCATTTCGTTATGGGCAGAGCTGTATGGCCAACTTACCCCATAGATGTTGATTTTTACGAACGTCATCTGATAATTCGGTTGAACAATACACATCAGAAAAATACAATTCACCTCCAGTCTAAAATATATAAAAAGTTTTTTGAACACATTCCCATATTGAACTACCCTGATGTAATTTTGAAAAATCCATTTCATATATAGGGTGAAGTCCACCTCTTCCTGCAATTCGACAGGTTAAAATATTATGACATACACGTCGGATACATTGACTGCTTTGGCCGGTACTTTTGTACGTCATTGCCAGTGGGCTATTTATAAAGCGTTCTGTTGATTCTCATACATCTTAAATCTTTATACAATATTCTCTATCGAAGCTTACATAGTCAAAGTATCGTTGACTTGTTTAAAAAAAGAAAAAGTACAGTCCCTAAACGTGTTAACTACCGCTCCGTTCGGTCTTGTATTTTCAAATAACCCCTTTCCATATTTTTACACGAAAATAACACATATCTTTGATACTCATTGCATAATAAATATCGCATTAGTGTGTCGATAGCAATTTTACCATATATGTTAAATATATAAACACAATCTATAATATCATATCGCACCTTCAAAACTCGATAAGCTTCGGCTAAAACGGCTTTCTTATCTGGAGTTAGGTTAATAACCCCGTTAGATCTGCAACATAAATAAAGAAAATTAGATTGAAGGTCGTTCATTTATCTGAGATTAGGTCATTAAGACGTGTACGTGTAGATCTGTAACATAATTAAAGAACTTGCATTTATCTGCATTTAAGGGTATTTTTTGCGCCCAACGGGCTAATGAAAACGAGCATACGCCATGCAATGTGCTTTGGGGGACACTTTGCTCTGACAGCCGTGATTTCCAACCACTAGAGGATCTTTAGGATGCTGCTAATGTTCTACACAGGACTACAGGTTTTCTTTACGCCTTTCATTGCCCGGCCACACGTCATGCACCACTGGTAAGCAAAGCCCTGTATAGGGAAAGTTACGACAACTCATTAAATTACAGGCGCCATTTTGGGTCCCAACTATGACGCCACAAAAACTATGACGTCATGGCGTCATATAGCTTTACTTAACCAAACGTTTTAATTTATCCTAAAAAAATTGCAAAAGAAACCAATGCAGTTTTGTTTAATGATAATATGTCAGACAAAGTCATACTCAAAATCGGCCATGGCAAAATTACACGATTAACATAATTCAATTTGGCGTTCTTCAGCAATTATCGAGAGCGCTATATCGTAATCAGTGTCTTTCAGTGGTGGAAGGATAAATAATTTATTTTTAAACTCCTCAAACACAGAGTGGTTATGCAAGCGAAGTGTGTCGAAAAATCGAATTTGACAAACATCAATTTAAAAATGTATTTTTCATTTGATGGCGGGCATTTCTTTCAAAATGGTGGAATTTTCATTAATTTTCATTTCTTTCCGTTGGGTATGACTTGTAATATGTGGTATATTAATCCCGAAATGACATGGTTGCTCTTAAATGAATATATTGTTAAAGCGCTTTAAACATCTAGATGCAATAGACAAGGTGTAGAAAATTCTAGCTACATTGAAATGTTGGCAATAAAGATCGAATCATAGTTTTAGTTATACACTGTTAACCACCCGTAGATGTTATAAATCACATAATTTATTCAGCTCGACGCAAGATTTAAAATGGATAGATTCGTTTCGTTTAACTATATCATGCATATATAGGACCTTTCGGTTGAATCATATCATAGGAATATCTTATTTGCATAGTTTTACGTATTTGTCGACATTTAGGTGTACGTGTTCTATTGTTATATTTATAGCCTATACATTTTCTTGTTTCACTTGACTAAACAAAGCATTGTGTAGGAATGTAGGCTTTTATAGATTGAACAAAAAGCTGATAAATGTTGAGATGTGTGGAACATGCTCGGGGCGATTTGTAAAATATCTCAGGCACGATATATTCTTCAAAAAAAGTAGGGGATATTAAAATGCAAATACCTATGCAGGTTGTAATATGATAAATAGTCATGGACACTTGACATGCTTTGAGAGTATGTTCACAGATGAAGAACTTATCGCCCCAACAGAACCACTGAGCTGCACATGCGACACGCAATAGCGCCATACATGTCAAATTTGACACTTCAAGGAAGGGCTAATGAAAACTGCCGCGTGCTGGTTTATCTATCCATGTTTGCTTTCCTATCGGTTCTTGCATAAGATTTACTGTTTAGCGTATCTTTGCTAAACGTGTGTTACGTTTAATTTGATCGGGAGACATGTTCGTCGACGTCAACGTCAACCGACAACACTGCAATAATTGACCGTGACACTGCAAGAGAAGAGGAGTGGGTCAGATTGACCCAAATCGTGATTGAACGGTTGATTAGGAGCATGCCACGACGAATTGCTGAATGTCTGAGGATTGGTGGAGCAATTACTCATTATTAAGACCAAAAATCAAAAACGTCCATTTTCATTTTTGACGGTGTATCTATTTGCAAATGAAATGGGGCGGTCAGATAAGCCGCCCATATTAAATGTTTATATTCATGTGTAGGGAATTGGCCTGTTATTAACATACACTGGTTACTTCTAATAAAAACAGCAGTGCATTTCCGCAGTTTTGTATTGTTTCTGAATATCCCCTACTTTTTTTGAAGAGTATATATTTGATACTAGTTGAGCATCAGAACAACATGATTATTTCATTGGAAATGGGCGCAAATACCCAAAGGTGTCGGACAAACTCTAAAGCAACTGCGTCTCCTTCCTTGGGCCCCTTCAATGTATGTCTACCTGTGGAATAACAGGTACATTATTTGTATCTGTTAAATTTGTGAGGTTTATATATTAGATTAATATTATTATTTACTCATGGGCGGGGAGAGATAACGTCTTAACCCAAACAAATTGCAAAAGACCACAGGAAGTTTCGTAGAGCGATATCTCGTCTCACATGTCACTGATGAAACCTATGCCCGAAACACATGTTACGCTAGACACCTTTTATTTAAAGGAGCTAAATCGCTAATATTTGGGACTTACAAATTGACACAAATGGGTCGCAACGTATATAATAATGTAATATGAATGTAAATAAACTGATTTACATTCAATCGTTTCCGTTTTTACTCTAATTTCAAAGCAGTTATGTTCGGCGAAATACGCCAGAAGTCTCAATCCAATGGCAGTCACTAGCATCTGGTTATTCCAGTCTACAGGTTTTTTTTAAGCCTGTATCCCCCTGAATAAGCCACCATGGCTCCGGCCAATAAAATAGCCAGATCGCCTTGACCAATAAAGAATTAATACTGATGTTTGCAGCTACGAAGATAATGTATGATTATGGTGTATGACATGAAATACAGCAACTTACACGAGGACGTCACACGAATCTCCACCAATACCTATCTCTCCTAGTTTTTCTATATAACCAAGTTTAAACTCCATGTTCGTTTTCTCTATACCATATTTCTCTTTATGATAATCTATATATTCGTTTGCTACCTTAACCTACAAAATAAATACAAACATTATTTAATTGACCATGATCTTAATATTGTGGAGGTTTTTTTTGTTTCTTTTGTTTTTTCCCCCAACCCGAACTAGAGGCTTTTCAAGAAACTGACCTCCCTTCCTGCATCACTGACAAGGGGAAGCCACACTGGTAAGTCCCGCGGAACTTTCACAGCCAACTCTGAATTTGAACCCCTGGGTCCCTCTGATTAGCGAACAAGTGCGTTAACCGAACCACAATTTCGTATAGAGCACATTATAGTCTGGGTGATCAAGCCTTGTTTTTTAAATCATTTATTTTTATCCGGTGCAGAACGGAGGGATATTGAAATTGGCTCCGTCTGTCTGGGCATATCTCATAAACTGTTCAAGATATCTTTATGAAACTTTATGCACACATAAACATGTTAGGGAGTTGTGTTTTTTCCTGTTTAGAAATTTCTCCTTTTTAATAATATTTTTTGTGTTTCCATGTAAACTAATTAACTTAGTTTTTGGCATACATGTCGATTACAATATTTTCTTGTATTTAGGACAAGTAGCCCTATCTGAATAATACAAAAGGAACAAGTTATTCCAGCCATGTTTACGCAGATTAGGGCTTACATTTGACAACGCAGGGTGTATTTTGATGAAATGTATAGAAACTAACCAAATCTTCTGTCATATCAATCCCTGTAACATGACCATTTGGACCAATCAGTGAGCTGATAACAAATGATTCGCGCCCAGAACCGCATCCTAAATCCAAAACATTTTGACCCTGTAATTTTTCTGGAACAGCAACACCGCAACCGTAAAATCTATAAAAAGAAAATATATGCAACATCTATCATGAAACCGATGTTAGATCAGGTGAACAAACCGACTAACCAAATTTTCGGTATTGGTTTCCAGCGCTTAGTTTGGTGGTGAATTATGGGAATTTAAAACCCATGGAATAAGACTGACTGAAATAAATTACCGTGTTAGCCTCAAAATGACCAAAGTGGCGTGTTCACGAAAGTTCTTTCAAATTTCAAGGCAAATTTTGTATTTATTTAGGGAGAAAATGAACAATTTTAAAATATGTGTATGGACTATTGCGACATGATACACGTAACCATTGAAAGTTAAGGACATAGACCCCTACCCATCACCTTAATCGTGTCAAGGTAGTGCGACTCCCGCCATGTTGTGGAATGGAAGATAAGATAGACAAGCCAACAGTGAGGCTGATCTCCCCCGCCGGAATGACAAAATGAAAAGGTCAGGTGACACATAATAATTAATCTCACATTTATTTTTTTCAAAAGTATCAAGCAATGAAACTGATTATCAACTATACACTAAGTTCCATCACTCTCTATCAGATAGAATTAAAGTTAACTTGTCCCAAAGCATCGAAGAATGAAATTGCTAAGCTCAGCTTAGCTTTAGCTCGAAATGTGTTAATCATTGAACTCAGTCAAGACATTCACCTAACGAACATCTACATCAAGTTTAAACATTCTACCTCAATTAAAAGCAGAACTGTTACGTTCCAAAGTCTTGACCAATCAACTTGCTTATCGCTCTTTAGCCTGAGCAGAAACTTCTAATAATGAAATCTATACTCGGAGTTTCATCACTCGCACTTAATTATAACCAAAGTTATCGTGCCCCAAAGCATCAACCAATCAGATTGCTTAGCTCTGCTAACAGTAAGCAGACCATGTTTATCATCGAACACCACCAAGGCATTGGCCTAATAAACACCTGCGCCAAGTTTGTACATTCTAGCTCAATTAGACGGAGTTATTGAGTTCTAATGTCTCGGCCAATCAAATTGCTTATCGCTCTGCTAACCCTGGAGCAGAGAATGCTCATGATCGAACTTAGTCAAAGTATTGATGTAATGAAACTATACATCAAATTTCATCACTCTCACTTAATTAGAACTAAAGTTATAATGTCCCAAAGCATCAACCAATCCAATTACTTATCTCTGCTTACCCTAAGCAGAAAATGCTCATCTTCAAACTCCATCAAGGCACTGACTTAATAAACACCTACACCAAGTTTGAACATTCCAGCTCAATTAGAAGAGAGTTATTGTGTCCCAAAAAATGTGACGGACAGACAGACAGGCGGAAAGACAGCCAGACAGACAGACGGACGAACCCATTTTAATAGTCCCCTGCTTTCTTCGAAAGGTGGGGGACAAATATATTTTATCGCATTATTACTTCCATCATGGCCACCATACAAAATTTTATATTTTAAGCCAGAGTTGATCATATAATTATAATATAACATTTAGGACAATCATGTGTACAGTTTATATAACAAGTCGGTGGTCACATATGTATACATGTAAACATTAACAGATTGGAAATCAATATAGAACTTAGCTGTGCTACTTGTCTTATCCACCGCTATACAGTGGAACACTGAAATCGTACGCTTATCTTACCGACAGAAATATCAAGTTGCCGTTGGATTTTAATAAATGTATGAATTTATGTGGCAAGTTTCACCTTTATTTCAAAGGGGGTTGGTTTATTAGTAAGAAAGTAACATTTTTGTCGTCAAGTCCTTAGAACGATCCACTACCGTGGTTGGAGCAAGACGGAAGACATCACTTGTGGAACCATTTCTATATAGAGCTATACACATGTAGAATTATCTTAACCAGCCTAGAAAGTAAACAAACAATAGCTATCTCGATAATTCACTACAATCATCACTATAAATGATGTAATAAACGTTTGTATTGAACCGGAGGGTTCAGAATGATTTATAGCAGTTGGTGCTCTTTCTTGAAGACATGAAACTCGTCGATGCACCGGAGTTTGCCACATTACATAAGTATTAATTAATATATCAATAAAATGTTGCTGTACAACAGATAGACCATGCACAGGCGTTTCATTTTATAGCCTACCTTTTGGTGATTTCTGGGTGAACAAGACTTAAAGCCTCTTTGATTTTATTGTCAAGTGTTCCACTGTAACCATATTTGAACTCAGAACCAGACTGCGACCATGCATTGTAAATATCCTTGACTGTGTTCAGAGTACAGGCTTCCGTTTCACAACTACTCATCTTCTGATTTAAAACTAAAATAAAAATAAAAAAGTCTGATATCTTCAATATTGTTGAAGGTACGTGTATATAAGCACCCGGAAATTATTCGTTGCATATGTAGTGCGGTCCTTCTGCACTTACTATTTGATATACATGTACAGTTGTACATGTAGTATACTGTTTGTATGAATGTATTGAGTTGTCTATGTAATATGTATTATTGAATGTATATGACTATGTCTAAGTGTATATGTATGCATGCTGTCCTCCATGGACGTTTTGATGCAATAAACTCTTATCTAAGTAGTCTCGGTCACCCAGAACCTCCTAGTCTTCAACTTTTTTTGGGTGATAGAGACTATAGTCCAAGTAACTAACTTCTACGTGATTTGTTAAGCATAGATTCAACAATCTAATTACAAGTGAAGAGAATTTCAGTCAAATTACTTAAATCATTAACTGCCAATTGTTTTAAAATCCATCGAAAATTAAAGCCTAAAGAAAGACCCGCATTAGGCCGATTTAGCTCGTGAATGATGCCTCTATAAAAGAAGATCCCCACAAAATTTGCATTAGATGCCCAAGTCGCCCACATTCAGAGAAAGATCTTTAGTAGAGTAGAAAAAGTCGGAACCTGGCATAAATGCATAGTACGGAATTCGTATATATTATAATGGAGGGAGGACCCGGACAAAAACCCTATATATAATTATTCCTTGTCACATCGAAGCTGGGAATCGACACCACGTCAGCTGACTCAATGACAGATCTTATAATCTATTGATATTGATAAGAGTACTCGTTACGCCGAAGATAAAAAGCTTTTCGTACACCAACCTTTAGAAATTCAAATGGTATTTAATGATGCAGATATAACAACCGGATGTTACTTGACAAATGACTCCCATTATCATTTTAGATCTAGGTCACATATATAAAATTGTTTATTTATATGTTGAATTTGTTGTTTCGTGACAATCTATCTACGTCCATAATTAACAGCGATTAAGCCCGACGGGACTTTCATGTCCCATCATAAAGTGAATACAATGTTGCAATGCATATGTGTATTATGGTCAGTATTTCATTATAAGTTAGTTTTAGGTAGGTCTAAGGTCGGGTTAAAGTAGTGCAGTCTTAGTGCAAAAAATATTGTAGAGTGGCATTTCAATGTCAAACAAAAAAAAACGGTGATCTTTTTTATAAGAAAATGTTTGTGCATGTTTGAAGATACGGAGAAAGTTCTAAGTAAGTAAAATGATTGTGAATTTTTTTCATGACACTTTATCCAAATCAAAACCCTTTCATAAAGTTTATATAAAAAATGGGCAATATTTGCATTTACTGTCGTATATTTTTTCAGTGGGACGTATCAGTCCCGTCAGGCAGATTGTACACCCAGGGACTCTGAAGTGCCAATGCGTTTTTTCCAAATTTATATGACTTTTCCTTTGCGAATTGATTAAAGCGGAAATTGCAAATTTTCTAAGAAAGTCAAAACGTAATTATTTCTATGTCTTTTGCTCAATAGGTTGTCAACTCACAATTATACGATCATAGGTGTCATTCTCACACTTAAGATTCATTTACACAGGAAATAATAACACAATTACCTCCCTTGTTTTCTATTCTCCACCATGGAGTAGCGATATTCAAACGTTTGAAAATGAAGAGGAAAATGATATTTTTGCCAATTTCTCAGCTGGCAATAGTGAATTATAGGATTAGTAGGATTATTCTTTAACAAGGTAGGACTGTTTATGGATATCATCTATATTCAGGCTTTATTTTAATAAATTTTAAAAATATAACTTAAAAATTTGCAATTTCCGCTTTAATATGCCGTCTAAATTTATCCTTTTATAACATGACAAGGAAATTTAAATAACAAATGGTCTGCGAAATGATATATGTTTTCATAAAATCGTGGCCAATGTGGGGTTTGTTCTAAGAAAAACATCAAATCTCGCCCTCAGAGTAAATGCGTTATATGTAATGTATTCTTATGCTGTAATAAATGAAGAAATTGTTTTCTAGATTTTCATGGTGCGGTTGGAAATAAACTATACATTTGAATTTCAAGTTAAAATTGTTCACGCCTTTAGTTGAATAAATTTAACTATGGATTATTGTTTCAAATTGTTGAGAAATTACAGTTTTCTTTGTTTGAGTTGTCTGTTTAGTGTTGTGGATTAAAGTTATGATGAAAATACAGATTTCAAGAATAATTTAAACTTTTTTGTCTTTTTTGTATTGAAAATAATTTACCCCTATGCCACCTGTCGGGATGTTCAGGTCCCACCCCCACCCGCTTCAGCAAAATTTGTAAAACTTAAAAATAATTTTGTGGATACCCTAACCAAACCCCAATCATCTATAAAATATCATGAAGCAAGAAATTATTTCAAAACTTAACCACCTGGGCCCGAAAGGGTTAAGACCCATAAAGTCACTAAAAGATTTTGGGTCAAAATATAAATAATAAAAAGAACATAAATAAACCGTCAAGAACTGCTTTTTTTAAAAAGTTTTATACACGTCATTATTCATTGCGACAAAGCAAGTAACAGTAGACAAAAACAGTAAAAAAACTAATTAAAAGTTCTTAATTAATTTTTATATATTTAAAATTTGTTATGTAACAAAGCTGAAATTATGTGGTGCTCCCCTTCCCTTGCCCCCATGATTTCTATACATTCAGGATGTTCGTCCAACTAATATTCTACGTTCTGACAACTGGAATGTTGCCATACATGTTACAACCATTCATGGTCTCACAACTGGAATGTTGCTATAGATGTTACAACTAACTATTCATGATGTCGATAAAGTCGCAATCATATAGATTTTGGGGTAATACATAGTTCATCACAATTAAAATATTTTACATTTGGATGGCTGAAGTAATTGGGTACCACAGACCGTCATTTATTGGTCTGAGGGGATCGCCTGGTTGGAAAACACTCATAAATTCGGCATTTTTTTAGTGTGTGTGTGTGTGTGGGTGTGTGTGTGTGTGTGTGTGGGGGGGGGGGGGTATAGACTATTCGTCTACACGTGTTTACGTCCGCTTTAATAACGGTAAACTCAGCTTGAAGAATGCCAATGTTTTGGGGTTATAATATGAATTAACTTTTAAAGATCTTTATTATAACAATAGTCATTTCTTAACCTTGTACCAACATATTTACACTTTGATACAAGTGTTCCAGTGAATCTTTTTATACATTTGAATAACATTATTTAATATTAGTTAAAGTATTATATATAGGAATTGACCTATGTCCGAATTAATTTGAATAATCTTTTACATTTTAACTGTTTGATTTTATACTTAAAGATGCATTATGTAAGATTTAGATAAAGAGCTGGCACTTCTCGCTATAACAGTTAAAAAAATAGATAATGAAAAGGGAAATGTTGAAAATGTCAGTCAAATTATTTTATTCTGAGCCAAGGTAGGGCTCTTTGGAGAATAGAGTAGTAACAGTAACCAAATCAACGATTAAATAAACATGTTCGAGTCTCGTAATGGCTGATCATTTCAAACGTATATTGTGTATGTTTTAATTGAAAAATTCTACTTGAAAATAGTGTCGAATTATTATAAATGTGTGTCAGCTGTTACAAGAAATGATTCCTTTGGCAACATTGTCGGTAAGATCCCAAAAACACCTTAGACCAGAGGTGGGGATGAGCGGTTTATTTTCATATTGCAGCTATATATAGTTCGAAGGGATAGAAACTGTCAGTGGCCATCGTCCGATCAGAGACAGTTCCTAAAGGATATGGTGTGTGTGGGTGTGTGTGTGTGATAGCTTTATTCAACGCCCGCTTCCACCGAGGTGATGTCGCATAAGGTCCATGGTTTATATATTATACTGTATATGCTGTAAGGGAAATGTACAATACCTGGTATACTAGGTGTTATAATAACGGTTTTGTCTGCCAGCTTTATGATAAAAACCGTTCACACCACGTTTTAAGCAAAAAATCTCAAATACTAGTATCTTTTCATAAAATCAATAAAGACAATGATTACTTACAGATTTCTAAATGTAAAAGGTCTTCGTTGTCTTCTTAAATCACAATATATAGTAACGGTTTCAAGTCTGGTTATAGTGTCTCCAGTAACCCGTGGCTCACTGTGATGTTTGCTTGACAAAGTAACCTATATATATTATGCACCTCCAATGAGTAAAAGTGCTGGTATAATAGTGTTGCTCCGACAGTTTGTTTTATAGACACATCCAATATTGTTGTTTGGACGATCATGATGACTTGTGAATTTTGTGAATGGCTAGTAGTAAGTGTTAGAAAATTCGGGAATAATAAATTGATATATGTCAGCTTTCGTGACTAAATAGGTCATCACTGAGAAGATAAGGTTATCTTAACATTTTAATTTGACAGTTGAGGGTTCAAGGTGACAGAGACCCTTAAGAGACCAAATATAGCTGTGGTTTACGTGTGTTTAAAATTTGCAGCTTTTGACAGATTCAATTATTGCCTGTGAGAACGGGATGATTAGTTGTGAATCAAGATTTTACTGCAAGTGGGTCACTTTTCAGAAATTTGGGAAATCGTCCCCCTCGAAAAATTTGGAAAAAATATATGCTATTGTACATGCAAAAACTAAAAACTGCAAAATTTGTGATCTGTAGCTTGAAAATGGAGTGAGATACGGGCATTTGAGTTTCATGAGTTATCAGCCACCGTAAAAAGATTTAAATTACCAAGATATATTAAACTAGGGGGATGGTTAGCGTATATAATAGAATAAAATATGTAGCAATAAAAATATATACAAAACTTTAAATATATACATAATATTTCACAATTAATGTTGTATGTATAGTTATAATTTAATGCATCACAGTCATATCGGATTTCCAACTTTTAGTGGATCTTTGACGTTCTACTAATAATATACATAATACACGACCCTCCGTCGGAATGTGTAAAATATCTTTCATGAACGTCAACCTCTTGTCGCGTTTGCTGACGCCAAAAAAAGATCTAAGGAGTGACTGGAGTGTTGACCGGTTTCACAATCGTTGAGCTTCTAAGTTTGTACTTTGACAACACGTCAACTGAACACCTCCCTCGCTCGTCCTGTGGGTAATGAAAATAACCGACATGCAGCTACCTTTAAATAACCAAGAAGTGGTCAGAATGGATTCGCGTCTACACACACACACACACACGGATGGCAGAAGTTTGAGACTGGTACGACGGGCTTCGGAATATACACCACTGAATCAAACTGACTGACCCGCATATGCCTGTGACATCATTCTGTAATTTACACGATCTTGTTGTTGAGATTTCCAGTCAAGAGCGAACAACTTTCGCTAAACATTGCCACTGCCCACTGGGCCTTTTGAAGTTTTGTTCTGACTTGGGTGTTCAAGTTACTCAACCTGCAATGTGTTGTTTCAGCTCGTGCAAAGGTGATGATTTGAGGAAAAGTCGGTGTTCAATTAGATGAACACAAACCCCGATATATATACTAACCGGTGATTGTGGAAAATAGACATAATGCATTTTCTATTAGTAATAACAAGAAATAAACACCATGTTGATTAAAACAGATAAATACATGTAGTTAACAAAATATAAATATTGATGGAAATAGCGAAATCTTTCTGTTCTCATATCTCTTTGTCGGGAATGCCGGAAATAAGAATGTCACAAACTGTTTAGCTGTAACAAATTACACTTTAGGTTTATTCTCGAAAAATTGGCAAGAAAGGGGTCAAATATTTATTGCCGCGCTTAGTTCAGCGACAAACTCGTGTACCCCACCCCCACCCCCTTTCAAAATTTCCGCCCCTGATCATACCTGTAAAATCCCCAAGTTAGTTACAAAGCTTGCCCCATACTCCTCGCTGTGTTTCGTTTGGTTAGACCTAATCCCACTTAAAACTGCTGTAATGGAAGCAAATTTCTGTTCCAAATTATGACTGGTCAATAGTCCGATTAACAACCAATAGCTAACTGCGTAACAATATCATTAAGCTTTAAACAGAACTCCAAATTGGACCAAATATGTTTACATAACGTTACGTCACGATTTTATTACGGCCAATTAACCAGTGCATTGCAGAATATTGTGGAAAAACTAATTGCGTGACAAACGAGGTTATCAAAACAAATACAATGTAAACATTACTGTTTGGAGACGAACAATACTTACACCGTTTTTTATACCTTAAATCACTGTCCAAAGTTTTAGGGAAGACCCCAGGTTGAACAAAGGGCTGTCATGTGCCTGTACTTAGGATTGGTTTGATTGAATGGAAAGAATAGACACACTCCCTCAAAAGCTCAAGTATCAGAAGCCAATCCAGCTATGGCCAGAGAGGGATTTCTCGGGCCATTGCTTCAGGAATATGCAAACGTCCAGACCTTCATATCGTAACGTGGTCGAACAAAAATCCCTCGTTCATAAACTGAGTTCCAATAACATGCCATGGCTACTATAGGGTTCTCAATCTACTCTACCCAGATGGATTCTTGTGTGAGGTTTGCAGTGCCGGATGAAGACACATTGGGGACCTGGGCCACTTAAACATACTTTATGCAAGAGTTAAATCTGCCTATTGCAGGTCTTTCTTTAGGCCTGAAATGTTATCTAAATTATTAATTAGACATTAATTAACAGGCCATTATCAACTCTGGATGGCATCAGATTTCTCCGATATAAAATAGATTAGAAAGGTTCAGCCATATTTTGATTTAATTTAAAAATGGAGGAGCAAGACTTAGCTTCGAACAACCAGTACGGTGGTTGAAATTATTGCACACATCTTGTCAAACCTTCAAAGGCTAATATAGTCGCTCACAATAGAGTAATTTGAATGAAAATTTCAAATTATTCATTTTACATTATCTATTTTTAAGCTATTATAGTAAGAATGGCTAGCCCTTAAAGGTCACCGGAAAAGGTTCATAAATTTTTTAAATAATGCAAGTAATTATGTCAACATATCCTTTCCATAAGTATAACACGAACCCGAATGTCAATATTACCTGCAACAGGTAAATTTCAACGTTAGCAATTTCCGCCATTCTCTGTGGGTAGTCGTAACTTTCCGTAAATTTGACGTCATTTTAGTCCTTCTGCTCATATTCTAGTCTATATTTCTATGTGCAGAAGGACTAAAATGACGTCACGGATTGCTTATTAACGGAAAGTTCCGACTACCGACGGAGAACGGCGGAAATTACTAATGTTGAAATTTACCTGTTGCAGGTATTATTGACGTTCGGGCTCGGGTTATACTTATGGAAAGGATATGTTGACATAATAACTTGCATTATTTTAAAAAAAATTGATGCTTTTCCGGTGACCTTTAATCTAAATCTTACATAATGTATCTTTTAGTAAATTGGGGTCCCTGGCCAGTCCTCCTCCCAAAAGTAGTTTTATATTGGGAATTGACTTTACCCATTGACTTCAATGTTAAATGGCTGTAACATCACAGACTGTAGCTATTTGCTCAACATTCCGTTGGTTCCAATCTTTATAGGCACAGTGGGGACGACATTTGGCAATCTCCTCATCATAATTTTGTAGAGGATTGACCGTTTTGTTATTTTGCTACGAGATTTGATGTTGACTGGGGTCAAAATCTCACTTCCGACACAATGATTGCTCTGCAGAAAGACACTTTAAACCCCCTATCCCTCCGCTGTAATATCGTCAGTATTACCCAAAACTGCAACGAAATTGCAAATTTGATCCCTTTTCTCTAATTCTAGTCCAAAAAGTCAACCAAAAAATGCAGGAAGAGGGGAGAAAAAATTAAGGAAAAAATTGTCTATTTATAACTCGCACTACTAGTCTGAGTCCATATAAACAAAGTTTGGAACACTTCAATTTTGCACACATTTATAAATTATAGAAAACCGGACTTGTCTCTTCAGACTTTACTGTGCTAAATTGAACAGTTGATATTTATTACACATATCCTTTTTTTTAAAATAGCATATACAAAAACTTTCACAAATACATTATGATCTAAAACCAAAATTATGAATATTAAAAAATAGTTAATAACAAATTGTTAGAAAGAAATAAAGACAAATTTATCAACAACATTTGGTTTGATTATGCATAGATAATTGAACTAAATAGAATACATTTTTCTTCAAAATAAATATATAAAAACAGCATTTTAGAAAATGTTCATCTGATCATGTGAGCTAATTCCTGAGAAGATCGATCAACATCAGGATCCACTTTTATGTTTGTGATTTCTGCGTATTGTGTCGTGTCCGTAAATTTATCTTGTGTACTTATTTGTGTGTGGTGCAGTCCCCCTGTACTTATTATATATTAGTATATCTAGTTGATTTTGAGACTAACATATAGTAACCCTAGTTTCAACAATTTTGCATGATTTTTAGGAGTAAAAAAATGGAGAATCCTGGAAAGGCAGGTGATCCTGCTCCTCCTACTGGTCATCTTCTACAACTGGAAGACAAAAACTGTAAGCACATGTTCGCACCTATTTATTTAACCTTGGAGGCCAAACTGTCAGTCCACAACTGCAACTGTAAAACTAAGACAACAAGCATTGTAAGTCAACCAAATGACCAGAATGTTTCTTATTATACAGTGGTAAAAATAGTTTAAGCAGCAGAGGCATAGGACTCGCAATTCGAATGTCTTGGATTTGAATCCCGATGTGGGTCGAGAATATCTACTGGGGGACTGTCCATGTACACATTGGAGTGCATGTAAAAAACAATTGAAAGCCGAAATTTGATGAGTATTCAATGGATTTTAAATTCACATAAAAAAGAAAACATATTGAGCTTTTCAATGTAAAAGGTTTAAAATACAAAACAGTAATCTCTAAAATTAAAGGTTCATAAAATATAAAAATAAAATTTGAAAAATAAAATATATGAAAATTTGAGCTATTTTAATTTTAATTTAGGTTTTTTGACATACGCATGATAATAGAAGTTTGAAAATAATACCATCATGGTGGAGTTATAAAATATACTATATATACAATAATGACCATTTGCATAACCATAAAAGGCAAGGACAAATCCAAAAACAAACTGAAGGATTTGAATTTGTGTCACTTGTTTTTTCCACTGTGGTGGGTTTTGAGGTCTAAGGGCAGATAATCCATAATACAGATATAAAACAACATGAACAAAGCTGTTTAGAGCAAGAATTGAGGCAATAGCTGGCCAATAGTAACTATTGTATGCAATGTTGCTAAGCAGTAGCATACTAGAATGATGGTAAACATGAAGAAATGAAATTTGACGACTTCTGTGCCGCAAAATCATAAATACTGTATCCAGTAATTCTACATTCTTCGTTGTCCAGTACAACCAAAAACACAACTTGAGAAAAGATGATGGCGTTTTGCTGTAGATTGAGCCACTGAGATAAACACCGTACAGGAAGCCACATAATGTAATTAAACTAACTAAACAACATCCAAAATTATGAAGAATCAAAAACTGAAATATAAAAAAACCATTGTCATATAATAATAAGGTACAGAGAAATGATATAAAATGGGATTTAACATCCAACTTTTCTGCTCCAACCAGGATAATGAAAAATTATGCTACATGTATGAGGAAGTTTGCTCAGTGGCTTTTCTGTCTACTCTTTGTTGAATTTGAACTGTCAAGGATTCTTATAAATGAACACCAATGTTAACCTCGAACCTAGGGTTTTTGTCCCATCCGAATGACTATAGATACTGTTCCTTGCCAGATCCTATGTCCTGCACTACTGACAAGGGTAAACCCGAGGAAATGAAATGAAATGAAATGGGGTTTAACGTCCTACTGTTCTGCTCCTATACTGGGCTAATGAAGACGGGCATAAGCCATACAGTGTGCTATGAGGGAATTTTTGCCCGGGCACCGGCACTATCGCCTACTCTTATATCGAATTCCAACTGCCAGGGGATCTTTTACGTGCATTCCAATATATACACGGGACCTCGGTTTTTCGTCTCATCTGAAGGACTAGTCAGCTGTCCTTGTCAGGCCCTCCTAAACCCGAGAACTTTCTTGGCCAACACCAGGATGGAACCAATGACCTCCTGGCTAGTGCCCCTTAATCACTACAGTGTATGTATCTATTTACACCACCAAAAGGCAATTATGCATACTGATATCTTGAAATAACCATGACAGGTAACTCATACTTCCACTTTTAATCCCATCCAAAAGACTAGGACACTTTCCTCGTTACCCTTGCTTGCACAACAGTTCACATGTGATGTCTGTGCATGCAAATATCTGAAGATTTTTCTCGGTCAACGTGTTCAAAATAAACGTATTGAAGGTTTACTTACTGGACGTAAATTTAAACGTGAGGTATATTTCTGCCACAATCCTGACAGGGCAATAATCAACAAATAACCACAGAATACTGGAAACGACTGTAAACTTGTTATATAATAAATCAGCCATAATATAGTTAAATACGACACCATCTTAACACTGTAAAATAAACAATATACATATAGAAATAAAATGAAATGGGGTTTAATGTCTTACTTTTCTACACCGACAAGCATACACCAACAGTGTGCTATGAGCAAAATTTTGTCCATGGCCTAGGTATTATTATTTCAAGGGTTCTTTTATGTGCACGCCATGTTTAAACAGGACCTCTGATTTAATCACATCCGAACGGCTAGATTTTGTTTCCTCTGTCCTGCACCAATTACAAAGGGAAACAACACTGGAATATACACACATGATGAAATGAGGAGATATTTTGTCCAGACAGTGTCACCACAACCTTCTTTTACATGCATGCCAACCCGTAAACAGGACCTCAATATTTTGTCCCATACGGATGAATAGGTATTGTCCTTGCCGGGCAATATGTCCTGCACCCACTGGCAAGGGTGAAACCATGCTGGAAAATTCTGAGGAACTTTCTCAAACAACATGCAAATATACACCGAATTTCATAAGAGTTATCATGTCCCATGGCATCGACAAATCACATTCCAAGCAGAAAATTCTCACCTAATAAACACATACACCAAGTCTAGCTCAATTAGAAGCAGATATCTTGACTGATGGACAGACAAATGCACTCATTTTGATAGCCCACAGTTTTCTTCGGAAGGGCGGGGGACAATAAGACACCATCTGAACACTTAAAAAATACCAAACAACATACATATAACCAGTAATATACATAAAGGGGAGGTATGTGGGGGAAATATTTTGTACAATGGAGACTCCACCGATGTGGATAAGATTAGCTAAAAGGGAAAAGATTTAACAATTTTGTTGTTTTTTGGGGGAAATTATTTGAACATTGATAGATCTAATATCTTCATATATCCAAGTGCATATTCAAAATTTTGACTGCATCATTCCAAGTTGATCAAGTGCACATACTCAAAATTTTGACTACACCCATCTAACAATTTTGACTACATCCATCCAAGTGCATCAAAAGAATATACACATGTACTTACCATTTGACTTGTTTGGATCTAAAAAAGTGGACCCCTATATCCTTTTTACAACTGTTCTTAACAGTATAAATATAAAACACTATTTGAAGACAGTGCAATGGTACAAGATAACACAGACTAAAAGAAACAAAACAGTAGTGATTTATCCCTTGCTACTATAGAAGTCTACTCTTGACACCAATGTTCTATTGTCAATCTATAAATACCTCGTTAGATAAAAAGGTCAGAATTACTATCAAGGTACCAAGCTTATCTTTATGAATTGAAAATACATTTACATTTGTATTCTTAAAATAAATTATATGCAATTCAGACTCAGATTTAGTATGCACTGTCATAAGAAAAAACATAATAAAAAATTATCATACAAAAATAATTATCAATACTGACCCGAAATAAATGCTTCACTGATCATGAGTCAGCTATTATAAGTAAATAGGATATGTATACTTTATACAGGTCAGCCTACAAAATATTTACTTAGGTCACAATAAGGAGATTTGTAAATAAATGTAGGTTATCCATGGACATTCTCTCCTGTACCATAATGTATCTGAAATCAGAAAAAAAAATAATTTAAAGGAGTAGCCATAGTGATAGAGACATTACTGCACACAATTAAAGTCTCTGTGGGAATTTGCATTTTATGAAAAATATCAAATACTCCAAGACTTTATCCATTTAATTTATAAAATAAAATCTAAATATCAACGCTTGATAATATCCCAGTTTGGGTCCAATCTGATTAAGAAAAGGCCCATCAAAAAAATCAGTGAAACTCATAGTTGAGAATCAATCAATCATATATATCGTATTGAACAGAAGTGAACAATTTTTGGACAAATATTCCTTTCAGAGATTCAACTTCTACAATATTTTAGTTTGCTATCGATTAACAATCTCTCAAATGAGACGTTAAACTCAAGTAGGCCTACATCAAAGATCTGCTTAAGACAATGATGAGTTTGCACATTTATAACATTTTAATTGGGTATTGACATGTATTCTGTTGTCAATCATAAATTTGGTCAACTATTGGACCCCCCCCCCCTTTTTTTTCATTTGACAGTAAGTATGATATATTGTGCAGGAAAATCAAACTATTGTATTCAAAATTCCACAATAAATTAATATTAATAAGTTTATTAATAATTAGCCAGTATGCTGTACTGCTGTACTAGTGTATGATTTACAGCATCCATACAATCATAATAAGAGTGATGAACATGTTGTATTATTCAGTTACTTTAAAGAATTAAGAAATGAAATACATGTATAATGGAGTTCAACTTCTTACTTTTCTGCACCAAATCGGCTAATGAAAACTGGCATAAGCCATGCGATGTGATACATGTATGACGGAAATTTTGCTCTACTGGGGGCGCTATAATGCCTACTCCTATTTACAACTGTCAGAATATTAGTAATGTATATTATTAATATATAAACTGATATAGTGAATATTGCATATTTAATGTTTGGTTTATTACACATACATTTTTACACTGAGTTACATGTACTGTTTCAAATTATTTCATTTCATGTAGTATGTATTATTATTCAAGTTCTTTTCTTAAAACTTCATCAGTGTGTATAGATTAAACTGTGTACATAATTTGAGATCTGCCCATCCCAGTGCATAGTAGCTATACACATTAGCTGATAGCCTACTGGTTTTCAAGAAAAAACATAAGAATGGAGTTTAAAATCTTGTTAACAGAATACTTTGAACTGTCAGTCCTTTTGAGAATAATATACAGTGCATCTACATGTATGTGTGCAATGTTAGAGAGGGGAATTTTGCCTGGACAACAGCATGACCACCTACACTGTAGTGTAGGCAAAATTACATGTAGGCCTAATCGGAGCCACGATGAAGTATATAAGTAGGCGCAAGTATATTCGTGATTTTCTGGCATGGTTTTCCTATGTGAGTGATGCAGGACGGAGAGTTTAACAAGGACAGTTCGGAGTTCACAGTTGTCTAGTCATTTAGATGGGACATTTTTTAGATCCCTTGACAGTTGGAATTCCAGTAAGTATCATTTGCCGTTGTCTGGGCAAAATTACCATCATTGCTTGCACACTTTGTGTATGGCATAATGTCTGTCTTCCGTTATCCCAGTCGGAGTAGGCCTATTTATTTGAAGTATTATTTAATTTCATTTACAATTAGTCTACATGTCATAACATAGGCCGTTGGTCGGGTGGCTGAATGGTTAGCGTGCGCGCGCTGTATCATACAGTCTGTCATTGAATCGACTGGCGTGGTTTCGAATCCCCGGTTGTACGTGACAAGGAGTAGGGTCGCCTGTCCAACCTCGTGGGTTTTCTCCGGGTCCTCCGGTTTCCTCCCACTGCTAAAGACCTCTACGCGCAAGCGAATTATTGAAATAAAATTAAACCATATGTTAGTCCCGAAATGACCTAGTTTGTGTCGAGTGGACGTTAAACCCCATTTCTCTCTCTCTCTCTCATATAGGCCGACACATAATCATATGATACGGACGTCTTTACTAGGCTGCATTGTTACATTGGGCGTGTCTGTCGGGACATGACATTCTTGATTTTATGTTTCATGGAATTCGGTTATTGGGCTGTAGAAACCTATTTTATTTTAATTAGCAGTTAATCACTACGCCCAATACTTCCAATATGAATTGATGATGTAATTTTGTTTACCTTTTCGCGGAAGTCGTGAAGAAGCCGGTGAGAGGGCGCTGTTTTTATTATGCCACGTCATATGCGCATGCTCGTGATTAAAACTTCCGTTCGACACGAAAGCAGAAAGATGGACTACTTGAGGAATATTATGGGGGCCCCTCAAGGGGGTGTCCAGCCTACTGGAGCAGAAACGGTATCATATAATGTGTGCAAAAATTAATAGACAATCTAATGACAATGCTTGAAATAAATCGTGTCCTCAAAATCTATGACAATGTCATTAAAACATCACTTGGTCTAGTGATAGATTGCATAATTTTGCATTTTATTTCACTTTTCATTTCTCAATTTAACAAATAGATCTAAATGTTGTGATTGTGAATGAAAAATTTGTGACATAATGCTCATACCGATAATCAAACTCGCTAGACAGCACATGAGAGGCAGGATAAAGCAATGTCTTTAATAGGCCATGGAGTAGACTCAGTAGAGCCTAGTTAGAGGGCTAGAAATATGGGAAGTTGAACATGTCTGTAATAACACAACACTCACACTCACTGTCAACACATATTATTATATTAATTAGTCGGCTGAAAGGTCTGTCTAATTCCTCACATGGATTTATAATTTTGGTTGTCCAGTTATCATGAGGCTTACTTATAATAGTGCATCAGAAGAAGGGAAAGTGGAGGAGACTAGCGCTGTCAAAACAATCTAAACTAAATGCAACTCACAACATGCATTATATGACACAATATATTTCCTTCAAAAATTATGTTCTATGGTATATATCCCAGGGTTGTGGGAGCATATTATAAGAGGTCGGGTGCTCGATCCCTGGATTGGTTGAGAAAGTTCATCCAGATTTTCTGGCGTGGTTCCCCCTTGTCAGTGATGCAGAACGGAGGGCTGGACAAGGACAGCTGTCTAGTTGTTTGGATGGGACGGAAATCAAGGTCTCGCGTACACATAAAAGATCCCTTGACAGTTGGAATTCAATATAAAAGTAGACCCTAGTTCCGCTGTCCGTGCAAAATTTGCCGCATAGCACACAGTATGGCATATGCCCGTCTTCATTAGCCCAGTTCAGAGTAGAACAGTAGACGTTAAACCCCATTTCATTTCAGCATATTATAAGTTATTAACACTTTTAATCAAAGACACATGCAAATTATTCAAATCTCTAAACTTTTATATTGTGGACGTTATCTTGTTTGTTGATGCTTTAAATTAATGCACAATACTGCAATGACAGTCACTCGGATTGTCACGTCTGCAAACAGGAAATTTACCAAAACCTACCAATAAAATACAAAGTCCTACAATATCATTGGAATGGTCTAATGCATGCGCTTCAGATCATAACGTCTCTCATGGAATCAAGTGGAATGGTTTTTGATTCCCAGCTTGTACATGTACATATATGTTGCAAGGGGTATGATCACATGTCAAAACTTGTGGTTTTTATCTGGGTCCTCTGGTTTCCTCCCACTACTAACTTAGACCCCTATGCACACGCGAACTATTGAAATAAATTAGAGCATATGTTAGTCCTGAAATGACCTGGTTTGTGTTGAGTGGACGCTAAATCCCATTTCTCTATCTTGCTCCTTATTATTTTCCAACATACATGTATTTATGACGATGAGCTAATATTGTATTTTAGGTTGAACGTTTAGTTGACAGAACTCAGTCTTCTACTTTATTAGATGATAGAAGAGATGCCGTTCGGGGGCTAAAAGCTCTTTCAAAGGTTTGTAAGCAAGAAAATGTATTATGCCTAGGGTTCTTAAAATATTTGATTTAATTAGATCACTATTAATTTTGTACCATACAAATTTATGTAAGTTAACGAACAACATCTTAGTAGTGGATGTAAATAATATGAAAATGAACAATTTATTATTTTACCATTCAACATTTCTTGACTTTTTAGCCTTTTTTTTTTTTTTTTTTTTTTTTAGAAATATCGATTAGAAGTTGGAACACAAGCTATGGATTGTTTGACAAAAGTTTTAGAAACTGACAGGTAAGTGAAGTATATAAATAACATATTTATTATACTGCAACAGAATCCAACATTATGTTATGCTGGGTTTATGCAGTATATATAGTATCAGAACATATTAAGATAATCATCGGAAGACAATCTGATTAAAACACAGATCCTATTACATTTTTTTTTTATAGTTCAAAATTTCGTTTTACTTGTCTTTACTACACTAGGATCTGGAAGAGTTGTTATATTTCCGGCGTTCTGGTTGAAGTGAAGGATTAGCCAATGAAACGGCCTGTTACGGCGAGTTCTTGGCGTGCGATGCACTAACTGTGGGTATACCACTAGAAACGTCAACGCTGATTGATTAATCAATGCCTGATGACCCCTGACACGACCTTCCAGTACAACCGGTCAGATCTTCATGCAGTGTAGGCCATCGAAAGTATAAAAAAAACGAAATAAAATATAGATCTGAATTTTAATCAGATTGATCAGAAGACTTCTATGGAAGACCATTTGTATTATTATGCTGTGATCCTCGTAGGCTCTTTTGCAAACCTGTAGCAAGGTTGGCTAAGTTGGCTCACTAACGAGGAAGTCCCAGCTTTGATCTCGGTGTTGGCCAAGGAATTTCTTCTGTATTTTTCAGAATGAAGAGCCTGGTAAGTTCAGCTGAGACTGAAAACCAAGGTCCTGTGTACATCTTAGCGTGGACATAAAACCTCCCGTGCCATTTGGAATTCGTTGAAGAATAAGTGAAAACGCTACTGTCTGTGCAACATTTCCCTCTTACCACACTAGTTTGCGTATGCCTGTTTTCAAATAAACAACTATTAACAAATAAGTTTGGGTCCTTGTGTTGTTTTGATTTAATTTGCTTATTGAATTGTATTTTATTATATATATAGAGGAGATGCTGAGATAATGGGATTAGCTTTAGATACATTGTGTAATGTTATGTCCGATGAACCAACAGAGGAAGAAGATTTAAACCCAGTTAATGAGATGAATGGAGATCTTGGTGCAAACTTTACAGAAATATACATCAAGAATCCAGAAAATGTTTCTCTGTTACTGTCATTATTAGAGGTATTAATTCAGAACGTACTTTATGTGTGAGAAGTCTTTTAGCTGAGTGACCCTTTGATAAAATAAAAAAACAAAAATAAAAACCTCACTCCTTCATCAGATTTTTGGTAAAGATTGTCTGAGAACCAGATTAATCTTTTTGTATGGTCTTGTTTAATAAATTTGAATTATTTATTTAGGTTTGCATGGATTGCTCTTAGAAATATATGATGTTTATGTGTAATATGCTAAAGTCTAACTAAAAAGTTTATTATTTTTTTTTTTCAAAGGAATATGACTTCCATGTAAGATGGCCTACAGTGAAGTTATTGACAATATTATTGACTAATAAAGGAAAGGGGATACAAGAATGTATTTTAGTCAGCCCGATGGGGGTATCCAAATTAATGGACTTATTATCAGATAGTAGAGAAATTATTAGAAATGATGTAAGTAAGAAAAAATTTGTAGCCACAGAATAACTGTTAAATTTACAGTTAATTACTAGAAATTGTACATGTATTTTACACCCAAACCACAAGGAAGCAAATTAATATGAACTGCTTTTGATTTTGTAGTCTATTCTTAATGCCTTTAAATTGTACAATATATTTGCAGTAAAGACTGTTCAGACCAAATTTAGAGTTATAAAACCACTCTAAAGTACTTTTATTGGAAAAACATTTTGGTCAAAAAATTATTCAAATCAGTTAATGCAAACATAGGCATTTGACTACAGAGTTCTGACGTCGGTAAGCAAGCAAGTGAAGGGCATGTCTTAAAACTGACTGCTGATGTGGTCAACACTTCATTTCTTTCTTGATTTATCCCTAATATTCCACCTCGTGGAATCAACAGAGTTATTGTCTGGATGTCCAACGCCTTCACTGCAAGGGGTTAAGTTATGGTCATTTTAAGTGTACATTGCTTTCCCACCTCAATGTTAACTCTATTAGATAATTATGGTAAGAATAAATGTGTTATCTTTCATATACCATCTTCAATAGAAGGCTTTAACTCTGTACGTCGTATCAAGCCCTTCAGGTAATACTCTGCATATTTCGGCACTAATTGCGATTGGGTACAAGCCCAGCTTGAGAGCTTATCAGATTCCTCGATCATCTGATCATCGCGAATACCAAGTCTCACACTTTCTAGCTAAATTGTCTACCTGTGATAATCGAGTTGCAAATGTCAAGGTTTCCGTGGTGGATGCTATGTTTGATTTGAGTGTGTTTGTGTCACAACCTCTGATTGGATGCGGCTGTTCACTTGTCTTCGGTAAAGATAAATAACGTAGCTATAATTTCTGGAATTTCTGACTGCTATAGCAACATAGTGCATATTTATGACGTTTCAAATATATTTGAAGGATCAGGTTGTTATGGCTTTAATCACATTAGCCTTTGCGTGAATACTGTGATGTACACTAGTACTAGAAAATTTCTACTAGAATTTATTTCTCATATCCATTGTGCCAAAATCATAAATATTTGTACATTTTTCAGGCATTATTGTTATTAATCCAGTTAACTAAAGGCAATGCTAATATACAGAAGATTGTAGCATTTGAAAATGCGTTTGAAAGATTGTTAGATATTATACAAGATGAGGGTAATAGTGATGGTGGTAAGTTTTAAACTTAAATACCATTAAGGAATTTAAAGTTTATTACAAATTGTTCGCTGAATCTCATCTTTCATGGTAGATTTCGTAATCTAAAGCAGCGGTTCCCAAACCATTTTACACAGGTGGATTGAACCCTTAGGACATTTTACGAATCTTAGAGAATCCCTTCAGATTTCATATATATGGGACATTAGGACCACTTTACACATAAATCTTTGATAAACCCTATCATGTGTGTCAGGCAGCCTTATGTTGGATCAATTCTCACTCAACTTTGTCTAGGTCTGCACACGATTCAACATCAGCATGTGTGAGTATATTCAATATGTGTCTCCATGAACTTCTTAAACCAAAACATCTGTTGGACGTTGTCACAGGTTTCCAACGAGAGTGGAGAAGGATCCCATAAGCAGTCATTTATGTCCTAATCTCTTTCATGTGGCAACGTTGCGAGGGGTGTGTCATTAACTAGAGGTAAACACACATGTTACTGACTTTGGATTTTTGACCCTTGTGTCTGTGTTTCACTGTAAAGTAAACTTGTTATGGTCTCCATGCGCTGTTGTTGATTTTCTTGTGTCGTGCCTACAGTCATGCCAAAAATCACATTTCAACTGCATTATGTTTCGGTAACACCTTCAGTCAATTCAGTTGTTCATTTCCATTACATTTAGTATATCAGAAATATATTTGTATATTTGTATTTTTCAGGTATAGTTGTTGAAGATTGTCTGTTATTATTATTAAATCTATTAAAGAATAACTCGTCAAACCAAAACTTCTTTAAAGAAGGCAGCTATATACAGAAGATAACCCCTTATTTTGATTTGAACTCTGACCCACAGAGGTCACAGGGTGGTTGGTCAGCTCAGAAAGTTACCAATCTTCACCTCATGTTACAAGTGAGTGCGAGTGTGTGCGTAGGCATGTGTTCATAAAGATAGGCATGTCATAAAAAGATTGCATTCATCTTATTCTACCACAAGGCAATATGTCTTGGATGGAAGGTGCGTAGTATTGCTGGGGTGGAGGGTGGAGGGTGTAGGGTACTATTGTCAGTATTAATTCATATTTCTGTTTTTGCCAGGAAGGTTTTTGCCGTCTGTAAATGTAATGCAATAAAATGACTAATATTTAAAAAAAAAAAAGTTTACATATCAGAGAAAAAAGTTAAATTTGAAAGATTCACTATTTCGAAAAAAAAAAAAAAGATGCAAAAATTATTTGAATGAACATAGTATGTGATGGTATCATGTAAGAATGCAATCTTTTTGATATTCCTCGAATTGAACTATTTACTAACACGCATCATAACTGTCAGAATTTGGGTGGAGCAAGTCAAATATATATTATTTACATTCTGAGTAATCGACTGAGTTTTAGCTATTGTTTTATCTTTGTAAATTCTGAGTTACTAACGAATATAGCCTAAAGTTTATTTCCTTCTTGAGATTATTCTGGTCCGTAAGATAATACCAGAGGATATAGCAAATATGTATTAGTATGTGCATGTACGTATAATGTTGGTTTCATGACAGAGATAGCACATAGGTATTTAGTACACAGAGGTGAATTGACAACAGACATAGCAAATAGATATTTTTTACATAATGTTTGACGACAAACATAGCAAAAAATATTTAGTATACAAGGTTGGTGTGACGACAGACATAGCAAAAAGGTATTTAGTATACAAGGGTGGTGTGACGACAGACATAGCAAAAAAGGTATTTAGTATACAAGGTTGGTTTGACAACAGGCATAGCAAAAGGTATTTAGTATACAAGGGTGGTGTGACGACAGACATAGCAAATAAATATTTAGTATACAAGGGTAGTTTGACGACAGACATAGCAATTAAGTATTTAGTACATAATGTTGGTTTGACAACAGACATAGCAATTAAATATTTAGTATACAAGAGTGGTTTGATGACATAGCAAATAGCTACTTAGTATAGATATGTGTATGTCTACTGATGATATGGAGCAGGTTGAAGGCAAGTTCCCTAAGATTGCAGATAGACTGCATTGTCCAACATGTCCACAAGGATTTCACAATAGTTAAAACTCAGCATTACTCAGAATATAGATTTCTGGGTTTGGGGCATGATAATGGGTGTGGTTTTTAAATTTAATTTTCCCCGGGTTATAGGGTATTGCTATTGTAATTTTCTTTATTTGGGAATGGAAAATGTTTTTGATTTTTTGATTTACGTGTGCGTAATGATGCATGAGAGTATGTTTTATATAAAGTTAAAATGATGAAAAGCTTCCAATGGGAATAGTTGCTTAGCTTGTTTCCATTATTCAGTATTTGTGCAGTACCCAATAGCCACATAGGGTGCTGCAGCAAGTTTATTTTATGCAGGGAGGTAAACAAAGGGAGTAGAAACTCGTTAATTATCCCTTTACTTATTTTATCTTTGTTTGGTCTCTAGATGTTTAACGTAACGTTTCGATACAAATATAAAGAGACGGGACGATGATAAAATTGGTTTTCTGATATCAGGGGCTACTTCCTTTATTTATCTCACCTAGATGTGTTAAATTTAATGGAATGTTACATAATTTTTGAGAATATATATTATTTTTGAAGCTGAAGAAAGTATGATATAAGCAAATTGATATCTTAATCATTTTACCAATTATGTTATAGATATGGGAGTTATAAGACTTTTTGTATTCAGAACATAATTCTTTTCAAAGTTAAAACAATCACTGTTAATGACAGAGCCTTCTGTGAATATATTTGTAGAAATTGCTTGAATCAAACTTCCAAAAATATTAGAATGAAATTGTTAATTAAATGATAATTTATTTTGGTATGAAGTTAAATGAATTTTGTATGCTTGTGATTTTAAAAGTGTGATTATATTTTGAATTTTGTTTTAAAATTTTAACGTTTCTTGGACAAGTTTAATTTTGGTTTTGTATTTAAATTGATGTCTTTGCATGCAGTGCAACAATTTTTATTTTTGTCCTAATTTTATCAGAGACACATACAGATTATTATAAATATGAAATTTTTAAATATGACACAGAAAAAAAGAATATAAAATCATAATCCTAAATTACATAGATTAGTTTCAGTGAACATGAATGTGAAATATCATGATTTCATCTCTTGTCGTCTATTAAAATTATAAAAAGCATCATCCATTATAAATTTAAGTGAGCACCAACTTGGACAGATTTATCTTTACCTATTCGTAAAACAATCATCTTTTCATTAATTCATATTTTATACACTCTTTTCTTTACTTTTCTTTCCTTCTACATAAAGAGCTTATTGTTTGGAGTCTTAATTGCATATTGAGCTTATTGCATCATATTAACCTTATCAGATGTATGTTTTACTTGATTGCTTATTGAGCTTACATTTCTTTATCACTGGCTTTAGGAAATGACTGCTGAACATGGTTCTCTTACTAAATACATTAATATCTTGTTTAATTCTCAATATATATGATGGCTAAAAGTATGTATAATCAAGTATGGTGGCTAAAAGCATAGTCTGCTTGTCTAATTCCTTTTGTTAAATGGTTATTTCCTGCATGAAAAGATACAATTAATAAGATACAATTAATTTGTATCAGTAGTTTCCCCATTAAAAGTGACACTGTGAGTTATTGCTTTCATTTAAACAATATTTAAGCTTAGTGCATACGGGCAAATTCCTTAGACAATTTTTAAGCCATTTTTAGGTGCTCCCTAGAATAAATCACCACTAATGACAGAGGATATCAAATTTGCCCAATATCAAAAAAGTTTAGACATTCAGCATTAGAAAAATTGCTCATCGTTTTGGAAATGTACTGCTTACAATCGTTATCTTGTGATGCAAGTTTTTGTTTGACCGATTTAAATATAAACCAGCATACATTTGCGAGAATCAGTGTCACTGAAATTATTTTTCTCACATTTATTTGCCCTTGCTTTAGTTTCCACCACGGTAAAGATCATTTTGTTCACCCTGTTTTAGCATGTTCCTTTTTTTCCAGTTTCATTTTTGTTTTTCATAAAGAATCATATTTCACGTTCCACTTAAATTCTGACCCACCCGCTGGTAGCATGGGTTGCTTGGTAACATCTAAGTTGCCAAGGTGATGAGTTGTGCCTAATGTTTGCATTGCTATGACAACCACTAACCATAGCTAATATAACCACATATTACTAATTATGTTAATATTATGCACAGCTAGTTACTTCATTGCTCTGACAAAATGCATTTTCACTAAATTTCACCATATGTTATGAAATGAACTGTCTTATTTTTCATCAAAAGTTAACATCAAAATTAATTTTGAAAGAAATTGGGTATTATATTAATTATAATTACTTCATTGTCTGTGTTGCTCTCCCTCCTGTTCTCTGAGCTGTGATTGCCGTTTGATTAGGACACTGAGCTGATTTCTTAGAATGTCTTGAGTAAATCCCAATATTGGCTTAGTTGAATATTCAAAATAACAGATTTATATAGCTTGATTCCGACTTGTGTTGGTCTAAATAAACAATGTTCCTGTGTAAAAGATTTTTCGTCAATTGAAATCAAAAAAGTCAAATTCCCTTGACTCTGGGATTAATCGATCATTTCAATCCATTCACTGCATAATTTTGAATCATAATGTATAGGAAATATCAAGGTTATTTTCACATAAAAAGTCAGACTACTTTCACAGCATTCCTTAAAATTCTTAGAATCTTTTTGTACTTGCATCATCAACAAATTACTTTGATTCAAACTTCTATTTCAAAGTGTGATCTGAAAACCTGTTTCTGTTTGCAAAACTTCAGTACAAAACTTTTGTTCCACACAGGCATACAAAGTTCAGTTATATTTGAGCTAGATGCATAATCTTAGAATTTTATGTTTTGAATTATCATGATTTATTGTTTGATTGTATAAAAACAGTTGGTTAGAACTATGGTTTCCCCTAACAACGCTCAACAGCAGACAACTTCCTGTCAGAAATCTCTTAATTATTGTGGTAAGTTTTTTCATCATACCCATTGTACACTTTAATCAAAGATTCCTGACAGTTGCAATTTTATTGATTCACTTTGTGTGTGAAAAATTACAGATTCCTGGAATTTTTATCATTTTTCAGATTTTAATTGTAGGTCATAAACTGGTTACAGAAACGGCTTCTGAGTGCCTAGGGATTCTTGTAGTCATGCATTAAGGGCACTTGAGCCTGGACTAGAATGTTCCTGGTTCAGTTCCCGGCATGGACTGAGAAGAACCTTCCAAATGTTTGAAGATAACTGAAGTATTGTGTTGACAATATGTTATGTTTCATTCCGCAGAAACAATTGAAAATTTCTTCCATGAAAATGCTTATCTGATGAAAGATTTGCCCATCTCGGGACGAGATTTGCTAAAAATCATGACTAAGAGTAGACGCTACCCTTCTAGTAATTTATATAATTGGTAAAAAAAAGTGTGCCTTATGTACTGAATAATACAGTATGTGTATATCTTTGTTGAAGACTATGCACTGGTTAAGACCTCTTTGTTTCCTAGGTTTACTACAGAAGTTATGTTCTATTTTAATGGCTAGTGGTGTTCCAGCAGATGTCCTTACAGAGGTACAGTATAACAATTCTATCTCAGAAGGGGGTTGGGTGGCCGAATGGTTAGCACGTGCGTGCTGTATCATACGGCCTGTCATTGAGTCAACTGGCGTGGTTTCGAATCCCTGGTTGTACGTGACAAGGAGTAGGGCCGACTGTCCAACCTCGTGGGTTTTCTCCGGGTCCTCCGGTTTCCTCCCACTGCTAAAAGACCCCTACGCGCAAGCGAATTATTGAAATAAAATTAAACGATATGTTAGTCCCGAAATGACCTACTTTGTGTCGAGTGGACATTAATCCCCATTTCTCTCTCTCTATCTCAGAATTCTTTTCCAAATTTGAAAAATCTTAAAGGCACAACAAGGCAGGTATACTGTTTTAATGTAAAAGCCTGTTTTTAAATGCACATGAAGAATATTCAAGCAGAATTATTAATACTATATTTAGCTAAGACACATATAATAAAGATTATAGTGTGAAACTAATATATGGTAAACATTGAATGACCAAAACAATATGAATCAATTTGAATTATATTTTTCAACCATGATTGTTTTTAATAGAAGTACTTTTGGTTGTGTAAACTATAATCTTTATTCTGGCATATTTAACTTGTTTAATTGATATTGGTTTACCATGTAATATTTGGTCTAGAATTTAAAATTTACAAATTTTACTCTGTAAAGAGGAATTCACCAATTACCCTCTGTATATGATATTTCTAAATGAATTTTGTATGCTTGCTATTTTGAAGTATGTGATTGGGTTTTTCATTGGCATTTTCAATTCTTATTCCAGACGATAAATACTGTATCCGAAGCAATACGCGGAAATCCAACCAACCAGGAATATTTTGCCTCAGTTTTAGCTCCCTCCAATCCTCCCAGGTTCGTTATGTCACATTATTTTTTGACACAATATAGCAAGCAATACATATATAATATTTTTAGAGTAAAACTATGATTTAAAGGTAGCATAAATATTTCACTACACAAAGATATGTACTGCTATCCTGCAAATTACCTTTATCAATTAAGAGTACAATTCATATTGATTGATTTTAGGTTTTCAATGAATCACTTGATGAATCGTTTAATTAGTATTTCTATAAAAAATTATTGCCCCTGACTGTTGACTAAAGGATATTGTAACAAAAATATGAGATTTAATGATTCTAAATGTCTAAACATGCACCCTCTGGTTTTGAACAATTCACAGCAAACTAATATAGTTCCTTTTGTATTAAAATGCAAAAAAAAAAAAATCTTTATGAATGATATTCATAATGAAAATTCACAAATAGTTAACATTGCACTATGCATAGATACTGTAAAAGGTTAGATTTTATTAATAAATTAAAGCTGATATTATAACTTGACCCATTATCCTTCTAACCGTTGTTATGGAACTTTTCAGTGACAGAGACAATAAGCAATAGGCCTTTATATCTTGCACAGTTTGTTCCCAATTTTACTGATAAGGCTGCTATAAATATTGATTAGGCCTATTAAGAAGTTGTCAGTTGTATAAAAAAAACTTGTTATGATAATTGTGTATTACAGGCCAGCTATTGTTGTATTGTTGATGTCCATGGTTAATGAGAAACAGCCATTTGTCCTGCGTTGTGCCGTTTTATATTGTTTTCAATCTTTTCTGTATAAAAATGAAGTGGGTCAATCCCAGATTGTACAAACTCTTTTACCTACAACAGCAGACGGTGAGTAGTATTATCAGTTCACTATTTATAGGCTATATCAGCATAATAGAATACCTCTAGACAAACAAAGACCAATTACAATACAGGAAAGCTGGACTTCAAATCACTGACAAAACAAACCATACAGTAATATATTATAGCACAGACAATGTGAATTTATAATACGATATTGCATAAAAAGTGAAATCCACTATAGATATAGAAAAATGACGGAAAATATAACCTTCAATAAATTATAGATCAAATATTTTTGGATCTTTTCAGTCAATACAATAACAGCTGGTCAGTTGTTATGTGGTGGGTTATTTAGTAGTGATTCTCTATCCAATTGGTTCGCAGCAGTAGCCATGTTACATGCTATATTAGAGAACAGAACACAGAAAGAACAGTTATTACGTGTACAGTTAGCAACAAGTCTTGGTAATCCACCAGTTTCACTATTACAACAATGTTGTAATATTTTAGCACAGGTAATCTTTATTTATTATAGTCTTCAATCGCCGCTTCAAAATATTTTTAGGGGAGCAAGGGTTCTGTATATGTAAGTGGGAAGTTGACATTGGTGTAGGCATGATTTTTTACAGTAACAATGTCAACAAACCCCTCAATCGATACCAGATTTAACTGTTTAAATGACCCAGAGGTTTGACGCCATATGTCATAAAAACCATGTCATAATTGTAATCTGTGATTAGGACAACATTTTTGTTTAGGCCTAGACAATATCACCGTTTTGTTATAATTTTTCAAGAAGAAACAGTACGATTTTTAACTGTCAAACAGGAAGTAAACAAAGGAGTGAATGTCGCCTGTTTATAAGGGAAGTAACTCTGATTATGCTAGGAATGTTGCATTTGGCTAACCTGTTTTGTCGATAAAAGTCAACGCGGATACTCAACGGTAACGTTATAGGTGTCAACGAAAGTCGACATGGGTCAGCCAAGAATTGATTAAATATGATTATTTCAGGGTGGTAAAATACAAACAAGTATATGTTTATTAATGTACTGTTTCGTAATCGAACACATTAATATAAATCAACAGTTTTATGGAAAACAATTACTGCATTATTATCAAGAGCTACAGTTTGACAATACATTTATTGTAGAAATTGAGCACTAACTAAGATGCAGTAAATGCTCTCCTTGAAGCTTTTGTGATTTATTTTACAAGATATGTTAATGTTGTTTATATAAACAGGGTGGTAAATTAATGTGGTTTATATAAACAGGGTGGTAAATTATTGTTGTTTATAATTACAGGGTGGTAAATTACAGACACGTATAGGTTTATTGATGTTGATGTGTGGTTGGTTAAGTGATTGTTCAATAGCAGTAACACATTTTCTATCTAACACAGCTAATGTGCCTTTTGTATCCTTTCAAATAAATCTGGTTTTGAGGCCTGTTTCCATTTGCAATGATTATAGCTTCTAATCATGTTTTATTGTTATTCACATCTTCATTAGCCCAGTTCGGAGCAGAACAGTAGGATGTTAAACCCCATTTCATTTCATTTTATCGTTATCAGTTAAAACTCAATGAGTAGAATGGATTAATTATGGATGTTGGTCAGTTTCTTTGAATGATCAAAAATCCTGGAACATAATGTTGAATGGCAGGACTGGTACAGCTTTAGAAGTATTATTAACCATAGATTGTGGTGATCATATTGTTTCGTCAAAGTCTTAGATTTTAGATATTACCCTTGTTAATCTCATATAGACTGACATGTTGAACACCATTTCTTTAAATTTGCTGTATATTTTGGGAGCCTTGTTAGCTCAATGAGTAAAGTACTGGCTCACTATGTTTGATCCGGGTGTTGACTGAAAAAGTACCACAGGGTTTTCCAGCATGGTTACATTAGTGCAGCAAGGAAGTGTTTCTTGTTGTTGGGATTGGAAAACACGTTGACATGCGCGTAAAAGAAGCCTTTATACCACTAGTTGGAGTGAAATTAAAAATGGGCCGTAGCGCCACTGCCCAGGAAAAATGTCCCCCATAGCACACTGCATGGCACATGATTTGTGTATATTTGACCTTAACAGTAATGTATAGTTAATATCACAAGTGTCGGCATCAGAAGGTGATGAACAGGAATTATTAGTACAAGGTTTATGTGCGTTTTTATTAGGAATATGTATGTTATATAATGATGATCAGTCAGATACATTTACCAAGTAAGTCCAATACTTTATTCTTATTGATGCAAATCATGGGTTTATTGACCAGATTTTGTTACTTGCTCTTGCACTGTGACCCGGGTATTTTTTAATCTTGTGTATCTAGCATTAATTTCGTTCACATTGGCTTAATATCAAGTCTTTGTTTAAAAATTCGTAAAAATCGTTTTAAATCACCAAAAATCATCTAATTTGTACTTGTGTCCAGTTTAAAGCTGACCATTCAATTTTGATAATGAATGTCCAATATACAAGGGTTTACTTTCTTGATCACTGTTAAAAAATAAACAAAAGGAGGATATCGTGCAGAAAATACCTCAACCACGACAGCAAAAACATGCTCACACTATATTGGGACCGTCTGAGCTTTGCCTTGACTGAATATCGTGTCATTTTAAGTAATAGTCAAAAAAGATGTGGGCTGATTATTAGGTCAATTATTTTATTTGACAATTAGATAATAATGTTGTATTTTTATTTTCAGAGCCTCATTAAAACAAGTTATAGAGAACAGAATTGGTTTAGAAACTTTTAACGATAAATTATCACAGATATTAAAAAATGAAAGTTATACCCGTGCAGCAAAAAAACCTAACCTACATTATAAACAGTCCAGTGAAGTTATATTTGATTACGCTTTTACCAGAATATTTAAAACATTAGAAAGTAAGAACATGTATTTAGTGATTTTAAGTCTATTTTTATCGTTTAGATTTTTGATGAATGAAAAAAAACTTTCTAGTATTAAAATGGCCGAAATCTAGGGGACTCAGTAAGACACTGGCATGCTGACAGGTGTTAGCTAAAATAGTTTGTTGTAATTTTTCCATGTGGTTTCTGCTGGTCATTGGTGCAAATAACTCAATGTTTAATAAAGAGGCCTCCCACTATTCCCTCCTTTGAAAACTTATTAGAGGTGACATGGTGGTTTTTGCTTTTGCTCACACCTGGTGTTGGTCGATAATGTTCTTCAAGATTTTCCAACTTGGCTTCTTCGTCGTAGTGGTGCAGGACGAGGGTCTAGCAAAGAAAAGCATCTAATTGTTTGGATGGGACACCTGTGTACTTATTGGCATGCAAAATATCCTCATGACGTCTTAGCCATGAAGAAGAGAAAAACAAAACCTCACTTCATTTAAAACTTATCAGTTTGCATTGTTTATAAGATATAATGCTTGATGTCAACTTGTTTTTTAGATGAAGTATTAAAATCTGTATCCTATGATGAGAATTCACCAGATCATAAGAAGAAACTTGCTAGTCTTAAAGAACATGAGAGTATTGTAGATCAATATAAAGAATTTATTAAAGAACAGGTATAACTTTCATCCATTCATAAAAACATCTCTTACTGACTGATAGTGTCAGTTATATGACAAACATACCATTTTTTACTGACTGATAGTGTCAGTCATATGACAAACATACCATCTCTTACTGACTGATAGTGTCAGTTTTATGACAAACATACCATCTCTTACTGACTGATAGTGTCAGTTTTATGACAAACATACCATCTCTGGCTGACTGATAGTGTCAGTTATCTGACAAACATACCAACGCTTGGTGGCTGATAGTGTCAGTCATATGATAACCATGTTTTGGGGGCAGGGGCGGAAATGTGCTGCTGACTTTTGTGCTGCATACTTTTATCCTATATAGAGATCAGCAGCACACAAAAGTCTGAGATTTAATGAATATTTAATAGGTTCTGCACACATAAGTGAGTGTTCACAGTTGTGTGGCTCTGTGACTATGGTGCTGGCTTGCTAACAGAAGATCTTGGGTCCGATCCCATTGTTACCTAAGAACCAGTCTCTGGATTTTCCTGCTTGGTTTCACTTTGTCACTAAAATATCCTGTCTGTTTTTTTAAAAGATTTTAAGATTGATAATTTTTTTTTGATTGTCAGGATGCGAGATTAAATGCCGCTAATCAAGAATTAGAATCACTTAACTCAACACATACAGAAACACTCAAACAAATAGAAGAATTCAAAAATACTGTACAACAACTAAAAGACCAAAATGCTTTATTAAAAGTTCAAAAAGGTAAGAGCCTTCTTCATTATGTCAAAAAGTTGATATATATAATTAAAAGTCATTCATAATATCACATGTACATTAACACTTAATAACAGATATGTTATGAATTTTAAGATAATGGTATTGTTCAGTTTTTGTGTTGTGTTATTTTACAGGTGCTAGAGGATCCCCATCATTACCAGAATCGACAACCGATGACACAACATCTTTACTCTCAAAAGAAATTGAGAATTTAAAATCAGAATTAAATGATAAAAATAAACAAATTGATAAATTAGTAAGTTTAATTATATTGCTCTGTGGGGGTAGTTCTCTCGTTCACCATGGATGACATGGATTAAAATCTATTGAATCTAAAAACCATATGTGAGATAGGCCTTGTTTTATATGGGATGTAACTCCCAAAGACTCCATGAAAGAACAAAGGGGAGGGAAGTCTTCCATGAAAGTTGGCATTACTATATGACAATATAGATCTTCTGATGTATATATATATCAAGTAAAACATTAACCCCATTTCATTTATATTTATGTATCTGTTTTTAATAAGGTACAGCTCTTTGAATCTGTTGTCCAAGGTGACATTAGTCCTTGGCGACGGATATCCAGTGACAGTTATTTTAATTGTGCACTTCTAATTTCTAACTTTATAGATGTTTTATTAAAGTGATACATATATATTTAGTCAGTATATAACTTGAATATATAAGAGTTGAAACCCCTGATCATCATTTGAGGTATTTTATTGTGAAATGTGAATCTATAAAGGAAATATTAGTTCAATACTGGTTAAATTCTGTTCAGTAGTTATAAAGATGTGATGAATTGGAAATTTTGCAACATTTGTTATCGTCGGCAGTCGTTCTAATCAAGCCAGGCCACTTACTTATAATAGAATTAAATTCAAGCCTGTACATTACTACCTTTGATATATTTTGGTTATGTTTTCTTAATGTAACTTTTCTATAATGTCGTCATTTAATCTGTATTTCAGAAAAATGATCTCACACAAGCAGAAGTACAAATTTTATCGCAGGAAAATGGCGACGAAAATAAAGAGAATAATCCAAATGAAGCAGCCGTTGTTCAAGCTACATTACAGAAAATGAACACAGATTTAGAAAGGTCGTTAGCTGATCGTGATAATGAGATATCTAGACTACAAGATTTGTTACAGGGCTGTAAAAAGGAAGTAGAACAAATAGTAAGTTTTAGTCCAAATTACTGGATTTCATATTCATGTCAGGACTTCACAAGATCGAATCTCTAGTGTAAAGATGGTGGTTTTGTAATCAAGGATGATTTGTGGGTGGACGGATGTTTCGGCCAGTGGACATTTCGGCCTAGGATAGTTCGGCTAGTGGACATTTCTGCCAATTTTACAATGGCACTCAGTATTTGTATGCAGTTTTGTGTCATCCAGGGTCGTGTATCAGGAGTTTTTGTTCCATTAGTGTACATACTTTTACAAAGAAAGTCTCAGACAACTTATGAATTAATGTTTCATTTGTTAGAGAAGCATGGTTGTGACCCATTAACTGTTATAATAGACTTTGAAGGGTCTGTAGATATTGCTCTTCATGCGGTGTATGGACCACAAGTACAGATTCAGTACTGTTTTTATCACCTTACTCAATCAACCTGGAGACACATCCAGCCACTAGGACTTGCAAACATGTACAAAAATGACGATTTCGAACAAACAAACAAAAAAAACAACCCAAAATACACAGCAAAGAAAAGATCTGTAAGGGAAAACCAACAAATAAATCTGGCTGAAATGTCCTCATTCTAAAAAAAAAAATAGTGTACGAAATGTCCTAGGCCGAAATGTCCACTGTCCGAAACGTCCTACATTCGATTTGTCGGTCTGTCGTCCAGTTATCAGTCAGTTTCAAATATACCTGAGGTGGAAGGGGAGTGAAGGTAATTTTAGGATTACATGTGAGCTTTAGATCATAAGGTCTGTCCTTGAGTCAAATGGCGTGGTTTTGATTCCCAGGTTTGTTCTTGGCAAAGAGTAGAGTAGTCATGCCCAGTATCTTCCACTACAAAAAAGACCCCTGAATATAGACCATTTATTGAAATTACAAATGAACAATTTTGTGTTGAGTGGACTTTGAACCCATTTCCGCCTCGCTCTCATTACAAACTGAACATTCTTTCAGAATTCTATGTTAAGGAGAGTATCACTAATTAATCCACAGTTTCGTATTTTCATGTGAGTGAATTTATATTATGATTTGACATGTTACCTATTTTAACAGAGAAGTCAACAATCACAAGGTAACAATATAACTACAGATGGTGATTCACAACAAAAACTTCAATCATTAAAAGATGAACTTAAAAAAATAACAGAAGAAAAAACATCGCTACAAGACAGAGTGACAAAATCTAACGAAGAAAATTTAAAAACGCTGGATAGAATACGAGTAAGTAATTGTATTTTACTTACAGGGAGCCGTTGTGGATCAGTGGGTATGGTGCTGGCTCACTAACCAGGAGATTCCAAGATATCTTTATGAAGATTTTGTACACAGATCAACCTATTATAGTAGTTAATTTGTTTGCTAATAAGAAATTTGACTCAGCTTTTGGTATTAAAAGGTGTGGGATATTGATAACTTACTTTTATATAAAATTCTTTATTATTAAATATAGTAATGATAAATATTGTTTGATTATTATAGAAATTAGAAACAGAAAAAGAAGAGATATTAGTGGAGAAACGAAATGTTGAGGAAGAATTAGATGTATTAAAGAAAGAACAAGATGATTTATTGGTATTATTAGCTGATCAAGAAGCTAAAATAGATAAATATAAAACCATGTTAAAAGATCTAGGTCAAGATGTAAGTAATATTTATTACTTCAATTGGTTAGATATCTTAGTTGACGTGGGTGAAAGTAGACACTTGGTTAGATATCCTAGGTGATGTGGGTGAAAGTAGACACTTGGTTAGATATCCTAGGTGATGTGGGTGAAAGTAGACACTTGGTTAGATATCCTACGTGATGTGGGTGAAAGTAGACACTTGGTTAGATATCCTACGTGATGTGGGTGAAAGTAGACACTTGGTTAGATATCCTAGGTGACGTGGGTGGAAGTAGACACTTGGTTAGATATCCTGGGTGAGGTGGGTGAAAGTAGACACTAGGTTAGATATCCTAGGAGAGGTTTCCTGCCGCTACTACAGACCCCTCTCTCCCTTCTAAAGTGTCCTGGGCACAAGTAAATCAATTGTATAAAGTTATTTTAGGCTTGAAATAAACTAAGTGTGTTCAGTGGATGTTAGAACTCATTTCATTGAATCAGTGTTACTTTTATTCCAGGTTAAAGATGATGATGATGATGATGATGATTTGGATGATGATGATGATGATGATGATGGGGATGATTAAGAAATATCAAATACTTGCTAGTAAACCAATTATTTATTAAATGGAATTATTTGGTTGATTCGGGATGAACATGAATACACAGGGTTAATCACAATATACCAAAATCATTCAATGCTAAGTCGGTGATTTTATAGTTGTGATAGGTTGAACGATGTTAAAGAGGGTACAGAGGTATTCCGTAAAGTTGAATACCTTCTTTATTGGACTTTTATAAATAAAATCCTATGGTAGAATGAAGATGGGAACATGCATTTTGATAAACATATGAAAATTATTGTAGATAAAAATCATCATGAAGCAGTTTGCGCTTTTTGTGAATCCATTTTGTAGGGAGAGATCATTCACCATCACTTCAACTCTGTGTGCCTATAGAACATCAATGATTTTTTAGCATTATTGTTGAATTTATTTTGAAGGTTGTTTTTTGTAATGGTTTGTTTTTACTGTAAAATTAAATATAGAAAGACCTTCATGAAGAAATGACTAGCTTGTACCTAAAATATAGCATAGCATAATTGTTATTATGGCGGTGCTAAATCATTAAATGTCAGTCACTGTAAGGTCTTTAATTCTATATTTATCTTTTGTTCCGTCATGTTTGGGTCTTCGGGAGTAGAAGTCAGAGCTTGAGAGATAGCAATTTACTCATGTATGCAAGATTATTAGTTAAAATTTCAAAATAGAGAATTAAATAGTGTTGTTATGTTTGATTTGTGTGGTTTAGTTTTCTTTTTATTTTGTTAACTTATATTTTGACAATTGTCCACTTGTTTATGGTTAAACTTTTGTTTTAGCACAGACAATACTATTACTGTGTATTCTTATTAATATGAATATTCATGACCTTTGAATAAATGAATAATAATGAGTTGCATGTGTGGACAGCCGCAGACTTTTTTTTGTCTTGGTAAAGCATGTAGTTGTCTTCTGTATATCTGAAGTGATAACATTTAATGGGGTATGTGGAATGCTAACATATTTTTCACCCAGTTCCTGTGAAGTGTCCGTGATACTTGCCAAGTTATCTCTGATTGCCCAAAATTGTCCCGAGATTCTAATTACACTATTTTTTCTGTTGGGACTGACGGTACTTTGTTCTCCCGCCCGCATGTCACTTGTTTGAAATTCTGTTAATTCAAAGCATTCTAGAACCAAAGTTGAGTTGTCCCACTGTTTATTTTTAGTACAGTACTTTGTTTTAGAAGGACACAAGTCAAATTTTTTGAGACTTTAGACGAGACTTTACTTTAGTTAAATATGATTAGAATTGTTTGTTTGTGTTATTTTTGTGTGTGAAGCTTTTATAAAAGCACCTGTTGTAGTTTAATTAGTAATTAGATGTAAATATTCCATATGCTATGGTAGAAAAATATTTTCCTTATAATTTAATGGTTAGAAGAATGTTGCTGTTTTAAAACACTTTAGCACTTGGTACATGTAAATATTGACTACCGTTATATTCATACTGGTAGATCCCAGGATAGCCGATATCTTCTGAAACTACTGCTCCCTGTACCGCTTCAAACGCCTAAAAGGAGTAATATGAATAGCTCTCTGTATTGTAGAACTGTATACTAGTTTAAGTACTTGTTTTAGGTGTCCCAAGTGTTAAAGGGGGTTAAATATGTTGTTTTGTATATTGGTGTAAATAAGTGTGGTGTTAATTCATACTTGATGACCTTTGTTTAAACCGAGTAAAATCTGGGTATATAATAAGATGTCATAAGTTAGTAATATAAAATATATTATGTAAGAAGTTATTTATCTCATTGTTTGATAATGTAAATAAACCTAATGTTATGTTAAACATTCATTTGTTAGCATTTAAAACCCATTGAATTAAGCTAGACATAAATATAAAAGGCTAAGTCATGTCGATTTTGAGCTCTTCTGGGTCTTGAATGAGGTTTTGTTCAAAATTTCAGTTTTAAAAATTAGAACTAAGAGTGTTTGAGAAAAGCATCCAAATACTTTTTTTTTTTAAATTATTTTTATCCCTAAGAAATAGGAAGCAAAATTTTAGGCGTTTCTGAAGAATTTTAAATTGGTACAACAAGTAATGGTCAATAGATTTCTACTTATACCTATATGAGGGAAAATATGTATATATGATACATTATCAATATCTGAAGACACCTATAGAGGGCAGATAGCTAGCCAATATGATTTAATGTATGTCAGAATGACGTAAAGTGGAGAATTTTTTTTACCTGGTCATATTTTTTATTTATTTATGTATATAAAAATATTACCAGAATATAGTGCAGTATTTTATGTGGTCTTACTGAGAAAGTCTATTGTCAAAATTGTTTGGGAATTCCAGCCTCCCCAAGACCTGGCAATAGATTCTACCAGTTATATTATGTCTATCATCACCTTTTTGAAGCATAGATTCATCTAATATTTTGATTCAGAATTGAATATTTTTATCACAGAACACTGTAATATACAGGATTGAATTTTGTCAATCAAGTGTATAATATCTTTGATTTGTGTTAACATGAGTTGAATACTAAATTTTCTAACTTGTTGTTTATTATTATAATAATATTCTTCAACATCTGATTGTTTCAAGTCGCACAAGTATCAGTTGTTTCATAAAGATATATCACAGCAAATGTTATTTGTTTGAAGAAGATGAAACAGAATTCTATCAAATTTATTCATAGAACATAGATTTAATCCTTAAGGTTGCAAAAATACAAGTAGAGTATATTGGATTTGGTACTCTTCACCTTCCATTTCACATTTGATATAAGGGACTAAAATCAGTCTGCCATTAGTTTAATGTATATATGTAGCTACTAATTTTATTATAAAGATGGATACATTATAAATAAAGATTATTTTCTATTGATAACAATTAGTTATTTTTAGCCCATTGGACCAGCGTCCTCAAAATACTTGTGTGGATACCAGGCGTAAACAGGTGTATAGGGTGTGATATATTGAATAATATTAGAGGGTATAGCGTGAAGGTGAATATCTCTTTTATTGGACTTGACGAATAGAAATACTATGTCGGAATGAAGATGAATACTAAAGAACTGTCACGGGACATAGGATTTAGATGTAGATTTGTTTTGAATTTAAAGAGCTACCTTAGGCCTAAGATGATAATATCACTGCTTGTTTCAGTCTTCCACTTTACAGTAATTGTTTATGAATTCAGTGCAGACCCTTATGCTCTTTCAAGAAGTTTCCTTAAACAATTTCTGATCGAAAAATCTGAGGAATTAATTGACAGAAATTTTACACAAGGTGGGGGGAAGCAGGGAGAGGATTTGTCACATTTTAGTGAGATTAAGAGATAATTTTTCTTCTACCAGGTTGTTATTAGTTATTGAGGTAGCTGCAGTGACTCAGTGAGTAAGGCACTGGCTTACTAATCGGGAGGTCCAGGATTCGATACTGGTGTTGGTTGAGAAAGATCTCCAGGATTATCCAGTGTGGTTTCCCCTTGCCAGAAGGGGGGCCTGGCATGGATAGTGTGTAGTTATTTGGATAAAATGAAAAACAAGGTCCCATGTACATAAAAGACACATGACAGTTGGAATTTGATATAAAAGTAAGCCGTAGTGCCACTGTCCGGGCATAATTTCTGTAATAGAACACTGTATGGCATTAACCCAGTCAGAGCAGAAAAAGCAAGACATTCGTTCAACCATTTCATTTCTTTGCCAGGTTATCTTGTAACCATCTGTCAGTAAATAAAAAAACCAGATATATATTTATTTACATTACCACACCATGTGAATAGTTTATTATATAAATATATATATTATATACCTAGTATATAAAAAATCATTGATACAAATAAGTTGGATTTTTTAAAAATACTTCTTTGGAATTAATATAAGCGGGATTTAATAATGCTGTTGATTTTAATATTTTACCATATAAATAACTGCAATTAGTGCCATGGGAATGATGACCACACCTTTTATACTTCTGTCTTATAAAGTCTGGTTTCACAATAACAGAATTTTCTTGGAAAAAAATTATATTGAGAATGTAAATTATTGTACAGATATTGTGTCGAAGCCTAGAAAACCAGATTGAAATTTTATACAAAATGTTAATATCTCAAAATCAGGTCATCGAAAATATATACGAAAATATGAGAAACAATGTAGTAGTTTATATTTAACACAAAATAGTATATAGTAGACCAAACAGTATTCTAATTGTTTGAGAAGACTGAAGACAGTGTATAGTGGATGCTATCATACTTTAAATAATTACTAAAACAAGTATATTAGATATGACAACATTAGATATTACAATGAATTATATTGGCAATGTACATTAATTCCCAGTGATGTGTGTATATAAATTTATATATTTTCTGTACAAAACAATTATATATTTACATATACACAACCAACATAATATATTACAAAAGTAACAATACATCACAAAAGTGACACAACACAAAAGTAACATAATAGTTGAAAACCCCAGATAAAATACACAGCTTGAACAATAATGGGAAAGCTAAAAACTCTTTATGAATTATGAATTACATTGTGTATCTCCTATTATTATTATGATTTACCATATGTTAAAGACATTTAAGATATTACTGTAAAGTGAAAATAAAAATTACTGCATGTATCAGTCTGTTGAAACAGGCATATATCCATTTGAAATTCATCTTTTGGGGGTTTTTTTACCAATAATTTCAGACACCCTGAACCAACATATCTTGAAGCAATAATATGATGGGGGTGCTCGATAGTATGAAACAGTACATGCGCTGTAGCCCAAAATCAACATTTTCTTGATTGTTACAATTTTTGAGAGCATTAAATTGAGTATCTCCCATGCTTACATGTAGTCAACAATTTTAATCCATTTTCAATAAATTCCATACATTCGTTGTTATAACCTTCAGTTAATTAAACATAGCCTTGGTTATTCTTTTTATTAAGCTCCTTTATAACTTCAATAGCAAGCCTTAATATAGGATAGTCTATTCCTTTTATTATTAGTACCGGGTATTAATTTTCTTCAGTAATATTATAAAGCTATATTCTTATGTTAAAAGAAAAATAAATGAATATATAAAAATGAATCTTCATGATTTTGATGATTTAAAAGTTTTTTTCAATATCAATATAAATATTTTAAATTTTTTAGCAGTAGGCCTATTAAACAACTGTCATCGATCTGAAGTTTTGTATATTGATCGTTCTGAAAATAATAAAAAAACTAAGTTAATTTAAATTGATGGCAAACAATAAGTCAATATTTCTGTCAAACAATGAAACGGTAAGTCAATATTTCAGTCAAACAATAAGTCATTATTTCAGTCAAAGTGTATGTCAATATTTCAGTCAAATAATAAGTTGAGATTTCAATTAAAAAATTAATTAACATTTCAAAGAAGTAATAAACATTTCAATCAAACAATAAGTAAATATTTCAGTCCAGCAAAAAGTCAAGATTTCATTCAAACAATAAGTTGATATTTCAATTAAACAATAAACAAAGATTTCAGTCAATCATTTAAACATAGATTTAATTAAACAATAGGTCATCAAAGATTTAGTGAAAATGCAAAGCATGTTTTGAGAATAGTATTCTTTATGGTTAAGTGGGTTGAGCGATTAATTCTGATCTCTAGAATTCCAACACTACCTGTATGTACAAGTGAGAATCAGGCTCATTTAGGCTTGTCTGAGATTTGAACACAGGACATTTGGATAAAGACTAGTTCAATGGTGAGGATGACAGTTCTCATGATTACTTCCGTGAGATGGAGAGACCAACATATGTGACATAGAGATGGACAGACAAGTGCATGTGATAGTGTGGCAAGCAGGCAGCTTCCACACAAGTAAGAAACCCTGGATGTGAAATGAAAAGAAGTAAAAATCTTTACCTTATAACATTTTGGTTAATAATAGAATTACATGGTGTAGATTTTGGTCCCTGTGATGGGGAGAATGTTTTACCACTTTTATTGACCACATGTATTGGTCGTTTATATTTCACGTTGTATGCATCAGACGAATGGGATGGATATGGATCAAATGTTCCAATCTTGGCACCAGCAGGCTGAAAAATTAAATTTATATAAATTACTGGTTCAGAATACATCATACAGTTAAAGTTTATGTGCAATTTCCCTGATTTGATATAATAATGTGTGCAAAGAGTAAATATTGATACAATTGCTAAATTGGTAATATCATCTTTTTAAGCCCAATCCCTAAACAACTAAATTGGTAATATCATCTTTTACCTCATTCCCTATACAATTGCTAAATTGACAATATCAGTTTTAAGTAAATTTACTATACAACTGCTAAATCAATATAGATATTATTTAAGCCCATTCACTATACAACTCCTAAATTATCAATTTTTATTTTATGCCCATAAATTAATATTAATAATATCAGCTTTATGTCCATTCTCTATACAACTACTAAGATAATTTCAGCTTTAAGTCAATTCTCTTACCTTTTTACCCGGAGAGCTTGGTTTAAATGGTTTAAGATCACGTTTCCCAGCAGATGAAACTTTACGTAATGGTGGAAGATTTTTATCAGATTTATATGGATTGTGATCAAAGTAGGCTTGTGGATGCATGTTTAGTTTAAAGGAGCCACCTTTCACAGATTTTCGATGAATTTCAATTTCTTTCTGTGAAGATAAAAGAAGACAATTCATTTTAAATTGTTCTAAAAGATGTTAATAACATAATTTTATGCTTTTAAATATTAAAGCCGCGGATCGTCTTTTCAGGAAATATGAATCCCTTTTTATTACAAATTGTGAAATTTGAATATCTAAAAGGAATATCAGTCCAAAAATGGTTCAATTCTGCTCACTATTTACAAAGATGTGAAAATCTAGCAACATTCAGCATCCTCTACAGACAATATAAAAAAGCCAGCCCCACCTGTAAATGTTGGGTAAAATGTTTGGATAGACTTAGTTTTAATCAGAATGAATCCCAGCAAGGATTTTATATAATTTTATAATCAATTTAAACACTTTTTAGCATGGATTAAGCCATGAAAAATTAGACATTGTCTAAAAAATTCATGATCAGGATCAGCAGCTTTAATAATCATGTGTGTGCAATAAATGGAATAAAACTTCACACTAATAATTGTTTACTGGTAATTAATAATAATGAATACTTAATTCAAATTGGTCTACTCTACTGTATATTTTAGTTTTATTTCAATTTTCAAACCTTTAATAATTCTCTAGCTCTATCATAGTTTTCACTTTTATATGGTGGATACCCACTGAGTGTTACACCAATATAGCTAAAACAAACACATGCCAAAATTTCAACAAAATGTTAATCAAACAAATTAATAAACAAACAAAACAAGTACTAAAAACTGGACTCTTTGTGTTTTTTTGTAATTTAAAATAAAGGAAGAAAATGGTAGACTAAAAAATTCATACGTATATTTGCTTTATTTCTTAAGATTTTTTAAAAAAAAATATGATAAATTAATTTACAGAATGTGCTTTCATGACATGACTTTTGACAGATTATTTAATTTACATTAACATATTGGTGCATTTTAGAATCCTGAGTCCAGTTTTTAAATTATTAATAGTTTTAAACATTACATGTATTTGCAATCTGATTATAAACATGTCAGATCTCTCTCTCTCTCTCTTGACATCAGGCCAACCTGACGTAATCCAGCTGCTTGTGTTCAAAGGGTTATATTAAAAAAACATTAACTGTTTAACTGTTAATATGAACAAAACATGTCAATAACAAGTAAAATAGAAAAGAGTTAATTTTAAAAATCAATTATGTATGTTAAGTTAGTTTGTAACAGAACAATCAACAAACAACTCTCAGCTCATGAACGCACCCTGGCTTTTTCACGATCATTTCCGTAAGATTCACTCATATTGTTAGGATATTTTCCTAAAGTAACTCCTACATATCTGAAAATGAAGACAGGTTATACCAAAAGAAATTAAAAGATATAAAAAGAAGGAAATAAAAAATCCCAAAATAATAATGTCTGACACATCAGGTAATTCTGTTTATTAAACTAATAAGCTTATCTTAGAAATAATAACCATTTTTTCAGCATCAAAGTAAACAAGAAAATATCAACATCCCATACCCATGTAGGCCTATACCAAAAACTAAGCGAAATTTCTTTCCAAGGAAATATAAAAATGATCAAATCTGATAAATCAATAATTAGCAAAAGGAACAACTACTCTAGATTGACGTGTGTACATGGTTTTATAAAGATATCTTGAACAGTTTAGAAGATATGCTCAGGAAACAAAACTAGGTGCAGCCATTTCGCTATATTCCTTTAACTACATTCAGCACATGATAATAATAAAAGCGTACCCAAAACCTGTTCCTTTCTTTCCAGGGTTTGTGAGAATATTTTTTCCTGGTGCTTTATATCCTTTTCCAGAAGCCGATGCTGGACTAAAAGCTGACACATTTCCTCCAAATGTTCCAAAATGACTTCCTAATCCAGACCTGTCAAAAGGAAAAAAAGATTTACATGTGTAAGTAATGTGATCCACAAAATCTAACTCTTATACATCCAAGCCACAATTGGTTTGGTATTGATAAATTGTGTTTTTTCAATATATTTATTGATAATGATATCTTCAAATAAATGTTCAGCACAAAGTTAAAAATGTCAGTTACTAGTTCATGTTAAATCATTATATTGCCAGCTAGTCCTGTCTGTTCTAGACACCATCTAAAAAAACCCATTTTTTTAGGTACTCTTAGAAGCTAGTACTGGGTATTGCCACTGCAGTCACGATATGAGATTGCGATTCAGGTTCTACAATATGATTCATACCATGATTCATAACAAGATCAATATTTACCAAGAAAACAACAGGATAAATGAATAATTGATATTTTTAGTCCTGTTGATGTTGAAGACCAAAATGAGGAACAAAACAATTAAAGTGTATACCTATGGATAATGTGTGACATGGATAATTAAGAGTGACAGTTTACTTACTGAAGCGACAAAAACAACAAAAAAGAATCGTGAAAAATTAATTCAGCATCTCACGATTCAATACGCAAAAAGTGAGAAGGTGAATCTTGATACAACGATTCAAGGATACAATCATATAAAACTTACGGTTTCTTATCACCATTACTTGGTAGAAATGCTTTTGATATATTTTTCTTTGATTCATCCATTCTATTAACTCTTCTCATCTTAATAGGATCACTGTATGATTCCCCTTCCAATACTCTGTTAAATTTATCACTAAAATATCCACCTTGTAAGGCTGATTTGATTTTCTCACCACCAGGTAACATCTGTCTACCTTTTGAGCTGGCATCATTGAAACTGACTGAAATAAGCAAAAATAAAAAGATTTATAAATATAATGTAGGACAAAGTAATCTCGTACCATTTCTGTAACATGGTACCAGTATATTTGATGGTTGACTTTAATTTATCAAACACAAAATCTCAACAGTTACTGGAGTGGTATAATTTTCAACATTGACAGTTTGCTATCCCGCAAAACTAATCAACATATAAAATCAAATTGTTTTATTTTTGACTCTAATAATTTATCTAGTCAGCTAATCAAAGTGGTCTAGCCTACTGTCTGAACCGGCATAAATTTTCAATGGATTTCTTCTATTATGGCTTAATTATGGCTATTAAAAACTTGCCTATGTGTTTGAAATCACCTCTCATTAAATAAAATCCATTGTACACCTAAATATCTCAACGATTAAAAGTTCTCTCATGAAAAAATTGAACTCATCACCAATTTAGACATCGAGATATAGGCCTACAACCGGGGTTTGCCAGGCAAGACACATTTTGCAAGAGATGGATAGAGAACACGCTAGAAAAAAAATGCAAATTTTTCATACATTCGGGGCCATAAAGATATCTTTTGAGTTTTATAAAAATCTGACATTTAGAGGGTCCACAACCTTCGTATTACATACAAGTCTTGTACACAATTTGCGTACAAGGAACAGTCATTTTAACGGGCAGTTACCGTCTAATTTTTAAGAAATTCAAACTCAATCATCATCAGGGTGTAACAATGAAATGCTTATTTAAACGATTTTTAAAATCGGACCAAAATTGCTATCTCTAGAGGATCACCAAGCTAAAATCACGATTTTTTCGTACTATCAGGGTCCATAATCTAGGAAGTTACGGTCCATTATGCGCGAATATTCTATATTTCAAGTTTCGTCAAAATCGGATAAAAATTGTGACCTGTAGAGTGTCCACAAACAAATTGTGGATAGACGGACGGGGGACGAAAATATACATCCACATAAAATTGTGGAGTATAAAAGTTACTTATCGGGATAGATCATTTAAGACAGGGGGTGGCAGCAAGTCTTGTCTATCGTAACGGTGTCTGGCTCTTTTACGACATTTCAAACTTTGTGTATGAATAAGCTATTGCTCTAGGACCCAGTAATGAATTTACTAATGAATTTAAAAATATAAATACACCTGTAGTCTGTTATTTTGTTTCTGTCTTGTATTAATTATTTGATTAGAGAGTTGGATGGGATTATTTCTTTTACACACAGGTGCAGAACAAAAAGAAGGACATTCGTTTTACGGGCCTTAAATCTCACCCTTGAATATCTTTAATATTTCTTGATGAACTTAAGCAGTCCTGTCATTTAAATTAACCTTGACAATCTGCTGTAGCTGAGGTAAATCCATAAATGCCGATGTATTTTACATTTTCCTTGGCAAAATAAAAAGCTGAGGCCATTGAATATGTATATAACAATATTTACAGTCCATTTTATTTTATACCAAAAATTATAATCAATAAATCATACTGCCCATCGGTTTAATTATCGACAGATAGTTCCATTTCTTTCTATTTCTCTTATGTTATTTCCGTTATGCAAAAACTATTCAAAATTTTATAATCGTGCGTCTCACATGACATATGCAATGTTGTGATAAACACTGTCGAAAATACAAGCAAATTGACTTTTCAAGAGATAATTTTTTTTTTGTTGGGATATTTAATTGTGCAATGGATTTTATTCAACGGGAGGTGATTTCAAATATGTAGGCAAGCTTTTAATAACAATTACTAAGTAGTTTGTTCACAATCAAAGAAATCTGTTTAAAATTTACGACGGTTCAGACAGAAACCTTTTAAAGGAGCTAAAATCGCTATGAATATTTGGGACCTAGAAATTGACACAAATGGGTCGCAATGCATATAATAATGTAATATGAATGTATAAACTGATTTACATTCAATTGTTTCTGTTTTTTTACTCTAATTTCAAAATACGGCAAAAGTCTCAATCAAATGGCAATCTCTATAGTGTTTGGTTATTCCGGTGTACACCAGGCGATAGTATTTATTGCGCATGCTCACCAGATAAGAATATGTGTCACCGTTTGACATGACTTGTGGAATATGTCTAGCCTCTTTCTTCGAGTCCCTTGTTAAGGTTACAAATTGCGCTAAAAGGGGTGCCAGTTAAATCGTCCACAAGCAAAGTCGTCCACAGTTAAGTTGTCCATGTCGTTTGGATTAAAAAAATCGTATTTCTACATCCCGAAATCAAATTAAATCGTGTGGATGAGTCAACCAATGCCGGGTGGACAACTCCACCAACAAGTGTGGACGACTTTGCTTATGGACGACTTGTTGACTGGCATTCACTGAAATGAAATGCATTTATGGTACACTGGTGTGCCACTGGTAAAAGGTTATTTTAATTTGTCTTAAATATTGGATATCAGAAGCCCATTTTTTCTCGGTAAGGTCACAACATCAATGTTGATTTAAATTGACAAATAATTCATGTTTTCAATGTTGAAGACTTTGAATCATATTGAGTTCAGTTAGGTATAGAGATTTTGGCTAGCTACCGCCACCGGTACTTTAATTATATATATAAAGAGGAATGAAATAAGTCATACTTCCTGGGGCCTTGTATTTGTCACCAATCGTCACATATCCCATTTCTTGGAACAGACCAACTCTCTCCATATCAGATTTTCGGTCACCCATCTTGCTGTTTTGCTACAACAACAGTTACTCAGGCTAAACAATTTATCAAGAACTTGCACCCCCAACGCGAAAATTAACACAAGATTTTCTCCGAACTCAGAAATAAATCCTTAAGAATATCTTCAGGTTCCGTTGGTAAGTTATCAACCTGTAAGTAAACAACTGTAAATGAGTTGATATCTAAAAACAAAACCGTTATACACCGTAAACAAACAATCTAAACTACAACAAGTTGACAAATTGACAAGCTTTAGCCTTCCATATTGTTGCCATAATTACTATGGTGATCATTCAACACGCATGCACATCCGGAAGTTGACAAACACTTCCGGTTGTCCTGAAATCTCTCCCGCGGTTATGATTTTTTTTACAGTTCGTTATTTAAAACAAGCAAAATTACAGAATTATGAAAAAAAATAGACATTAAACATTTACTAGCATTTTGGGCGACAACTGATTTATTCAAATAAACAACTGTCACAACATAAAGGTAGGTGGGATTTACCGAATCGGCTGAAATTTCGTGGGAGTTACTCGCTTATGCATCATCTCCCATTCACTTCAGGATACATACTGAATCAAAAGTGAAAGTAAATCCCAGTAGTTTCATTTCTTTGTCATAGAAAGAACGAATACAATAAATCAGTTAAAATATATTTGAAAAACTATTTTAATGCACATATTTCTGTGAGCACAAAAGATCCACTGTCGGCTATTAAAAGTAATATTTTTAACTTTTTTACTGATTTTTGCTCATTTGGCAAGGTGTTTGGTTGGCCAGCTTTAAAATATGTCCAGCACTCAGATTATCTGTATGACATTTCAGACTGAGGACCTTTGGGACTCGGGGAAATATGTCAACGTTTTGGACTCAGGCAGGTGACGTATCGGACTTGGGAATAAGTTGAAAGATATGGTTGAACATAAAAGTCAAATCAGTTATAACTAAAACTGCGATGCAGTGATGACGGGTTTCACCGATGCTACGTTACCCTTGAACTGATGTCACTTCCCGTACTAATGGAAACGTTAAATCCTAATAAGCCAAAAAACGATTACGGGTTCCGGTATATAAAAATAATACGTGCAGGTAAAATATACTATTGGTCATCAGTATAGGTTAATCACATACTGTATAGACCTAGAAATGGTTCCACTACTGATGTCTTCCGCCTTACTCCAGCCACAGTAGTGGCTCGTCCTACAGAGTTCCTTTGCGCAAGTTTTTTAGTGAAATCACTACAAAAAGGTTACTGGCCTATAGCTCCCTTGATTTACACATAAACTGACCCAAAACAGTACTGCACCTAGCTTAACATATAATAAATCATTTCCTATTGAAATAAAGGTGAAGCCTTACCGCATAATTATATGATTTGATGAAACCCAACTGCTACGCGAAATTTCAACTGGCTGGTGTCATGGCGGCTTGTGTAAAACGTCATTACAAGAAACATCGCTATGCAAATGTAGAACGCATAAACACAAAGAAAAACTGTTCGGTAACTATTTTAGTGGTCCAGTCTTCACTATTTGTCATAGAATTACTTATTCCAATACAAACTGTAATGATATGTGTTGACAATTGTATAGACCTACATAAGGAACAGCAATATTTACAATGTTGAATGTTTACGAAAAGAAATTATTTTTGAATTTCGACCTTTTTCCGAAATGGCACTATTCGGAACTTTGCAAGTTTAACTATTTAAGTCTGTGAGCTTGTCGGAATATACCACATAAACCTATCAAATGTGGTATCCTGATTTTACAACTTACGACTTGTACTGTTATATCAGCCTATTCTTGTACCACGTTTTTATCCATCACATGTTGTACTTATATCTCAGCCATATATATTCTATTAAACCACATTTTTACTTATTATTGTTGAGGGTTATGGGGACTCCCCAAGAAAACTTTGAAACTGAAATCCCACACTATGACCACCAGGATTGTAGATTATGGAGAAAGGGTACAAAAATGAAACGCCAAACATTTCACATTTAAGGTCCATGTATTCTAAGCGCGAACATGAACACGACCATACTCACCACTATGACTTTCATACTGAAATCAGCGATATGTTCAGCAACTTGAAAGTGGTCCAATATAGCCTGTAGTTTATTATACCAATAAATCTAAACAAATAAATGTAAAGAAATTATGATTCCCGAAAAATTTATGAAACAAATAAATGATCGATGCCTGTAGTGTAAAATGTCGCACACAGCCGAGTGGCACATGACAAAATGTTTTAATTCATAATCAAATGCAGTACAAATTCACTGTGTTCCAATTACGTACAAGAAAATGGAACTGTTTTATTATACATAAAAGTCATCAGATTTCGGCCCTTTATTTTGCCGACTGGAAAGCAAAATATTTTTTTCCCCAATTAAATTACCCGGTAAATAACATTCTTTTCCACTTTACCTGTCTGCCACAAAAAATTTGATTGCACGATAGTATGCCTATACTCTTGGATTTGTTGTAGTATTAGCCTTATATTGTATTATTCTACTTGCACCCATCAAACGTGGTACTGATGGAGAGTGATGAAACTTAGTGTATAGTTTTACTACTTCTAGTTCTACTAGGAATTTCAAAACGACTGAGTTTGATTGTGAACATTTTAAGCTTAGACAATCTGATTAAAACACAGGTCCTGTTTCATTTCGATTTTTTATAGTTCAGAATTTTGTTTTGCATGTCTTTACTACGCTAGGATCTGGAATAATTGTTATATAACCCGCATTCTGGATGATATAGGGGATTAGCCAATGAAACAATCTGTTGCGGTGAGTTTTGTGAGGTGCATGGAACTGTGGGTAACCCACTAGAAACATCAACGCTGATTGGTTAATCAAATGCCTGACGTCATAGGGTCAAAAGCCGCTTGTATGACCTCTGATGCGACGTCTCAGTACAACAGGTCAGATCTTCATGTAGTAGAGGTCATCGAAAGTATAAAAAAAAACGAAACGAAATATAGAACTGTATTTAAATCAGATTAATTCTTTGACTATGTATAGATAATCAGTTTGATTGCTCGATACTTTTGAAATTGATAAATGTGCAATTAATTGATATGTGTGATCTATTTATTTTGGGATTTTGGCGGTGGACATCAGCCTCACTGTTGGCTTGTTTTATATCATCCGGGGTTTTATTATCTCAGTCATAGCTGACCATTGTGAAGTTACTTTAGATAATCCATCTTGGGTTTAAGTCTACCCCTTAATATTGGGCGAATGGCTGTATAAAATACTACCTGGTCATATATCCATCAACCCTGCTTAGGCCTAATAAATTATTGTAATGAATATTTGGTTATGTTTTACAGATTAACAAAGATGGCTCCCCCACAGGAAGATGAAAACACACTGAAAATTCTCCTAGCAACAGATATTCACCTGGGTTACATGGAAAAAGATCCAATTAGAGGCAATGATTCACTTGTAGCATTTGAAGAAATTCTTGAAATTGCAAAGAAAAAAGAAGTTGATTTCATTTTACTCGGTGGAGATTTATACCATGACAATAAACCTAGCAGACGGACATTACACGGCAGTATGGCTTTATTACGACGTTATTGTATGGGGGACAAACCGATTCAGTACGAATTTCTCAGTGACCAGTCAGTTAATTTTTCACATTGTCAGTTTCCTCTCTTGAATTACGAAGATCAAAATTACAATGTTTCTATGCCAGTGTTTTCTATACATGGTAACCATGACGATCCCACCGGTACAGGCAATTTGTGTTCTTTAGATCTTCTTCATTCAGCAGGACTTGTTAACTATTTCGGCAAAACATCATCACTAGAAAAAATCCAGTTATCTCCCTTACTACTGGAGAAAGGAACGACTAAACTTGCACTGTATGGACTTGGATCAGTCAGAGATGAAAGACTGCACCGAATGTTCGTGCATAAAAATATTGCAATGCTTCGACCAAAAGAAAACAAAGATGACTGGTTTAACATTTTTGTTATTCATCAAAATCGATCGAAACATTCCGCAACCAATTATATTCCTGAACAATTCTTGGACGACTTTCTTGACCTTGTGTTTTGGGGTCATGAACACGAATGCAGAATCGATCCTGAGTGGAATGGAAATCAAAATTTTTATGTTACTCAGCCTGGAAGTAGCATTGCTACATCGTTAAGTGAGGGCGAGTCTGCTACGAAACATGTTGGTTTGTTAATGATTCGTGGTAAAGATTTTAAAATGACTAAAATCCCTCTAGAGACAGTACGACAGTTCTATATAGAAGATATTGTATTGAGTGAAACTACGTTAAGTCCTGATGATCATGATGTCAGTAAAAAGGTTGAAGCTTATTGTCAACAAAAAGTTGAAAATCTTTTACAAAAAGCAGGTATTCTATGTTAAAATGAATTTTAAAAAAAAAAAAATACCCATCGGTATATTCTGAATGTTTGGAAGTGGATGTCGGACAGCTAAGAGGCATTTTTTCAAATGAAAAAAAGAGCCTAATGATTTCACTGTCATATGTCATGATTTGACCGATGATACTTCTGAATGCTCACTCCAGTTTACGAAGTGAAATAAAATGGGGTTTTCTTCATCAATGCAGTGTGCTATGGAGGGCAAGTTTGCCTTGATAGCAGTGCTACAGCCTCCTCTAACTATGATTACAAACTGAAAGAAGATATTTAACATGCATCCTGTCAGTGGCTGTCACCCTCTGTCTTGCTTTCTTTTGGCCAACGCCAGTATCAATGTAGGGACATGCTGGTGAATCCCAGAGCCTTGTGCCTCCCAGATTACAACAGGTGTCATGTGAATGTAACTCAATGGAGTCAATACCAATAGATAAATGTATGGTATATATAGATTGTCTATAGAAGTAAGCCTATCTTATTATAATATAAACTGATCTGGTAATGAATAAATGATTTTATTTCTGTCAACAGAAGCTGAACACACTGGTAATGCTAAGCAACCTGATAAACCTTTAATCAGAATACGAGTTGATTACGCTGGTGGATTTGAACCTTTTAGTGTTTACAGGTAAGATGAAAATTCAGCTATTGAATTTCATGTAATATTAGTTACCAGTACTGTATTTAAGTTGGGGTTGAGTGGCTGAATGGTCTAAGGCGCTCTAGTTCTTAAGAGCCTGTTCTGTCATTAAGTCAAGCGAAGTGGTTGTGATTTCCAGCTTGTACATTTATTTGACAATGAATAAGGTCGTCTATCCATTTCTCACTATGTTAATACAATATTGACCTAATGGACATCAAACCCCATTTCTCTTTCTGGCCCACAATTAGTCTATATTGTGGAAACTTAAGACTACCATACTTTATTACAAGGAATTAATGCTACTTTATAAGCGGTACCTGGTAATAAAAATCATATACGTAAACAGAACATATCTCAAACTTTGATTAAGGAAATAGACCTTTAATGTCCTACTTTTTTGTACCAAAAAAAGCTAATAATGAAGACAGGCCTACCCCATGTTATGAGTAGTATGAGGGAAAGTTTGGCCAGACAGCTGTGTTTCGACCAACTCTTCTTCGATTTCCAACTACCAAGGATTCTTTTATGTGAACGCCAATATGTACACAGGGCCTTAAATTTTTGTCCCACTCGACCGGCAAGGGGAAACAAGGCTTGAAAATGTCAAGAAACTTTCTCGTCCAATACCAGAACCTTAACCTGGACCTCCTGCCTAGTGAGTGAGTGCCATACTCAAACCGTAGTAAAGTAGCTCGATTTGGATTAAGGAAATACTGTGTTACTGAATCATTTGGATCAGTACCTGAAAGTATATGCGTTCATATACATTGTGCCAAGAGTTTCATTATCTTCAGTTATATTGTTTTGTCTATGGTATAACCTCAGTGCGAATATATTTGCATATATTTCAGATTTGGTCAGAAGTTTGTAGATCGTGTAGCTAATCCTAAAGATGTTGTATTGTTCCAGAGAAAAAGGGTAAATACAGCTAAAAAGGAGGAAGGGGGAGAAGGGGGTAAGCTTGTATTGTTTTGTTTATTCATGGCCTACATTAATGGTGGATGGTAGACTAAAATATCAGTTATACCCAATCCTGAGTTGATTTGTTCATTTACTTATATTGTAAGGACTAAATAATTTTATGACCTGTTTTTTTTTTGTAGATGGTTGAATTATCAACACTAGACTTTGAATTTATATTACCTAAAAGTCTGTGTCATTTCTTGTAACTGTTAGGAACCTTAGGAGCCATGAGTGAGTATGGCGCTGGCTCACTAACCAGGAGGCTCAGTTCAATCTTGGTCCAAAAATACAGTAAACTGTGTCATTTCCTGTAACTGTTAGTAGCCATGAGTAAGTGTGGCGCTGGCTTACGAACCAGGAGATCTCAGTTGGATCTCACTTTTGGCCCAAAAAGTTCCTAAGGATTTCCAAGAGGGCCTGCTAACTAAAAGCATCCTGTTTTTCAGATGGTACCAAAAATGGCTGCATGTTAAAGATCCTCTGACATTGGAAATCGAAATAAGAGTAAGCCATAGTGCTACCCTCAGGGAAAAAATTTCTTTTATAGCACTCAGCATGGCATATGGCTGTTTTCATCTTGGACTTGGTTAAAGACATTAATCTTGCATTATTTATGATTTTAGATGCTGAATTGTTAGCCAATATTAAACCTCAGTCGTTAGATAGTGCTAGAGTAGAAGATATGGTTCGTGAATATTTTAATAAAGTTGATGGTGTAAGTTAGAGAGTTTATACCTTCCTTACTTTAGGTGCCCACTGTAGTCAAGTGGTAATAGTAATCCCAATGGGAGCATGGAAGAACTATCCAGATCTTTCAAGACCAGTACTCATTTATCAGATAGCACTTGTGGGACTGATAAAAAGAGCTTGTCTTTTATTTTAGACATTAACATGCATGTAAAAAAACCTTGACCATTGGAATTCGAAGAAGTGTAGGTGGAAACATCCAGTCCAATTTCTGCCTCTCGATATAACAATGAAAATAAAAATAACCATATGTTACTCTCAAAATGATTGTTTTGAAAAAGACATAAAATCTGATCCAATTATACTTTAACACATTTACAGATATTACATTTTTGTAATGCACTATTATATTATTTGCAGGCAAATCAACTTCAAGTTTTAACAGAGAAAGGAATGGGTGATGCTATTAAGGAATATGTTGATAAAGAGGAGAGAGAGGCCATATCTGAACTTGTCAAATATCAAATTGGAAAAACGCAGAAATATCTGAAAGATAGAAACGCACCAGAGGAGATAATCGACGTAGAAATTTGTCGATTTAAAGAAGAACGTAAACAAAAGAAACAAGAAGATGAAGAAATACAAGAAGCTCTTAAAATCGCGATAAGCAAACGAGAATCGCAAAATTCCACAGGTTACCAGGATGATGAAAATAATGATTCGATAATGGATTCAGATGAAAGTGAAAGTTCCTCTGTGTCATCAACAAGTCGTGGCCGAGGAAGGGGTCGAGGGTCAAGAGCAAGAGGGACATCAAATCAGAGTACAAGAGGTCGTGGTAGTCGAGGAGGTAGAGGAAAGAAAGCAGCTGTAGTTGTTGAGAATAATAACACTATAATGAATTCATTCTCTCGAGCCTCATCACAAAGAGCTGGTGCCAAAGCAGTAAAATATAAGTAAGTCATTGTTTTGTTTTATTCTGTTTCCATATATTTTCTGTTAGCCATCGTTGTCCTGAGTTCGAACAGTCTAGTTGTTTGGATAACATGAAAAACCGAGGGGCCATGTACACGGCTGACAGTTGAAATTCGACAAAGAGTAGGTCGAAATGCCGCTGTCCGGACACAATTTCCCTCATAGCACACCCAGGTCTTCATTAGCCCTGTTGGCGAAGAAAAGGAGGGTTTGAAGCCCAAAACCATTTTCAGATATTTTGAAGTGAAAACCTTGATTGACACCTAAATGACCTTGTTTTACTCTGACTAGAACATCTTATACCACTCATCAGTTTTAATTAGGCAACTCATGGACTGCTACCGTTTTAACAGTTTCCTATGACTTTCTAAATTTTAGATGTTGGTATGCCGAATGTGATGCAGAGAGAGAGAGAAATGGGGTTTAACCGTGTTTAACGTCCACTCGACACAAACTAGGTCATTTCGGGACTAACATATGGTTCAATTTTATTTCCATAATTCGTTTGTGCATAGGGGTCTTTAGCAGTGGGAGGAAACCGGAGGACCCGGAGTAAACCCACGAGGTTGGACAGGCAACTGATGCAGAGAGAGGGGTATAGAGCACCTGATACCACTTCTTGTTTGAGTCACATATACATAGTAGCTAATAACTTTTATTTGTACTTCTGTGTTGATAAAGATTTTTATTTATAACCAGTATGCTTATGTATACGGTTTTTATTGTATGGTTGGTCTCGGACCATTATATATTGAATAAACATATTATTTTTATGAATTTTATTTTACAGAGATTCAGGATCGGAGCCAGATGATGATACGTTTAATATTCCCTCCTCTAGTCGTAAACGTAAAAACACAAGTCCTGCTACATCTGCAGCTAGAACTAAAACCAAGAAACCTGTTACTTCTGATTCTGACAGTGATGAGGAATTATTCTCGTCTAGCAAAAGACGAAGATAAAAAAATTGTGATTAAAAATATTGTTTGTTGATTGTAAATCATAAACAAAATTCGTGTTAGCTTGCTACAAATTTATGATGAAAAATCTAGTTAGGCCGTGTTGAATTGATTCCTTGTTTCTACTCGCCCGCGCGCTTAGGTCGAGGACCCCGAAAATCGTGCGCTTGCGTTTTTAACACAAAAAAAAAAATTCAAAAAATCTAAATAAAATTCTACCAAACATCAGAAGTCAATTCTCGTTGTTTATTCCTCGTTACGAACTAAATAAGTAAGTGCAGGGGGCCGCACTACACGCAAAACAAAAATCTACAAGATAAACCTGCGGACAAGACAGAAAATAGGCATTGCACCGAATAAACAAATATCAAATCAAGTGAATGGTTCCGGTTGATAATACACATGTAGGGGCCCGCATACTATGGAATAAGTTACACTGTATATGATTGGATGAATTCCGCAAAATGGCGCGTGTAGCAGTCATTTCGGCTAATGAGAAAGCATATTATAAACTGTAAGACAATCGCTAATATTCAACCGCGAACCTGAATAATCAATTTTTTCATTGGCTAAAATTATAACACATGTCATTATTATTCAAGTATTACCCAATCATATCTTGTGTAATAAATAACGCACGCCTTACAAAATGGTGAGCTATGCCGGTACATAGGTAAATTCGCGTACCGGTCGGCCTAATTTATTGATGTTCAAGGAAATAATAGTGGCCCCGTTCGTTCGTTTCTGGAGTTTAACGAACGAACGAACAAACGGGACCACTATTATTTCCTTGAACATCAATAAATAAATTAGGCCAACCGGTACGCGAATTTACTTATCTCGACTCGACTTCGGTGGTTATTCCCAGCACTTTCACGTTCGATGATATTATCGAAACCATCTATAACTCAACAAGCAAATCAAATATCGTCTAACTGGAATGTTTCCATTGTATTTTAACACAAGAATACGGAAAATTTATATCAAAATATGGTTATTTCATTTTTTAAAAAGTTAAACAAAGAAGCCACTTGTTACCAAATTTTAGTTTGTTATTAAATTTATTTAATTAAATATTATCTGTGTTTTTATTCTAACCAATAATATAACTAGATTATTTATAATATTATTAAAAATGGTACATAACCCTCAGACTATATAGGTATTATGCCAGACCACTTTGTGTTTTGAAACCCACTTTGTGTTGTGTTTACCGCACTACCGCTCATGATTGCCAGAGTGGTGGCAGGAGAAACAAGGAATCAATTCAACACGGCCTTAATATCAATATGACATTTATTGAATTAAATTAAGTGAGTGCTATAAATAACTCTGTTCAAACAGCTTCTAAATACTACTGTAGAGAATTGGAATGTCTGTAATTAACAGGAAATAGAGCCCTGTTGTCAGTGGTGCAGGACGGTAGGCCTGGCAAGGAAAAGGATCTACGGGTTGTTGTTAGGATGGTACGAAAAACCAAGGTGTAATTGTTCGCGAGGACTTAAACAACCCTTGACAGTTAAATTTTCCCCCATAGCACACTGCATGGCATGTGCCCCATTTCATCTCAAAATACCATGATAGAGAATTTAGTGAATGCATCAAGTTTGATACAATGAAGTTATGATTGATGTGATCAGTGAATACGTATGATATTTAATATAACACATCAGTAGGATTTCACTTGATAGGATATTGATTGAAAAAGGTTAGAAATTCAGCTTGGTATTATTCATGTCTTGAAAGGTCCTTTTTGAGTTATGCCCCTTCGTTGCTAAACCTTGTTACACTCTAGATTCTAAAAATGATGATCATCTCTTTAGATAAGATTAGGTTGTTGAGTTGCTGATCTAACTGACTATGGTTATGTAAATAACTGTCAGTAAACTATATGGCCATGCAAATATAGAATTCTGGTTCCTAGATAATCGTTACCAAAGAATGGGCTTGGGTGGTTTCATTTTGGCAAAGATAAAAATCTTACTTGCTTGTCCTTTGTGACTAAATAACTAACCCTACATTTCAATGGTCTAGGCTTATGTTAGAATCTGTTAAATAAAATACAAATGGAGAGGAATTCCCTTTACTACTACTTCAATTCTTTGCAAACTGAGCTGGACTTTTAATCCCCAATTCACAGCCTTTCATGACAAGAATCAGCTTGAAGAAGCTCACAGGAAACCAGGGGTTGGTTTAAACCAGAGTCGAATTTGTTTAAAAAAAAACTGTAGGATTCAATACTTTGCAAACCGAGCTGGAATTTTGATCCCCAATTCACAGTCTTTCATGACGAAAATCAGTTTAAGGAAGCTCACAGGAAACCAGAGGGTTGTTTTAAACACGAGTCGAATTTGTTTAAATAAAAATGGGACACCCAGCTCCTTTCAGGTGACTGATTTGCATCTGAGAACTAGAATAGATTTAAAAGGCCTAATGTTATTGTTTTGTATGTATATTAAATATACAGTGTTCTTTCTGTTTGTTACAGTTCATTCACTTTATTACACAATAAATTTTTTTTAATAATTTTTGTTTCAGTTTTATCAGAAATTAACCTTATGGGAAGAGCTTGGGTTGCTCAAGTAACTTTGTCCAAAATATCCCCCTGAATTTCCAATATTTTAAATGAATGTGTATGGCCTTACTAAGTAAAAGTAAGTTTGATTATCCATGGACCTTAATCCATGCTAAAAAGTACTCAAATTGTTATATAACATAAATATCAATGGTAGCTAATCTTCCGGCTTGTTTTGGTCAGATTACAATGACACCCTGTCAAAAGATTACAGGGGGCACTGGCTTAAACATGCATTATGCAAGAGCAAAATCTGCTTATTACAAGTCTTTCTTTAGGCCATAAAGTCTTTCTTTCTTTAGACCATAATAAACTCTTGATGTTAAGGCTAGCCTTCGATATTGGCTGGATTAGATTCCTGTATGCCGCTAAAGGCTGTTGATAATTAAATTAAAAAAAGTAGATAATCGAGACTTGCTGTTTATATTAATGATTTTAGTAATGATGACCGAGACTATGCCAAAATTTCACAAGCTTCTTTCTCGGCTCATGGTGGATCAATTTGACTGAAATTTTCAGCAAATTACCTTTACACTATCTAGTTTTTAACTATTATAGCGAGAACTGCCATCTCGTTATCTTATCTCCCATAATGTATCTTTAAGGCTTTAAGTAATATCTCATTTATATCTGCTGTAAATGATGCCAAATGTTTGCAAGGGATTCCTCCATTCTTCAAATACATTTTAAGACAATAGTAGGTTACATTTAAAAGATCGACTGGGCTGTAGCACAATCTGGTGCTGTGTTATCTAGGTTTAACATAGCCATTATCTGTTAACTTCTTCCTCTGATGCAGATCTATGTGAATAGTGACCTCAGTGGTTTGAGGCTAGCCGATCTCGTCATTAGCTTATCCGGATTCATCTGCACATGTAATACTTGTATTATCATACACACATCCTTGTATTCCAGTGGTATCGTTCCGTTCTACTCCACTAACTGAGGATGTCATACATATTGATCTTTAATTTCTTTGATATTGGTGGAAATTTGAAATGTTGGGAGTGGTATCGTAGATTTACTCCCATTTTCATTTCATTTGAGAATTAAGCTTGCAAAGAAAAATTTTACAGTTTTGTGTCTTTATCAATTATCTGGAGTATTTGGAAATTGAAATACATTTAAGTTTAGCATAACCTTTTTGATTAGCATGAAAAAGTATTCATATGATGAAGTTTAAGTAAATGTTTGAAAAAGACAGATATGCCTGCCAAGGTTGTGATATAACTGATTTTGAGTTCCAGACGCAATGGAACAGAACCATTTTCCTAATCTAGATTAGTTGTATCTTACAAAATGTCATTTTTATACACCCACATTGAAATGTGGTTGTATATTGTTGTAGGTCTGGCGTCCACAATTGCTTGTGGAAGCTCTATAGGCTAAAGTTAATATCCGATTGACTTTAAATTTATACACAGTGTTTAAGGTCATGAGACGAGGAAGCCTATTGATTTTCAGCGATTTTCGATAATTACTGCCAGAGTTATGGCCATTGATCACTTTTAAAAATCTTGTGGACGCTCTAGAGGTCAAAGTTAATATCCAATTGACTTCAAATTTATACACAGTGTTTAAGGTCATGAGACGAAGACGTCTATTGATTTTCAGCGATTTCCGATAAATACTGTTAGAGTTATGGCCCTTGATCACTTTGAAAAATCTTGTGGACGCTCTAGAGGCTAAAGTTAATATCCGATTGACTTTAAATTTATACAGTGTTTAAGGTCATGAGACGAAGAAGCCAATTGATTTTCAGTGATTTCCGATAATTACTGCCAGAGTTATGGCCCTTGATCACTTTGAAAAATCTTGTAGACGCTCTAGAGGCTAAAGTGAATATCCGATTGACTTTTAATTGATACACAGTGTTTAAGGTCATAAGACGAGGAATCCTATTGATTTTCAGTGATTTCCGATAATTTTTGCAAGAGTTATGGCCCATGATCACTTTGAAAAATCTTGTAGACGCTCTAGAGGCTAAAGTGAATATCCGATTGACTTTTAATTGATACACAGTGTTTAAGGTCATAAGACGAAGAATCCTATTGATTTTCAGTGATTTCCGATAATTTTTGCAAGAGTTATGGCCCATGATCACTTTGAAAAATCTTGTGGACGCTCTAGAGGATAAAGTTAATATCCGATTGACTTTAAATTGATACATTGTTTAAGGTCTTGAGACGAACATGTATATTGATTTTCAATGAATCTTTATGACTTGAACAGGTAAATCCATGATGTTAAAAGTTTCGTATACTAAACGTTAGCATGGGGCAGAACTTTATAAAAACTAAACAAATTCTAATGGTTTTCTGATAATTAGTTAATGAGTTGTTACTTTTAATCAGATTTTGATGTATTATAGATGTTTCATTACTGAAAAAAGTAAAAATATGCGACAACTCTTGTTGACTACCCGGACGATATAGCTGGTGTGGGCGTATGTTTCGTTGCCTGGCAACCTATCTTTAACTTTGTGAAGGACATGTATTAAAAATAAAACTGAAAAAAGACAAATCTGTACCATACAAAATGACACACACCTGAAGAATTATGCCAGACAAAGCTTTAATTCGTACCTGACAAGGTCTGTGACAAGTGCCTAATTTCCAGGCCGGCTGATAATCAAATAACACATTAAAAATATTGAATTTAACTTTTTATTTTGAACTAAATCAAAGAGGTCCAGCGTCTTAAAGTAACCAACCTCTGTTGGATAAACTCACTTTGTCTGTTAAAAGAGACAAAATAAGATCCATCTAGTGATGGTGGAATACACAGTTATTTTATTCTTTTTTTTTTGTACAATAAAAACTGTCGATAATGACAGAACACTTAAATATAAACATAACATACAGAATGCCAGTTTTCATGCACCGTAAACATAAAAGTCACATTATAAACATCTGCACAATTTTAACCATAGAAACTCACTTATGTGGTAGGTACACGTTATATTGGTTTACTAGGAGTTGGCCAGCCGTTAAATATAGATCAATCAAATGTCTTGATACCAACTTCTAAATAATATCATTATCACACAACACAAGTTGATTGATTGGCTGTTTCTCAATTGATGAAAAAAGTTTAAAATTACTCAAACAACAGTTGATTGGTCGTCTCTCAATTGATCAAAAACGTTTAGAATTATTCAAATACGTGTGATATATTAAATGCTTCAGAACTGACGAGAACCTGTGAAGAATAACAGTGTTGATGGCAGGTGTTGTTTAAAGTCATTCTCTTAGGTAGGATTTGCTGCGTTCTGGTGGTGCTTGATAATTGGTTGCTCGACCTTATCTAGCTTTTCACCGATTGGTTTATTATTAGTCACAGTAACCAGGAGATGATTGACGGGTATCTTTTGTTTTATTTTTTAAAATTAAATGTGAACAGCAGCAATTCAAAGTAAAACGCAAAGAGAGCACTTATAATATTATTGGTCGATAATTTTCAATTGTGGATTTTGATGGCCTTTTCCTGGTAATTGTAGCGAGTTCGTTTAGGCATTTTATTAACGTGATCTAAACCCAACCATGGACGGGCCTGCATGCCACCTCCTGAAAAAAAAAAAAGAAAATAAAATCAAATTAAAGCCATACAAAAAAAAGTCAATTACAATTTTCCAGTGGAACTTACGACCATCAATAATATGTATGAAGAATCAGTTAATAAACTTACTTCCCTTTAAAAGGAAAATAAGTGGGCTGTTTTTGTTTTTTTAAATTTTTTTATTAAAATAACAGGCCATGCAGTCCTTATAAAAGGGATGCGTTACTTGGAGGGTTTAAATTAGGTTTTATTAATGTTATAATTAACCACCTAACGGGTACCGATAGCGCTAACTAACGGTCCACTGTCTATTAACAGGTTTTTATCGGTCACTTCATAGGGTTTAAATTTGTTTCGGATTGTTGGCCTTAAAGATCTGCTTCCATTGTGGCTGATATTCTGACAATGGTTTAAATTTGATTTTACAGGTTTGTATTCATCACTCTATTGAGTTTAAACTGATGACAGTTTTTATTTGACATTGTCTTAGGTTTATTGAGTTTTCATCCCGGGAAGTTTTTAAACTGAGGGAGGTTTTTACCTGGCATAGTATGGGGTTTAAATTGACTAAGATTAACCCGGAGATCTGATTCATCTTCTGGTAAATAGTCTTGTTTACCCAGCATTACAATAGCAAACTTATACTGAAATATATAAAATATCATTAGTATAATATAATGGCAAATAAAAGATATTACATTCTGACAAGAAAAAAATCTTAAATATCACAATTATTACACAGTTTGGACAGAGAAAACATCCATTCAACGGAAGTAGTAATTTGGTGGGTGGGTGGGGGGGGGGGGAATAACAAGGTGTATTTTTATATCATAAAAGTCACTTTAGTGGAGGGCAAATATCAAATAAAACTGGCAAGGTTAAACAGACGACTATTCCTAATCCATTACAATTTTGGAATGAAACTTGGGGTATAACAGCTTTATACTCTTTGACCAAACTCCTGATAGTTTCATATTTCAATTTTCATTAATAAACTTGAATACAGCCCCAATGTATATTCAGTCACAGTGGCTTGGAAAACATGGCACTAGTTCATTAACAAGGAGGTACCTGGTTCAATCCCTGTGTTGGCTGAGAAAGTTCCTCAGAATTTCCTAGCATGGTTTCTTCCTTGGCAATCGTGCAGGAGAGAGGGCCTGGGCACAAAAAAAAGTGTTCAGTCATTGGGTTGGTAGAAAAAAACAAGATCCAGTATTGATATTAGCAGCACATCTAAGCTTCCCTGACAATTGGAAACAGAAATAAGACTAGGCCACAGTGTTATCCGAGCAAAACTTTTCTCATAGCACACTGCATGGTGTATATCCAGCTTCATTAGCCAACTTCACTACTAAAATTACCTTTTCAAATTCTTTTTCTGGTACATCTAATTTCTTCTGTATTCTTTCTTTAACTGCTGTGAATGGTTCATTCTGTCAAAAACACAAGAATAATGATGGGCCAATTAATTAACATTCATTTGTATACCCATATAATCTGTATGTATGTCTATATTGTCACCCATGTCCGTATTTCACATTTTTTAAATACTAAATGCTCTACTAGACACAGTTTATGACTTTTTATTCAAATTTCCGAGTTGGGCATCGTTTTGACATATGGTTATTCCCCAGCCAACAAAACCATGTGAACACTCAACTGGTCAAAGATTCTACTAATTTGCTGGGATGGTTTAGTACATCTTTCGCAGGAAACCTTCTGATCATTTCCTAAACCTAGGATGATAGATGGTTAGTCCAGAACATCCCGAATTGACATATTTCCAATAGACATGGAATTGAGACCGGACACAGAGTAGACCCATGATGTAATTAACACAGTTGGCTGAGATATTTTCTTATGCAGACGGGGCATTGTCACTCTTTTGTGGGATTGATAGAATTTAATTCTGAAACATCAATTGAGTATCCCCCTAGTAAACACTTCCGTCAATGAAATCAATTCAATGGAGTTATTGCTCCTTTGACTTAAGATTACAATTTTTGTGATGACCTTTAAAAAGCTGGTGGTGGACTTATATCTTATGGTAGACAATATTGTGTTCCTTATATAAGCTCTAACATATGCATTGAAAGAGACGGACTAGATCTTGACACAAACCTGGGAACAATTTTCGTTTTCCAGTATGGGAAGTTGGGTTATAATGCAAGAGTGACACAAGGTTAGAATTAAAAACTGGTTGTACTTACATTTTTTATTTTCAATAAGAAAGGTATTCCAAACGTTGAGTAAATTTCCTGAAATCAAAATAAAATTTTTATATGTAGTGTACCAATGCATTGTATCATATTGTGACACCTGTGCAGGGATGCCAACAACCAGTATCGCAGCACAATTTGCAATACATATTTTGTCCGTTGCTAATCAAAAATTAAAATCTAACATTTTTGATTCGCAGTAACTGCGAATCATTATAATGCCTGCCATTTTGGATATTGACTCAAAGATTTATCCACATTTTGAAGACTATGAGGCTTTCTCAAAATTTTCAATGTGTATAAAATATCAAATAAAATTTTATAAACGAAACTGAATTCTCTGTGTGACATTTTCTTCTCAAACTACCCAGACACAATTCATTATACTATATAATACAGGGACATAACTCTATGAATAGGGACTATTAAACCGGAAATAGGGAATCAAGTAGTATATCAGTATTCATTTTGAAAGCAGTAAATCCAGTGTATCCCCCACTTATTGTAAATAAAATATAAATAAATAAATAAATAAATACATGTTAACGTATTGTAAAATGATAAATCAAAGTATTGAACAAAAATTGTAATACATGATAAAAAGCAAACAAAATTGTTTTCTAACGAAGATTTCTAACGTAACGAAGAAATAACAATTAAAATGCGTGGGGCATTGGAAGACACTGCCAAGAATTGGCTTCAGACATAAGACTTAACCAAAAGTCTACATCACATTCACAAACTGTCAAAACTACATGTGGCATTCCCCCAAAAAATCGAAGAATGAAATCTAATCATAATTAAAGTAATATCTAGTTATTTAGGTTGTTTTATGTTGAAACTGAAAAACTGCTAATCAAGTTTTAAATTTGCTAATCAAATTTGGCAAAATTGGACTTTTTGATTAGCAGTGCTGCTAATCAACTGTGAAAAATTACCGACAGCCTTGCACCTGTGCTGTATTGTTCCATCTGTTACAGTATACTATCATCTGAAGTAATATAACTATTTAGATGGAATGTAAATGAACAAACCTTTTGAAAATGAGCTACTGGTATAAGAAGTTCATCATCCGATAAATTATCTTCATCTTTAGGGATTTCTTCAATACGATATGTTTTAGTTCCTGCTGGGTTAAAACTTTCTAATGCTACATCCTCTTTCTGTACAGCCAATATTTTGTAACTTATAATATCTAATAATCTAGAAGAAAAACAGAAAACTTGTAAACTACAATACTATGAAAGCTGAATCTCTAAAAGCAATATCATTTGAATGGATCAGTCGTCCTGTTCGGAATTTACAAAGACATTTTGTATTATCTGTAGAGATATAAACAAGCCTGAGCCACATAAGTGCTGGGTAAAACCATTTGATGGTCATATTCATTGACAAAATATCTTGATAATCAAAGGCAAGCCAAACATGACAAATTTTGAAGTGAAAGATCTGGGATGCTCACCTCATTTTCGAACTACTAACCTTAGTTTCCCTGAGCCATGTTCTTTGGACAATTCTACCTGTTTCTTTGCTTCCTCTAATAAATCACTAACTCGACCATTTTTGTTTGGATATAACACCAACTCTTGCTGTAATATAAGTTTAGTTTTATTAGCAACATGGATAAATGTTTTGTGGCAACAGAGAATTTTTTCCTACTGCTATGTATTATTCAAGCAACAAACATACGGAACTGTTTCCATCAGATGACTGTCTTCATTGAGAAACATGCTGCGAACAGCATTGTTGATTCCGGTTTGTATATCACTAACAGTTTGACATCAACACATACTGATTCAAACTACAGTTATACCTAAATATTGAAATTCGCGAAATGAAATGAAATGGGGTTTAACGTCCTACTTTTCTGCTCCTAAACTGGGCTATTGAAGACGGGCATACGCCATACAGTGTGCTATGAGGGAAATTTTGCCCGGGCAGCAGCACTACGGCCTACTTTTATATCAAATTCCAACTGCCAAGGGATCTTTTACGTGCACGCCAATGTGTACACAGGACCTCGGTTTTTCGTCCAATCCTGCATCACTGACAAGGGAAAACCCCACTGGAAAATCTAAATGAACTTTCTCTGCTAATGCAGGGATCGAACACCCGACCTCCAGGCTAGCGAGCCAGCGTCTTACCCACTTAACCATGTGATCCCCATAAATAGTAGTAGTATTAAAATTCATATAAATTCTATTTATGCAATCATAAATCCAAATTAAAGAGATTTATATGGCACTGACAACATTCTCATGATAACTATACACACATTCTTGCCTATGGAGGCATCAATTCTTAAAATTAGTTGAAAGGCTTGTAAAATCCTGATGGTTATTAACACGAAATGAGACTCAAATCATGGACATCCAATTCAAGAGAAGTTGAGGGTCTAAATTATTACAGCCCCCTTTTCCTTCTACAATAGATTAATAAGTTGGCTTATGAAGTGGGACCATAGCCGATTGGTCATATTGTATTTAGGTAACAATAGATAAGTACATACCTCCTCTTTTAATTTACTATTCACCCAAGTACACTTAAACTGTCTTTTATTTTCTAATTCATTTATCTTTATACTTAACTAAAACATAAAATAAAAATAATACGGTACAACATTCACATAAAAATCTAGCAGTGAAATTGATTGACTGGAGAAACTAACCTGTGAGTCAATTCAAATGATATTAAATTAAAATTTCAAAAAATTTAATTTAAAACACTGTCAAAATTCTGAAGTGAAAAACCAGAGAAATGCAAAACTTTGCACATAGTTTCTTACTATTAATGTATTTGATACATTTAAACAATAAGTTTTATAAAGGGCTATATTTTAGTTAAAATAAGGCGAACAATTATGAGTAAATTCTCAACTTAGGTCTGAGAATGCTTTATGAAACTGGGGCTTGTCTCTCAGAGTGTTTTTGTAATACCTGAAGATGTACAATACACTGCTGTAAGATTTTCATGTGGTACACTTTTGAGCTACCGCTCTAATAATGATTGACCTACCTGCTGATAAAATATTTTTTTGGGCTGCCGTGGTTTTGTGTATAGTAGTAAATCTTTTAATGAACCTTCATACGTACATCGTACTGCATTACCGGGAATATCTCTATAACTAGATATAATAAACAAAATATTTCAAATAAGGACTTAACAAAAGCTGAAAAATCCCAACAAAAATTCTCAGCTATTACCTAGATCGAACTGTCTATATATAAAGTGACGTACCTTTGACATTTAAAAAACTGTAATAGATATGGATCTGTACCAATATGAGCAGCTACAGCTTGGGCCATCTGATCGTATAACATACGTTGAGATAGTTCCAGGGTGAAACCTGTATCATTTGGTTGTGTTTTATCACAGAAAGTAACTTCAACTCGATAATATAGATCTCTACAATATAGTAAAATAACATTAAAGCCACACTGATTGTCATTTGAGGAATTCCTAATCCCTTGCAAATATAATACTCTTCAAATTTCTAACATATAATATCTAATAATCTCGAAGAAGAAAAAAAATAACTGCACACTCTAATATTGTGAAATATGAATACAAATAAAATATTGTGAAATATGAATCTATAGTAGGAATATCGGTCCAGAAATGGTTCAATTCGGTTTATTATTTACAAAGATATGCTGAATTGAAATTTCATCAATCAATGCTGCTGCTCGCTATTTTTAATGATGTACGAATGTCTTACTTGAAGTAATCTTTAGCGGTAGGTAATTCGAAGGATTCTAAGTCTAGATCATTTCTCTGGTAAACAAGTATATCACCATCCATTAATTCATCTAATAATTTCTCTATAGGTAGACTTAGATCAACCAGTTTCTCCATTAAATTAGGTTTCACTTCCTACAAAAAAACATTCAAATTCTATGCAGATCTTGCAGGTCACTTTAAAACTAGACCTATAGGGAAAAAAAACATTTTAATTTCTAGTTCTTTGGGGTCTTCATAAATAAATAGCTACTCAATATTTTGCCAATGTTTAACAGCAAACAACACTGTAGTTTGGTCCCAAATTATTTCTATATTCTACAGGAAACCTATATGCATTCAATCCATGGTAGTTTTGTTTTAAAAAAAAAAAACACCGATTAAAGAGGCATTATGAGGTGATTGAAAAGGTTAGTAAAAACAAATAAAATTTCATTTGACTACACCGTTATATAAGCAAAATCTGAGACAACTCTGTCAGGTCATGGCTAAAATAAGCATGTTTTAACTATGAGTCATATATATTTTTTTATATTGTTTTCAAAATTAGTAAAAAATCCTAAATGGAAATTTAGTAGAAAATTTTGACAATTTTTATAAACAGATGGAAACAAGACATCAGATCAAGCCACTTTATTTGAATATACAGTTGTATTATTTTTGTTAAAATCTAGCCATCGTACATGAAGTAAAGCAATCCACTCTGAATCTTTTTTTTCAGTCAAATACCCAGCCAAAAGATTGACAATATATGCATATTAATTTTGTAATAAAAAAATGTATTCATACCTCAAATATAAGAAGTGGAGTTCCTGGTGCAAACCCAGCCCTTCGATTTAACTCTGGCTCTAATTCCACTGTAAAATATTCAAATATATATGACATTACGGAAGTACACATTTAGAAACATCTAAGTCAATACTTGTTTTTTAATAAGTTTAGATTGTTATAATCGACTACCAATTCATATCTTTGCCTGACTTTTTAAAACTAATTTCATATATACTGTCTGGGAGCCACACCACCACAATAGCTGTGATTATACCAGGCAGGTATGATTTTGTCTTTTCCCAAAAGTAACTAATTCAGCGTGCAATTTAATAATTTAACTTGCAATGGTGCATTCTGGGGCCACTTTTTGGTCAAATTTGGAGTAGCAGTATACTCAACAAGTGCCAGTTGAGTCAAAGAAATAAGAAACATAACAACACCCCCGACTTCCGTAGTTAATTTCCTAAAATCTACATTACAGTAGCCTTTTTCTGGTTGATATAATTTCCTAATGAAAAGGCCCACTGCTTTCCAGCCCACCTCACTTTCTACCTAACTCCATTTCCATGGATTCTTTACGTTGTCAATGCTCTAAATATCATTGATGAAACCTGATGAATTATATTGTTTTGTCGCTATTTTATTTCACAGCTGAGAAATGGGGCATTTCGTCTCATAGTATTTATTCATAGACTGATTTGTAGTACAGGTTTCATTTCCAAAGGTTTCAAATTTAATTTTAATATCTGCACTTGGCTTGGATGGCAGGATTATCAGTTTTGATATTAGTCTTGATATTGTAGTCTTGATTGTAAAGGTCTGAGTGTTTAATTATACAGGACGGTTATAATGGACAAGGGACTTGATAAAGAAGTGTTTAATTTTCACATCGAGTTTGAGGTGAAGGCCTGAGTTTTGAATCAATTTACAACAACTCTTCTCCCTCTCACGACTTTTTTTTTATCTGAAATGTCAACCATCTTTGTATACTCACCTACTTTAGCAGATATTGGCACATAAATATGACCACAATACGATAATGATTTAGTTCTAGGATCATACATCTTTAAAAATATTAACACATCACCTGTAACACAGAGAAAAATAATTACAAATATTATTTTAGATTTAGATATTTAATTTCAAATATCATGTTATATATCTAATTATAATATTAATTACAAATACTATGTTCTAAATACAAATATTATGTTCTAATTACAAATATTATGTTACATCTGATTAAAATCTTTATCATTACATGTAATTTAAAAACCAAGTGTTTAACTATCCTCTGTTAAAAATCACCAATCCTGGGACCTGTTTCACGAAATTTTAACTAAGATAAAATCCAAATTTAACATTTAATTAAAAACCAAAAATTTCAATGGGAGATAACCTCTTGGCTTGGATTCAATCAGAATAAAGAGAGTCCTTCAAAATATTACAAAAACTTACTGTCTTTATCAAATGGTTGTAATTCTTTTAAACCACTTTCCGGACTTAATGTTTCTACAAATACCGACCATGGACTGTCATTCTCTGCTGCTTCCATTATCTATAATATTAAAAACAAACCACAATCATTTAATGCAACATCATCCAGTTCTTCATATTTATAATACATCTGTTGACAGAAATGAAATGGGTTTAACGTCCTACTGTTCTGCTCCTAACCTGGGCTAATGAAGACGGGCATACACCATATAGTGTGCTATGAGGGAAATTTTGCCCGGGTAGCGGCGCTACGGCCTACTCTTATATCGAATTCCAACTGCCAAGGGATCTTTTACGTGCACGCCAATGTGTACACGGGCCCTTGGTTTTTCGTCCCATCCGAATGACTAGACAGCTGTCCTTGTCAGGCCCTCCGTCCTGCATCACTGACAAGGGGAAACCACGCCAGAAAATCTGGATGAACTTTCTCGGCCAATGCAGGGATCGAACATCCGACCTCCAGGCTAGCGAACCAGGAGCTTACCCACTTAGCCACGTGATCCCCATCTGTTGACAGAGATTAGCTTTAGCTTTTATGATTTGTGGAATATTTATAATCCTTTTTGTTGATAAGAGACTAGTTTTATCTTAAGTTTTGTTTTAATTTGTATTATCTTCTGTGGATCTATTTGTGGAATATTCTGTAAGGATTTCCAAACATATACTTACATTTTTATTGAGATCCACCTCCATATCGAGCATTGTTGGTCGAAACGTTTGATTCTGACGAGATTGAAATGGCCACAACCGTATCTGATTAATTGGGAAATTCTGCAAAAATAATAAATCAAAGATTTTATAAACTTTTCTTTTTCGTAAGAATACAGTCAATTTAGTCATAAGTTTTTTATATTTAGTTCTGTTGCTGATCGGTTGGGTGGATGAGTAATCTAACATGCATGCCTCAAATCTTCAGGTCTGTCAACCGAGTCAAGCTCAACCTCTTGGGTTTTCTTTCAGATCTTTTGGTTTCCTACCACTATAGAGAACTTGATTTTCTAATCTTTATTAGTAATAAACAATAATTAGTATCTAATTATGCTCAAGAGCTCTAACATCAAGTGAATTATTGAAATAAAAATCATCTATATGTTAGTCCCAAAATGACCTCATTTGTGTTGGGTTGGCGTTATCCCCTTCTTTTATTAGTTCTTGTTCAGCTTAATGATCCTACCACTTCAGTAAAATCCATGAATAAATTGTCCTTGATTGAATCACTTGTCCAATAGTATATAATCCAATTTTTTTAAAATAAAAACATACCAGGTTTTCAGATAACATCTCCATGAATTCCATAACTGAGAAAGATTTCTTAACTTTAAATATTCTGAAAGTAAAGATTTATAAAGAATAGAATACAAGAACAATATAAAGCATTTTTGGTAACCTGATTAGCTTTACACTTTTCTGTGTGGATTCCTGAAATTAATACCATATTTCTAAAATCTTATTTTCAACATATAAGTAATCCTACAATATCTTATATCTTACTTTTATGTGAAAACCTTGCTTTACAGTACACTTTCCTTTTATTAACCCTTACTTTTCAGTAACCCTTCCTTTTTTTTTTTAAATTTACTTTCCAGTAAACCTTGTTTTTTATTAACCTTAATTATAGTTTTTTATTAACTATTACCCTTAATTCATATTAACCCTTACAGTACTTTACATTAAATCTTCCTTTACATTAACTCTTACTTTACAGTAAACCTGGATTTATAGTAACCCTTCATTTATTTATATTAACCTTTCATTTACAATGAACCTTGCTTAACTGTAACCCTTCCTTTACAGTAAATGTTCTTTTACTGTAAACCTTGGTTATGAAATGATAAAGATACCATGAATAACTGAATTTCTGCTATTTCCACAAAGTCTTACCTATAATTTACTTTCTCTGGATCAAACAGATCATTGCCTTGATGACCGTAGAAGTGATCTTCAAGAAGAACTTGTACATTCATATATAAATAAGCTTCTGTTCTCTCTTTCCGTTTCTGTGCATCTAATCGTCTAAAGAAGACAAAACAGTTATTTAAAATTCAGTAGAAGAGACAGTAGTTTGGATTTGAGTCAAATTAACTATACCTATAACAATGATATTCTTATCAACTCATTCATTACAATGTGTACACATAGCATTGTTTATTCAATACCCTCTAAGTGCATCTAATTCTGGCTGGTGGTCTGTCTAACCATAGATAACGAGGACTAATGGGAATCAAATGGATTTTAAGATCTATGGTACTCAGCTGAACCTTAGCTTTCTGTCCCATCCAAAAGACTAAGTGAATGTTTTGGATTTTTTGTCAGGCCAGCAGCCGCTACACCCGACTAGTGTCAACAGGGCTAGAACAATCTGAAAGGCACTTAAACCCTGAGACATCCTATTTGAGAGGAGGGTGTCCTACCACTCGACTACTGTGGCCTCCTTGAACAATGGCTCAGTGAGCAAGACGATGGCTTGCTAACCTGGAGGTCCAGTGTTCAATAATTGCATTGGTCGAGAAAGTTCATATCAGTATTTTCCCGAGTGGTTGCTTCTTGTCAGTGGTGCAGGATCAAGGGTCTGGCAAGGGACAATGTACAGTCATTCAGATTGGTGCGTATTCAAAACTTCCTTCATAGCACACTATGGCGTATGCCCGTCTTCATTAGCCCAATTGGAGCAGAACATTAGGACGATAAACCCCATTTTATTTCCTTGAACAATGGGGTGAGTCTTTATCCAAAATATCTAATCTATAGGTAAATTCTAGTTTCTGTAAGGTGTTATCTTCACTGTATATGCCAGTGAATATCTGTATATCTCAACAAGAGATATTTTACAATCATTCAGGCATTTAAAAAAAGCCGAAAATATTTCAAATTACCTTTCTTCAGCTAATCTGATTTCTAATGATTCTGGAATGTCTAAATCTCCATTAGGTAGAAGGCATTCATCTACAACAAACCAAATATAACTATAACAGGGTTTTAGTATATTTACATTGTGTGTATCACAATATAGTGAAATAGCTCTCAATGTTTTTCATTAAATAAAATTTGTCATTTTATTTTTTTTTTTTTTTGTTTTTATAAACAATATTTTTATTCAGGATTTCTGAATGGGATTGGTGAACAGGCTTAGCCTATGTAAAACCCCTCTCCCTACTGATGTGCTTTAGCCTGACGCAATCAGAGAAACTGGACAGAACCCACAAGGTTTGGCATGTAACCTGGCATGTCAACCACCTTTGTTGATATTTTTTTGGGTAATTTAAAGCTGCTGATTGTCATTTGATTTTTCTGATGATATCTAATATATTCATGTAACCAAAACCAAAATATCAATGTTACATAATATTTTGGCTTGGATTCAACTCGATTTAATCAAAAGATTTTACCCAACATGTATCAGTTCTGCTGGCTTGTTTACATGTTGTATGCAGAGGATTTTACAATTCATCACATATCTTTGTAAATACTTAAAGGAAATGAACCATTTTTGCAGTGATATTCATATTAGAAATCCAACTTTCAAATTATTATAGAACCAAAATCCCCTAAATTACAATCAGCGCCATTAACAATGTCTGTGTCCTGCTTTGTGTTCTGTTTTCATGTATTTGCTATAAAGAGAAGAGACTTACTGATGAAACTTTCTCGTATGTAGACCAACATGTAAGCATTAGTACAATGTTTAACAGTCATATCATCATCTTGACCACCAAAATTATGTTCTATTGCTTCTGTCTTTGTACATTTAGATACAACATCATCGTCAAATTTACACCACTGAAATAAAACAAAGATGGGCATTAGTCATTGGTGTGTATTTTTAGGCCACCTGGGAGATCAGATCGGTAGTAGATGAGGCAGGTAGGGAAGAGATCAAGCAGGTTCGGTAGATCTGTCTGGTCGGGGAGGAGATGAGGCTAGTTGGAAGGAGATCTGGCTGGTTGAGATCATGTTGATCGGCAAATCAAGACTGTTGGGGAGATCATTTCCATACGAAATCACAAAATTAGAGCGATCAATGATAATTATGATTAATTTATACCTTGCCATCTCCTTTAGGATTAATATATACAACATAATGGCCACCGTGATTATCACCACTATGTACTAATACTCCATGCAATATATACGTAGCAGGCGTGTCTTCTTTCTTCTGTAAATACTCATCTAAATGTAATCTTTCAGGAAATTCAAATCTGCAAGAATCAAATCAATGTCACAGTTGAATATGAATAAAAAGACTCAATTATCAACTAGATCAAATTTGTTTCTAAATAATTAAATCTGAGAAATTTCTAGTTAGCAAAAGGCACAACTGCTGTATATGTTGATGAGTGTGAAAAGTTTTATAAAGATATTTTGAAGTGTTTTTGAGAAGTGCTCCGGAAACAACTAGGGTGGAAGGACAGAGTCCATTTCAATATACACTTCCAATTCAATTCAATTCAATTGGTGTGTGTAAATTAAAAGTTTTTTTTTTATCAATAGATAAATGCGGGACAAATATGGTGTTAAATATTTAAAATGGTTCCTTTTATTCAGAAGAACTTCTGCCAAGAGGGGGAAGGCATATATAGCTAGTTGTCTTCCCATTTTAGATGATTATTTCATGTTTTACACTTCATTAGAAGGGACAGAGATGGGAAGACATAATTGTTGATTTCTAACAATTTCCTGATGGCGTTCTCTTAGAAAGAGGTAAAACAAAACAGATTTATTGGGTAGTGAGTCCGTGAATATATTATTATGTTTTACCTGTCATTAATCTTGATGTTGGTATCTGTAACTGGGTCATACATAAACCTCATTAAATGAAGATGTAAAACTGGCGGGAATTTAATAAACACAACACCTTTCTCAGCTTCCTATAAAACACAAAATTAACTGATGTAAAATGAACAATATAAAAGTCAATGCTGTAGAAAAGGAATCGAGATGCAAATATTCATTACATGACTTAAAGGTCAACTGTGTTTACATGCCATGTGAACTTATTCATAAGTGGTAGGCAAATCATACTAAATAATAGTAACATAAGTGTCGATCATGTTACCTACTGGTCATGCAGGAGTTAATCATCTTACATAACTGAAACTGACGTTTCAAATGAAATGAACTGGGGTTTGACGTATTACTCCAACTGGGTTAATGAAGACGGGCATAAGCCATACAGTAGGCTATAAGGGAAATTTTACGCCGATATGTGTACACTGAACCTTGGTTTTTCATCCCATCTAAACAACTATACATTGTCCTGCACTACTGGCAATGAACTTTCTCGGCAAACACCAGGATCAAACACGGATCGAACTGACATCTCAAAAGACAATGAAATTGCATATCTCCTGTCAATAGTCGATCATGCCAATTACCTTTACGCAAAAGATCAATCGTGTATATAGAAATATGCCAATCATAGTCACGTCAAAGACCAATCATGTTAGATACATGTAAATAAAACGTCAAACCAGGAGTTATTCATGTCAGATAATGACAGTCAAAAGTCAGTCAGATACATGAATGTCAAATGACATTGTTAGATACATGCAAGTCTAAAGTCAATCCTGTCAGATACACAGAAGTCAAAGGTCAATCCTGTCAGATACATTCAATTAAAGGTTTAAACATGTTAGATACAAGCAATTAAAGGTCCAATCATCTTAGATACAAGCAATTAATATCAAAAATATTATATATATAGTTCTTTAGCTATTATTAGCTGGGATGTTTTGCTTATTTAATTGAATAAACTTTCCAATATCTGGGACGTTCAGATATTCATTAGAACTACATGTAATATTAAAATTTAATGAACTTTAGTAATAGCAACTGTCATTGCAAACAGATCAGTGAAATGTTTTATTTTCTGAAAATTTAATAATTATTCCAACATCACTGAGAAAATATGAAATAAATATTACTCATCCATCAAACGAGCATGCACTATATTTCCTTCTCGCGATAACTCGTAAGCCTTGCACATCAATAATTATTCGATAGTATCACTGAGAAAATATGAAATAAACAATTTGATTCATAACAAATAGAAATATTACTCATCCATCGATCAAATGTGTGCTATATTTCCTTCTCGCAATTTCTCGGAAGTCTTGCAACCCAAGTCGTTAAGTAAAATTGGTGATGTCAAAGATGGGATGTCAGCAGAGTTCGACATGTATGTACTTCCTTTCCTCTGATGGTTGCTTGGAAACTATATATTATTATTAATATCACCTTGACTGGGCCTGGGTGTCACTTGAGGGGCCCAAATGATTATGTTTCTACAAGTCCTGCGGGCCTGTGCTTAGAAAATGTTTGTTTTGGACACTGGCTGTCAGTGTGATCCAGTCTATTGATAAGATACGAGATTTGAAGATTGTAAACAATGGGCAAGATGTGAGCGTGAAAAAGGGGGAAAAACACATATTTATCAAAATATTTAAATGTAAATTTTTCGGACGGGGCAAGCGCGATTACAACGCTCCTATAAATAATTTTGGTGCACTCTGGTATATCTATCTATATGAAATTCAAAAGATAATTATGAAATTCTAATCAGTCATGTCAGATAAATGGATTTCAAGGTCAATCCTGTTAATTATATGCAAGTCAGAGGTCACACTTGATTGGCAAATCAAAGGGTCAACATACCTGTAAGCCGTATTCACCTGCATCATATTTATTATCACCGTCTAAAGTTTCTACAGTTATATATTCTTTGAAAGAGTCCATCACATTTTTTTTACTTTTAATATTTAACTGAATATCGAAGAAAGTTTCTTCTTTCTGTGAACAGTAATTTACATGTTTACATCGGATGTACGACTGAAATACAAACAGATAAAAAAATACAGTACGATATCAGGGAAAATTTACTATTTTTATGAATATGTTCAAAATTAAGAGAAGCATTGATGCATATATGTACAAAAAATTCAATCAGAAGCAACTATTTATTTGAAAAGAGCAGTGTCCAGTGCGTTTTTTCCGAGTCTTCCAATTTTCTCTTACTGTTAAGACAATGGTGTGCAAGCGGATGGTTGAAATAAAATTGAAATGAGCTATTTGTGTTTGGTGGACGTTCAATCCTGTTTCTCTCCCTCTCTTCCCCAAAATTCATATCAGAACAATTTTTTATCTGAAAAGAGTAGTTATGTACATTTGTTTAAACTTTAAGTAAGAAGTAAGTATCTATCTGATAAAGAATTTGAAATGCAAAAATATTTATAGAAAATACTTACGAGCATTTTTCCTTCAAATAATTTAGGTATCGTCCCTCCTACACACGTTCCTTTCATTTTAATTTCTATGTTGTCCAGCAACTGAAAAATGAGAATAATTATAAAGTTTTATTCAGTCTCTATGGTAACCATATCATCTCTTTGCAACAAGTTAACCCAACAAATAATAATGGGATCTGTGACATGTACTTAATTATAAATATTTTTGAATCAAATTTTGCTTAAACTATTTCAGCTATACCATTAGTTAATAATACTAATTACAGATCATAATAAATTTTATACTCACCACTCGACACAACTCTTGAACATCATGTTGCATAAATGAATCCAAGGTCTCCCAACTACAACAGACAATAACTTTATATTCTCAACAGTTTCATAAGAAGTTTCGTTTATCTGTGTTAAAGTCAATGGTCGGCAACTTTAATAATAGATTTTTATCATGTTCATATAATTACACAAAATTTGATCTGCTTATTAGAATTTGCTCCATTTTGCATTAAAATTACTTCGTCAAATTTTTTCCCATGGTCAAATATAAAATCCTAAAATTATGTCAAAAATGAAATCATAGCCGTAAATACTGACTTACCCGAATGACCTTGTTAATTTTTTAGTTCCTACTGGTTTATCACTGAATTGTAGTTCATAAAATACCCTTTGTAATGCCAATGCTACACTCTTTGTACAATCATCACCTTCCGTTGGCATTAGATACACAGCCTGAAAAATAGAAAAAAATCAAACTTAAATTTTATCGCACAATATAAATACTGACTGTAACTTACTAATGTAAGTGTCGGTACAGCAACACACGATCGATTATATTTAAACATTGGCTTTATTTATAGGTGTAAAAATGTTAGAGAAGACAGACTGATATTCCACAAATAAAATCAAAAAATAAAATCCAGTGAAATCAACAATTTTAATTGGGACTTGACTCCAGATGAGAGCATATTCCTGAAGCAATGGCCCGAGAAATCTATTCTTCCTGTTCAATCAAATCTCCTGTTTTTATTCATTGTATACTTAATAAAAACATGGTAATGCACAGAGTTTTCTGTTTTTCAATTACTTATTTGAATTATCAGATATTCTCTCACAGCCTCACTTAACATCTTTTGGTCTTCGAAGGAATTATTAGTGAGCAGAAATTCGCCTGTGTATCTGTTATCACTCGTCATTTTAGTCAGTTATATAGGATAACTCGTGTTTCCCTTTTGTGTTCATCACTTCCCTTTCTTGAAATCTTCATAACGCATCTATCGTAGCAAAGATCTCCTTGTTAAAATTATATTTGGAACGTGTTTAACCAGTTCTATCACATGTAATAACTACTGACACCAATATTGACCTTTAATGTTTTTCTTAAATGTAATGAGCTTTAACATCCTACTTTTCTGCACTGACTAAACTAATGAAGATGTGCATATGCCATACAGTGTGTTATGAGGGAAATTTTGCCCTCTTATATCGAATTGCAACTGCCAGGGGTTCTTTTATTTGCACGTCAATGTGTACACAGGTTCTCCGTCCTGCACCACTGACAAGAGGAAACCTTGTCAAAACGTTAAGAATAGAAGTTATTTACCTGTCTCAATTTATTAGTGAAGAATAAAGTTTGTAATAATGAATTCATATAACACGTAGCACCTTGATTCCTTAATCCAACAAAACCAGTATGTTTCTTAGAATCCCAGCTGAAATAAAAAAAAAATACCATCAATATAAGCATACAAATTTCATCTTGATAATCTTCAGACAATGTCGTAGACATTTTCCCTCAACAAACCAAATACAATACCTACATGCACAAAAGCATCTTTCTGGCTCCACAGAAGCAAGCTTCAAAAATATAAGATCAGTATGACAAAAGCCATTGATAGTTCTAAGTTGCAGCGGTTTGATTACTCTTAAATCTGGGATGTTTAGGAGATATGTCTGCATAACTTGAGAACCGTCTACTTGTCTCTAATTTTTAAGTCAATGTCCAACATATACATGGTATCCATACCAACAAGATGTTTTCATGAAGAACAAGATGTTTTCATGAAGAACAAGATGTTGTCATATTGGTATATGCCCGTACCGCAATCCCTTTTGATTTCTGAATGAAATATTGTTTAATGTTTTTAACAAATAACATACCTGACACCATGTGGAGCATCAGCTACGACATGAACTTCTAAAATAATTTTATCATCTTTTATATAACCTTTTTCTGGATCTAACATATCCTACAAATAAAACATTAAAACTGATTTTAAAAAAAGTTATAAATATTAACCGGCTCAGTGGTTAGCAAGCCAAACTTGTGACTAATCTGGTGCATGGTCGATGTTCTTTCCCTTAGTGGAGTGTTGAATCCATACATCCTTGAATAAAACACTATATCCTTGTAATCCAGACTACCCAGTTGTATTTGGCTAAGTGCAGGATACAGTGTATAAAAATTTAAAACTAATGTATCATAAACAATATGTTGCAAGACAGGGCTGTTAAAGAGAAATGATTTCTTATGGTCAATAGGACCCTCACAAAATGCTCTGTACACCAAGACCAGATTAACTAAATGGAAGCAACAAGGTGATGATACATGTAGAGACAAACATGGCACTAATCCCAGCATTATAGATACACTGGCCTTATTGTATTATTATTTCAGGTGGGAAGGGGTGGGTGCAAAGGGTTTACTTTCTTTTAATCATTTTTTGAGGTTGAGATCAGCAATTAATTTACCAATATGCTTAAATTCATTCATATAAAATGCAAATGTAAAGAGACTGATATTGTTTATAATAATTATAAAAGGATACTTACACTCCAGGCTAAAAAATGGCTAAAACCCCAATCATTTTCTTTACAATAAAATAAGTGCTGAATTCCTACATTAAACAAAGACAAAAATTTAAATTTTAGCAATGTATCAAGAATAACATGTAAATAAATGATATATTCATGATACAGGTATTGTAATTTTTGCATGGATCAAGAAACAGTGGATTCAATACAGGCATTGCTGACAGTGTTAAGAGTAACTGTAGGTAAACTTTATCTACAGCAGGCAAAATATAAAAATTATTGAAGGCGCTTAGCCGAAAACATGGTGTTTTGTTATCAATCTTAGTTACAGTTTCAACTATTGATAGCTGAATTAATTATTTACTGACTATCAAATGGCCATATTAAATGAAAAGTGAGAAAAAATAAGTCTTTCTTAAATCTTTATGGCCAAGTGAGTTGTTCACACCGAAGTATCTTGTTCACAAACCAAATTGAACGTAAATTTATTCAACAGATGTAACAAATGATCTTGAAAAAAATCCAGTTCGAAAAGCTTATTATTAATGAGTCTCCACAGAAAGTAAACAAAATACTTACTTCTTGAGAAAGATTCAGCTTCATTTTTTTGGTTGATTATCTTCAATTCTGCTACAGCATGACAAGACCATGACCTACATAAAGACATACATGTATCATATTCAAGTACAAATTGATCATGTTACAGGAATGGGGTTAAACGTATTGTAAACATAATACTACATACTACCGTGGCCCATCATTGTCTGGGTAGGTCAATTAGGTAAACTCTGACAAAACTAAGTGTATATGTATCTAAGCTATAGATTAAGCATGTCCCCATGATGTCATCTACATATGTACATGTATGTGAAACTGTCCATTTAAATTATTCAATAAAATTATTGGTTTTATCACACACTATTGGCCTTTCAAATCGTAAAAATAGCATTAATTTGAACTAACATGATTTGGACAACCCCTTATACATGTAATTGTTAGATCACTCTTTTAACATAAGCTGTGATTAGTCAAAAATATCACATTGCCTCCAATCAGACGAGTCAACAATTTATCTGCAAATTGAAAATAACCATTTAGCAGGGTAGTACTACTGCATACCATTCAGTTCCAAAGTATTAATAGTAATATCTGGTTATGAACATACTGATAATTAAAAAAAGAATTCTTTTCTTTAATTTTCTAGATGTGTAGCCCTCATTACTACAAATTACATTCAGTACCGGTAACTTGAAATTTTATATTTATTTTCAACACCAACTTACGTGGATTCAGCCTCTGCATTACATTGAAGAAAAAATCCTAAACTTTTCTGTCGTTCAGCATTCTGGTTAAAACGCACCATAGCCATAATTTTCCTGCAGAAAAAAATAACCATACAAGAGAATGTTTTAAAAAGAAATATATTATCAACACTACAGATAGTTACATAGTACAATTTACAAGGATTTCATAATTCTTAGGAATCATTTGAAATTAATAACAAAGTTTAAAATGATTTTCAACAATAAACTTGGCAAATGAATAAAGACTGCTTTAAATTTTGATGACATGATAAAAATCTTCCTGTTATCGTTACACAGTTCAAGCCCGTGAGCCGCGTTAATACAATTGTTCTGTGAATAGCATCTGTAGAGAAGAAATGTGTCCCAAAGCTCCAGAGTCACAGAATCAGTAACCAGTCTTTTAATAGTTCATAGTTATAGTATACATGTTACTCGAGAGGTATGATGTGCTAGAAGGTGCAGTAGTTTCTGGTGGTCCAGATGCTTGTGGGTTAATAATTCAGATAAACTTACCATGGTAAATTACGAACCATACAAGATGGACTGAGAGACGTATCTTTTAATTTACTAATGTTCTCAACTGTATAGCGGAATGTTGCCTCCGCTCTACTTTCATCTAAAATAATAGAAAATTTTGCATTAAAATATTTAAAAACACCAGATACAAAACTAATATAGATTGAAATAAAACAATATACATGGTACACCCAACACAAACTACTCATTGCTATAACCACACAGCTAACAAATTTAAACCGATGAAGATCTACATGTCTAAACTACCACACTGTTTCATTGGAACTACATGATACAGCTAATATGTGATATCATAATATCACAAGTGAGAGCTAGGATAAATGCCAGAGAGCAGAAAGGCAAATGGAGAGCACATAGAAAACCCGGGGGGGGGGCAAGGAGAAAACTGATGGGGCTAGGCAAACAAAGTTCTACATGAATGTCACCATAGCTTAGATTAGCGGGGGGTTATTAGATCTAAAGCTGAGTTTACTTCGAAGAGTCTTAGTATTTGAATGTTTTTTGACTATTCAATTACATTCATAGGATCAATTTTTTATTATTCTTTGTGAAGCATTTTCAAATTTCTAGAAATTGTAAATCTTTCGGATCATCAATTTTCTCATCAGTTTATTTACTTTGGAATATTCGTTGATTTCATTGAAATTAGTTATTAAGACTAAAAACACTTCCTACTGGAAAGAAAATCTGTTCAAATTACATTACTTATACCTGTGAACAAATAACGAATACCCAAAAAATTAGTTGGATTTGCCATGAAAAATAATTTGAATATTTATGTAATTCTGTTGAAATATTCAACCTGATGAAAAATTAAAACCATTAATGCTTTTCTTACCATCTTCCATGTCCTCTTCTTGATTGGTCGCGCCCGCCTCTTCCATGTTGCCATTGACAGCATTATTAACTGAGTCGCTTCCATTTTGACTATCCTCTGAAAAAATTTATCAACATTAGTAAATTTCTGCTTTACAAAATCCAAATTTAGTTATTTTCTGATGGAAAAAAAGGAACAAGTTATGCAACTTTGTAGTCAAGTCTTAATATTGCTAGACTACTTTGATCTCTGTAAAAAAAAAATGTGTTAACATGTTAATTTGTTTGTATTGGTTTACTTACAAAGAAAGAGTCAACACTGTGATATAACAGATTTTGTGTTACATGTACATGTATACTTTCAATATGTCAATTATTATTCAAATTTAAATTAGTTTTGTTTTATTCATAACTGAATAAAATGAAAATTGTAGTTTTCTCAGATAATCGCATCATTTTTTAACAAGTACATGTACCATATTGTATGTCAGCTTACAGAATATAGACTACATGTTTGTACATGTCATCAGCTGTGCAGTTGCATGCTGTTACAGACGATAGAACTAGATCACTGTTTAAAATTACCAACAATAATCATTCCAATATCTTCAAATAATAAAGTAGGGCAATAAAATGAAGTAGCCTACTGTAAATAGATCCCTTACCGAACCCCCCATCAATTGAAATTCTGCTACAAATCAATGAATCATTATGATGTCCAAGTAAAATGGCCTTATTAAAAAGTCAACAGTTTTAGACCTGATTAATTAACATTACATACATTTTATAGGTGCAGCTAAACAGATTTGCTAAACAATGCCCAATTTAATGTAAAATCAGTGTAAATGAGACAGAAAAAATTAATCACAATATTCTTATTTTAATTCACAACTGGTAAATTTCATAAAATTGTCTTTCTATTTTTTTCTTATGATTATCGTATTTTTTATATTAAGCCCACGTCGGGCACACATGGATTTTCATTTAATAGTACATTTAAACCATACTGGTACATGCACATAACTCCCATTACTTATTTTGTATTAATCTGACAACCAATGAACATTTAAAAGCTTGTGTACAGTATGACCATTAATCTGATTAAAATAGCAAAAAAGTGACATTAATTATCAGTTTTCCTGAATTAATATTCTTTTTTCTTTCATTTAGTGAACTTGAAACTAAATAATAATAACCCTGTATTAAATAAAGAACAGTGGTTGGTCTACAATGATCAGGTTCACAACAAATGATTATGAATCTGAACAAAAACACAACTTAAAATTACCTCTACATTTACAACGAAATAATAAACCTGAAATAATTCTTTGCAATGAAGTGTGAAACATGCAAGATCATTGATATTATTCTGTACAGGGACACAGTTCAATGTTATCTGTGATGTATGCTTGACAACCTCAAGATGCCAGAGTGTGGATCAATAACTCAATAGAGAGCAAAATACATCAATTCCAGCCAATTCACTTCAGCCTGCTCCTATAGCAACTCATTCAATGATTGTTGATATACATTTCAAACATGTTTACCAATAACGATTTATTCAACAGAGTATAAATTTCATTAATAAATAAATATTTATTATTTCAGGAATAATTTGCTTTCAGTCAAACCTTTTATGACAATAAACATGCCGGTATTTTACCGCCAACCATGTGACTGACAATACCAACTTTCGTGAGATCACACCGGTTTCATTGTGTCAACAAAAGAGAAGATGAAGTCAATTTTATTACATAACACACTCATTTAATCAATCTTCCTAATTAGATTATAATTAATACACACCCTTAATCTGGTCTGTTTCCATTTGTTCATGATCAGTGTGCTTTTCACTCTTGTCATTTACATGGTTCATCGTGCTGTTGTTCATATCATTAGAAGTGACCGTTCGATGGCGATCTCGCCCCGGAGTCTGAGGGCTTCTTTGCGAGACGGTCACTTTTGCGTGTTTACTCGTAATTCGCCCAATGTCTGTAGCTTTTACCCCCACAGTGGGGAAACTGCTACAATCAAATTACTGTAAAATTTCGAGAAAAATGTTCTGTGTTGCACTCGTCCCTCAACAAAAATAAACAAGATGGCCGCCTCTGTATAAAAGGGGAGTATGGGATCGAAGTTATTTAAACTGCTGTGTAAATCTATTCTTACCATCCATTGATGAAACTTTAGCGGTCATTCTTTGACACAGGCGACTTTCTATAACTTTTAGCCTTCAACGGCTACCATAAAACTCAACTAAGCCCAAATTTTGTCTCCGTGCTCATTCGGTAATTTTCGTCAAACAGTGTCAACAATGCGCGTGCGTCATCATGCCTTCCGTTAATGTTCGCGAAGGTTGAGAAAGAGGATCAGGAAAATAGGTCTGTGAGACTGTGTGAGGAAGTCTTCAAAACATCATAATTTTAAGGGCATTACATTGTTCCATGAGCCAAAAGGACTCCTTTAGTTTCAAATTATCAAAATGAACCCCGAAGAAAACCAAGAATCTGATCAAACGAATGAAAATTGGCTCAGTAACTTCGAAGATGAATGCCTGGATGAACTCGAATCTGAACCCAATATGGACGACAGACTGTCAGCTGAGAGAGAATACGCAGTTCAGAATTTATGGATGGTATTTCAAAACTCCGCGACGGCGATTGCTCAGTTATATAAAGGTATTATATGACTAGAATATCAAAATTAGTGATTGGCAATCAATACATTATTAATGTTTATTTTGGGTAATTATGAAATAGTGTTGTGAAATGTGTGGGTTGGTGTTATTTTTGTTTTTAATCTCAAGCCCAGATATAATTATGTCTGATAGTGATAACTTTATTTTTTTAAAACTTAGATCATAGGTTAGGCAAACCGTGTGGTTTGAAATAAAGACTTCATAATCAAAATTGGTTCGGAGTGATGTCAGAATCTGTGAACATAATTATAATTTCTAGCTACACGTAGGTTAACAGGTCGACCTTAGCCGCCTTAGGTTATAATTTTTTCATGACCAGTGGTCGGAACTATAGAAACCAAATGCGGAAGGTCCGAACCATCGTCTATTCAAAGATGGCTGCCCCCAGGGACATGGTGATGTCGCTTACATAGATTCAGACATAACATACAAGACAAACAATATCTGCTTACAGAAGTAGCAACCATTTAAAATTCTTCAAGCTTTCCTTTAAATCATATACTTAAAGTAGCTAAGTCTCTAACTCAATATCATCCAAAATCTTCAACATTGAAAACACGATTTATTTGTCAAATTAAATCAACATTGATGTTGTGATCTTACCGGAATAAGATGGGCTTTTGATATCCAATATTTAAGACAAAATAAACATTTTACCATTGGTACACGAATCGTGTACCATAATGCGCTTCAGCCCCAGTTGTAAAAAGAGACTCGAGGGACGAGGCTAGACACATTGCACCAAATCGAACGGCGTATGTATACTGGAATAACCAGACGCTAGAAATTTGCACTCGATTGAGACTGCTGGCTTATTTCGCCGAACATAACTGATTTGAAATTGGAGTAAAAACGGAAACCATTGAATGTAAACCAGTTTATATACATTCATATTACAGTATTATATGCGTTGCAACCCACTTTTGTCAATTTCTAGGTCCCAAATGTTAGCGATTTAGCTCCTTTAACAAAAATAGATTCTTTCTAAATATTCTACAATTTCGTTTCATTGACACCGCAATCTTGGTAATACCCCGACCATGCCAGAATAGCATGGTTCAGTATTTTCGGACTATGGTCCGGACGAAATGAAATTCGGATTCAGTTAGTTCGACCATAGTCAAGAAATCACGATAACCGAAGGTTTGAAATAAAGCCTTCATAATAATAATTAGTTTGGCTTGATGTCAGAATCTGTGAACCATAATTGTAATTTCTAGCTACCCGTAGGCCTACACTACAGCTATGATTTTACATGACATTTCGGTCCTGCGACATTTCTTACCGACAACCTTTCGGACTAAAAAAAAATATGTCCTTGATGTTTCAGACTTGGGATAGTGACATTTTGTACTCGGTAGGTGACGTTTCGAATCAATTGAAAGGACAGGTTGAATACAGTCGTCAAATCAGTTTATCAAAGCCAAAAACAATTTTATATAAAAAAAAAAACAAAACATGCAAGTAAAATTTACCATTCGTCATCAAATACAGTATGAGGATCACACACTGTATAGACCTCTAAAGGAACAGCAATATTTCCAATGTTGAATGTGTATGAAAAGACTGTTTTATATAAAAAGTGTTTCCTTGTGCCGGTATTATTTTTGTATTTGATAAGCTTATAAAAGAAAGTAGCTGATGAATTTGTTTGAAATAGGCCAATTCAAAACACAAAAGAAAATATTAACATGCAACACACGTGGTTACATTATTAAAAGGCCCACCAAACGATAAAACATTAGTTGCACTTTAAACAGTTCTTTGATAATTCATTTCCAGTAAAGGCAATATAAGCTTATTTAAAAAGGAATAATATGCTAATGAATTTATTTGAAAATGACCTACTAGAACATAAAAGAAAATATTTGTCCAACATGCACAGTTTTTACAAGTCCTTAGCAATTTTTTAACGGTAATCCATAAGTTGCATTTTGACTTGAAGTCCTTAACAAACTTGAAATAGAAGGCAGTACCAATCAAGAAATATAGTGCGTACACAAAGAATAGTCTTTTCGTAAAAATATTAGATATGGCAACATTCAAAGCAGGATAATTTAAGCTGATAAACCGATTATCCTGATGTCATTTTAGTATGTGCATGGATATCTTATGGTTCTTTGGTGGATGTTTCATTCTTGTACTGGAACCCAAGATAGCCATAAGTCCCATTGGGGTTAGACAATTTTTATATTGACCAATAGAGTTTTGATTTTTTAAGACATTAATAGTAGGATCTTTTTGCTTGTACTGGAACCCAAGATAGCCATAAGTCCCATTGGGGTTAGACAATTTTTATATTGACCAATAGAGTTTTGATTTTTTAAGACATTAATAGTAGGATGTTTTTGATTGTGCCTGGCCTTTTAGTCTCTAAGTACATGTATTATTTTCTTTTTATTCTGGAATATTCAGACTTCAATATAATAAAATTTGTGTTTTTCAGATCGCCAACAAGGTAACTCAATGTGGTTGCCTTTTCAAAATGCTGCAATGTCAGTCACAAGTTTGTACAAAGGTATGTAAAATTCATAGAACTGTCAAAAACGATGGATATCTGTATATTGCTGTGTAGGTTTTCTAGTTCTACAATAGGATGTTTGGTGTATCAATATTTTCACGTATTGTTTTCAAATAGACGTTTGATTATTTAAAATGGTTTTATTTTTACATAACCACACTTTCTTTTGTTTTTATGTAAAAATAAATTGCAAAAGCACTTTTATTTTCATAGAAAAATACTGATTTTAGACATTTTTTTTTACTGTATGGTCATACATGTATGTAAGTACATATTGAAATCTTAGTTTCTAGACTTTAAATCCCAAGTTTTATTTTAAAATATTGATAGATATACTGAAAATTGTTCACAATATATTGCAATAATAGATGTACTTTAGGTACATGTAGTAGCCAACAATACACCTGGTTGTAAAATTAATACACTGCCGGTACTCTGTTCTGTTTTTTTAGAAAGTCTTGATATGTTCACAAAGTGTGTAGATATGGGTGTTCAGTGTGGTCATCAGCATAGAACAAGAGACATTATTGCTTGGGCTCGTAAAAAGCGGCGTCATATTCGTCGCGAAGAATTATTGGCATACTTATGTGGTAGAACTCCACCAACACGTCACAGATTGGGCAGTTCTTCAACACGTCAGTTAGCTCGATCAGGAATCGAGAGATCTTCCCAACGTCTTCCGAACCCAGCACCTGTTGATGTTGATCAAGATCTTGGAGCATTTAGAGAAGCTATAGCTTTACAAGGTAGGTTTAGGCCACAGACTTTTTTTTTTTATCATTGACATCTTTGTGACGTCAGTATATGCATAAAATCTCTTTATTGCACACTTAACTGGTTAAAAAAATCTCACAAAGATATTGAATAAAATGGATGGATGGTGACGTCACCTTTTTGAGACTAATTACGGATTTTGTTTTTGCTATGGTCACTTGTGCAAGGGGATGGAGGAGAATTTTGTCTGTATGGACTGGAATTTGATTTTGTCAATCACATTTTTAAGACTAACAACAGTAACATATTATGCTTTTTATTTTTTTCTGATCACACCTGCAATATCAAGTCAAATTTTTTTTATGCTTAATCTTCCTCGTACATGTATTCCTATTTTCCAGCCATCAACTGGGTTTGAAATTCTCAGTCTATGCCAGGAATAGATTCTGGGACATTCTAGCGCAGTCCAGTGCTCATTCCCCTCGAATACAGCAGCCCCACATAAAAATATTACAAAGTTAGTGTCAAAATTGACATGAACAGTAAAGAATTCTTTCAAAATCGGGGCTGAATGGTTAATGCATGCGTGTTGCATCATAAGGTCTGTCATTGAGTCAAGTGGCATAGTTTCAATTCCTCGCTTGTGTATATGACGAGGAATAGGTCGTCTGTCCAGCCTTGTGAAGTTTCTCCAGGTTTCCTCCCACTGATAATTAGATAACCTTGCGTGCAAGCGAATTATTGAAATAAAATTGAACCATATGTTAGTCCCGATATGACCTAGTTTGTGTTGAGTGGACGTTACACCCCATTTCTCTCTCTGTTCCTCTCCCCTGTAAGATGGAGAAAACGATTGGTTGAAGATCACGAAGTAATCCAATGTGATGATGTTCAGAATTTTGTGCCTTGTCCTCTCATCATTACATCATTGTTGCATTAAACAAAACGAAGGATGTAAGCTTATGTATTATTTTACTGGTTTTTCTTAGGAACAAAAACAAATGTCACAAGTCTTTGATGTGACGTTTGCAAATTGCCTATTGAGAAATGCTGAAAGGGAGACAACTCCTATACCAGAATATAAGATGGCATCCTTATTATACATTCTGGAAAAGCCACTTTTTCTTTTAAAATCATGTGAATTCTGAAATGGTTATGAAATGAAGAGTGTATATTGGGTACCGAGGGACATAAATTCTGGTAAGGTAATAAAGAATTAATATTAATATTAAATAAACATCTAAACAGAACCAATTTCATGCCAATTTGTTTATTTTCAGGTTTAAATGGTGCCATGTCAAATGTTAGTGTTGGTTATTGTCCACATCCACCAACTCCTGCGAATTTATCTCGAAGCAATATAGAAGAACTAAATAGATTTATTCATGATGAATTCTCTCGATATAGTGAATCAAGAAAAAGAACCGGATCCCCAGACTTACGCATGGATTCTCCATCTAGGAAAAAAGGGAGATTTTTGTGATAGTGTGTACCATATTTAAAAACAATATAGACTTGAAAGAAATTAAAATATTAAAAAAAAAACAGAAAAAAATTTATTGAGAAATGAACAGTTAATCATATTCTTTAAAGATAATGAAACTTTGAAGCCAAATATTAAATTATATAAAACTAGTGAAGGAGGTGGTTATAAAAAAAAAAAATTACAAAAGATTTATTGAGATCCGTTGTTTATTTGTGGGCTTATCAAGATTTATAGTTCTGTGTTTTTTTCTAGGCCAAGAAGGCCTAGATCGTACAAAGGATGCCTTTAAATTTAAATATTTTGCTATTTTGCAATGAAGAGAAAGAGAGAGGGACTCTTGAATATTTTGTTAAATTGTAAAATACTGTTATTACATATTATGTATAAATGTGTGTATGAACTATGTGTGGCATTGTGAGTGGTGGCCTGCCTGGGGGACTCTGCTAGTGTTACTTGCAACGAACGAATTAATCCTTAGTACACGTAACATTATTTAGAATAGAAAAAAGTTTCACCGTTTTATGGATAAGTAAATTGTTAATTGCAAGATATCCATCTATCTCATGAAGATGAGACAGTTGTTTTCAAAAATGACAAAATTATTTTTCAATGGTTGTATTTTCATATATATGAAACTATGAAACATAAAGACTTTTTTTTTTTGCTAGTCAACATTTGATAATTCAGTTTGATAAATCTATGCTTCATACTGAAATATCAATTTTTTTGAATTAAACTGAATTAAATTACATTCAAGTTACTTTTTAAAAAATCAAAATCTTAATATTTTTTGGTTAAACAGATTTCATTTCTTAAAAGCTAGAAATAAACAAGAAATCATATGGACATCACAGATATTAAGAATGTGACCGTAAGTGCAAAATTGTAGACCGACAGCACAAACATCGGTCACAATCGGGCGAATTTCATAGATATGGTTATCAAAATGAACAAGACAAAATTAATGGCAACTGTACTGAACTAAAGGATATTCTCCCGTTTAATCTTAATTCTTTTTTAATGTTGAGGTAAACTATCATCTAACAACATCTTTAAGAAGTTTGTTTTCAGTGAGGAGATGCTTTCTCTGGGGCAATAATGGTTTTTATCAATCACAGTGATTCGAATCACATTAATATTTAAATTTGAAGAAAATAAAGGTCTTACTGATGCATTATGTAAAATTTAGATATAGAGCTGGCTGTTCTCACTATAATAGTTTAAAAGTAGACAATGAATATTGAATATGTATTACTTTATTCTGATCAAAGTTATGAATGTTTGAAATTTTGACAATATATAGCATAGAATAGCCTTGATTGTTCAAGTACCATTGCTACGATAATAAAGTCTTGATTATCCATTTTACTGTTAAATTATAAAATAGCCTGTGTTTAATATCTCTGCCATCCGATGGCCTGTAGAGTTGAGTATGTCTAAATAATAATTTATATAGCATTTGAAACTAGAAAAAAAGACCTGCAATAGGCAGAATTAGCTCTAGCATAATGCATCTTTCTCCTGTTATTACATTTTGTACTGTTCGAGTTGCAAAGATGTGTGCTTGGATAAATGCTGATAAGTTTGAAAGGTAATATGTGGTTCTTTTGTACAGGTTTATTATAATTGAATGATTCTCTGATTGATTTGATTGAATGAAGTTTAAAGAATTATATATAATATATTAATCAAAGTTTAGTAAGCTTATATCTTATTATGAAAATATAGAATTTAATGTAGAAATAGCTGGCCACTGTTAAAGAACTTTTTATTAATGGAATAATATTTACATAAATGTTAATAGGCACATCACATTAGAAAATGTGTTTTGTTGAAAGGATCTTAAACTGCTTTTGTTAGGTAAAATTAAGGGTTTGAATTTAGTTTATCTGTCGTATTATTTTGATGATCAACTAGATATGGTCAAACTGATTAAATTTTTGTTTCGAACGATGGAGTGAAAATCAGTTTGTTTTGACTGAGACTGTCAACCACTATAACAGATATAAAAGTATCTCAAGCTTAGCTGTATATGCAAACCTAAAATTTTAAATGTAAACATACATGTAGCTACTTCATAAAACTGTCATCTTTTAAAATTGTCACCGTGTAATAGGCACTGAGAGAAACCATTCTCTTCTTCGAATAACTTTTACTCAAGCTAACCATGTTTGAAGCCGTTGAACTTTTTTGACTATCAAGTTCCTTAACGTTTCGCGGGCTGTACACTGGGTTCCTGGGACCAAGGTCTACAATGTCTGGATGTAACCAAGTGATAGTTCATATTGTTGACACTACAATGTTGCTTTCTTGTTTTATCTCCAATATTCCACCTTGTGGTACTGTTGGTTGTTTTCTAAAATTTCAACATCTGGGCGTAAACAAGTGACTGTCACATCCAGAGGACCATTAGTGTGTGCTCTCCAGGTTCACATCTAGCCATCCAGCTGCTTGTATTCAAATGGTTAATGGTCTACACTAGTTGATATGTATTTTCATAATATAAGCATTTGCTTAGAAAGTTGGAGTCTTATTGTGTAAAAACCAGTTCATTAAAAAATAGTTTCTTGGTCATGTGGCTTAGATTTATCAAGAAAACATAATATTATAAATTTGGTTAGCAGTTTGCTATGAGCAGGGAGAGGATTGTATACTTTATCATCATAACATATACCATTCAATTTAACTTAACTTTCACCAGTTTCAACAAATCTCTTTAATACATTATCCCTGCCGAGAAATATGAAAAACAAATTGTTAAAAATCCTTCATTACAAAGACAACAAACTATAATTGATTCAAATTGACTTGGGTTGTTGTAACAAAAAACTGTCACAATTTATTTATTTTGTTTTTGAAAATGTGTATTATTAAGCTTTCATAAAGCAAGACAAAAAAAAAATGTGCTATTTCAAAAAGTAAAACTGAAAAGATAAATGTTAAAAATTGTGTCATTCCCTGATTAAATTAAATGAGAAGTTGATGTCCTGAATAATTAATTATTCTGTGTTTTATTATTATTATTATGTATATGTGTATTGTGTATTAAATCCAATGTGAATACAGATTCTATCTTATTTTTTCAAGCACAGTTTTGGGGTTCCACTGCTCTTGCAAATGGACTCTTATGGCTAGCCCCCAGATTCATGCATTTGATGGGAAGCCACAGTGGCTCAGTGAGCAAGAAGCTGGCTTGCTAACTGGGAGGTCCCGTGTTCAACGTTGGCCGAGAAAGTTTATCAGGATCTTCTGGCATGGTTCCGTCTTGTCCATTCTGCAAGACAGAGGGCCTGGCAAGAAACAATAATTTATTTGGGTAGGACGAATAACTTAGGTCCCATTTTACATTGGCATGCACATAGAATATCCCTTGGCAGTTGGAATTCGATATAAGAGTAGGCCATAGTGCCACTGTCCTAGAAAAATTTCCCTGTATGACATATACCCGTCTTCATTAGCCCAGTTGGAGCAGAACAGTAGGTTTGCTTTTTGTTATTGTTTATTCGGGGTCCCCTGTACTTATTATTCAACTAGTAGGACATTTGTGACACCACAGTCGATTAGGAATTAACTTTGACTTCACCTTGTGTATAAAACTTCAAGGATCAATTGACTCTGGAACACTTCGTTGGTTTACTACATGTATGTTTTTATATCTTTATAACATCCATAATGCAAAGGTTACAAACAGAAAACTACACACACAGCTATGACATTAAATATAAGGTATCTATCACTTAGCGTGTGTTCTGTTTCTCATTGTCACCCATTTGTTTAACCACTTTAATATATTAAACAGAGCACCTTTCCTAGAACTAAAACAAACCCTATAGTATTATCTGAAAGTACAAGTATTAACAATAAAATAACTCTCAAAACCATGATGATCTGAATCCAAATGGGTAATTGTAGTTACCTCCCTTCCGTCTCCATTCAATTACCCAAATCTTAGCGTCTTGTTTCTCGTCTTCGACAACGAGATATTGTTGGACAACAAAGTTTGGACGAAGCCGTACTTGACGGTGTTTTTTCCTCTCAATATTTTTTGGATACAAGGTTTATATGTTCATATTACGATTGTTTTGAACGAAATCCAAATCATTGTTATGTCGTTAATAATAGACATAACAAGTTCGATCTCGTCTGAAACCCCTCACATTTATCCCGTTATTTTAAACCTTGCACAATAGCGCAATTGCAATTTGTGATTTGGCAGCCCTTGTGTATCCGACCTTAATCAGCGTTTTCGTGGAAAAACAACAGTCGTATTGTATCCTTCTACTTACTTCACAACAGTCGTATTGTACCCTTCTACTGCCCGATAAAAACAACTCAGTCTGCGCGATTTTGCATTACAGCTACAAACCATAGGGAAAACAATAACCGTAAACACGGGCATTATTTTGTTTGGCCTTAAGGACTTTGGTCATATCTTGTATCACAAATACGACCTGTTGCTTTATATTTACGTGGGAGCCACGGTGGCTCAGTGTGTGAGACGTTGCCTCGCTAACCTGAAGGTCACGTATTGGATCCCGGTGTTGGCCAAGAAAGTTCACCGGGATTTTCCGGCGATGTTCTCATTAAATTTTGTGAGTGGTGCGGGGCACATAGCCTGGCAAGGGACAACGTATAGTAGTTCGGATGCCAGTTGCAATTCGATATAAGTGTAGGCCGTGGCGCCGCTGTCCGTGCAAAATTCCCCCTCATGGCACACTATGTATGGCGTTTATTGTCCGTCTTCAATAGCCCAGTTGGAGTAAAACAGTAGGCCATTAAACCCCATTTCATTTCATTCATCTATTGCTTTATAATTATGTATATATACCGTAATTTTATATATCTCACGCTTAATCTGTTATCAGTTGTCGCATATTAAATGTTTGCCTGTTTTTATCGATCAATAATAAGCATTGTTATCACATTTCCCTACCTTTCACATTCTCTCTAGCTACGTCTACGACTTGTTTGGTTTCTATTGGAATTTTTCTCAACAGTCACTATTGTTATAAAAAAGACAGCTTGGTCAACGTATAAAACAGCAGTCTACTGAATTTCCATTCTCGTTAACCAACTGTTGCAGGCAATCAATGGTGTACATGTGTGCAAACGATGCAGTGTATATTAGATGTATGTGATTTTGTCTAAATGAATGTGTTTGCACGATGTCCCTAATGGGCGCCTTGAATGTGTTAAGATTGCTTTTTAACTTGATCTTGTAATAGCTGATTAGTCTTGTAGCTATATGGGAATTTCTTAATTTGAAAGTGGTATCAGGTGTTCTAGAAAGAGTAAACACTAATCGTCTTATGTACAGCATTGTCACGAATTACAGTTAAATAGTGGACTGTACAACGTGAGTCTTTAGCTATATTGGAACTTCTTAAATGGAAAGTGGTATCAGGTGTTCTAGAAAGAGTAAACATTAATCGTCTTATGCACGAGACCGTCACTATAATTACAGCTGAATAACAGATTGTGCATGAATTTATTTGAATGTGGGGCTGTGAGATATGGAAAGTGTTGCCTACCGTTGGGGAAGAAAACATAATTTGATATGCACAAGTTTGAGAAATAAACATGTCGAGACAGCCATTTGATATGCATTTTTAATGTCGTTTATTATGTTCATGTTTATATTTCTATTATAAAGAATAATTGTGCCAGCTATTAACCTTGAATTATGTCGGTGGATTTTTTTTTTATTTCCGTTCGATATAAATGCATTGTAAACAGAAAAGACAATGGATATCTTCGCAGTCAAATTCAATGATTATAGATAAAAGTAAACGTTCGACGTTTGGAACTGTACATGGTTTAACACTAAAATCATGGCACCAAGTTTAGCTCTTGACCAATGAAAATGCCCAATTTTTAAAAAAAATTAAGAGTTTTCTGGAACATGTACCCGTTCTTCTGTTGTAACTGTGAGATAGTTTTATTAGCAAATATGTGACCCAAACACACAACAGTACCTTTTAACCCAAACTGCAAATTACGCAATAAGTGGATGATTCCCTTTAATAATAGGTCCGATACACGATTAATCCAACTTACAAACGGGTCGCATGGTTTATTGTGTGCGAAGATGACAAAAGTTGAAGCTTAAACAAGATGAGCGCATACCTGTCGGTAAGATCAAACAAACCAAAGCAGGTGCCCGATCGATCGAAGGTGTAACCAAACTAACACACCGTCTGATCAAGTATCGGCTAACACTCTTGGTGAAATAGCTATTTCTCTTACAACCCTCTTCTTCTATTGATAAAACACCACACATGACGTCACTTGTTGAATATTCATCAGATAAAGAAGGATTGTTTTACGTTTAGTTGTCGAGCTTAGTCTTTGGACGATAAAAGTCTAGAGTGTAGCGGCGAGGAGGTGTTGTAAGTTAAGGTTTGAGATAAGCTAGCTTGCGGTGTGGACGTGTTCAGTGATCATGGAGTAAAAGAAGTGGCGGTTGACACTATCGACATATTGGGATGACGAACGTTGACCGAATAATATCGGCGGCCCGGGACGGCTATCTTGATTTGTTACAATCAGGAACTAAAAGGGATTTAAATTCCATCGATGAAGATGGTAGATCGGCGACATTGTGGGCAGCCAATAATGGAAACCTGGAAGCACTGCGGTTAATAGTAGGCCGAGGGTGAGTATATATACATTAAACGATTATTTCGTGTCCCCCTCTCTCAATGATTGTATTTGTTAAGAGAATAAAATTGACACAGTGGGTATTTAACTCCAGTTAATACGGCTGTTGAGACAATAATTTGTGACATTATATTGTATTAATCTGTTAACCTTGTTGAGCAATATAAGATCGCACGATAAACTGTGTCCATGTGATATGGTGTTTAAACAAGTGCCGCGGTTTGTTCCGGTACCCAGTTTGAATCGACATCTTACCTTTTTTAGTTGCAACACAAGAGACCGAAAACATGACAGTTTGCAAGTGAAATGGTAGGCCCCACACAATATACACTTGAGTTCTTACAGTGCCTTCCCCCACCTTCCCCTTCCCCACCCCAAGTGGCCATAAACATTGAGGTTGTTGAAAATCAGAGAGATAGAAGGCAATTTAAAAAAAGCTACGCAAAGGAATAAACCAGTCTTTGACCAGGAAAAACTTCACGCGTGGCACACTGCATCGCGATGCCCGTCTTCCCCACCCCAAGTAGCCATAAACATTGAGGTTGTTGAAAATCAGAGAGATAGGAGGCAATTTAAAAAAAGCTACGCAAAGGAATAAACCAGTCTTTGACCAGGAAAAACTTCCCGCGTGGCACACTGCATCGCGATGCCCGTCCTTATTAGCCCTGACATTAAACTCCATTTCATTACCTTTCGTTATTAAATAGATTCCGTGTGATAAAGGGGAACCAAATAGATACGTAGCCTAACTGACGCGGGTTCTTTCTACTCTCGTGCTCAAGGAACCGAACCAATCCGGGTGCCCTGTCACACCGCGACAACAAGACTGTTATACAACTTCATTTTCACTGAAATTTAAAGACTGTACAAACTGCATCAGGTCCACTGTGTCATTAAGAGATGTAACCCTGGAATTTCTTTGATCTACAGCCTTTAAGGCACTGGGGGCATACCATCTGCAACTCTCATACATATCCACAATTTAATGTACCACACATATCAGTTTCAAATAGAAAATCATTAACACAAGTTAATAAAGCGCATATGATGGACGGGTATTGATGGCAATATAATATTAGACAAAGGACAACATGTCGCTAGCAGACAGCTCAATGTATATATCTGTATATCATATAGGTCTACACTGTGCTTTATTTTTACTGGATTTTAAGTCTTAATTAAAATGTACATCTGACGGCCAATCATGATTTAATGCATAGAACTAGAAAACTATGTTTAAATGCACCGAAAGCACAAACCCTGCCCGGAAAAACAGACGATTATAAAACCATTCTTTTGTTGAGTGATCGGGATTGACTGCGATATCGCCTTAGGTGGAAGTGGACGTAAAACTCTAGAAACGAACGAACGAGTGATCTGTCGTGTGCAAGCAATATTTGTGTCTTAAGTAGTAATTAAAACTGAATCAACTTTCGGTTTAATGGTTTATTGGAGATAATTAAAACAAAACTAGAATCCATACAGTCTTAAGTAGAACGACCTCTTTAATACTAAGAACCTTAAAGGAACACCATAGCAAACTAAGAGTAAAAATAAGAAATTTTAGACCATACGCAATGACAAGTATTCTAGACAGTGTAAGTGTTATACTGTCATTTGAAGTTTACATGGTTTTATTTTGATATTCCAGCGCCATACGTTTGCGTCTGTATTTATTTGAAATATTTGATTGGTATCCTGGACAAACTATTATATGACTTCCCAATTAATTACTAAATTTCAAAACTATTTTTTTATAATTTAAATTTACTCAAATGTATTTTGGCTCTTTATCAAATTGTAAGCTTTTGAATAGCCAATATACCTAGTAGTGGTGGTAGATAATAATTCAAGCCCCGGGTTGAAATGAATATAATGGTATTAAACTATTTATGACTGTTTTACTGGTTGTTTAAACATTGTATATTATGTGTTCGATAGATAACGGTAGTTTTATGGTACATGTACAACTTGGGACATGTGGTTATATTACAGTTAATATGGTTAATAGTCGATCGTTACACCCAGTAATGGTAATTTATTAATACTAAATCAACAAGTACAATAAAGATAGCTGGTTATGTGTTGTTAATTGGGGATTTAACGCCCGCTTCCACTCTGGGTTATATCGCAGATGAAACTTTATTTTAGTAAATTCAACGCATGTAGGGCGGTCTTTCCTGTGAGTGGAAACATGAGTATCGGAGTAAACCCACGAGGTTGAGGAGGCGCCTTATCTCCAAGCCACCTACGCCCACACCAGGGATTGAAGCCCAGAACGCAAGCCAGAGTTGACCGGGCATACCGCGAACCTTTTAACACATATGAAATTATATACGTTGATCTACCAATATCAAGCTTACCCCACCCAATGTACGATACCAGTTATAATAGCAGCAGAATTGGTCGATAATTAATATTAGGAAGTGATATCGGGTGATCGGAAACGCCGCTGTCCGGTGCAAATTACCCCCCCCCCCCCCACACACACACACACAACACGTTGCATGGCGTATGCCCGTCTTCATTTTCCCGGTTGGTGAAGAAAAGTAAGGCGTTAATCCCCATTTCATAATCAAGGTAAAAAAAACAATCAATTCCAAACAACGGGTTTTCGAAGATGGTGTGTGATGTGCCAGTAAACTATGTTAATTTCAACCAATTTAACATGCATTAGAGAATATTATGGGAAACTGTCACATCGGCTTTGTTCTGTTTGTTTTATCGCATAAAATCGCAGAGAAACTGGACGGATTGACATCCATGTAAAAGTTAAACAATACAGAGTCTAGTAAGATCGATTATAAAAGTATGGTTGCCAACCACAATCTAACTTGACAATTATCTTAATTCCCTGGAACAAAAAGAGGTAAACAGAACAAATGACAAGTGATATTGGATTTAAAGTCTTTATTTCTGCAACAACTGGGCTAATGAAGAAGAACATGCGCCAAACAGTGTATTGTGGGAAAGATGCAGCATTTAACAAATTTAACACGGTGGCTCAGTGAGTAAGGCAGTGACTCACTAACCAGAAGGTCCCATTGTTGGCCGGAAATATATCTCGGGATCTTTCACCGTGGTTTCCACTTGTCAGAAAACGGTTTCTGGTCGTTCTGATGGTCCCGTGTACACGTTGGCAATTGGCATATGACGAAGAGCAGGCGGAAACGCTAATATCCGGGTAAAATTCTGCCATAGCTCGCTGCCTGTCTTCATTGACCCGATTAGCACACGGTGGTCGTCGTATTCTAGAGGCAACGCCCGTAAGAAAATTGCAAGGCTCTACCAATTCGAGTATGATCAACATGATGCTTGACTTACTTGTTCTTTGGACATTTACTTTCAAGATGGCCGTGATGACGTTATGGATGGTTCCTGGTTCACACACTCATACTTGTTATCTAAACATTATCATAATTATTTAGTTTATTTTACTATTTTCCTGACTTTATTAGCTTGTTGAAATATTTCTTTCCTCCTAAGCAAATCAAATATAATCAAGGACTTCCCTGTATCATTTCCTTATAGTCTTCCCTGTTATTGGAAACAAGACATTATTCCCGATCCTAAAAAAAACTACGCGCAAGCAAATTATTGAAATGAAATTGTACCTTATGTTAGTCCCGAAATGGCAGGGTTTGTGTTGAGCGGACCTTAAACCCAACACCACATCAGTTGTTTAGAAAGTTCGGTGGTATTTTTGTTGCTGTTGCTGCAAAGGATTGACAGAGGAAATATTTATTATATGCGACCTTGGAGTATGAACTATGTTTAATCTTTAAACCAATCATATATTATACTGACACCTGAGCTGTCAGATAGGACGCCCGTCAACAGAAACAGCACATATGTAAGATAATAGCAGACCTTCTTCTTTTTATATCTTTTCTGAGAAAAACGATAATATCTTGACGATATCTCGATTAGCCTTTGTCCTCGGACTGTGAACGATTCAAGAAACTAATTTTCAATAGAGTGAAAAATATCATGCCACATTATTTAAAAGATCTGTGGCTATATGGCGAGCATGGCGCTGACTCACTAACCAGGAGGTCCTCGGTGTTGGCTGGGAATGTTCCTGAAGTTCCCTCTCGTCAGTGGTGCCGAGTGGAGGACCTAACAGGGAAAGGCATCTAGTCGTTCGGATGGTACCCAGAACGAGGTTCCGTGTAGCGCATTAAAGGTTCCCTGGCAATTGGAAATCTAAATAAATATCCGGACAAAATTTCCCCAACAGCAAAAGGTTCAGAAAAGTAGCACGTTAAACCCCATTTTATTTCTGTAACTGTATGATCACCCGATTTCATTAGCCCAGTCGGAGCAGAACAATAAGACGTTAAACCCCATTTCATTTCATTGTATGATCATGGGGTATCGATCAGATCGCTTGGCAATACCATGTATGTTTAGCGTCTATAAGCCGTTGTTGACTGACTGACTGACTAGTTGATGTTGGTATTCAGCTGTTGGAATCCAGGGTCACTAAAACTTATTAGATTACTAAATAATGTTGGAAATGATTTTTGATTTGACCAGTAGAAAGTAAGCGTGGATAAAATCGCCGTGACCGTTCCACAAATTTATTTTTTTCCAAAGCGCTTATAAATCTACAGCAATTAACAAAGAAAATTTACTAAGGTTAAGAGTTACGCTACTATTTTTCTTAGCAAGGATTGAAATAAAGATTAAGACGATGTGATTTGACAGGTGTAGACTACTGGTTAATGAATAATACATTAACTTAATCTAATTTAATCATCCAGTGATTAACAGGTAATTTTTTGTTGTGCCAGGACTGATGTCCGAGTAGGCTTAAGATTGAGCACCCCCACTCCCACCCTTTACCCCCAGCTCTTACGTTATTAGAGCCAGTAAATAATGGTTTGCGTAAACTTGATTTTTTTGTAGTAATGAATTAATTAAACCCATGTTTCGCGATTTGCTTTGTTTTTTTGTTTTCTGATTTTGAGATGGTAAATAAATAATTCATTT